CATACAGATTTTTACTGTGTACAAATAATGATGATGTTGCGAAAAGAGCAAAGAAAATTTCGATACATTGTACACCGCATTCACACACGGAAAATGATGTGCGAAGGAACTCAAATCTAGGAGATTATTTCTGGAAATACTTTGGGTACTTTCTTTGGCTGCATTTTCCGCCATAGAGCTAATCTCTTGAGATATTTTAGATCATTTTTGAACTATGAGCCATGAGCCTCTGTTTTTTAATTCCAAAAAAAATCTTTGAATTTACTGCAGAAACTTCCTTTGAGCGGGAAAGCTGCAAGGCTCTGCTGCAAAAAATTCACTTAAGGTCTTTAAGGAAAATCCCCAAGCAAGTTAACAGCTCAATCGAAGCAGAAACTTTTGGCCTGGGCAAATGCAAAATCCCAAAAATAATTACCCAGAGCCTATCATTTAAAGTGGCTGTAGATTAGCGCCAAAAACCTCGCTAATAGATCGCTTAACTATGGCCCGTTGGATGGTGTCACCGTCACCATTCGTGTAAATGCCTAAAAATAAATTGAATAATACACGTGAACACGGTGGACGACCCACGTCCGACAACCCACAACCCCCACAACACCTTGGGGGCGTTATCGCATCGTTTGCGCATCGATGCTGGCGATTGTGTGACACCGAAAATACATTTTTTGTTTTTGTTTTTGTTTGGTTCTTTTTTCGAGTGCCACTAATGTGAGGTGGCAGACAGGCCCGGGTCCAAGTAGAGCGCGTCAGGCCCCGGCAGCCGATCCGATCCGATCCGATCCGACAGCTACGGATCGACAACGATAAGCCACTTGGGGGACTGACTGGCCACTGGCCACTGGCCACTGAGTCGATGTCGGATTGTCGTTTGTCCGGTCCGGTCCACTACCCGGCTGTTGACTGATTACGTAGTTTTTGGGGGTCAACAAATGTACATATATTTATGTATGCCTCATCATGAGTAGCCCCCAACTTGGCTCTCGCGCCCTCACATTCTGCCTTTGCCTCCGCCACTGTATTTGTACTTTTGTGATTGTGATTGTGTGGTTCCAATTTGGATTTGGATTCGCCAGCAGCGATAAGACAGCTCGTTGTGGTAGCCCCATGATACCCGAGTATCACGTGAAGCGCACGCGATTCCTACACGTTTTACTCTGTGTGTTTCGCTGGCTGCCCCTTGCCTCGCTGCCTGCCTCCCTGCCTGCCTTCTACTCGTACTCCTACTCATAGTCTAGTTGATAGTGGGGGAGACCAAGTGGATTTTCTGTTCTGTTTTCTATCTTTGGTTGCGCTGATTACGCACTTCAGTTTAGTTTCACTCGAGTTTGACCATGGGGCAGGCGGCGAGGAGAGTCTTGGACTGAATGGAATTCGCTCGTTGGGGGCTAGTGGCAAAAGTACAGTTGATCTCTGTGGCCTAAATGGCACTGCAATTGGTGATAGGAGAGCATGGGGCAATGAAACTTGAGCTAAGGATTGACTGTAATTTAAGCAAGTCTTTTCGCTTAAATAATAATATGATGAAAATATTTGATAACAATATTTTTCATATTTAAATTTAATTTTTGATTTGGAAACAAAGATATTTGCAGTTTAAATACATATATTTTTATACTCGTACTCAAAAAGAGTTAAGGCGTATATTGTATTTGTGGTAAAAGTGGATGTCTGTCCGTCTGTCGCCTGTCTGTCTTGATGAGTGCCTAGATCTCAGAGAGTATAAGAGCTAGGGCAACCAAATTTTGTATCCAGACTGCTGTCATATCACACTGTTACAAGTGTATTTAAAAATTTAATTTATTTTAAAATTATATACGGACTGAGTATGGGTATAAGTAGAGTCGCGTCCCCAGAAGCGACTCACACGTTCCTTCTCGTTTATATTTAAATTAATTATATTTCATATACAAATCAATTGAATATTTTCTTATTTAAATCAAATATTTTTCTTACAAATTTATTATATTTATTTTAAAGTATTAAATAAAAATATGAAAATATTGAAATTAAATATATTTCTTACAAATTTCATAAATTATATTTCTTTTTAAGTGTTTTTTTTTTTGTGTAGATTAAAAATACTTTTTAATGCATATTTATTTAAAACAAAGTGAATTCTGTTCAATTTCATTAACTAAATATACTGTTTAATTTTTTAATTATTTTTAAATTAATTTTTGTATTTTTTCGAAAACTAATTCCATTTTATTTGTGCTTTCTGTGTGTGTTTTTTTTAGTGGGTCACTGCCATCCAGAGGTGGTGCGTGCCGGCGCCCTGCAGATGGCCACCATATCGACAAACAATCGCTTCCTGCACGACGAGCTGGTGCAGTGCGCCCAGACGCTGACCAGCAAGATGCCGGAGCCACTGTCCGTGTGCTTTTTCGTCAACTCCGGCTCGGAGGCCAATGACTTGGCACTGCGGCTGGCCCGTAACTTCACCAAGCGCCAGGATGTGATCACCCTGGACCAGTAAGTCGATCAAAGAATTGCCCCACAGCCTTCGATTCGGGGATGATGCTTACCCTCTCTCTCTCTCTCTCTCTCTCTCTCTCTCTGTCTCTGTTTTAGTGCCTACCATGGACACCTGCAGGCGGTGATGGAGGTGTCGCCGTACAAGTTCAACCAGCCGGGCGGCGAGAAGAAGCCCGACTATGTGCACGTGGCCCCCTGCCCGGACACCTATGGCGGCCAGTTCACCGACAAGATGTACCCCAATGCGGATCTGGGCGCTCTCTACGCCCAGCCCATCGAGGAGATATGCCAGCGCCAGTTGGCCAAGGGCCAGGGCGTGGCCGCCTTCATAGCCGAGAGCCTGCAGAGCTGCGGCGGCCAGATACTGCCACCGGCCGGCTACTTTCGGGCCGTTTACGATGCCGTACGCTCCGCGGGCGGCCTCTGCATCGCCGACGAGGTGCAGGTGGGCTTCGGTCGCGTGGGCACCCACTACTGGGCGTTCGAGACGCAGGGCGTCGTGCCGGACATTGTGTGCGTGGCCAAGCCGATGGGCAACGGGCATCCCGTGGGCGCTGTGGTCACCACCCAGGAGATAGCGCAGGCCTTCCATGCCACCGGAGTGGCCTACTTCAATACGTATGGCGGCAATCCGGTGTCCTGTGCGATCGCCAATGCCGTGATGCGGGTCATCGACCAGGAGGGACTGCAGCAGAATGCCCTCCAGATGGGCGACTACCTGCTGCGGGAGTGCAGCCACCTCAAGCAGGAGTTCGAGTGCATCGGCGATGTGCGCGGCGTGGGACTGTTTGTGGGCATTGAGCTGGTGAAGGAGCGTGAGGGCCGCACACCCGACACCAAGTCCGCCCGCTGGCTGGTCAATCGGATGAAGCAGCTGCACCAGGTGCTGGTCAGCTCGGACGGGCCCAATGACAATGTGATCAAGCTAAAGCCGCCCATGTGCTTCAGTCGCGAGAATGCCGACGAGTTTCTGCTGGCCTTCCGCGAGTGCCTCGCCACCCTCACCCAGGACAAGCTGGCCACGGAGGCGGCGACAGCCGCTGCCAGCAGCACCCATGGGGTCATTGCCACCGCTGCGGAGACGCTGGCGAATAAGACGAAGCTCTTTGAGCGACAGGATCGCCTCATAAAGTCGGTCTGAGGGGGCGCCTCCTCCCTGTCGACGCTGCTCCAAGGCACAAATTAGCTTTAGCCCTTACACCCGAGGATATTTATATTTATATTCCATGGTCCCCCAAATCACATGCCCCATGCCCCATGCCCCACAGTCCCCTGTCCCTACATGGATATATATGTGTTTTTTTTTTTTTTTTATTAGTTTTAGTGCCATTGCTTTAGCTTTTAGAACAAATCTAGGCGTATATAATCCTAATCAATCCAACCGATATCTACGCGTATGCCAACCTTACATATACATATGTACATATATATGTACATATGTATGTATGTATAAATAACCATTATCTTTTGAGTCGATTATCAATTTATCTTCTAGTATCTAGAAACTTAGGGAGCTCATTACGAATTTCGTTCTTTTATTTTTAATTTTTGATTTTTGTTTTTTTTTGTTAGCTTTAAGTACAAAATGTGTAAAAAATGTTTTTGAATATTAATTATATTTTTTTTAACCACAAAGCTGAGACTTGACTTGTGTTTTTGTTGTTGGACACACTCTACACATAGCTAAAGATTCTCCGAATCTCTCCATGCCTCAGGTTGAACGGCATAATTCTGTTGCTGGGCCATTAGAACTGATGCAGCACCTTTTTCAGGGCGTGACAAATCACCCCACAGGGCTTCCCCAACCGGCTGGGGCTGGGGCGAGTGGCAATCGTCCATGATCAGATAAAACGGCTGCTTGTAGTCCTCCAGGGACCTGTTCACATCACTCCTTCTTTCTCGGAATATGTTCAGATTCATAAAGAGCGTCCTCAGAGTGCTGAGCTCCATGTTGACTTCACCTGTCCTGTCTTTCACTGATTTCCTCAACTATTTTAATCCTCTACATCCCGTAAGAACCGTAATAATATACTAATACATATTTGTGCTCGTTGCTTAATTTTATTTTGCCAAATCCGTTACTTTGTCTAGGTAAAAAATTATCCTACTTTGGACTGTGCAGAAACGTACACATTTCCTCGCTAGAGGTCTCTGTCGAATTTTACATAAATATGTAGTTCATTTGTAGCAAATGTGTAGTTATCATGTAGTTACCATGTAAGACATTAATTTTGCCAGCAAAAGACCATTTCTTTATTTGATTAAAACTTATTTTACGAATAATCAAATGGAATCGAGTAATAAAAATAACCACATCTTTTAGGAAATTAATCAATTTATAGTATAAAATTATATCATCATTGCTGAGGGCTCCAGTAATTAGTAAATACAAATCCGAATATCAAAATCGGGGAAATGGAAATTTGATTAACGATAGGGATAAGCCCATATTCTTCGGTATTTTTAAGGTATATTATGAAAATGAAAAGGTGTATTTCGGTATATTTCTGAGGGTCTGACGGTATATTTTAACGTTAAGTCCGCGGACACACTGTTCGCATGGCATGCTGACTACCAAAAATATTTTGGTTTGAGTTTATTTACTTTTTGGACTGAACGAATTGTATTGGATTGGCTTCGGTGTTCACCATGAACATCAGCGAAGATTTCAAGCCCGTGCCAACACGGGCTGCACTTGCGGCTCAGAAGAAGCAGGCCAGCTGCGAGTTCAAGGCATTGGTGTTCCAGGAGCCGCAATACCAGTCGAAGTCAACCAAGTCGATGCCAGACAAACAGCAAGAAACATCTGAAGCTGGACAAAGGAGACCCCGCAAGGACTCTGCTGCTGCTGACACTAACCCGGAGTTCGACATCAAAAAGGCCCGACATGAGGTGCTCAACTTTGCCATGAGCAATCAGCGTGTGACCAAGAACAAGCGCAAAATGGAGATTTTCCAACTGATCAAGCTCGGCGCCAAGCCGCCAAAGAAAGCGGCCAGAAACTACAAGGAACTGAAGGACGAACGCCAGCGACTGAAGAACATACGGGAGGAGCGAAAGAAGTTTCATCAACTGGGAAAAAATCAAGCTGGTGCGGCTAGTGTCAAGTGTCGAAGCAAAAACAACGAGGAACGCAAGCAGAAGAAACGCGCGCCCGTTTCCAACATCGACCAGCACTACGGCAAGGCGCAGCCTAAACTCAAGAAAAGAAAATAGCCATATAATGTCCAGAATAAACCTAATTTAGTAATATATTTCCAGTTTGTTTTGAAATATCAGTGCGCCCTTTAGTGTGGCCAGACCAGTGTGGTTGGCAGTGTTGGTCACTTCTCCTTGGCCTTGCCGAGCACTGGTGGGTTCCTTACATAACATTGTTGTTGATTTTGATACGATTACGTGAATATTTTGGTTAAAAGTTTCGTCAGGTTGTGGCCAAAAATGTTTTCACGCTCACGAACTGTCGGGCCGGTGATGTGCCGTTGCTACACCCAAATCAAGGGCGGCTCCAATCCAGCAGGACGCAGCAGTGGAGCAGGCGCTCCCCAGCCCAGCACCAAGGTGACGGGCCTCAGCAGCAACTGCGTCAAACCGACATCGGCTCCAGTGGGTCCAGGTGCTTCAGCATCCGGCGGCTACAAAGTTCCCGAATACTTCTCCTTCAACCGTTTCAGCTTCGCCGAAGCGGAGGTGGAAATGTCCAAGTTCCGCTGCCCCCAGCCATCTGCGTTGACGAAGTAATGGAGTGGAGTGGAGGACATTGCGAAGGACATTGCGAAACCAAATGAAGTAAATGTATAATAAACGGAACCCAGCCTCAAGATCAGGCTAAGCCTGTTCAAATTAAGTGTATTTGAATTTAGCATTTAATGTTATGTCTGGAGGGGGTAGGAAGAGGGGGATTAAATAGTGTGACCGCTTTGACCGCAGCTTATCGTTTACCACCACTGCCAGTAACCTAGCCTCGACCTGCAACACTGCATTTCCGTCCTCTCTTCTCTCTTTTCATTTCGTTCTGTGCTTTGCTCTCTCTCACACTCATCAGATCGGAGCATTCAACTGTATTGCTGTAGATTTTTTGTTCCCCTCCGAGTGAAAAAATTAAAGCGCGAAAATTGACAATGCGAGTAAATCGGTAAAATATAAAAAGCAAGTGCTAAATTGTTTTTATTGCAATCGCTTTTCGCGGTTAATTAAAAAAAAACGAATTAGCTGCTCAAACAGCCAACCGCAACAACAACAACGGGGTGCGTGTGTGTGAGTGGTACAGTTGGGTAGAAAAACATCGCCATTGTCGTCACTCTCTTTCGGGGCTGCCACTACGTTGCCACCACTGCGATAAACGCCACTATTGCTCTCTATTGCGTTCAGTTGCAGCGCAGTTACCAGCTACAGTTGCACTAAATCGGGACGAGGCAATAATAAAAACAAAAAGCAAAAAAAAAAAGAAAATACTGAAAACCCATTTACCACACGCAAGCGTTAAGAATACAAAAAATAAATAAAAAAAAAAGCGGACAGACATTAGTGCTGAACAGGGACGTATTTATCCCACGCAATCGAAAATTCTGCTCCAGCTCGCTCTCTGTGTAGTGAAAGTGCGACCGAAAGAGACTAGAGAAGAAAAATAAGCGTTAAGCGAAAAACAAAACTTGAAAAAATGTAAAGCCATTCCTGTAAGTATACAAAATAACATTCAATTCATTATTATTTACTATTTAAATTACATTAATATATATGTGCGTGTGTGTGTATGTATGTCTAAAACTGGCGCGCGAAAAAAATCAACGTAAATTCCCTTAATGCGTGAGGAGAGGAGAGCGCAGCAGAGCCACCAAAAAGTGACGAAAATAGGCGCCAGAGTTGCCAGAGCTGAAATACCCGTAAGCAACAGAGAAGAGCAGCCGTTGCGTTGCCTATTGCCTACTGCCTAAAGACACATCACACACACGTACATATGCATATATGCATATCCGTAGAATATTAGAACATTTAAAACAAAAAAATAAAAGAATATTTGCGAACCGATCTCTCTCTCTCTCTCTATGTGCATTGCATTGCAGGGACCCCATGAAAGATGCCAGCTGGAAAAAAGACGGATGCTGAGACAGGAAAGACTCGTACCTGCATTGTATACGTAAAGAATCTGAGGGAAGGTTATCAACCATCGGTTGCCGCCACTGGAGCAGCAGGAGGAGCCGTTAAATCGAATAAAGCTCGAACCATACCACAACGAACCGTCGCCATTGCCGCCCTACCAAGCGCCGACAGCCCACGACGCGCGACGCGCACCTCTCAACGGGCTACGACCATTTCGACAGAGATCGTTGTTGGCAGCAAAGCGCGTCAGCGGGCTGCCGTAGAAAAGGACAAGCTGTCACCTCCAGCAGCTGTGGTTGCCGCCAGGCGGTTGCGGCAATCCAAGGGGGACTCGGTGGTCGGCACACCCACCCCACACGGAGGCCACCACCATCAGCGGCATTGGCATCACCATCGCCGCCAAAATCATCAACAATACAGCCCGCCAAAAGGTTGACGGGACCGGGCCTGGCCGCCAAGCGACGCAATTCGGCAGTACCACCGGCAGCCGCCACACCAGCGGCCAAGCATCTCAGTCCGCTGGCTACCCCCACAATACGCCGGACCCTAACCGGTCGCAGGGCGACACAGACGCAGGAGATCCTCAGCCCCAAAACACCGAAAATGTACAAACAAACAAAGGTTTCGCAGTTGGTGTCGGCCTCACCGCCACCGACGATTGCCGCCAGCCGTTCGCGTCGCTCCATCAAGCCGAATCCCAAGTATGCCAGCGAGGACCTGGTCACACCAAAGTACCTGGCCACCCTGGCCAGCGGCGACACACCCTCGTCGCGCCAGCAGCGCGGCAGCTCCAATTCGAAGGTCTATCCCACCACCACCACCAAATACCACGATATGCATGACCTGCTCGATCTGGACGAGGACAACGATGATGAGCTGAACGATGTGGCCTACAATCCGCAGATGCACAAATCCGATGACGATGATGATGACGATATGAGCGAGGATGAGTACCAGGAGGAGATACGTCACGAGAAATTACCGACGCCCGTGCAGCCCGTGAAGCGTGGACGTGGACGTCCACCCAAATCGGCAAATGCAACGGCTGCCAGCGCCGCCGCCTCCCCTGCCGCCAGTGCGGCCCAGTCCAAGCTCACGTCGAGTGCCGGACGGAACACGACCAATCTGCAGCAATTGCGCCGCACCATGTCAGTGTCCATGGCCAATCGCAGCAGTCTGACCACGGGATCGGAGGGGGTCGCCAAGCGTAAGCTGGAGGATGCCACGGACAGTCCGGTGGCACGCAAGCGCATGGTTCTGTCAGCAGGCGGAGCCAATCGCAGTCTACCAGTGATCAACGGCGGCGGCAGCGGCAGCAGCAGCAAGTCCACAACTGCTGCTCCTGTGGGCAGAGCCAAGACACTCGTTGGCGGCAGTACCAGCAGCAACAGTGGTGTGCGCACGGGACCCACATCGGCGACGGCCGGGGGACTGATCAACAAACAGCGGCCGACAGCCGCGACGACCATTAAGTTGAATAGCAGCAGCACAGCAGGAACGGCGGCGTCCAGAAATACCAGCGCCAAGGTGGTGGCTGCCGCTGCGGCTGCGGCGGAGAGAGACGGCGGCGGCGGCAGCAGCAGCAGCAGCAAGATGATCGAGGATGTGCCCACATTCACGATTGTGAATATCAATGACATTATCAACCAGGATGATGTGCTCATCAGTCGCACAAATAATGCCACGTCGAGCACTTTGAATGCCGCCAGCAAAAAATTGTCGGTGGGTCGTCCCAGGACGCGGAACATACTCGTCGGCGATAGAGCTACCACGGGTTCGGGATCAGCAGCAATGCCCACCTCCGCAACGAGTCCCACAAGTAACAATAACTCACCGCAGGGCGGCTTCAGTCCGCCCAAACGGGTCAAGGCATCGGCCACGTACAACAGGAAGCAGCAGCAATCGCAAACGCAGCAGTCCGTCAGCCAGAATCAGAATCAGAACCAGAACCAGGCCAAGCCGCGTCCCCGTATACTCAATGCGGAGATGGGCAAAAAGGCAAAGCCCATCAAGCCGCTACTGAGTATGGGCAAGGAGCTGTATCCCACTGACGTGGACACTGAGGAAGATGATGATGCCGATATCGATCTAGATCTCGATGAGAGTGAGGGTGACCTATCCCTATCACCGTCACCGCCAGTTGCAGCACGCCGTGTGGTGCCAGCAGCTGCTGCTGCTGCTGTTGCTACAGCAACTGCTGCACCCAATCGAGGAGGCCAGGCGGCCGCGGCAACAGCCACAGCGAAATATACGGCACGTCGTCCCATACTCTCATCGAATGCCACCACAAATAGTAGTCGAAACTATGCCACGGGAGATCGCAAGTTGTCCAAACTGCTGGGTGAGGGCAATGAGGAGAGCTTCAAGAAGCCGCCCATCAATGCGAATGCTTCAGCGCAGCAGCAGCAGCAGCGTTACAGCAAAGAGAACAAGGCTACCGCTGCCGCTGCCGTCAAAGATCAGGACACCGATGCCGATGAGGCCGATGACCATGACGAGGATGAAGACGAGGTGGAGAATGAGAATGAGAACGAGAACAAGGTGAAGAAGAAGCCAAAATACTTTCCGCCAGAGACAACCACAGTGCGGGAGGAGGACGGCCGCGTTATCAAGAAAATCACCTGCTACGAGACATGGCATGTGATCAGCAAGCCCCGTGAGGTGCCCGAAAAGACGCGTCACCAGCGTACGCTGCTGGAGCTGCCGCTGGTCAAGCTGGCAAATGTGGCGGCACGCATCAAGATGCCGTCGGTGAAGTGGAGCAGCAAGGTGACGCTATATAAGGTGTCGCCGACGCTTATGCAGCGCCAGACAATGACCATATTCACGGGCGATCTGAAGGTGTACAATATACCCGAAGAGGATCGCCACAAGTATCAGCCATCGTGTGTGCTCTTCCGTCGCTTGGTGGTCGATCGTAGCAAGTGCCGGGTGCCATACGATCGGGCCATTATATTCAAGAATCGATGCTTCTATGCGAACATCGATGGCAAGCATGTCAATCTGATGGGCGCCCCCGAGACGGTGGCCTGCATGAAGGATGTCGAAATATTGCTGGACATTGTGGACACGCTCGATCTGAACAGCCAATTGGTGGAGATGGTCAACTCAAAGTAGGACCAAGGGCAGCGACCAGAGCGAGCGCGGCGAACCAGCAGAGCATACAGATGGAGAGATGGAATCAAATGTACTATAAAAACGGAAGGCAGAAGGAAAGTGGAGATCGTCCCAGAGAAGGCAAGAAGCGCTGGAACATATATCCCCCGGTATAAAAGAATGTAGAATTATGATGTTTTTTTTTTTTGTATGTCGAGATCGGATTACATTAGTTTTTAATAGTTGCTTTAGCATAATTATTAGCTGGTTGGTGTTTTTGCCACACACACAAACACTCTCCCCCCACACACACACACATTACACATACTTTTATCAGATATTTAGATATATAAGTATATATACAAACCAAGCATATTTCTAGATTTAAAAGAAGAAAAATCAGAAGACGATGCAGAAACACACACAGAAGACGTGATGAAGAATCGTTCCGGGTGTGTTCAGGGTACTTGCAACAAGTGTGGGGAAGGAAACGAATGAGGAGAAGACGAACGAACGAGAACGATGGCGCGATAACGATAGCGATTATAATTTTAGCAATCCCTGGTTCCGGACAATGCATGATTACATACTGAAATATGTATCATTTTAATATTAAATAATAATTACTTGCTATATAAGATATGTAAACACCTCCACCCCGCCCCCGCCCACGCCCCTCCACACCCACAGCCACACATACACATATATTTTTTCTCTAAGAGTTGTTTGAGAGCCCGACACATTTTTTGGCCCCTCATCCACCATAGAGTGTGAATCCTTTTGACTTAGAATATTATGTAAAATGTATTTTTGGCGATAATTTAAATAACAAAAAGAAGAAGAATTATTTCAATTGTTTTTTTTTTAATCAATTTTAATTAAGACAAAATAAAATTCTATAAATCATTCTTTTGAATGGAATTTAGTTGTGTAAATCGTATGTAACCCGTATATATTAGCATCTGTCTACATCTACACTGGAATAGAAAGAAGAGTGTAATTTAATTAATTGTACATTTAATTGGAGAACGAACCCCATCCCCCCCATAATACCAATAAATAAACAGAAATCACATTACAATGTTATCGTATTCAATCCGGTTGGGTGGAAGCAGAGATTTTATTTCATTTTGTAGATTCTGGAAATTTAAAATCTCAAAATTATTTCTCAAAATAAATATCTAATTTATGGACATTCGATGTCATATAAATAACAAAAAAATTAAGGTAATAATATTAAAGAAAAAACATGGTAAAATCGTAGGCTTGCGGACCCGTGGAATACCCATAAATAATTAATTAAAATAGTTTAATCCGATGTAGTAATAAATTTTCTAACATACAAATATTTTATGCAACAAATTTTAAAGAGTAGTTTTATTAATTATGAGTTACTACTATTTTTTTTAAAATAGTTGCATGCAAAGAACTAAAAAAAAATTCGAACATATATTAATTGTATTTGTCCGATAATATCAATTTCTATAAGATTGTCAAATTTTGAAAAGAATAGTCCTATTGGATTAATTTAATTTTTAAATTCTAAAATTTATATTTTTGTCAAGACACAAATCGATTACAGACATCCTCCTGTTCGATATGTTGCCAAAGGGGTTGATAGCGTAACGCGATGTATCCATTAGCTAGTCTAGTAACCATAATTGGTCTAGAATATCAAAATTGTGGAATATGATTTTCATCGGTATATTTACGGTATATTTTGAAAATGGGCAGATCCATTTTGGTATATTTCTGAGAGTCGTATTCATCAATTTGATTAAAATTCAATACAAAACAAATGTAATATGTCAATTAAAATTACTTTGTTCATTTCTTGATAAACCTTGGCCAATGAAAACCTTGTTCATACAAGGCCTTCAGTTTTGTGACGCCGTTGGTGCAAAAAATCACCGGCGTAGGAGTCTTGGTGCCGTGCTATCGATATGAGAGACATCGGTTGGAGATGAGACTTATAAAGCGATGCTTTTTTTTTACATCCCTACAAAACTACGACAAAAAGTGAATTTCGAGCTGTTTTTTTGTTATTCGGTTAATCTTTTGTTGCTAACCGCCCCCCGAATTGTGAGCCATCAATGAAAAGCGAAAAAAATTAAACTCAAATACGCTACCTTGCCAATTGCTGAGGCCGAAGCTGTTGTGCTTTTTATTCAAATGGAGGAGGAGCTGCAGTTCCATTGACACCCAACCCAAAAAGCAAGCAGAGGCGGAAGCAGAGAGGCAGAGGGCAGCAACAGCAGCAGCAGCAGCAGCAGCAGTGAGTGGAGTGTGGAGTTTTGGAGTTGTGGAGTGTGTTGGGAGGAGTGGAGTTGGAGTAGAGTGCCGTGCCGTGCCGAGCCGACGCACACATGAAAAAGTATACAAATTTGTGTAAAGGGAAAAGAGTGTGTTTAAGGCATAAATAAATATCATCGGGCAGCAGAAGCAGCAGAATCATCGCTGCAAAAAACGGCAAAATAAATCGCACGAATTTATTAAGTGAGAGAAAGAGAGAGAGAGACAATAGACCCGATTAGAGCCAGGCAGGCTGCAGTGCAGTAACAACAACAGCATCAACAGCAGCAGAAGCAGCAGCAGCAGCAGCAGCAGCAACAACAGGCAGGCGCGATGGATACAGATAGACCAAATGGACAAGAGACGAAAGTCATTTATCATATTGACGATGAGACCACCCCCTATTTGGTGAAAATACCCATACCCTCGTCGCAGGTAACCCTCAAGGACTTCAAGCTGGTGCTCAATAAACAGAACAACAACTACAAGTATTTCTTCAAGTCAATGGACGCCGACTTTGGTGTCGTCAAGGAGGAGATCGCCGACGATGCCACCATCTTGCCTTGCTTCAATGGCCGCGTCGTCTCCTGGCTGGTCTCGGCCGACGGCACCAATCAGTCGGATAACTGCTCAGAGCTGCCCACCAGCGAATGCGAAATGGTTGGCCTCGGTCGGGCCAATGTCCGCACGCATCTTGCCCTGCAACAGCAGCAACAGCAGCAGCAGCATCAACAGCACCAGCAGCAACAGCAGCAGCAGCAGCATCAGCAGCACCTGCAGCAGCAGCAGCAACAGAAGCTGTCCGGCGGCGGTCTAATCAACAATCAGATGCTACAGCCGCCACCGCTCACATATCAATCGGCATCGGTGCTATCGAGCGATCTCGACTCGACCAGCCTCTTTGGCACCGAATCGGAGCTGACGCTCGACCGTGACATGACCGACTACAGCAGCGTGCAGCGGCTGCAGGTGCGCAAGAAGCCGCAGCGACGCAAAAAGCGAGCGCCCAGCATGTCGCGTACCTCCTCATACAGCTCGATAACCGACTCGACCATGTCCCTGAACATCATCACCGTCTCGATCAACATGGAGGCCGTCAACTTTCTGGGCATCTCGATTGTTGGCCAGTCGAATCGTGGCGGCGACGGTGGCATCTATGTGGGCAGCATCATGAAGGGCGGGGCCGTTGCACTGGATGGCCGCATCGAGCCGGGCGACATGATACTCCAGGTGAACGATGTGAATTTCGAGAATATGACCAACGATGAGGCGGTGCGTGTGCTGCGTGAGGTCGTACAGAAGCCGGGACCCATTAAGCTGGTGGTGGCCAAGTGCTGGGACCCAAATCCCAAGGGTTACTTTACCATACCGCGCACGGAGCCGGTGCGGCCGATAGATCCCGGTGCCTGGGTGGCGCACACCCAGGCGCTAACCTCGCACGACAGTATTATTGCCGATATACCGGAGCCAATTAAGGAGCGGCTCGACCAGAACAATCTCGAGGAGATAGTCAAGGCCATGACGAAGCCGGACAGCGGCCTGGAGATCCGTGATCGCATGTGGCTAAAGATAACCATACCGAATGCGTTCATTGGCGCCGATGCTGTCAATTGGGTGCTGGAGAATGTCGAGGATGTGCAGGATCGAAGGGAGGCGCGACGCATTGTGTCGGCGATGCTGCGCAACAATTACATCAAGCATACGGTCAATAAGCTGACCTTCTCCGAGCAGTGCTATTATGTGGTGAACGATGAGCGCAATCCCAATCTGCGCTCACTCAATCCCCATCAGCAGCAGCAGCAGCAACAGCAGCAGCATCCGCATACGCACGGCCAGCATGCGCTCAGTCATGCGGACACGGAGAGCATCACCAGCGATATTGGGCCGCTGCCGAATCCCCCCATATATATGCCATACTCGGCCACGTACAATCCCAGTCACGGCTATCAGCCGATACAGTACGGCATCACCGAGCGCCACATCTCGTCCGGCTCGAGCAGTTCGGATGTGCTCACCAGCAAGGATATATCTGCATCGCAAAGCGACATCACATCGGTTATACATCAGACCAATCAGCTGACCATTGCCGCACATGGCTCGAATAAATCATCAGGATCTTCGAATCGTGGCGGTGGTGGTGGTGGCGGCGGCGGCGGGGGTGGGGGTGGCAATACCAACGATCAGGATGTATCCGTATTTAATTACGTATTGTAGAAATTCTTTCTTGCAATCAAATTGTGTGTTTTTAATTATTATGGATTTATTATTAATGAATATGTATAATTATTCTTTTTTATATACGAGTATACAAAAACAAAACAAAAACAAACAAAAACAAAAACAACAAAAACAAACAAACAAAAAACAACAACCAACCAACAACAACAACAACCAACAGCAACAACAATATTAATAATACTTATGTATATGTATGTATCTGTAAGCTATATAGAACGAAAAGTGCAAGATGCAAGCTGTAAGAGAGAGCGAGCGAGCGAGAGAGAACGAACGAAAGAAAGAACGTGAGTGAGAGAGAGAGAGAGAGAGTGGATGTATCCGGTAATCGTAATCGGTTGTGGATATATATACACACACCTCTGGGATCCCTCCAGATCCAGGATATCAGTTGGATATATGAGATAGAGCGAGAGAGAGAGAGAGAGCGCGTGAGGACAACGTGGAGATGGGAGATGAATGCATGCGTGGGGGGGTAAAGATTTTGAATAAAGTTCTAAGAATTTAGTAATCACAAAAGTAAATAAATAAAAGTAAAACCAAAATATTCCCCGCTTTCAATTGATTGTGCCACACATGGCCGTGTCATGTTCGGGGCAATTCTTATCTGTGGGTCGGGCTACGCTACGCTTTGAGCAACATGAGTTTTTGTTTAAGCTTGAAATTTCACTGGGCATGGCAATGGGAAGTGAAGTCCATTGGGAACTATATCTTTTATCTTTCCATAGTTTGCCTTATGCCTGGCCCGTCTTTTGTTTATTGGAGAAATATTAAAGCGACCGACAAATAGCAGCTTTTGTTGACAGCTTAGCAACGTTTTTTTGTGCCCGCTTTAAGTTTTAATACTCTGCGAATTAATCTACTCGACGGATACATATTCATTCTGATATTCCGTCTTTCCTTCTGCCATTCCAAGCACTTCTGTGCATCGATTCCAAAATGTGTTTTTGTTTGAGTGTAAAAACGAATTCCATTTCAAATAGCGCGCTTCAGACATCATTTTGGCCTGCAGGCCGGCACCACTGACGCAGAGTTGATTCTGAAAGCTATCGACACGAGCGGTGTGCGGTGGTACCCAAGCAAAAGGCAGAATAATAAATTGAAAATTAAAATGGCAAAAGAACCAGCAATTACAAAAGCCCGAAACGCCGAGGAACTGGAGATATACTATCAAATGCTCGGGGCTGGTAATATACTAGAGTTGAAGTGGCAATGCCCTGGCCGGCAGGCACCCGACCACTCGCCGGGCGACAATTCTGCTGAAAGAACGCCGCTCATGGAGAGGAATGCTGAGGCAAATAGCAAAGAGCGGGAGCAGCAGCCCAACGGTGCCGTTAAACGGCAGTAGAAGCAGCAGCACACCACACCACATGGAATGATCCCTTCAAACAACGCGCTCGCTTACATGCGTGGCTTCGACCGGTTTCCAGCACTTGCGCAGAGATGCTTCGGGAGGCTATCGAATCCAGCGTGCGCGTAAATAAACACAAGAAGAATATAACACCCCCAAGCCAAGCGTAGGGCAGACAGGAATAGGAAGTAGGAAACATAATTTAACAATGGCAACCGACGTAGAGCCAGCCACAACGGCAGACAAGTTCTCAGCAAATGCCGAGGAATTGGAGAGCTACTATCTAATGCTCGAGGCGGGTAATATACCGGAGTTACAGTGGCAATTCCCCGGCCGGCGGGCACCCTCGCCGGACGCCAGCTCTGGGGGGAATAGCAAAGAGCTGGAGCAGGCCACCGATGCCATTGAGCAGGAGTAAGTACAAGCCCCACAGTCGTTGGCACTTCCACAGATAACAACATCGTTTACTTCCACAGACCGCAGAAGGCGAATGACTTTGATTTCAGCGACGATGTGGCGCCCACGCAGATGCGGGTACGCAGCCAGACATCCACACCGAAATCGGCCAAAAAGAAGACGGCCGACTTTGCTGGGGTCATGGAGACGCTCAAGAAGAAGAATGCCGAAAGCTCCTAGCATACGGGGAGGCGTAGTTTCAGCCATAAGCCATTCTTCTGATACGACTACGGGGAGCCTGGGGAACCTGACTCTGGATTTTAATTCGAGGATCGACAAGGTAATATTTTCGTATTTAAGCTACTCCGTTCATCTGTTTTAACCCTAGACTATTGTCTTATTCACATTGTATTTGAATGTTTTAAGCTTAGTAATTAACTTAAAATTCACCTCAAAATGTAACTAACTAAATTCAAGCCTCGATTATGTTCAAAATGATTGACCAACAAAAGACTTAAGGTACACAGATCAAGACAAATAGATTAGATATAAATAGCATTATATGAAATTAATCTTAGAAATATATAGGGTCATCCTGTGCCCGAGATATGATGCAGGAATTAAATACATATTTTTTGGGCAACTTTTTAGAGAATAAATTCTTCTAGCTCAGGCATCCAAGTCCTTTAAAGTTTGATGCTCGAATTTGGAATTTCGTATAAAACATATTCATTGATTATACTGGCTATTTCATGCTGCTATTATACACATTTTATATGTAATATTTAAGCGAAAATTGTATATGTAATATTTAAGCAAAGATTGTATATACAAATCGAAAAAACAAATAAAAAAAAATATATATTCCTCTATTTCCATAATGTACTACGTAATTGGTGGATAATGTTTAGTCTTTTTGCTTATAGCATTTATAACTAATATCTAATAATTGCAGAAAAAAGGGGACAATAGAAACTCTCAATAGAATAAGTGAGAGCGACGAGTGCAATCAGATGTTGCGCTCTCTTTCAGTCTTGTGCGTAAGGGCCAAAAGCATTCTTCAAGATCTATTTTTAATTATCCAAATAGTCTTTGAGCTTAGATTAGAAGAGAAGGTCTTGCTGCTCTTGCTTTAGTTCCTGAAATAATAATAAAAAAAAGTTAGATCCAAAGACAAACATTCCGGGCATTTAAACACGTACGAAAATTTGATTTATTTAAAAAATATCCGTTTAGTTAACATCAATAATAAGTTATTGTGCCAGTGGGTGTGGTGGTGCATATACCCTGCTTGTATATTGATCAGAATATGCAGTATAGTTTTTGTTGTTTGTTTTTTTTTTTTTTGTAAATATAGTACAATAGTTTACATACAATTCTGTATTATTTTATTCGTTTTCTGTTGCCTTGTGTATTGTGTGTGTGTGTGTTTTCTTTTGAAATTGACTTAAAATGGCATTTGGATCAACATTAATTGACAATAACACCCCTTAGAAACTATATGTGCACATTGTTTTTATTTTTATTTCTATTTTTATTTATGCCTGTCGCATTCGCATCCGTATTATTGTGTAAAACAATTAAAAGTCTGTACATTAATAGTGGGACAGACCTACAGTACAGACGACACAAGCACACAGACGACACAGGCATAACATACACAATTATCAAATTATTATTATATTATAATATTATTTATGTATAGGATTTGCACATGTTTAAAGCTTAGACTCAATTGAATAGCATAGGTACTTATGTACAAGCCTACATTTAGTCAATAAAACACTATTCAATTAATTAAAAAAAAATATAATATATATATTACTATTATTATTATTATTATTATTATTTTATGACGCACAAGCTTAACAATATTTAACAAAGTTAGCTAAAATATAACACAATGTATTGAGAATTTGTTTAGTAATATTCTGAGGGGGGGCGGTGTCGGTTATAAAACCTAAAAGTTGTGTAGAATAAACTGGACAGAGGGGGGCGGGGGGCTCCGACATTAAACATTTAAAAATTACATTTTAAAAAAACCTTCAGAGGCTTTGTCAAGTGTGTGGAGGGGCTTTGATTTGTGTTGTTTTTAAAAACGTACACATTTAAATGCTAATAGCTTAATAAAACTTTTAGATCTCTAAATATATCGATTAGCATATAAAACATTTAGTGTTCAGAACACTTTCGGTTTCGACTCTCATTCAACAGCTCCTGTGGCTGCTGCTGCTGCTGCTGCTGTAGATCATGCGCCCCCAGTGATGTGCGATGTGCTTCTTGATTATGTTTCGGATGCCGTTGTTGCACTGCCCTTACTTGTGCCCGCAGCAATATTACCTATTTCGGCATTGATAATCTCTATAATTCGACTAAATGTGGGCCGGGCACGCGGAATGGTATTCCAGCAGGCCAGCATCAGTTCGTTGTATACAAAATCCGTACAGCCCGGCGGCTGTCGTAATCTATAGCCATACAACAAAATATAACAAAAACGCATTAAAAGGTCAGAAACTTTTTCTCAATAAAAATGTCAATTTAGCAATATATATTTTCAAAAATAAATTTATATATATATATGTATATGTATATGGGTAGTTCGCGGTCCCCTAAGATAAAACCCTTCAATGAGGTAACAAACATTGCTATATTTCATTGACTTTCAGATTCTTTTGGTATTTGTATTTCGCTACTTCCTGGAGTCTCGTGTCTAACTATAAATCCTAACTTCGCGTGGTCCCTCTTCGGTTGGTCCCGCCGTAGTTCCCCCTCAAAGATTTAGTTATCCCCCAATACATCCCCTGCCTGCCCAACCCAACCACCTGTTTAGTACCCTTGGTCCTTTGGCTATATCTAAAACCTACGCTCGTTATTTCCACTTTTCTGGTGAATATGGGTAACCAAATTTATAAGGGTACTTTTGCCTTTGCGTCAGTAACGTAACGCCAATAGGACTCCCATATTTCATATATATATTTTCAAAAATAAATTTCTTTTGAACTGACCTTTCACCATTGTTAAGGCGGAAGATGAATTCATCATTGTTATGCTGTGGCGGCGTTAGATTGGGCACCTCGCCGTGTGTGAACATCTCATAGAGCGTTACGCCATAGCTCCAGACATCCGAATACGATGAGAATTTCGAATTGATGGCCTCCGGTGAATACCTATGTACATATATGCGAAACGAAAGTGTGTGAGCAGAGGGCAGACAGGGCGGATGGATTTCTGAGGGGGGGATTGGATTGCCCAATTACCATTTGATGGGTATATCCCGTTCACTAATGCCAATGTAGTAGCCCTCAGAGTTGGCAAACTGTGCCAGACCAAAGTCCGAGATCTTGAGTAAGTCCAAATCGATGTGACTCTTTCGATCCACCAGTATATTGCGTGCAGCCAAATCCCGATGTATCAGACCCTTTTCGGATAAGTAATTCATGCCCTGGGCTATCTGAACGGCAAAGCGTAGCAGTCGATTTGTGTTCAAATCGGGTGCTTTATAGCGTAGATAGACATCAAAGGAGCTGTCCAGATACTCCATTATGATGCTATATGTGTTGTTGTCCCAATATTTGAATTTAACAACATTCAGATGCTCCAGATTGCGCATGATGACAATCTCACGCTGAAAGTCCGCCGTTACCTGCATGGTGTTTAGCTTCTTGATGGCCACATTCTCGGACGGACGGCTCCGGTCATCATAGTCGATGGTGCCCCTGAAAACGATGCCATAGTGGCCCTTGCCAATAATATTCTGTGGACTATAAATCACACGACAGTCACTTAGCATCAGGACCTGCGGCATATTCTGTACATCCAACACATGCACACAATCATGATTGTAATTTGGCACATCTGCACCATCTACAACAACAACAAAAGGAAGAAGAGGAAGAAAGCATTATAAATGGATATTTGAATGGCAGTTGCCCGGCAGAGCAGAGCAGAAACTCACTTGGTATGGATTCAGGCACCGCCGCATAGTTGTGCTGTGTATCCAATTTAATGGAATTGAGACGCGAAAAGATATCGTGATGGCTGAAACGCTTCTCCGCATTATCGCTCCAACCATCCATAATGGTTTCGCATATTTGCTTGGGGCACAGATCCGCTTCGAGTGATGGCAAAATGTTGCAGTCGTTGCGGCGATTTTGTAGCAGCTCCTCCTGCCTAACCGTTCGCAGATCGCGCTTGCAGCGCGAGAATATCTCATAGATGGTGGTGGCAAAAGCCCACAGTTGTGTGCCCAGATCCTGTTTGGCCGCCTGCAGATTCTTGTAGTATTTGACGGGTATCCAGGGCGAACTGTGGGCAACAGAGCGAATGGATGGTTGGTTGGTTGGTTGGTTTCAATTGATGACAGTGCATTACAGTGTTTGAACAGCTTACAGTGGGATGTAGGAAAAGTTAAGTGAGCAGCAGCAAGCAAGCAACGAAAGGTGATCACATGTTTGATGCCCCCCTACCTTGCCACCTAATTTTTAATATAAGCATTTCGCACAATAACTCCCATTCTGCCTGCAGTGTGCGCCCTCCAGCGTTGGAGATGTGGATGATAGATGTAGCAACAAAAAAAGGTTAGCAGATAAAATATTTAGATACTCTACAGACATCATAAGCTCACACAATATACTGACTGAGTGTGGGTATAAGTAGAGTCGCGTCCCCAGAAGCGACTCACACGTTCCTTCTCGTTTAGCTAAGGGAAATATACCAAAAAGAAACTTCATTGGAAGTCGCGCTATTGGGCATTGGGCATGCGTATGTATGAGTGCCAGGGTATTGATAAATAAATTCGGAACACTTCAAAGCACATTTACAAGATATCTTTCGCTTTCGCTTTCGTTTCTAGTTGTTGCTATCTGATCTGTTGCTGTTGTTGCTGCTGCTGCTGCTGCGACTACTGAGCCCGAAAAAAAAAAATTCCACTGTCTGTGGGTTCATTCATAACTATTCGTTTCTTTACTGTTTGCTGCTGTCTGCTGCTGTGACTTGCAGTGACAGCAGCCTGCAGCCTGCAGTGCAATGAGAATTTAATTGTAAATATATTTCAAACACTGACAGAATGAGCGAATGGTTGGATTGGTTGGTTGGTTGGTTGGTTGGTTGGATTTTGGGTGGCTGGTAGAGCTCCGTTTTTGCGATTTCGTGACTCACTCAGATTCTTTGTAGGGTCGCGGATAGCCGGGATCACTGATCTTGGCATCGAGCCTGGAACTCTCTGGATCAAATTTGGTCACATACAAATTACTGCAGCGTATATAGCTGTGTATGATTTTGTTATCCTCCAGATAGTGTATGCCACGCACCAGGCCATGCATCAGATCGAGCAGACAGTGGAGCGTCACCGCATCGCGCTTCTCCAGCAGGAACTTGTTGAGTGGCCCATACCGTGAGTATTCCATCACCATGGTGTATGGATCGGAGAGTGTTAGGCCGTACAGCTTGATGAACTGCGGCGACTGGATCAGGCTCCACGATTGGGCTAGTTTGAAAAACTCCATGAAATTGCCATCGTTCTTCAGCATCTTCATGGTCACGGAGACATCCTTCACCAGACTCTGCTGTATCCAATCGCCGCGCATTGTGAACATCATGCCATCCTCGCTGAGCGTTATCGAGTCTGCGCCACATGAAAAAGCAATTTGATTTTGATTTTAAAGCTCTCTCTCTACTCTCTCGTCTCGACCCCTCTTCTCACCTGGATACCATTGCAGATCCGTTTTGGGATTGAAGATCTGCGGATTGCGGCTCAGCAGCTCCGCTTCGTTCAGCTCCATGTCAGTCTTTTTGGCTTTCAGATTTTTTGGCAAGCACAACAGCAACAGCGGCGGCTTGTCGTACTTGGAGGCGGGCACACGCAAGCGGTCCGGACCGTTGGCCGGTATAAACTGGGCCAGCTCCAGCAGATCGAGAAACGTGTGCTGGCCCTCATTGTAGTAGAGCACCCACTGTCCGTCCTTGCGCAGAATCTTCAAGGTTTCCGTTTTGCAGCGTTCATGGTCGGTGTTACGGCCCGTGCTAAAAAAAAACAATTACAGTTTAATTTTGGGATCTATTTAAGCCACAAAAATACATTGAAATTGTAGCCTAAGGGCCGGGCCCACTGGGCCAACAGCTCCTAAACAATGTGTGTACAGAGAAACCATAACAAAATACATGTCGTGTGCATGAAGCGGCATTTGAATTGCTTTGGAATTTTATGCCGTGTGCACTTTGCTCATGGTAAAGGGATTCAAGTGGGAGAGGGGCTTAATTCAATGAAGTTTTCTAATCCAGCAACAGATCGAGTGAAGAAACAGATCGTGTGAATTTTATTTCCCATGTGTACATGCTAGGGGGATCCTCTTCTACAAAAGATTATGTGCATTTCTTACATTCAGTGGCGTTTCATTTGCCAGCTAACTAAACGCCAGTTAAAGTACCTTATCGTCGTTTAGGGTCATTCAAATAAGTCTCTGATATGCAGTAGAAGTAACTCAAATTCTATATATAATTCAGCAGAAACAGAAATAAAAAGGAGAGAGATAAAAACCCTAACCGATATACTCAAATGTGCAAAATAAATAAATAAAGGTGGTTGTTGTTTTTTTTTGTTTCGCCCGAAAATCAATTTAAAAAATAATCCACATAATTATCACATATTTCAACTGAAGATTCCGATCTGTTCGGAATGCTGAGAAGGTCTAAAGCAAACACCGCCCGTCTTGGGTTTCAAAGAAAAGCGCTCGAGTACAGCAGGATAAAGCTGGACGGGGTCTGAGCTGTGGGTGGGTGGGGGGTGGGCCCTATATAAATACGAAAATACAAGATAACGAGGGCTGCAAAACCAACATACATTCTCGTGTTGATGTCAATGTAGTAGGTATTGTACTCTCGATCACATTGCCGCACGATATAGTTGCCACACTTGTCGCCATTCTCGTGCAGTTTCATCAGCGAATAATTGCCACCAATGGGGCCATGGCAGCACAGATTGCCCAGCTCCTCCAGCGATGGTGTGCGATACGTATGGCACAGATCCTGCATCCATTTAACAGTCAATCTATCGTATAAAAATAAACGAATATTCCAATGGCAATGCAATTATTATGATGAACAGCGGCGGGTTGGTTGGTTGGCTGGCACTCACCTTATGTAGATACCCAAATAAGAGATGAACGATTTCATTTCCTTTTCGGTATGAAAATGCATCACATAGCCTTTGGGCAGGCCGACAATTTCCAGACGTACATCGGTATCATTGATTTTTGAGATCATAAATATACCTTCAACGCCGCCCACCAGAATCCACTGCAAAACAACAACAACAACAACAACAAAAACACACAATAAAAACAAGAGGAAAAAAATAATGGCAACAAGTGCCATGAGCGGTTTCAATTTTTTTTTTTTTATTATTATAACTTCCACTTCTCTTTTCTCGCGGTAATGATAAGAAGGGCGGGCAGGCTCTTGTGTGGCATTTATTTATATTTGTATTTCCGTTTCTACACCCGCCGCCATAGGAGCGGGAGATTACAAGTTCTCAGTTGGCATCGGAAATTGCGTGTGCCTTACAGTTGGATTTTGCACAAAGATTCTTGATTAGAATTAGGTTCAGGCTTAAGAGTAGGGCACGTGGCAGTTTTGACTGTTGATATAGTACTCTATATAGGGAATAAGCAGAGCAAAAAAGTTATATTGCTTTGGCAGTCTGGGCGGCCCTTTTTTACTTCTTTGTTTCTTTAAGAATCGGCTGACATAAAGTTCATTGTGTGGCAATAAATCGGGGAATATATAGTCTGCGTTAGGGAACACAGAGCATTCACTTTGCTGCTCGAACTGAGCATGGAAATACCTATATCAGGATTTAAGGGATATTTCTACTGCTCTGTTCATCCATCGTCCATGGGGTGATATAAAGAACGAACATTCTGTGACGGGTTCTTTCCCTATTTCATTGCAGAATCTTGTGACATATAAAGGCCTGCCTTAGGGGGTCATTATTCTGCTCAAATTCGAGTCACGAAACCCACGGCAGAATCTCTCGACTCTACTTCCTTTTGCTATCTCTCCTGTCCCCTTTTTTTTTTTGGGTATGCTCTATCTGTTGTTAGAAAAAACAAGCTTAAAGAAAGGGTCAAAATGCAATTTAAAAAAACAACATGCATTGCACGTGCCTGACGAAACGATTGGGGATTGCCTGCCTTTCCTTTGACTTTGATTGACTCTCTTTCTAAGACCTATTCCGGCAAGTCTTCTATATTCTTCTTGCAACCGGAGTGCGGGTTTTTTCAATCCTCAATATCTCCACTTTTTGTTTGTTTAAGGAATGCTAGTAAAACCGAAGTCTATCGATTGGGTTTTTTTTTTATTGCTGACGTATGTTTCTAAAACTCTTATATTTCCGCTTAGCGCTTTATCGTTTCTTAATGTTTCTGTAGAATCATCCAATTTTTGTTAAAAATGAGTCCCAAAAGTAATTTTGTCAATAATTACAACAAAAAATATTGTTTAACTGAAAAAAAAATACACTAAATATATTTAAAAGAAAAAAAATGCTGTCCAGCTCAAGGTTTGGAACGAAATGCATGAATTTTGAGTGGCCAGAAAATCCTTGAAAACTTTTGAAAATTATAATGCAATGCATATGCCAAAAATGCATGAATTTTGCGTGTTTTGAAAATCCCTGAAGAATGTGTAAATTAAAAAATCTATTTGGGCTGGAGCGCACACTAGCTGAAAGCGGAGCTAAATAAGCCTGCTGATAAAAACAAATTTGCTTAATCAATGAGCTTACAGCTCAGCTAAGCCAGCAATGTGCGAACTTGCTCCGCTTTCAGCTAGTGTGTGCTCGAGCCCCAATAGATTTTTTTGGCCGTAAATCAAGAATAAATTATAAGGGCATATATTTAAGAAATCTTCAAAAAAAAAAAAAATTCAGTAGTTTAGTAGCGTCAGGTCTGAAATGGATACAGATTCCATGCTGTGGGGGGGCCTAAGTATTCAATACGATTTTTGTATTCAATTTAAATTGCCACAAAATTGGAAATAATTTTGGATTAATGGATTAATTCATAAGTGAAGATTCTTTTCTGTTTTTGTGTGGGGTGGTGGGGTGGGGTGGGGTGAGGTTATCACGTTCGCATGTTAATTATCTCGCAAATATTTCAAATAGCCAGACACAAATGCTAATTGAAGCAGCAACGAGAGAACGGGCGTGGTGGGGGGACGGTAAGGAAGATGTTTTTTTTTTTGTTCGTACCTTAAGCGTGGCCTCTGATGTGACACGCGCCACCTTTAATCCCGGTTCGGGTGAATCGTGTGGCCACAATCGCACATAGACAGCAATGCCGGAGCTTTGGCCACCGCGCGATTTGCTGCGCTTTCCGTTGCTCCTGGCCGTATGAACGTTGTTGTTGGTGGCCAAGGTGGAGAGTGTGTTGGTGCTGGAACTGCAGCCGGCGGTCAGTGTGGTGGTGGCTGTGCAGGTGGAGCTGGCCATGCTGGCACCACTATTGCTGCCGCCAGCGATCATGCCGGTGCCGCCCATGCCACTGGGTGGATCCTCGTTGGGCAAATGTTCGACTACGGCCGTAAACTGTTCGGTCATGTAGGTGGGGGCCAGGTGGCAGATCTGATGGATGTAGTGCCACTTCAGCTGTGCCGGCGTACTGCTGGAGTTTTCGCTGAGCTTGCGGAAATACTCGCAGATCTTGGGACCCACGAAAAAGAAGTGCGCATTCCACAGACTCTTTGGCAGGTACTGCCGCACCGCACCCTCGATGGCGCGGGCCGACAATTGCTGCTCCTTCAGGTCGATCAGCATGTCCATGACGGCCAGCCCCGTCACCTTTTCCTTGTGCTCCGGATACCGGATCTCGGCGATGTGCTCGTGCAGATTATCGAAGCGCATCTGCCAGTAGAGATACTCGTGACCGTGCGCATCAATCCTGTCCAGCTGGCTGTCCAGCTCGGGCACACGGAAACGCATGCGAAAGCAGTACCGGACATGGCAGCTCAGCTTCTCGCCCGGCAGCACCCAACTGTGCCCGTAGCTGAGCAGCTGGGCCCGCGACGAGCGACGCGTGCCGAGATGCTCCCGAATGCCGAAGAGTAGCTGGGCCGTGGGCAGGATTTCCAGTTTGCGGCACATGGCCGTGCAGATCTCCTCGCAGAGCATGAGCGGCGAGAAGCGATCGAGCTCTTTGCTCTTGTAGTTGTAGACGTGAATGAAGCCATCGTCCTGATGGATGCTCTGGCTGGAGGTGCCGCTGTTCAGCGAGTTGTTCGTCAAACTGGCGTTGTCCCCCAGCGATGTACGCCCACTGCTGCTGTCATCCATGGTCCCGTCCCCTACACTGCTGTCCCTGTCCCTGTCCCTGGCTCTGGTCACCCTCACCGTCCCCGTCGTCGTCGTCGGTGGCACTCGGTGCACTATTTTGCATCCAAAATGGGAACCGTCCCCCGGTCGCTGTTGCCCGCCTTTGCGCGCAGCGTCAGCAGTTGGTATACGCGCGCGGCCCCAGAATAGAAACGGGCCAGCAGCACAACTTAACTTTAACTTTAACTTCAACTCTGCAGCTACAACAAAAAACAAAAACCGAAATCGAAATCGAAACCGAAATAGAAGCGCAACAAATTAAAGCTTAAACTAAAAAAAAAAATATACGTTCGATTCGATGCGTTGATGCCGTTCCTTTATTTACTTTGCCCGATTGCAGGGTTTTATTATTTTTATTGCATCGCCTATGAGCGCGCAGGAGGCAGAGGCAGTGGAGGCATCATCATCCGCGAGCCAAAAAAAAAGCACGAACGAAAACACGAATGCAGCAAATCACACACAAATATTTTTTTAATGTTTTTAATAGAGATGTCAAACCAAAGAGCACTATCGATAGTTTTCGATATTTTGCTGCTAGCCTCTACTATAGATTGTTTTGAGACTATCATGATAGTATCGAGCTACAGTCGTTGCGCTTTTGATATGTTTGGATTGGCTGCTATAAAATACGAAGACAAATTTGTAAACAAATCGACATTAATATTTACAATGGACAAGTTCGTAAAAGGTTTCAATGGTTTTTTAATAATTATTTGAACCCGATACTATTACGATAGTATCGATTGTTTTTTTCTAAACATTCAAAGTTGATATTCCTCGATTTTGATATTCCGTTTAATATTACTAGCTAATTGGCCCTCTCAGCGCTAAACAAATAATTTTATCCGATAGATGCATAAATCTTCTACAAGATTGGTAAGTTTTCAAAAGTCCTTATTATTGCATTATTTTCATAAAAAGGTTCAAACAAAACCGGCCAAAGCATAAAACGTAAATATTGCTGGTCAACAAAGTTTCTTCTATGCGTATGGACTTTTGCATACCTTACTTCTTTTAATTGATGTTAATTGTTTTTTTTCAAGCTGCTATGAAACATTAATTTGATTTTGTCCTAGATTGACATGTTTTTACCTAATAATGAAAATGTTTTGGGTATTATACATACATTTATCCCGGTTCTGATACCCATTATTGGTACCCGTGATCTGCAAACTTTCGTTAATACCTTGAAAACAGAGACTGAGTAGTTTCTGCATTAATTGGAGCCTGAAATTACAAACAATATCTCAAGCCCATAATATCCATTTTCCCAAGGTATGCAGATTGTTGCTCATTCCGTGCCAAAGTTGCACAGCAATGTTGCAATGTTGCAATGTTTCCCATGTTGCTGAAAAATCTTTTTTGAGTCTTTTTGAGATATTATTCTCTTCGTATTTTAGTATTTATAATAAAATCTTATCATTTGAAAAAAAATTCATATTAATTATTTAATATAATAATATAGCCTTAATATTTCATTATATGATAATCCATCTCCAGATTAAATATACTTTATATGCTGTTCGTTACAGCATTTTACAGCACTAACATAGCAGCCCTGGCACTTGCCATCGGCGAACTGTGTGGCAACACTACAACTACAGCCATACCGACAGCATTTATATAACCTTAAAACCACAAATTAAAATTCAATTATTGTGACACTCTGATTTTTGTTAACTGAAAGCTAAACGTGAAGCGCCCACAACAACCAGGCCAAGATGTCAGATTTCGAGACCGACTTGACCAGCAACGACAAGGAGCTGCAGGAGTTCCTGATGATGGAAAAACAGAAGGCACAGGTCAACGCACAGGTATGTTGGAGGAGCGCGCGCCCCAATCTGATCAAGCATCTAATGCCAATGCCAATCCCACAGATACACGAGTTCAACGAGATCTGCTGGGAGAAGTGCATTGGAAAGCCCAGCGCCAAGCTGGACAGTGCCACAGAGACGTGTCTGAGCAATTGCGTGGACCGCTTCATCGACACATCGCTCCTTATCACACAGCGCTTCGCCCAGATTCTGCAGAAGCATGGTGCGAACGACATGTAAGGCCGGAGAGGAAGCTTCCATTTTGGCAGCCGTCAGCGGACCAAAAGGACAGGACACTCTCTTCGCTTCCCTGCTCTGTCTTGCGGCTGCCTGCACCCAATGTCCTACTGTTAAAACTATTTTTAAAAAATTATCATGTAAGAATATTTTTTTGATGTGTCTGCGGTTGAACGGACCCGCGCACACACAAGACACACCCCCCCCGTTCGATTGTGCAAACTTCCACAAATTGGACATGCCTCTCAATGGCCCAAGACAATTGCCGGTGCTCAATTTTACCCCTCTGCCAGCCGCCGTGCCATGTCTGTGGGCCATTTGGAGGAGGGACGACGACACGACCCCCAAAAGCCACCAGTACAACTTCAGTGTTCTAGTCCCGTGTATATAATAATAATATATACGTAAATATATGATCCTGTTGTTGGCTTGAAGCTATTTGCAACGAAACCAAAATAAATGCAATCTTTAAACATGGGGTGCGGTAATACATAAATTTCCATTTAGAGTTGGTTTTTTTTTTATTAGTTACAGTGAATGCTGTCCTTGGGCGTAGGAATTACACGAATTTGTACATTATATGCGTGCCAATCTATCTTAATAGTCGATATTCTAGTACATTCTCCTATCCTCTTAAGGGGTTTAAATGTGTAAATAAAATAAAATAATACTTTCGAATTGACCACCGCCAATTTATTACTATTTTCAAAATAACACGCCGATGAGTTTCGCTTATCGCACAAACATACCGATATTTACCAACTCTGCGCATCGATAAGTAGACTCAAAAGTTGGCGGTATATCTGGTGCCGATTTTCTCGATTTTTGTTGCATCGTTGCTCCGCCTTACGTTGCGGCAACATCTGCATGAACTTAAAACATCACAGCTGACGAATGAAATTGGCAACATTTGTTTTCCAGTCTAACAAATATCGCCATATATCGATATATTGAATATCCCTATTAAACTGCCTTGCCGCCCAGTAGTGAAAGTGGGGACAACAACAGAAAACAGAAATAATGTCGGAGTTTTCCCAAATTTAGAAAATTCCGTTGATATATGCCAAAAATAACGATTTTGATATTTTTGCCGAAAAAAATATCACCTACAAATATATTATCAAAAGAAGGAGGATATATATGCATATATCAATATTATTCGATAACAACCAACGCATGTCCTTTTTTGCCTGTGAGTGTGTCTGCAAATAGAAATAGTGCCTGTGCCCGTCTAGCAGTGCCAAAGCGCTCTCGTGTCCTGTAATCGAATGCTGGGCGCAGGGGAAATACGGAAAATCAGTAAAATTCAAAAGGTCGGTCTCCCCCGCCTTTATACACGCGCTCCACCGTTTCGAGTCGTCCGCCCAGGATAATATGTAGAGACCAACACCAACACACACACGTAGTACCGTTTTTGGAGTTCAGTGCGTGGTTTTTTTGTTGGTTTTTTTTTTTTAAATATGTAATACATATACATATGTACATTGTGTGCGTGTGTGTGTATGCAATGTCCATGTGGGTTGTTGTAATTGTAAGGGATGTTGTTCCTGTGCGGCAGCGCAAATATATTCTCGTGTATAAAAAAAAGAACCAGGAAAATCAAATAATTACATGCACATGTATCTGTATCTGTATCTGTGTGTGTGTGTGTGAAGAGAGGTGACAGTTACACTGCACTGCACATCAGCCGCCGCAAGCCATTTAACGGCAAAACTAGCGCAGTGTTCGTGTTCATGTTGTGTATGTGTGCTTTTTTTTTGCACGTGTATGAGTGTGATTTATGTGAAATTTAGTATTTAAACTGCAATTGCACGCACACATCGGTATTCATGTTGTGCTGCTGCTGCAGCAGTGTCAGTGGAGCGTTTATAATTCAAACGGACTTGACAGCATCAGCAGCGTGGTGGAGAGTGAGCGGTTTTTTTTTTTTGAGTGTATGTGTGGGTGAGAGGAGCAGAGACAGATCATTCATCAGTATGCGTGTCGGAGCAGAGCAGAGCAGAGCATAGCCAAATATTTGTATTAATAATTTTACAATAAAACAAGAGCAAAGCGGCTCTCATTATCCCTCCCTCTCTCTCTCTGTCTTGTTCTGTTTTGCATACATAAGTATGTACATAGTATGTATTATTCAGTTTCATCTTTTTTTGTGGCCTGGTCTATAAATAACACTAATACTAAGTAATGTAGCGTTCTGCCGTGCGCGTGGTACGGGACTGCAAAGGCATAATTATGCTCGCTCCGTCTGTCTGTCTCTCTTCTGGCCCTCTGCTCTCTTCAATAATTAATTACGTTTATCTGAGGCAAAGGCTTACTTACGTACACACATCGCTTACGGTTACGGTTACGGTTCGACCCAATTTCGGGTTTTAACGAAACTGTCGGATGGACGGACAGTGGCAACACCACCACCGCCACCACCACAGATAAAAAGACCAAGCCACCAAGCCACGCGACATGTCAAGGTCAGGAGGCGCCCAGGCGAACATCAATCCGTGTAACGGAAAATAGATATGTGTGTGTGTGTGTGTCGTGTGTTTGAATATTTATTGCATATGGGGCTGCTGCTGTCCTGTAAGTGTGAAGCATACTTTTCTGCGTTCGCACCTGCATCTCCTGCAGCGCACGTGTGTTTTTTTTTTGTGGGTCTGTATGCGTGCACCATAAAAATAGGCAATACACACAGACACACACAAGCACACATCACACGGACACATTTAATTATACGTCCTGATGTCTAAATAAAAGAGCTCCCAAAACACATTAAAAATAGCAAACAAATGACGCACATACTCTAGTACATAATGTATGGAAATTTACATACATATATATTCGTGTATATGTACATACGTATGTACACAATGAAACGGTAGTTCATTTATGATTTATAGCATTGCCGGAGGATAATAATAATAATAACCGTAATAACCGGTACGTAATGCCTCAAAAGGTGATTGAACTTTACCGTTGCCATCGTCGTTACCGTTGCTTCTACTTCTTCTTCTTCTTCTGATTCCTCTTGTTCTTATTCTTGTTATTGCACGCTGTCCCGTTCCCCCATTCATGCCCAATAGGCTGCTCTCTTTGGACTGCTCTCTCTCTCTCTCGCTGTCTCTCGCTGGCTGGGCACTTGATAGACACAGTGCCTGCCATGTGTATATTGACCCCACTGGCAATTCGATTGTTTTAAGTAATATGCGTCACAATATTAATCAAAGTTTGTCCCTGTCGGGGATTGCGTGCTAGTGTGTGTGTGTCTGTGTGTGTGTGTTGCCGTTAGTGCTTTTTCGAGTGGTTGAGTGAGCCAGCTAATAATGAAGCTAAAATACATTAGCCAAGGCAAGGTTGCCCTCCCTACCCCCCCTCAAGCTGTCTTGTCCATCAACTCGAATACAGGAGGAGCAGCAGGCATGACATCCATTAAACTCACACACAGACGGCAACGCACACATGCAACGCTAATTTAAATGCCCGTATGACACTCACCTAGAACCTTATTCAGAGTGAGAACAACAAATAAACTTAGTCGCGAAATTATTTCCACGCTGAGGCATAGGAATTATCTAGCCATCAATGCTAGATGCGTCAGTGGATCTTAAATCTTTTGAAATCAAATATTTCAGCTACTATTCCATTACTTAATTTGCTCTGCAAAAGAGAACTTATAGTCAATAGTTTCATAGCCTTTATCCGTTCGGTCAATAATGTTTCAGCAAGTGTCATACAGGCATTGGGCAAGCAAACGACGACTGAGAATAACCGTTCGTCGGCTCGCTCTCTCGTGAGAGAGACAAAGAGAGCGGAATGAAGCAGCTGAGCAGCAGCGGCAGCGGCAGCAGAAGCTAGAGCAAAGCACCGTTGCCTCAGTCATTTTTTTTCGGTGAGGGGGTGAGGGTGTGTGTGTGATGAGCTTTGAGCATTGAACTGAGCATTTGTGGAGCGTGTGCCAAGGAGCGGTGTCTGTCTAAGACGTGTGATTGCACCTGTGCATGTAACAAGTAACGAACGGTGCGGTGCCCATCAAATGTGCTGTGCTTGTGACACGTTGAACTTTCTGCCAATGCGTGAACAGGACAATTTGAACTATCCGGCCCAAAAGAATGTGCAATTTTGAATTTTCCTCTGGTGTATGAAAACGAGTGAAATAGATTATTTAGAGCAGCCAAAACACACACAAACACACACACACATGCATACAATACGTATACGTATTTTCAGAGCAAAACGAAAATAATAAAACATAAGAAAAACCAAGCAAAACGAAACGCAAAATAAAATAAAAGAAAAACCCAAAGCCAAAAACAAAACCAAGCAAAACGAATTAAAATAAAAGCCAAAAGCACAACAATAGCCCGCCGCCGTGAAAAGATCTCGACTCGGACAAACAAAATATTTTGTTCGGGACCGACCGAGAATTTCGACATCGACGCGACATTCTCTCAAAATATGAGTGCTCCCTGCTGCCCAACCCCAACCCCAACCCCCCTCTGTTTCTTCTCTGTCTAAATAAATACAAAATACAGTTTTCGCTGTTGCCACCAGCGTCAGCGTCGTTGTCGTCGAGACAAATGCAATCGGAAGCGCATTAAATTGCATTTGTGTTGGTGTCCCACTGCCAACGCCACTGTGTGTGTGTGTGTGTGTGTGTCAGAAATTGCAATTTTTTTTGTATATTTTTTTTTTGTATGATTATACAATCGCCGGTGTGTTCCCCAAAATCTCAAACGAAAAAAAAAACAGCACAGAAAACGACTTGAAAACTAATTGAAATTTGTTTGTTGATTGCAAATAAGACTCAGAAACAATCACAAAATCAAATGGAATCTGTTTAGATTTCAAGCACTACTAAAAGCATTTTTTAATGTACCGCAAAACCTTGAAAAATTCGTTGGTTCTAAAACATTGAAATTGTTTTCATTGGAACTAAATGTTTCTCTTGCGATACATTTTAAAATATTTGTAGTTTATGCTGTCTAAACATTTTTTTTTCATTTCTTTGATACAATTTGTGGAGCAGAATGAAGCTTGTCTCAGATAAAACATTTGCCTAGGGAAATCTTTATTTGTTAGTCATCAAAACGTTGGACGAGAACTTTAAGATCTCATTCACAAAGTTAAATATTTAATAGGAAATAAGGATTATTGCTGCTCCAAGAATTCTAGGAAAATAGTGTCCTCTTCTCGTAATTCTATATAACCATTACTGGCACTGTACTTTGAGAAATTTCCACAGATTCCCCTGTTGGGGGATGTGTCTTCAATTACCCAGCAAAGCTGAGCTCTCTTCTCTGAGAGAGTTTTAATTTTTTTTTATTTTTTGTATATAAATACCACTATAAGAAATATTTAATTAAAAATGCTAATGCCTTTGCCTTTTAGATGGTGACGGAATGAAGTGAAATCCCCATGCAAAATCGAAGAAAATCGAAAAGGAAAGAAGCGATCAAATGAGTATGAGAGTCGAGTGCCTGCCGTCAGAGACGTAGTGTGGATATTTTTGTTGTTGTTGTTTTGTGTGTTGTTGTACAGTGTAATGGCCAGAACAGATCTCTAAGCGAGAGAGAGAGAGAGCGAGACAGATAGAGATAGAGCGAAAAATCGCGAGAGCTTATTACATACAAACAAGAAATGTGAGAGAATAAACACAATAAAACTACTGAAAGAAATCTGCAAAACAAACTTCGATTGAAAGCCAAAAAAAGAAAAGAAGAAACAAACGACGACACGGTATATTTTGTACATAAAACAAGACACAAAACCAAAACAAAAACACGACACCGAAATTCATTCATGGAATGAGCAGTTGCGGGTGCGTGCAACACGAAATTAATCCAATCCAATAATCGTAAAAGCGAGGGATTAGCCATATTAATGTCTATATCTTGATAAGTGCCCACCCCCCATACACTCCACTGCACATACGACGAATACGACGAATATAACTGTGGAAAGAAAATATACTCAAAATTACGGCATACGCTATAGAGATTACGGCAGCATTGGACTACACTCAAAGCAACTGCTGCAGCACCACCGCCAGCGCTGCCGCTGCCACAGCCGCCGCCACCACAGCCAACAGCATCCATAGCCATAGCCATAGCCATAGGAAAAACTGCAACAGCAACAGCCACAGAATGCCAGTGAAAAAGCAAGGTAAGCTAAATACTCGTAGCTCGCAGTAAAGCACGGAAATGTTGTTGCCATTTGTGTCTGTTTCTGTATACGAGTATTCTTACCCTTCCTTTACCCATCCTTTACCCATCCTAGCCAGCTCTATCTCTGGCTCCTTTCCTGCTGGTTTTCATCATTCACGCTGCGAGAGTATTACCTGGCAAGTCCAGTGCGATTTTGAATACAGTGCCGACCCTCTGTACCCCTACAGTAATCCCTATGCCAACCGCAAAGCAGCTTATGTGGGGGGTAAAGTTTTCTACAACAAAAAGTATACAGCATGCAGATGCAGAAATGCGAAAGTATCTGGGCAATTAAAAAACTCTTTTTTTGTTGCAGTTTGTAACATTAAATTGTGTTAATTGGGGGCTTAAAACGAATTCATACAAATCCGATATAATGATGTGTGTGTCTTCTTTTTTTGTATACAAATTAAACGAAATTTATTTGAGATTCCATGAAGCCTGTTCCTTGTTCCATCATTTTAATTGACTTTACCAATTTTATGCATGTTTTTTGCGTGACTTAATTCAGTTTGTATTTTATGATCCATTCAGCCAGCCACTTATGTACTTATGTATGTATTTAGGTTGAATATAATTGAAGCATTAAGTGATTCACTCTTGGGAGATATGCAACTCCCTCTTGCCCCATAGCTTTTCTTTAATAATATTTATTGTATAATAACAAAAATATTATCATAATTTCGAGAGCTGTACAGCAGTTTTCGCAGGAACTTTTGGGGGGAATATATATGTATGTAAATATGTATGCATGTATGTATTTTTTGTATGCACTCAAAACACTCACTCATTCATTCGCTTGGGTTTCAAATTCTGAGTAAGCATTTTGCTTGGTCTGCCTGCCCCTTCCTTTTCGAACCTTTCCTTGGCATCAGATTTCCGATCATTGGCAGCGTTTGTTTATGCTTATTCGTATGGCAGCAGTAAGCAAAAGCATCAAGAAATAGTAAACAAAAAAAAAAAGGAAATAAATAGGAAACAGGAAAACAATTACAAGGGGCAAAAGTCTGATGATTAATGCATTCGTTTCAAGAACATAATTTTAGTGTTAAAAAAAGAATACTTAAATAAAAAATGTTTTACATTAATTTTCAAGTGATTTGTACATCTAGGAAAGGTCAAGAAAAATCCCTCGAATAACTCTGCTTTGTATTATGTTGGAAAGGCTTGCCTTTGGGTCTGGGTCTGGTCTGGTCTGGTCCCATTGCCGTTGGCATAGCTGGCAAAAACCGTAAAATTGGGAAGTGAATTTGGGATATATTTCTCAATATTCTCATTTTGAGTCATCATAAAAAGGCAATTCAAGCGACAGAGACAACTATTCAGAGGAGGGCAGAGATTGCCAAACAGCAGCAGCCTCCACGGCACAAATGTACAGAGTGAAGGTCAACGTCAGCGTCTGACGCGTGCTGCTACAGATACAGATATACATAAACTACATATATGTATCTATTGAGTAGTAAAAAGTATCTGCTTGTGTACAGATTTTGATTTGTTGTAATGTCGTGTGGTGTATAATCAAAAATTGTGTGACTCGCGACCATAATAATAAATAATGTGTTTAATTTTTATTTTGGCAATGCGACAGATGACAGAGAGACGACGACACCAGGCCCACCAGACACAGGGCTAGAAAGGGGGCAAAAACTATGCTTAAATAACGAGCAGAAGAACTGTGCTAAGAGCACAGAGCACAGAACACAGAACACAAAAATCGGAAGCTCAAAAGGCATACGTAATTTTAGTCAATCTTTATTGATTTATTGGCGGGCCGCCGCCTCGGTACACCTATTTTTTGTACCATTTTGCGGCGATATATTGGGGGGGATATTATATAGCAAAAGACTCTCGGTCGGACACAGTCCAGTGCGGTGGTTCGACCTGAAGAGTGGCTTGCTTGGCTTTCAGCATGAATTCGGACACGGACTCGGGCTCTGAGCGTGAGAAGAGCAGCGATCCCAACGAGGGTTTGCTCAGCAGCGATGACAAGACTTTTCACGACGACGATGATGAGGGGGAGGATGAGGAGGATGATTCCTCGCCAGCCGATGATGAGGCAGAACCGGAGGAGGAAGAGTCCCTGCTGCCAGTGCAGAAGCAGAAGGAGGAGCAGGTGGATAGACGCATAGACACAGCCCCAGCCCCAGCCCCAGGCCCAGGCCCAGTGGTTGTCTTGCTGCAAACTGCTGAGGAAGCCATAGAAATGCCAGAACAAATCGATGTGAAAGTCGCTGAAGCCTCAACCATAGCATCAGCATTGGTGTGCGAGGAGCAGCCTGGAGTTGTGCTGCAGAGTGCGGAACTGGAACCAGAACTGGAGCTGGTGGAACAGGAAGAGGAACAGACGCCCCTTAAGTGTCCTTCCTCGCTGCGAGACAGTGTACGCGAGTCGATCGAATGCTTCTACTCGGCCCAGGATCTGCTCGAGTACGGCCACATGCTCTCCTCGACGGCCGCCGAGCAACGGACACCGGACGTGGAGTCCGGCTATTTTGAGAAATCCGAGAGCGATGCCTCGCGCGACGAGTGGGAGGCGTCACCCAGCGCAGGTGCCGCCCGCTCCCGCCTTCTGCTGTCCGCCTCGCCCTCCTCCACCAGTCGCAACAGCTCCGACAGCCTGCGCATGGAGCTGAGTCGTTTCCGGGCCATGATCGAGACCCTGGAGCGAGAGAGCCTGGCAAAGTCGCAGTCCGAGCAGCAGTTGCATCAGCAGCAGGCCGACGCCGCCGCCGCCGCCGCCGCCACACCAAAGAAGGCCAAGCCCAAGCCAAAGCAGCGCTCCTCTCAGCCGGCGGGACCGCCCGGCCTGGCAGCAGAGCAGCGGGGCTTCTGGTCAACGGTGTTTGGCGAGGCCGGACTGGAGCTGGGGCAAAGCCAGGAGGAAGACGAACGCATTGCGGATATACAAAGTACGGGGTGGTGAAAAAAGAATTAACAGAAGAACAGCACAGCTGGGAACAAATTGGGAGGGAACTAAGGATCGGTTATTGCAGAAAATCTCTATTTCATGTGCTTCCTATATTTTGTTGTATATTTAATTGAATTTATCTAATGGATTTCCTCACTTTTTTTGCGATTACTTGCAGAAGCTCATCGCGCTCTGGAACTGCTCGAGGACTACCATGCCCGACTCTCCGAGCCGCAGGATCGAGCGCTGCGTATTGCAATCGAACGCGTTATTCGCATATTTAAGTCTCGCTTGTTTCAAGCGCTGTTAGGTGAGTAATCTGCCCCTCCTGCCTCATCACCTAATAATTACGTTTAGCATATATTAAAATAAATAATTAAAATAAGCAAACAGGACTCTCCCTTCAATGATTCCATGCAGGACATATTCTCCATGCATTTTAGCATCTACAAGTAATTTATTTCAATCGAAATCGATCTATAATCGATCTCCATTGATGTTATAATATAAAATGAAATTTTATTTGTGCTGTTTTATCGATTAAAACATCGAATTATCGATGGATTGTTCGGTTCCTTTTTTTTTAGCTATAAAATCCAATCCAACATTTTTTTTTTTTGTGTTTTTTGTGCAAGAATTAATCGAACTGGAAGAAGATCCCGTTGGTAGTTGTTCCGGTCTGGCTGTGCTGTGCCTGTGCCTGTGCCTCTGCCTATCGTCCAATCGATATTTGGTTGTCGTCTTTTCATTTCTATTCTTCTTTTGGGCTTGAAATTATTTCCACTTGACAGCGAAGGAAACACACAACAACGAAAACAGCCAGAAGAACAGAGAGAGGGAGAGAGAGAGAGCGATAATATTGCATAGAGGATTTGGGTCAAAACACAGCCCAGGCAGAGCAGAGCAGAGCAGCGGAGACCAGCGGAGAGCAGAGCAGCGCAGTCACGGTCGCAGCTTGTCGCTTGAGTGTGCTCCCCCCCTCCCCCTCCCAACCCTCGGGCACCATTCGTATTTGGGTTGGTTTGGGCAGGGCGGGGGGCAAGGGGTAGAACCTCTGACATTCGTTTGCCGGGTATCCATCCATTTTGAGGGGCAGGCGGCCGGCCATTGTGTCTGCTCTGTGGGACTCTTTTTCTTTATTTTTGCCTGTTGTATAATTTGCAAAAGTTTGTTCGCTCACTGTCTATGCCTCTGCCTGTGCCTCTGCCTGTGCCTCTGCCTGTGCCCTGTGCCTGTGCCCTGTGCCTTGTGCCCTGTGTGTGTGTCTGTACTGTGTGGCATCATCATCATTGTCATCGTCATCATTCTCATGGGGTAACCACTGTGTGCCGCCACCGATGCCGATGTCGATGCCGCGTGCCCCGTCAGGCAGCAGTTGCATAATCCGTTTCGTAGCCCCACCATATCTAACATTTCGAGTCGATACCTTCTCCTCGCGGTGCTTCTTCCTTGCTCCCTCTTACTTTGTTACTGATTCTTCTGCTGCCTCCCCCTTTTTTTCTTCTTCTTGTAAATTTCTCACTTTGTTGTTGCTTGTTCTTCTTTGTGGCACTTTGTTGGTGGTTGGGTCCCTACATCTGGTTGGGGATACCACTCTCTCTCTCTCTCTCCCTCTCTGTCCTCTCTGTTACAGTTACTTCTGTTTGTTTCCGTTTATACGAAAGACCATTTTGTGAAGAATTTTTCATTCTATATTTTAATTCGTAATTATCCTTAATTTGTGTTGGTACATCAAACATGATTTATTCCGTAAATAGTTAATAGCTAACATTTGAATCGTTAAGAATAATCCACATAATGATCCAAAGCGGCATAGTCTTTAAATATTAATATAAATTAATATAATTATAATGGTAAATATACAAAGTTTGCCTAGGAACAGGCCTTGGGAGATTCTAAATTAAATTGATAGACTTAAATATGAATAAAAATATTTAACAAAGTATTTACAGCATTGTGAAATTTAACTTAATTTAAAATAATATTTATACATAGCTAATTATGACCCAGTTAATATTTGTTTTTTTATTGGTTTTATTTTTATTTTATTTTATTTACATATTTATTTATTATATTTTTTTTATTGGTTTTATTTTATTTTAAATGCTTTTTTTGTACGTTTTGCTGTAGTTATTTTTATGCTTTATGCTTTATATTTTGTATATTTTATATTGTGATGCAAATTTCAATTTGTTTTCGGTACGAAAATTGGAGTCAAGCTATAATTATTATTAAATTATATTTATTATTAAATTATATTAAATAAATTTATTGAATTTATTAAATAACATTTATTATTGAATTATATTTATTATTATATTATATAATATTATATTATTATTATTAAATTATATTTAATTATTGAATTATATTTATTATATTTATTCTTACATATGTGCTTTAAGGCAAGAAAAAAGTACTGAAAATGTACTCGTACTTATCATGTCCAATAAGGATGTCATTTTGTGAATTCATCGGGGGATGGGAGGCATACACATGGCACATGGAATTGTGTTGTCGTGTGCGTATAAACATTGTTACAGTTGTGCTGTGTGCTCTTCTCGTGTCAGAAATATTAAACGAATGACAAACACACACAAACACACATAGGAAGAGCCACAGAGGAGCCGGGGAGAACAGAGGAGAACATAAATAAAGTGAAAAAAGAAGTGGGAGTGGGAGGAGAATAAGAGCTTTTTACTTGCATGCGTGTGAGTGTGAATAGACTCTGTGAAAATAATTAACATGGCATTAGCCCACAGAGCCGCAGAGCCACAGCAGCAGAAGCCTCAGCCCCAGAGCCACAGCAGCAGAAGCCTCAGCCACAGAGCCTCAGCCTCAGCCTCTCCCACTACTTATTTAAAGAATTTCCAATCGCATGACATGGGCATCAACTGCATGGGAAATCAGCTTGAGGCTTGAGGTAAGCCCTCTCCCCTTTCTGCTCTTTCTTCTATTTGCCATTGAGCCATGTTCGAAGCAGCTTACGGATTGTAGAGGCTTTTCCTAGGTGGCTGGGGGGTGGCTCCAATTGACACTTTGCATCTCAATGCTCATGGCAGCAACTGCATGAGAAAAAGTTCTGCTTGTGGCTCGATTTAAGCTGGGTAGTTCCTTGACGAATAATGGCTTTTTTTTTCCTGCACCCTTTGAAGTGAAGTGTTTGGAGATTTGCGAGGCTTTGGGCAACAACGGAAGCTCGATAGGAGCAAAATGAAAAATTCCCTGTGCACCCATTTCAACCGTTTCTGGTCCACAGTTGCACATGAGGGAGAGCGAGAGATAATGGAGGCTCGAGGGAGGCACCGCTCTTGGTATGCTTAAGTTTCTTGCTTTTTTGAGCAAGCTGATGGAGTGGCACTTGGTGCTTGTACTTGTCGTAGCTGATAAATGAATGCCAACTAAATGAAATGAGTTTTGCACTTAATATTCAACTTAAATTGAGCAAATTGAGTGCAAGACCTAGAGAGAGAGAGAGAGAGAGAGAGCGCGAGAGTTTAGAGGCTTGCTCGACTTATCTCCGCCTCAATGTATACACTAAAAACACTGCACTTAATACAGACCCAAAATCGACTTGAAATTTGTCAATTTTAAGCTTCAAAATTAACAAAAAAAAAAAAAAAAAAAAAAAAAAAAGAAAAAAAAGAAAAAGAAAAAAAAAAAGGAATTTGTAGTCAAGGAATTTGACTCTTTTTTTATGTCACAGGTGCAGTCCAAACACACACACACATAAACACCTTTGTAAGCGGAGATGCTTAAAGTTCATGCCAACAATTGACACTCGAGAGAAAGCCAAAAGTGGAAGCCAGAGGCCACAGGAAACAGAAAATGATGAATGAGTGGGTGGGTGGGGTTTGGGGTGGGGTGGGGTGGGGTTAGCATGTGCAGGCCAAAATCCGAATTTAATTGGCCTAGAATTCGGTTTATCTCTGACTGAGACCTGGGCTCTTCAACACACACGAACACATCTGGGGCCTGGGTATCGATTTTCAGGAGCCTCCTCAACGAGGAGCAGAGGGCAAGCGATGGGGGCCACAGGGCGAAGAAGAGGTAGATTGAGTTTCATCATCTGTTGTTGGCCAGCAGCAGAACCTCCCTGAGCTCACCTTCCTTCCTGCCTGCCTGCCACCCTGCCCCCGAGGGCTATGACATTGGCATTCGGCTGAGAAGAGCTGAAATGTTGGCAACACAAAGCACCAGCAGGCAGGCATGCAGCCAGCCAGCCAGCATAAAGCATAGAGCAGAGCCAGGAGGCCAGGAGCAATCCATGGGAAACATTCCAAAGCAAAAGCATTCGATAACTCATTTTGGGTTCAAGTGGCTCTCAATCGATTGCATAACAGCAGACACAACTTTTGTTTTATGTTCAAAATTAAATAGAAACCCCTTTTAATATATGACCTTGCCCGCGACATCTCTTTCCCAGTGAGATAATTCAGATAATTCGCTTATGCTTTTCGTTAATTTAGGATGGAGTAACGAGGGCCCCAGCAGCGTGCAAATGTGTTCCTTAAGGAGACTTCCATTGCCAGCTCCAAGTTGCCCAAATAAATTCAAACATTTCCTGCTCTGCTTGCATCAGAAAAACTTACATGCAGACACCATTACGATAAGTATATCCCTGTGTTAGGCAGCCAACAACAGTAGGGGGTCCGTGTCGGGGTCCGTGTCCGGGTCCTGCTCCGTCCTGTACCGCCACAGTGTCTACACATACTCGTATGTTCTGTACGCTGAACATTTCAATGGGAGATCCCATTTTCATACACAGCAAATACATATGTATTACGCTATAGGACCGTTTGGAATTCAATGCTCGAATGCTTTCCTTTTCCCGTTCCCGTTCCCATTCCCATTCCCCCCCTTCGATTCCCATTCCCATTCGCTTTCCTCAGATATTTTTTTGCTGGCAAGTGGCGCTGTCGTGAACAGGAAATTAAATGGGCGCCATGGATTTCGTTTCTCTCCCTGTTTGTTCAGTTTCTGTAAAGTTCAGCCTCGCTTCGGCTCTTTGCTGTTCTGTTCTGTTCAGTTCAGTTCGGTTCGCTTCGGTTCTATTCGATTGGATTCCGTTCCCCCATTTAGGCCACTCGACTACAAAACATATTGGCGATGGGACTGTTGACTGGCTGTGTGTGGATGGGGCATGGGGGATCGGGCCCGCTGTCAGTGCCCGGCGTCAGTGCGCATTGAAATGTGTGCATTTGAGATGCATTCTGACAGTTGCCTGATTTCCGCTGCTTGCTTTTGCTGCCGCACCAGCGCACTTGCCATCCCATCGATGCAGGACCCAGCGGGGCAGCCAGCAACTAGAGAGCGAGAGCGGGAGAGAGAGCTTTTTCAATAATCAACGCTAGCTAGAGATGAGCGCGTGATTATGACACTTGCTTAGGACTAGGGAACAAAAGTATTCCCCCCTAGTTGTGGGAATTACTTGAAAAAGAAACCTTTCAATTGTTGGATTAAAAGAGAAGTTAGAGCAAGAATTTCCTTACGGAAATTGTTTAGTAATAATAATTCTTTGTTTTAAGAAGTTTTTTCTGGTTTAAATAGCAAGCAAATTGGCTTATTATAATTATAATAATAAGCTCAAAACAACTAAGTAAAGAGAGCTAAATATGCAAATTATAATAATTAATTATATATAATTATAATAATAATTAATTATATATAATTATATTATATATTAATTATTATTATTTGCATATTTAGCTCTCCTTTACTTAGTTGTGTTTAGCCCACCACCTATGCATGTAACTTTTCTGCATATTCACGAGTGGTTCGGTTACACGCGTCGCGCGTCATGCGGCAGCTTCCCTCGGTCTGTTGCATTTCTGCCTGGAATTTGCACGTAGCAGACTTTGGCTTGCTTTATAAATTATTTATTAATTATTAATATTAATTTTAGCTGTGTTTTTATTTATTTAATTTAAAGTTCCATGGCTAAGATCTGCATAATCTACATCTGTATATTGATGAGTTTTTTCTGAGCAGAAACTTCTACATATTTGAGTTATTTTCGTTGCTTGGGGTGAAAAGTTTTCTGTTAATTAACTGTCAAAACTTTTCACGCCCATTATTATCCGCAGAAGTGTTTTTTGTTGCTCCAACAACTTGCCAAAAGTGTGCAGCTCAAAGGGTAGTTGGGTATTGTTGAACACTCTCTCCGAAGCTCAGGCAGTAGTCAGTCTCTGGGTAGAGTGAAGTAAAGTTTCAAGTGAGTGTCACAACCGCATGGGCGGAACTTATATTCCAGACACCTCCACATGCCTTGGGGGGCATGCCTGCCTGCCTGCAAGTCCCGTGGGGGGGTGGTGGACATAGCCCCGTTAGCGTTGCTGTTTATTTATTCATTCGGATGCATTCCACGTCGAACGTTATCTGTATTCAATGATTTCAACTTTATTAAGCACGTTGCCACTTGGGCCACTCACCGCCGCCATTGTTGTGGGGCATTCATTGTTTACTCAAGAATCAGGAATCTCTAATCCGGCTGTCTGTTGTCCGGCTGTCTGTTGTCCGGCTGTCTGTTGTCCGGCTGTCTGTTGTCGGGCTGTTGGATTGGCTGGCTTAAATGCAGGATAATGGGGGGATATTCTCTTCTCTATGTCTCTTCAACGCTTCTCCTCTTCAGTTCGCTTCAGTTATAAGTAAAAGGGGATAATCTAAGTTTGCCGAGTTGCCTCCAAGCAGATCCCTAAAGCAGATGGATGGATGACTACGGCGGGGCGTTTGCTCCGCACTCGTACTCGTGCTCGTTGGGTAAGTAACTCAATTAATTTTAATCGTATTCGAGCACAAAACTCATGAATTTTCTTGCTTACAGAAACTGAGAGCCTAAAATTGGGATCCACTGCATACGATGGGATGTCGGGATGTGCAAATCAAAGTCTAGCCAGAGTAAATGGCTCTACTCTCTACTCTGATGAGCAGAGCACAGCTCATGGACACACGATGGATATTTACAAGCCCGATCTATCTGGTGGCCATGCTCGGCAGGCCGCGTTCCCTGAACCCCTCCTAGTGGTCCGTAGCCTGCCAAGTCACCAGCAGCCTGTACGACGGGAGATCCGCCTCTATGGCGATCGTTGAGTACAGCCCCATGACCACTCCAAAGTTTACCTTTCTATGGCTACAATTCGTTTGCATAGGACACACGACAGGATTAACGTCTCAATGGAATGGAAAACATATTCTAAGATTTGTTTCTGTCTAAATGAAAGCGCAACCGATGGGATCCGACCTCTCTTAAATTTATGAAAAAAGAAAATTTTACTTATACATGGAACAATACTTATTGGGACACATTTATTATGTGTTATTCAAGTAATGAGTTTATAATATAAAATTATTTGTTATACTGCCTCTGGAATGCCCTCGAATCGGCGCACTATATTGTATTTTTAATAAATTGAATTGGAGGCAATAGAGGCATTCCTGGTACTACGATACATGCTCTTCCTCAAATGGTTCTATGTGTAGAAATAATCAAATGAAAACATTCCTAAGATGTTAACTAATGTTAACTATACATTTATATATGTAAATGTTTGCATTGTGAAACCAAAGATATGTATATAAATATGCAAATATCCTAAGGATACACTCAACACGTTTGCATTTAAATCTAACAATTAGTCATAGAAATCATAGAGATAATCTACAAGCCAGAAGAGCCAGAATTGAGGGCCATTCGGCTCTATGAACACCTGGCTTACAAGCACTTTTAATGCTAGGGAATACGCAGATCAAGTTTAAATTATGATATATGTGGGGATATGGGTATGCTGCATGTTTGCTCAGTTTTAAGATTTAATATTTACATTTAAGATAAATTTTCGCAGGCATTTAATTAATTGTTAATTGGTTTTTTTTATTTCATTTGCAGATATACAAGAATTCTATGAATTGACCTTATTGGATGACTCAAAGAGCATACAGCAAAAGACAGCAGAGACCTTGCAGATAGCCACCAAATGGGAGAAGGATGGTCAGGCCGTTAAGATAGCCGATGTAAGTGCCAAGCCATATAGAAAGTATATATATATACACTCAATATATACGTACGTATATACAGTGTGTGATTTTTTTGTTGTTTATTTTGGGTTGGAGGTTGTGTAAATGATGGAAGGAAAGGAGGAGTGGTGTGCCTTACATTTACCATAAATACATTCGATTTCAGATTTCCGTTTACCAAATTTCCAAATTTCCAAATTTCCATTACAAATATCATTAAACATGATTAATTATATTTATGGGTTTTTATGGTTTTTTGTTTGCATCATGCGAATCGATCATTTGGCTATTGCTTTAATACTCGCACCTCTATATGCTATATCTAAACAAACAATATCTGCTCTGGCATAACAGCTGTCTGCTCTACTCTATACTGTTCTCTATATATTCTTCTCTTCTTCCACTCCATGCTTACTACTACTACTACTACTACTACTACTACTACTACTTGTACTACTATTACTATTTACTGAAACTATGCCACACAGTTTATAAAGACAACAACAACAAATTTAAATCGCAATTGCGTCTATGAGTTTACCAACGATGCATCATCCAATCAGACAAATCAATCAGCACTCAATCAAAATCAAATTGTGAATAATATCAATACAAATGCCCAAGCGCATGCCGAGGCACTCAGCAGAACATTTAAAAATGAATTGGAAGAGATTTTGGTAAGATACATAAAAAACACAGCCATTATACATTAACATTATCCAATACCATACCATACCATACCATACCATACCATACCATACCATACCATACCATACCATACATACATACATCATACATTATACCATACATAGTACATCATTTACTAGTGTATAACTCTGCAATATCTAAGCTTTTTTTTTTCACTGAAATCTAAGCCCACATTTGTACATAGAATCGATTGATTCAGTTCTCATGTTCAGCTTTTATTTAATTTCACTTGCAAACATTTCAAAAACTGAGTTCTGAGATGAGTTCTGGAGCGGGGACTCGACTACGATTTAGTCTTAAATTATTGGAAATACTTTCTGGCACATGCAGCCACTGGGAACTACTTTACTAGCAGTCTGAAGTTATTTGTAAGTTCTTTAACTAGCTGTTGCAGCATTAGTGGCAAAGGGCTCTCGAGCAACAGGACACTGTTTTGGATTAAGTTTATCAAGAGTTAGTGCTAGTGTAAGAACAGTTGAGAGCAGCTTAGAAAGCGAACGAAATGGGCGAGATAAATAATAAGGAAAGAATCCTTTTTGCTTCACCCTCGCCAGACTCGCCCTGCAACAAATTGCATTCATGGTGCAAAGTTGAAGCTGATTTTTGCCTTATAAAAATCCTGTGCTAATTTCAGTTAGCTCTTTGGGCAGGTGCCGTGCGAAAGGCTGCGCCTGGCTGGCTACGAATTATAGCTATACTTGTAGATATCGGAAAGTTTCCAGGGAATTCGTAATTAAATCATGCTTCCCTGCGAGCAGTGCGGTTGCACGGGTGGCGCGTCATGCAGCAGCTGCCCTCGGTTGGCTGGGCAGGAGATGAAATTCTTGGAAATATTCTGCAACTAATTCAAAAAGTTTCCCTTCTGCAGTTTGCAGCTCAATTAAATGGGTTAATGGGTGGGTTAGGAGTAGGGCTGGGGGCACACTTGCTCGATTTGTTGCTCTTAAGGCTAACTAGGTCCTCGCCCCCCCTCCCCTGCTCTGCCCTTCATCTACTATTGTTTCACCCAGAGCTGAGCTAATTGAAATCTCTTGAACATGTCTAAGTGCAAAGAGCGGGCTGAAGGCGAAGGCATCCATCCATCTAACCATCCGTCCATCCAGTTGAATGTCCGCACTCGAGGTTGTCCATGGATAGGGAGGGCTTCAAGTGGTGGCTATGACAACGCTTATCCAATGCCCATTTCCTTTCCCATGGCTATACGCTGCACGTGCCAATGGTGCCAGCTTAGGCAGGCAGGCAGCATCAATCTCAAACTCAAACTCAGACTCAAAGCACTCTCCTCTCCTCTCTCCTCTCTGTGCTCTCTGTGCTCTCTGTGCTGTGTGATACCCAGGCCCCTCGGGCGTTAAGTTAAATGCGGCGCGCACAAATGAAAAATTCAGAAAAGTCGAAAATATTTCTATGCTGATAAGCTGCTTGCTCAACTCCTCAACTATACACTGGAATGGGCAAATGAATTTCCAACGAAGGAATATTTTGAATTTTGTATTTTGTTTATCGGTAAAATATGAGCCACTAGCTAATACGAAAAGTACGAGGTGCAAGATTTCCTGTACAGGATATGCACACTTTTTAAGATAGAGAGTCTCTGCAGTGCTTAGATATTTTATTGGTGAGCTTAAATATTATTAAACATATATATATTAATATTATTAAATATATATAAATTAATATTATTAAATATTATTAATATTATTAAGTGTGGCAGTGCTAGGGCAGGGCAGGACTTTAACTGCTTTAACTAGCTCGACGAAATGTCGCGGTGGAAAGGTAGGAAAGGAAAGGAAACACTAGCAGGGATATAGGCAAGGATGGGCACACTCGAAACCTCATTAAACAAGAATGGAAATGGCAAAAATCAAAATAATTAATTCGACTATTAGCTGGGAATATCAGCTATATGATATATGTATGATCCCTTTCTTTAACTGCAATTTTTGCTTTGCCAAAAAAATTAATTTTGACTTAAACAAACCAGAGATTCTTTGGGCATATATCAATTATATTTTGTTGAGGATCGGATCGGATCGGATCGGAGCTAACTCCTATCTCAGATCATCTTTGAAGGGGTATCCTGCGGGTCGTTGCCTCTGTGTGCTTGGCTGTGTGGCCTATGTACATATTTACATACATATGTACGTACGTACGAACACATTAAAAAGCTGAGACAAAGGTTCAGATTAACAACCTATTGCTCTCTCTCACTCACTCACTCTCTCTATCTCTCTCTCTCTCTCTCTCTCTCTCTCACACTCTCGCTGTGTCGTTTGCTTGTGGGTGGCCTGCTCCTTCTGGTCACGTCCCACGCTCATTCGTCTGGCTGCCTGCCTTGTTTGCTTCCCAACAAGCCTCCCGTTTCGTTTCCCGCCCGGGACATGCGTACTGCACGATAAACGATGAACGCTGAACGATGGCGAAATGTTAGAAATCGGTAAATGGAAAATGGTAAACGGCAAACGGCGAACGGCGAACGTGGGTGCTACCGGTTAAACGACGGTAGTCAGGCAGCGCCAGCTGTACGCTGTACCCACCGCTGGGTGCACAGTGGAACGCATCTGCTGGGAGGATCCATGGGGATGGGGATGCTGCTGTTATCAGAAGGGGGGGGGGGGTGGTGGGCCGGCCCCAACCAATGAACGATTACCCCAGGTTCTGCTGTCGACTTTTTTCCATTTTCTCTACGACTCCCCCCCCCGCCCCTTGCTATTTCTTGTTGTTGTTTTTGTTGAGTCTTTTGTTTTGCCTGGGAACGCCGAGCGAACGTTTGGTGCTTTCGGTTATTTGGTGTGTGGTGTGGGGTGTGGTGGGGGAGTGTCGTCTGGCATGCTCCCTGGCTGCGGGTGAGGGGGGCTGGGTGGGTGGTTGCCATGATGTGCGATTCGATTCCGATGGCGATGGCTGGCGAATGGCGAATGGGAGACGAGACGAGGGGCGAGGCGAGGCGAGGCGCGGCGATACTTATAGAAGGCAGGCAGGCGGCAGGCGGTAGTAACAGTCGCGCTGTCGACGTGTCGAGTCGTATTAAACTTTGCATAGCGGCGCGCGCGTCGTCTGTTTTGTCTGTCTGTCTGCCTGTCTGACTGTCTGTCGGTCCTGTGGCCCGTCTCTTCGTTTTACCTTTGATTCGACTTCGACTGCTGGTTTTTTTTTGTTTTTTTTAGAAGTGTGTGTTTTTGGGGGTGTGTGTGTGTGTCTGTGTGTAACGGTCAACGCATCTGATGCGGTTTTTAACCCTTGTATTATGGCCACTATTGCCAGTTGCCCCAGCTATCGCGTGTCTCCCTGCTGAAACTTATTCCTGCCACCGCGCGATGACTCTCTCTCTCTCTTTCTCTCTGGAGGAATGAGGTGGTTGGCCCGGCATATGCCCCCAACTCCCTTTTTTTTTGGCGCCAAAATGCAAACATTTTTACATAATTTGTAAGACAAAAATTTGTCTAAAAAAAAAAAAAAGAAAAAAAAATATAAGAAAGAAGAACAACAACAGCGGGCAGAAAGTATGCGGGGGGGTTGGAAAGGTGCTGGGGGTGTGGGATGTTTGGGCATTGTTTCAGGCAGGTTTCCAAATATTACGTATACGCCTTGGCCCGTGTGTCCGGCACTGCCTCAGGGCACTGCCGCCTGTTCAATATTCTCTTAACTTTTTAGTATGTTCTGCGTTGTGTGTTTTGCTTTCGCTTTTGCTTGTTTTCATTAACTCTCCTCCCACTGCAGCCCCCCGCATCCACCGCTCCACTCACTCACTCTTTGAATTTTGTTCCGAGTTTTTCATTCATGTCTGACGGACAAGTCCGACCCGACCCGACGCCTGGCATTGGAAAACATCGTTGAAGCAACAAGAAATAACAAGAAACGACCAGAAACAACAATATATCAATCTATTTCTTTTGGCAGCTTGTTTTTTTTTCTTTTTCTTTTTTTTTCTTTTTTCTTTTTTTTTTGTCTTTTAGAATTTCCCTCCGTTGTACGTCTTCGCCTTGCATACCTTTACCTTTCCGTTCTTTGCCGTCTTTCTGCCTTCATGCCAAATATCGTTTAGGCACCCCCCAAACCATCTGCTTCACCATTAATGCATATGTTGTGGCCCCCCCGCCGTATGCTGTATGTAAGAATGAAAAGAGATTGCCTTTCAGTTAGGGGAACATCATTATGATGCACAGCTCGAGATAGTTGCTAGCTGGAATACAGCTGGAAATTGTATCGCTGCTAAGGTTCAGCGCACAAATTAGTTCATTCGGCGTTCGGGGTTTAATTTTGACACCTTTTTTTTTTGGTTTATTTAATTTGAATATTTGCCTCGTTTTCACATGTTTTCTGTCCTATCTGCCAGATGTTCGTCTACTGAATAAATCAATTTTGCATCAGAACTAATTTTGATTTCATTTCAAAGTTGGCCCAAAATCCATTAAAAATAAAATTATTTTTATGAAAGGATTTCAGCTGCGCTTTTGATTAGAAAGTTAAGGGGGTTCCGTTATTAATTGCTGTTAGGGTTAGAGAGCAGATATTGGATGGGTGGAAGGATGAGTGTATGCAGCAGTGGGGCAGCAACTGTGGTGCATGTGGCACGGCCAGGGCGGAGGGGAAGAAAGTCTGCAACATTTGATCTATGCCAAGACAACAACAGGAACAACAACAACAACTATTTCTATTTTGCAGTGTGGCGCACAGATGTTTCAGCCAACTGTAAACAAAAAAAAAACACAAAAAAACAGCTCTTGAAGGGGGGGGGGGTGGGGATCTCACTCTCTCTAGCAAATGGCAGGCCTTGGCGTAAAATACTACGAGGAGTGTGTATGTTCGTGTGTGTGTGTGTGTGTGTGTGTGTGGGTGGGGTGACAGAGAGAGAGAGAGAGAGAGAGCGAGCAATTACTTGACTGAACCCAGTGGGTACACTGAGTAGCAAAAAAATTGAAATGGCAAACAGATTTCCATTTGATGTGCGTTCCACGGGAGAGAGAGAAAGGCGCCACATACAAACACTCCTACATAAATATAAACATATGTACACACATATGTATGCATATGTTATGTATATTCAGATACAGTATCTGTACACTCGCACGATAGAGATGTCGTGGGGGGGGGGCATCTGGGGGCGACCTTCCAATTCGCTTTGAGACATTCCCGCAGCATTCCAGGCTGCCGTGTACTGTGTACCCTGCTGTGGAACTTGTTGCTATCGTTTCGGCCTCCCCCCCGCACCACCACCACCAACCACCACCAAGCAACCAGCTCCCAGCGCCCAAGGGAAGAAGCAGGACTTTCGCTGGGTTGCTGCTGCTCTCCCCCGCTTAGATAGCGGGACTTTTCGTTGGTTTTGCAGCATTTACACTGGTGTTGTTGTTATCTTTTGGTAAAGGAGCACTTACTCCTCCCCACCAGCGAGAGCAGCGGAAAGCATAGGCATAGGCATAGATGGCTGAGTAGCTTCCACCCACTGAACTTTCGTATCGTTTCCTCTCACTCACACTGAAGTCAGCAGAAGAACTATTTCGTTGCGTTTCTCTCCTCCCTCCTCCCACGGCAAGCAGTGGCAACGGAACTTTCCAAGCTCTCTCTCTCTCTCTGTCGCTCGCAAGCCAAGATCAGAAAAAGCTTTGATTCAACTGACAGTTTGGTTCTCTTCCTTTCCTGCCAAGAGAGCAAATCAAAGCAGAACTTTTGCATACGTTACGCTCTCTCGCTCCCTCTCTCTCTCTCTTCATCGATTACAGCTAACAACAGCGCAACACATTTTCTTCTTTTTCTGTCTCTAAAGAAACTAAGAAACAAATAAAAATGAAACGCACAAAGTGAATTTTGTACAGAACCAAACAAACAGAAAAACAAAACAAAACAAACAAACAAAAGCACAACAAAAAGCAGGAAACATTGACCACCGATTTTTGTAGAACCGTTTTGAGTTGAAAACCCAGTGTTAATAAACAAGCAAATCAAAATGATTGACTGGGTGTCGATTGTGCGGCACTCGCGACGCCGATTCTCCAATTATATGGGCGCCCGGTCGCCGGTGCGCATGCGCCGACGTCGTAGGCAGCAGCTGACGGCACCACCGCAGCAGCAGCAACAACCAATGTTGCAGCCACAGCAGCAGCAACATCAATCGCGTGCGCTGGAAAAGAAAGAGGAGAAAAAGGAGTCTGGGGGTGGCGGTGGGTCGCGATATGCCTGCTGCTGCGCCAATGTAAGTGCAAGGAGGAGGAGGAGTAGGAGTGGGTGGGTGGGTGGGTGAAGGGGTGTTAAACGTGGGATGATCAAATAGTTTTTGGATCTAACCAACTAACCAATCTATCCGTTTATCTATCTATCACACAGAACCAGCGCATGCGCATTGAATCGGACACGGAGAATGGCAAGGATTTGCCGGCCGAGAATCAACAGCAGGTGCGCAGCTCTCGATCTCCCCAGCAGCAGCAGCAACAGCAACAGCAGCAGCTACCGCAGTCACAGTCCACGACATCGGCCAGGAGCGGGTCCCAGACCGTAAGTCGATGCAATTTTAACTTGTTAGCCATTCCCAAGGCGATTGCTGGAACTAACACATGGACACAACACACACAGATACAGATACAGACATACCCCAACCCACAATGCATCATCCACATGCACAGTCTTCATCAACACCAACACCAACACCAATGCACTGCCAACAACAACAACAGCAACAACAAAACGAAACGCAGCCACAGCGACAGTGCTTTGTTGCGCAGCAGCAGCAGCAGCAGCAGCGCCCTCACCGGCACAAAATGCTTAAGCGCGCTTTTGAGTCCATTTAATGGCTGGGAGAGGGCAGAGGAGAGAGAGAGAGAGGGAGCCGCCTAGAGCGGAAGCAGAGCTGCTAAATAAGAAACAGAAGGGGAAGTGGGAGTGGGAGAAACCGTTTGCTGTACTTAATTTGGGCGCCCCCCTCCGTCTCTCAGTCTCTCATAAATTGCCACTTTATTTCTCTTTACCCCACTCCCCCACTCCGTGGGCTGTTCTCTCACTCTCTGTTACACTCTCTTTTTAAATGAACCGTTACGTTAAGGTGCTAACGCCAGCGCTTGTTTGGAGGGGCCGACGCTTGGCTCATTTCCGTTTCCGGCAGCGGATGGACGGGCGAGTGTTGGTGAACTAAAAAACAAAATCAATGTTAAGCGCGCTTTTGGCCTCAAATCACATTTTATGCGTTCCGTTCCCGAGAAAGATATGGATTTGCCTTGGATTTTGTGGATCAGCAAAAAGCGCGAAGTTGTCTCCAAATTTACGTAAATCCAAAGCAAATCGAGATCTCTTTCAGGACTGCCAATCATTTTCTCTACATTATAATCTGCTAATTGTTCCTTAAATTTTTGAAAATTAATCTTAAGTTTTTGCATGATTTTTGTTACATTAATGCTTTTTGTTCTTCCAAAAAAAAAAAAAACAGGAGCAAACTGTTTTATAAGATATCAATAAAAAAATATACGTTTTGTTTGGTAATTGTTATTTGCATTTATTATTTCCATGCTGTATGGTTTGTATTTCGTTTTATCTAACATCCGTTGCTTAGTTATTTTTGAATTTTGGTCTCCTTTTCCGCCATTCATTTCAAATGCTCGATCAGCCTATCGATTGGCCTCTGCAGCTGGAGTTTCGATGTATCGATAGGCAACTCTAATGATCGCTATCGATCAGCGCTGGAGATCAGTGCTGCAAATCGGTGCACAGTTAGTATTGTACAACTCTCATTTTAGTTCGTCGGTCTCTCTTTTGGTTGGGTGTGTTTTTTTGTTATTTTGTTTTTTGCGTGCGGGCATTCGTCAGGGGCCGTGTATTAAAATGTAAAACATTTTCGTGTGTGTCGAGTCAGTCGAGAGCGTCGCAGGTCGCTATTTAGTAAGTTCCAGCGGGAGTGGCTGCCTAGCCAGAAAACGAGCGGTGGTAGTGGCATTGCCAGGCGGCAAAAAGTGTACCAGACGTGCTGGCGATAGTTGCGATATGTGATAGTGATGGCTGACTCACCAGCCCCCCCCCCCATCCAGCCATCAATCGATCGCTCTCCCAGCTCTAGCTGGCCGAGGAAAATGCCAACAAAACAAGACGCGAAGACGCAGCAAAGAGAGACAGAGGAGCTAGGGCTAGAACACATTTGCATGTGTGGTGGTGCATGTGTGTGCGTGTGAAATACCTGCGCGACGAATTCTAGTGCCAAATAGGAGTCACAGACATGCATGTCCGCGAGTGACCTGGAAAGCGGCCGCTAAACCAAAAACAGAAACAAGAACCGCGACGCGGCGGAGAGAAGCGAAGCGAAAGTGCACGCAAAGTAAAATACCAAAACAGAAACACAAACAAAGTGCAATTCGTGCTATCCAGCAAGAGCAACAAAAGTTTTAACATTAGCTCACACACCCAAACACACACACACATATCCATTGGAATGTGACTGTCAATATGTGTGTTGCGTGTGTGTGTTCAACGTAAAGCGCAAAAAATAGCCACAAGTAGGAGTGAGAGAGAGAGAGCGGTGGAGAGCGTGCCGCTGCTTACAGTTCTTTTTTTATTTGCCATTTACTGTAGAAACAAATAAATAAATAATTCGAAGCGAGCACACACATGCATATGAGTGCTTACGTATGTGTGGGAGAGTGATTAGAAGGCGACGCTCTCACTCTCTCTCACGCTCAAGCGGCGCGCCAGCAGAACAGAAGCGGCGGGCGGCCGCACTGTTGTATTTAACATTCCATTCGCTCACTGTCGGACGGACGGACAGAGCGAGAGAGAGAGCCGCTGCAGCGCTCGTTTGGTGTTTTTTTTTTTTATTGTGTGTGAATATTATTTTCTGTGACACTCGGTCAGCGTCTGTCGGGGAGATCGCCAGTAACAGTGCTGTGGGCTATATGGGATATATGTAGTGAATCAGAATTAATGTTCGATGCGTGTGAATCTCTCTGTTTATCTAGTGCGTGGCGGCAGCAGCAGTAGCAGTTACTGTAAATGAAAAGCCTTTAAATTGGTTGAATAATCAGCAAAAAGCAACAACAACAGTAAATACTTGAAGAAAATAAAAAGAGGCAACGTTCCCGGCAAAGAGAACTTTTAAAGAGAAGACAACCCAGACACAAACCGCACGCCCGGCATTTGTCAGTGTGTGTGTGTGTGTGTGTGTGTGTCTAGTGCGTGGTGTGTGTTTGTGTGGAAAGAGCGAGAGCTTAAGAGAACACTTAGGCTAAAGCTAAGCTCTGACCCCGCATCCCAGCCATGACGACACGCAAAAAGAAGCGCCAGGATAGTGCCAGCGGCGGCGGTAGCGGCGGCGGTGGCTTCATCAAGAAGGTTTCATCGCTCTTCAATTTGGATTCGGTAAAAGCACAACAAAATCTACACATAGATCTAGAAATACCCACACAGTATACAATAATAGTATATATCTAAAATATATATCTATAATTTACATATAGAGATTATACATTTTATGCAATATCCGTTCAGTGGGGTGGGGTGGGGTGTTGTGGCGTGGTGTAGCTGTTCTTGGGGGGTGGTGTGGTGTGTGTGTGTGTGTGTGTGTGTGTGGTGGGCGCAGCTTTTTGGCATCTGTGTTCTATATAGACGGATGATTCCATGGTTTATTTATAACAATTTGCCAGCCAGCCAGCCAGACAGCAGCATAAATGGAGAGGGGAGAGGGTGGGACATGGGAGTGCGTCATCTTTGCATTCGCATTGGCCATCTCTCTCTCTCTCTTAGCTAATGCTGCTGCTCCCAAGCAACGGTTTTTATTCTTCTTCTTCTGTTCTTTAGCTTGCTCTCTCGGTGCCCTTAATCTTTAGCGTATTCAGCGCAGGCGTAACGCCGCTGCTCTTCTCTTACTGTTCCCAATTTCTCGCTCTCTCTCTCTCTCTCTCTCACTCTTTGCTCTGCTTTTCTATCTTTCTCTCGCCCACCCACCCATTAAACGACGAGCGAATGTCTCCAACAGCTTTGTTGGCATACCCTTTTTGCAAAATAGTAGGGTATGATGGATTTTCAACAGATGTTTGCATCTATATTCCATGAACAAAAATTGTAAACAAAGCGCACGTCCAAACACAAAACAGAAACCGAAGGACAAGGTTTACATTATTGGAAACCATAATTTTATATGGTTTTTGGTTTCCGTTTGGATTTGCGCAGGTGTCTCGTCTCGTCTCGTCTCAACTGCTGCCGATCATCACGTCACCCACCCACAACCTTATATCACAACATTCCCCCTCTCGCTGATCACTCCCCCTTTTCGGGGCAATCTACCGGATATTTATTGGATCAATGAAGTGTGCAAGTGTGCATTGTGCAGCCCGTAGTATCTGGACAGTCATAGAACAGGAAGAGGAACAGTATAGTTACATTGCGGGAGCATATGATCAAGATATATTCTATCCTCTTCTGAGCATTTCCATGAAGGAAATATTACGTAAAGAATTGTCTTAAGCTGTCGCTTTGCTAAATCTCAGATTTTTCTCAGATTTCTAGTTCCAAATATGTATAATTTACTCCATGAAATTGATTCCCTCCTCCACTCGAAATTTGCCTATCGAAACTTAACTGACGTGCGCTGTGCTGCGCATCTTATGATACGCGAATATTCCTGAGGGGGGTAATATTGCCCAGTAAATTGTTGATTAAACACGCACAGACTGCACATTGCATGTGTCTATCTACGCACGAGTGTGTGTATGTATGTATGTATCTGCTGTATCTGTGTAGTGTGTAGGGAGTGCAAATGCGGATTAAATAGCATTTGATTATAGACTGGAAGGCAAAAGGCTTGCGTATTAAAGATCTGCTTTGAATGCAAAATCAAATAATATTTAACCCTGGGCTGGGGTTGCTTATGGGATTGCTTTGGTATTTCTGGTAATTCAGTTTTGATTTTAGTGTAAATATCACAACACTCAAGTTGTTACGAATATCTCGAGGGAAAGGCAGGAATGAAAGAGTGCAGAGTGGAGAGGGAATGCTCCCTTACACCTTACACTCTTATAGATTGATTCGCTGTTAAAATGTTTCCATGAGCGAATTCGTTACGATTGAAAATTAATTTAAACGGCAGACTAATTTCTCTAGAGTTTTCCCATTGAGCTCTTCATTATTTGAACGCTGACACGTGACTGGCATTTTGGCCAACTCCTCTCTGCAGCGTAGCCTGGTATAGCCTCTCAATATTGCTTGCCACCACTGTGGTGTTGGGAGTGTGGGGATTGCTCAAGAATTTTATCTGCCTTCGTTGCGGTTGCGGTTCTGCTTTACACTTCCTCCTTACAGTGACAATGACAGGGCCAGTGCCCAGTGCCCAGTGCCACTGCCAGTGGGCGGGTTTTAAGCCACAGCATAGTTCCTAAGTTTATCATAGATAAGATATAGCTGGCGATTGCCGGCGATATGATTCTATGACGACTCTGTGCCCCCAGTACGTAGTGCCAGTTGCCTATAATTTTCAAGGGTGTGCTTCTGTGGCTAATGGGTTAATGTGTTCCATTAGCAGCCAAGAAATTCACTCAATTTGTTAATTTTCCATATGTATCTGCTCTACACATTGAAAGGTAAAAGGGTTATATCTCTCAGATATATGTATAGGAGTAGAAGGGTATCTAAAGCTTCGAACCTTTGAAAGTTTTCTGTTTCTGTCGCCTTTTCTTTATTTTCTTGGCATGTGCCCTGGGCCCCTGTCTCTGCCATGCCACCTTGTTTTGGCCTCGTTAATGTTTGCTGCGTGTTTTTTTTTTGCTTCTTGGTGGTTTTCTTCGGTTTGGTTTGGTTTCGTTTCGGGTTGTGTTGTGTTAGGGTTCTCCTCCACTGCCACCCCCTCTCACTCTCTCTCTCTCTCTCGCTTGATAGATGTTCCGATTGTTAACTTTATGATGTAATTTTTACCTATTTATAATTTACTCTTTTTTTTTGTTTTAAATAGAGTAAAAAACTGTCGAACGGAAGTGGCATATAAGACACTCGACACGAATGTCGGCGAGTGCGGGGTACGGAACCCTAAGAAAATGGTTTTGGGTTTCGGGTTCTTCTTTGAAATCTTTCTGCTCGAAATCGGTTTGAATTTGTTTCTGCCAATGCCCCCCAATCGGATGTTCAAACAATTTGAATGTTTTGCTATTGATTCGTTTCCGATTTGGGGTTTTTTTTTTGGAGCAAAAATAAGGTGGTTATCGGCGTAGAATAGTCTGAAATGTTAGAGAAATTATTCTTCAGAGCAGCAATATAATAAATTCAAAAGGCAGTATTAATGGTCTCTGCAGAAGAGCAGTAAAATTATCTGAAAAAATAAGTAAATGGGTTCCGCTAAAAACCGAAGTAAAACTGTTGCCATTTCGATGGGAAAATTGTTATGCTAGCTGGCTGAGGCTTCCTAGGCAACGAAAACGCAACTTGACCCAGGTCTCAGTGGGTTAATTGGAGCTATATTTTGTAGGAACTAATAAGAGGAAAGAGGAGACGCACAAGTACACTCCCACTTTAGCACTGCACTTACCGGCCGCACTTCGGCCGCTGTTTTCTCTCTCCGCCGTATTTTGTGTGTCTCTCTCTCTCTCTCTCGCTGTTTCTCTGTTTTTGGGGTTAATGCGGTTGATGAATTCATTTACACTTGGCTGCTAATCAATTGAACTCATTTAACGATGCCATAACCAGGCAGCAGCATCAGACCAGGCCCCTGCCACTGCCACTGCCACTGCCTCCCCTCCACTCCGCATCTTGAATTGGTGTTGCAAGATTTTGTTGCCATTTTGGGGTAAGCCTGTTAATTGAGAAAAACAACAACAAAATGTGAATGTGCAATGGATGGAATACCAGAGATGCAATAATACATTGACATGGTTTTAAAGCAGCATTTTTGGCAGACTTTTTGGGCACAATAACAGTAACAGTAACAGTAACAGCAACAAAACCCGTAACAGCAAAACTCTAGCTGCCGCATCATGCACAGGACATGTATGTTGTTTTCTTTGACTATTCTTGGGCATTCGCTTGTGCGAATGCTTACGGGGGTTGTGGGTAAAGATTTAAGTGGGATTCCGGGGGGGAGTTTGAAAATTTTATATATTTCATATGCAAAATGCACTAAAAAAAAAACCAATTCTTCTCCTTTTTCTTCTTGCAACACGCTTTGCAAACAAAAAAACAAAAAACAACAACAAACAAACAACAGCTACACAGGGCGTCATCGGCAAAGGTAAGGAAAGAAAAAAGTGGAAGATGGAAGATGAAAGATGAAAGGGAGCCCCACCAGCTCCCCCCATCTCTCGCCATACTACGCATCATCGCAAACGCATTTGTTGTTCTCTGTTTGTTGTCTCTTGTTCGTTGTCCAACTTGTGTCCAATGTTTATTGTGATTTTTGTGTACTTGTATTCTTCGTATTTCGTATTTTATTGCCCTAACCTAACCGAAAAGAAGGTGTTGCAAGCAAAAAGTGTGCTCAAAGTATGAAAAGATGCCACAATTCCACTTGCAATACCTTCGCCAAGGGCTTGAAGGAGCATAACCAAAGGCCAAACATTTCAGGGATGTATTTGTAATTCATTTAATCCGTTAATCGCACACATACGCACATAATACTTACACTAACGCAAACACTCACACACCAACGATATAAGCATACTAAATATCTGTACATACCCAGTGGATAAAAAAAAAACAATTGATAAACGAAACGCAACGAAACTTATTGTATGTATAATCTGTCGTAAATGGACTTGGAAAAGAGCCTTTATCGAACACTAAACGAACTCTTAAAAACGAGTGATATTTGATTTAAAATAACTTGAAATCTTTACTTACAACAAGTCTTAACAAGCCTTCGAAAAGCGAGACTTTTACAGCCAAAAACTAAATATATATTTAATGCTCATAATATAATATTTATATATAAGAATTTTCCTATACGATTGCGCGAGTTTTGTGGGCTTTAATTTTCACGCGTTTTAGCTTATGTAATTTCATTGTTTTTGCTGGCTGCTGGCATCAGCAAATTAAAAGAAAAAGAAATTAAAATTAAAAATTTAATATTAAAAGTTTTTGTTTTGCATACTGAATGTTTTTTTTTGGCTCACTGAGAGTATATGTAAAATACATATGTGCATATATATATGCATCGGATGATGCATCGGTAGTTGTGCTGCCTTGCACTCTCATTCGAATCGTTAAACGAGACTTCATTCGTATGTCAGACAACCATCACCCATGCAGCATTTGTTTTTCCTTGTATAACAGCCGTGTATAACTGTTCTTAGCTGTATAACTAATCTCTGTCGCTCTGTCTCTGTCTCAATGCTGTTGTAGGTGAATGGCGACGATAGCTGGCTGTACGAGGATATACAATTGGAGCGTGGCAACTCTGGTCTGGGCTTCTCCATTGCCGGCGGCACAGACAATCCGCACATTGGCACGGACACATCGATATACATCACCAAGCTGATATCCGGCGGTGCAGCAGCCGCCGATGGTCGCTTGAGCATCAACGACATCATTGTCTCTGTGAACGATGTCTCAGTGGTGGATGTGCCACACGCCTCGGCCGTGGAGGCGCTCAAAAGGGCTGGCAATGCGGTCAAATTGCATGTTAAACGAAAACGTGGAACAGCCACAGCCACAGCGGCCACATCTCCAGCAGGAGCCGGAGCCGGAGCCACCGCTGGTGATGTCCGTGACAGTGGTTCAGCGGGCGGGTCAAAGGTGATTGAAATCGATCTGGTCAAGGGCGGCAAGGGTCTGGGCTTCTCCATAGCCGGTGGCATTGGTAATCAGCATATACCGGGCGACAATGGCATCTATGTGACGAAGCTAATGGACGGCGGTGCGGCTCAAGTGGATGGACGTCTCTCCATAGGCGATAAGCTAATAGCAGTGCGCACCAATGGGGTAACGTATATCGTAGATATATCTACATCTACATCTAGTTCCCTTGTAATCTCATGTTTGTACTTTTTGGTTTTTGTTTCGTTTTATAGAGCGAAAAGAACCTGGAGAATGTAACGCACGAACTGGCGGTGGCCACATTGAAATCCATCACGGATAAAGTGACGCTAATTGTGGGAAAGACGCAGCATTTGACCAGCAGTGCTTCGCAGTCTGGAGGATCCACAACGGGAGTGGCAGCAGGAGCAGCAGCAGCAGCAGCAACAGCAACAGCGGGAGCTGCTGGTGCAGGAGGATTACAGCAACAGCAACAGCAGCTATCACAGTCACAATCCCAGCTGGCGACGAGCCAAAGCCAAAGCCAAGTGAAGGAGCAGCAGCAACAAGTGAACTCTCAGTCGACAGGTGCGCTTACAAGTGTTGGACAAACGGTTGTTGATTCACCAACAGCAGTAGCAGCAGCAGCAGCAGCAGCATCACTACCATCAGTCCCACCAGCATCAGTAAATGTCTCAGCATCAGCCACAGCCACAGCATCAGTCATTGCAACCACCACAACAAGTACCACAATCAACAACAGCAACAGCAACCACACCACAAGCAACACCACAAGCAACAACAGTAGCAATTTAAGCAGCAGCTTAGGCAATGCCAATAGCCACAGTCACAGCTACAGTCACAACAATACGAATAATAACAATAATAATAATAATAATAATAATACAATCAACAGCAGCAGTGGCAGTGGCAGTGGTAGTGGCAGTGGCAATGGCAGCCAGACATCAGTTGCAGTTGCAGCAACAAATGCTTCTGCTTCTGCATCTGCATCTGCCTGTGGCCCAGCCTCCTCCTTCTATAAGAATGCTATGCCAATGCTTGTTAATAACGCTGAACAATCCAACACAATACGTTCCCAATCACCACCGCCCCTGCCGCGCCGTAAGCGATTTATTTATATTTTATTTTTTTCACACACTCCCCCACCCACCCCCTACCACAGCTAACATTTTATTATTTTCACTTCTCTTTCGTTCATTCCATCTACTCCATTTATACAATTTCCTACTTTCATCTGTTTCATCACTCTCCTGTCGAATCAATCATCCATTTATAACACAACGTAATCTCCAGCCTCTACGCCTCTACGCCTCTAGCCTCTACGCCTCTAGCCTCTACGCCTATTGCCTATAGCCTCTCCCACCCCGCCGTATTGCTGCTAACTGCGGAACGATTTCGTGTTGTTGTTGTTGTCGTGGAGACCCAGCGCTATGCTGCTGCTGCCCATACCAGTCCCTAGATCGTGCTACTATTAGCTCCAGAAACCAACCAACCACCCACCCACCAGCCACAACCACCCACACACTCTCCCTGTAGCCGCCTACACGTTCAGTCCTTCAGGTAGCCAGCCAGCCCCACTATTGAGGCAGCTGCACTGCCCGCCCCCCCCCGTAAGGCTTGCCTAAGCCGCGCTTCCCCTTTTTAGTGCCCCGCGCGTGTGCCGTTGATATTTTGTGCCAATCGATTATTAATCGCTAGAGTTTTGTGTGTTCTCTTGGTCTATCGGATCAATCGATCTCTCTCTCTCTTTTATATTTGTTGCATTTATTTTGTGTGTGCCTGTATGTGTGTGTGTGTGTGTGTGTGCTGTGTCTGTGTGTGTGCGTGTGTGGGTGATTGTGTGTCGGTGTGTGTTGAGAGGGGAGGGTGGGGTGTGGGTTAGGAAGTGGATATATATATACAAAAAAAAAAACTTTATTTCTTTCATTTTTGTGTTGTGTTCCGCGTTCTGTTTTTTTTGTTTGTCTTTCTCTATGTTTTCCCTTTCTCTCTCTCTCTCTTTGTCTATGCTTTTGTTGTCTCTCTTATTCCCTGTCTCGCGCGCTCTCTCTCTCTCTCTCTGTCTATCTTCTATATCTGCTTCACTCACTCTTCGTTGCGTGTTCCTTTTGTTTTTGTGCTTTTGTTACGTCTCTCTCTCTCTCTGTCCTTGTCTCTGTTTCTCTAACAAGATTTTCTTGATCTATGAAATATCTGCCCTTTTTTTGGGGCAGGGTAGTACCCCCGTCAGATATCTTTAAATAACCTTTAACTTTCTCTGTTGCTCTCTCTCTTACTATTTCTATCTCTTGTCTCCTGTCTCTGTCTCTGTCTCTCTATCTCATTTGTTTTTAATAATTAATTCTCATTCCTCAAAACTCTTTTGTGTGTGGCAAATAAACAAACATCAAACGATAATCGAAAATCAATCCCAAAACCAATCCAATCCAATCCCATCTTAGAGCCCGGCTCGAGATATGCTTCCACGAATGTACTGGCCGCTGTCCCACCTGGCACACCGCGCGCCGTCAGCACCGAGGATATAACCAGGTGAGCAAAAAATCCTACCTCCATCATCATCATCCATTTTAATCCTTTGATGTTTATTTTCTTTGTACTCCACAGAGAACCGCGCACCATCACCATACAGAAGGGTCCACAGGGACTGGGCTTCAATATTGTTGGCGGCGAGGATGGCCAAGGGATCTATGTGTCGTTTATACTGGCCGGCGGGCCAGCGGATCTGGGCTCTGAGCTGAAGCGTGGCGATCAGCTGCTCAGCGTCAACAATGCCAATCTGACGCATGCCACGCACGAGGAGGCCGCCCAGGCGCTTAAAGTGAGTGCAAGTTTCTCTTCCGTGCTCACTCAAAAAATATTTTTATTTAAAATTAAATTTTGTCTTCTTTCTCTTTGCTTGTGGCAGACATCTGGCGGCGTTGTCACCTTGGTGGCACAGTACCGACCCGAGGAGTATAATCGCTTTGAGGCTCGCATTCAGGAGCTGAAACAGCAAGCCGCTCTCGGGGCTGGTGGCTCGGGCACTTTGCTGCGCACCACACAGAAGCGTTCGCTATATGTTCGGGCCCTGTTCGACTACGATCCGAATCGGGACGATGGTTTGCCCTCGCGGGGATTGCCCTTTAAGCATGGCGACATCCTGCACGTGACGAATGCCTCCGACGATGAGTGGTGGCAGGCGCGACGCGTTTTGGGCGACAATGAGGACGAACAAATCGGTATTGTGCCATCGAAGAGGCGCTGGGAGCGCAAAATGCGGGCACGGGATCGTAGCGTCAAGTTCCAGGGACATGCGGCGGCCAATAACAATCTAGATAAGGTGAGCTATCCAAGAATCACACCACGCCGGGGACAACAGTGCGTTGCAACAGTATGCGCCGCTTCCAAATTAAAGTAAATTACGATTAAAGAAAGGAATTTCCATTCGACGAGACTCGGGGACATATCCAGAGACATGAATCGGCTGCAAAGTCGTACAAGTGAGAGCTCTGGAAGACTGAATGGGAGGCTGGCTTTAAGTCACGAATAAAATATCAGAAAAAATATCTAAATTATGTATCCAAAGATTTAAAGATTCCAAAATGGATTCGAGTACCAAATTCGGTTGAGCGATTGAGCCCTAACAATTTGGATCGTATTGTTATAGCGCACTGCCTGGCCCCAGCTCCATGTCTGTTTTATTATCCATAGTGAAATAATTTTGTTTTTGTATATTTTTGCAGCAATCGACACTGGATCGAAAGAAAAAGAATTTCACATTCTCGCGCAAATTTCCGTTTATGAAGAGTCGCGATGAGAAGAATGAAGATGGCAGCGACCAAGAGCGTAAGTAGACAATCGAACTAGGGCAACAAACCAACCAATGGGGAAGTCAGCCAACCAGCCAGACAGACAGTAAACCAAGCCAGCCGTGCCCGTGTCTGTCTCTCGTCTCACTACCGACACTACAGTAAATACTCGAAGAAGATGCTTTTTGCTACTCGTGTATCTAAACTCGAAAGGCGGATTTAATTTAACTAGTTAATTGTTGTTTACAAATTAAGGCTCCAAAAGATCCCTCTCTTACGCTGTCGCTTTGTCTCTAAGCCACTCTCTCTCTCTCTCTCTCTCACTCTACCACTATACCACTCTGTCTCTCTCTCTCTATTGAGTGTGTGTGTGTGTGTGTGTGTGTGCGTGTCTGTGTGTGTGTGTGTGGCTTCTGTGGGTGTGCCGGAATGTGTGGGTGTAATGTATGTAAGTGTTTCTGCGCGTGTGTGTGTGTGACTGAAGAAGAGAATATTTGTTGTTGTTGGATGAGCGAAATCTTCTGTGAAAGCACAAACAAAAAAAAAAAACATGCACAATCCTCAGCCCAAAAAAGAGGAGATCCTTAAAGTCGTGTACATCAAATGTACATCAGCTAAAAAAAAAATATTATTTTTATCCCTTTAATTTTGTTGTTTTGTTGTTTTTTTTTTTTCCTGTTTTCGCTTTTTCCTCCATTTCCATTTAATACATTTTAGCCACAAAAGGTTTACATCAAATGTACATCAGTCCTGAACTGGAACTATCTTTTGTGGCTAAATTCGATTTTATTTAATTCTTTTTTGTATTTACTTTGAAAGTTAAATATTTATTTGATGCCCTTTTGGTTTGTTGTTTCATTAATTTATTGATTTGTGTTTTGTGTTTTGTTAATCATTTTACATAATTTATGTTTATGTTTCTGTTTCTGTTTATTTTCATATTTTACATGTTCCCCGTTAACCCCGTTCCGAAACCGTTCAAACCATTCCACACAACTGTGATGTGATGTCCAATACGTGTACACTGCTCATACTACCAACCCAACTACATCTGTGTTCCAACTTTGGATGAACAACCGATCGATCGATGATGAAACAAACCAAACAACATCACACACATACACTTGTACCGTTACACACACGCACACGCACACATTGCCATATATTTGATGTGTTGTTTTGGGATGTGTATTTGTGAACCGTGTACGTACCGCCCCCTGGTGAATCCCTGCTGATCTGGTTTAATAGTCAATGGAGTTGTGAGCAGCACCAGCGAGATAGACATAAACAGTGTCAACAACAATCAGGCCAATGAACCGCAACGTAAGTGCATACTCACATTAAGGCATCCAGATAGTTGCCGCTTGGAGAGCGGATACTTGCAACATGGGCATATATATATTATATATATATATTGTACATATATATGCATATATCTTTTGGATATATTCTGGGGCTTTCGGTTCTCCGCTCTGTCTCTCTCTCTCTCTCTATCAATCCGTCTAGTGTTGGTAAACGCAAACACACACATACATATGTACATACCTGCACTTTGTATGGATTATTAAGCTATGGGCTATATTAAAACCGTTGGCTAGTTTTGTTGAAGGGCATAGTACTATCTATCTATCTATCTATCTATCTGTCGTATCATCGCTCATGGGGAGGCTTCTGAAACATCATTTGTTACATACATAAACATACGTATAAGTCAAGTATTAGTCTTTGGGCGCTAAACTATTCTGTAATTCTATACACTGGTGACCCCGAGCTCCCAAAAGAGTTTGTCCTTCAGCGGCACACATACACACACACATACATATATATTCTACATCACATTGTACATCCTATTCAGATATTACATCATTTAGGAAAAAACAAAAAAAAAACCATCATAAAAATGAAATTTTCGGTTGATTTAAAATGCTTTCTCTCCTGCTACCTAAACGTTCTGAAACGTACTACTTATTGCTGTTCTCTCTACACTACTTATACACCTTACTCTCTATGTGTGTCCACCAAAGTCCCCTCAACCAATGTTCCACCAAAGTCCCCTCAACCAATGTTCAGGCTGCTTTCATCAATTTTGTCTCGTACACGCGACCCTCAATCGATCCTTCCTCTCATCGCGCTCAATAGAAGACGACGACACCCAAGGATCGTAACTGCATTAGTATGTCCCGCAATGGTTCTTTACGTCATGTCACATCAGAGTAAAAGGAACCATCAAGGGATAGTTCTTTTAGTCATATGTATGCAGCTGAAACCCCGCAAAACATTTTGGGAAAACCATCTTGGGTTTTCCATTTGTGAGAATTCTTCTAGAAATCTTCTGAAATCTTGATAGTTCTTCTCCAGCACCACATTTTCATGTGCATCCAAAGCAGTGCAAGCAACGCAAGGAGAACCATTTAGAGATAGGTTGGCAGGATGACGATCCTATGTCGTGTAGCCCCAGATGGTTATATTCCGTTTCTGTTATCCGTGTTACATCAAGTGTACATCATTTGTCTACATCAAATATGAAACAAGAACCATTCGGGGACATCATATTTAAGCAGCAACAAAACAAAACAAAACAAAAAACCAAAGAAAACAAAACAAAAACAAAAAGATATACAATTTATACTACTACTACTATATTTATTAATAATAGTATCGTATCGTAAATGAAACGATCGTCCACTGCCACTTCTGTTTTAATCTGACCAAAACATTCTCTCTTTTTTCTCTCTCTCTCTCTCTCTCTCTCGATTCTCTTCTCTTCCCTCTCTGTCTAACTCTAACTCTCTCTCTCACTACGTTTCTCTCCTCTCTTTTTGGTTTCTCCTTTTGTTTTTTCTCTTCATTTTTCTAGCTTTTATGCTTTGCTACACACAAGACGATGCCAATGCTGAAGGAGGTATGTACTCGATAGAAGAATATATACTATATACTATACTATACTTTACTACTATATATACTACATACATATATACCACTTACATATATATCTGCTGCTATATGCATATATTTACATTCATTCAAACCACTATATAAATCTGAGAATATCCACACGAACATTCAATTATACATTTACATTTACATCTACATCTACTCGTACATAGAACATAACATAGAACCCCCCGCCACCCCACCAAACGCTAACATTCAATTTTACATTTTACATATACCTTATATACTCGTACATGGATATCTACATACATGCATACATCAGTACATATTAGTTTTTGGGTTTTTACATTATAAAAACATACGTTCATCTGTACATCACCATGTCTCTACACACACACACACACACACACTATGTACATGTTCCTATTGTGCATACAAACCTTCATCTCTCAACATGAGTACATACTGTTGTGTGTGTTCCCATGTTTACTTGTTACATATGTATGTACATTACGTACATTATACATCTTCGTGTTACATATTCCTTGATATCTCCTGTGTCTATGTACATCCAAATATTATACATACATATATAATATATTTTTGGGCCAATATCTAATCCTTTATGGCTATAGTTCCTTAATTGCGATGTCGGGTATGCGTCTAATTGCATTGCCAGTAAACTCAAGTGCAGACGAAAAGTCTACATCAGTGGTACATGTGCTTGCAATTTTAGTTTACATCAAATGTACATCAGTTATGCTTTGATTAAACATCAGACTTTACTGATGTATTGGGGCACTGATGAAAATTATAAGATATTTTATTATAAATCATAAGGTATGAATCTACATCAGTGGTCGACACGCACACACTCACATATTTTGTAGTGCGTATACAGCAGCAGGTAAAACGGGACATTGTATTGGTGCGTTTAAGTGAGCGACAGCAGCAGGGCCGTACCTACACCTGATTCTACATCATCCAGGCCTTTATGCTGTGTACATCGTTTATGCCCTTTCAATAGAAATCGTAAGATGTGTACATGCACCAGGGAAGACATCGATTAAGGAACTACACACCATGCAGGGTTTGATGAGAACTTTTTGGGTTTGGATTTTATGTTTCTGCATCGTTTCTGTTTTGATTTGAACATGCGCAAACATCCATATGTACATCCGGTACATCCATGCGGACATCTAAACATACCGATAAACGATAATCTATCGCATAAAACTTTCGATAAGCGTTATTATTTATCGTATTATATATCCTTATGTATATGGACGTCGTGTTTCAATGTTTTCACACATTCGATTCGATTCGACTCGACTCGATGTGTGATAATTCTAAATAAAATACTCGACTCATTTAAATGTACATACATACATACATACATATGTATATATCGTACATATATGTATACTATATGTATAGCTTGAATGGAATACATCATCCGTATGTATCTTATCTGTATGTGTATGTGGAATGTACGCGATCAGCGTGTGTGTGTGTCTACATAAATAGTGAGCATAGAGAATCATCTAGATTCTAGCATAATAATAATACATAGTCGGCGGAATGATGAATTATGATCTATATCTATGTATACATACACACACACATACTACATAATATATATATTTTATACATCTCCAAACGACAAGCCACCGATGAAGAAGTTCCCAAAGTTGTTCACGTTTTCTTTTCGATTTGCAAATTTGTATTTATTTTTTGATTGACAATCAGATCTCGATCTCTTCAATCTCTCGCTTACTCCTTTTGTCTCTCCTCAACATTCTACTTATATCACATTCGAATACGCAAAACATCTCTCCCCTCGCCAGAGGAACATCTACTATAAATCAGACAAAAAACACCAAAGTTCCACGCACAACTCAGGCACTCAGACAGTAAAAGACTTGAAAATACTACTACAATATAATCGATTCGATCTGTTGTTAATCTCTTTGGTATTTCTGTTCTTCTTTTTCTTTTTGATACTTCTTTTAACCAACCAACCAACCAACCAACCAATCAACCAATCAATCAACCAACCAACCCCCTGTGTCTGTGTGAAACTACTTCTGAACTACTTCTTGTGTTTCCCACTACTACTACTACTACTACTACTACTGCTACTACTATCCTCAAAACAACTGTTTTGTCTACGAATCAATCTACTACTATTACTTCTACTATTACTATATCTACTACTACTATATCTACTGCTACTGTGCTGTGTGCGTCATCGAATCTAAACGTTCGTTTCACGTGTCCTACTCTGTCTGCCTCTCTCTCTCTCTCTCTCTCTGTCTCGCTCGCTCGCTCGCTATATCGAACCTCTCTATAACTCTATCTCTCTATATATAATATATACAATGTGTATATATATATATATATGATCTATCTGGAACCACAACAACAAAACACCAACAAACAAACAATATTTGATTTCGTTACAATCTTTGTTTTTAAAATCACGAAAATTTCTACTGATCCAAAACATAAACCATACATATATCTATATATCTTCTAAATATATATTGATCTCTACAACAAATGAACAACCAACCAACCAATCAACCTACCAACCAACCAATCAACCAACCAACAAACAACCTACAAACAACCAACAAACTAAACCAATCAACAATCCAAAATGACAACCGATATCTAAAAATATATATACATATATATAAATATACACATATATTTGTATACCACCATGCGCTCCGCACCATTCGCTCCACCGTCCTTCGACCCTCCGATCGATACTGCAATCAACAACAAAATATTCGACTACTACTAAATTCTTCTGTATATCTGTGTATCAACAATCCCCCTCGTACATCGTACATCACATATACGAACGAAACGTCAGGCGAGATTATCTACAGAGTGGAGTTACCCGATATGGAGCAGATAACTCTGATCTACTTGGAGAATAGCGATGCTGACTATCGTAAGTCGAGCAACTGAAAAATACAAAAACCAAAAACAAGCAAAAAAAAAAAAAATCAACCAAAAACCAACAGCAAAATATATACTACTACTGTATATATTTAAAGAAAAACCAACAAATATATCATTTTTTTTTTTTAAACAAAAACAATTTTAAAGAAAATACTAGTGAAACGATTTTTTTTAAATGAAATTTAAAAATATATATTTTTTTTTTAGTTCTGAATACAAAGAAATCCAAAATTTTTGCAAGATCTACTATATTCCTATTCCTCTGATTATGTTTTTGTTCGTCCTTTTTTTTTCCTTCTTTCTTTGAGTTTTGCCTATCTCTTGCTTTGTCTGTCACTCTCATGCTGTCTCACTCTATCGCTCTTGCTCTCTCTCTCTCCGTCTATCCGTCTCTCTGTCTCTTTCTCCACTTTATATATCCATCTCTATCGCATTGTGATTTCTCTGTAGAAAGAAGCAAACATTTAGAAAAGAAGAAGAACATTTCTAAAGTCTGCCAGCTTTTCATAGGATATAGTTTTCTAATGGGGTCTAAAATATTTGCAATCCAAAAGTATTGGGCGGTTTTTCTAAACTAAATTAAAGAGAAGCAGTTTCTATAACGTACTTTCTTATAGATCATCTCTAGAACTCCCTGCTTATGCTTACGTTTCACCCATGTTCTGAAAATGCATATTCCCCGAAAAACGTTTTAGTCCTGGAATCCCTTTAGGAATCTCTTTCGCTCTCTCTATCTTTACTTAGAACTTAAAGGTACAATACTTTTAATTTTTTATTATTTGTTTTTAGACTTTTTGTGAACTGTTGAATAATTCTATAGCATCGAATGACGCGTTCAGTCCGTAGCAAATTAGTTTTGTGAACCTTCACCCCTGGAACACTTCACACACACACACACACAAACATACAAACACACCCTGAGCACACACTTTGTATCGTTTGCCCATAGAAAATCACCTACCAGACCAATCAGCAGTTAAACAAACACACAAAAAAAAAAAAAAAAAAAATCCCAAGAAAAAGCAAATTAAAGAATGAATTGAAAGAACACTTGAGTAGTGGCTTTTTGGCATATTCTGCATTCTGCATTCTGTTTCTGTACTGCCGCAGTAGACGTTGTTTTGATTTTGAGCCTTACATCACCTTAACGTACATCCAGTCAGTATTGTTGCTCGTGTGTCGTGTTGCATGATGTCCTTTCTCACCAAACAACAATCATTTTTGTTTTTGATTTGATGAGCCCCCCGCCTTAAGAATAGAACAAAAAGAACTCTTCTATAAGGAACAAAAGCCTCTTTCCGATAAGATATGTGTCCCCCCCCCCTGCCTTAATCTCTCAAAATGTATTCTCCGGTGTGGGTGAGGGGTGTGGGGGAGAGAGCCAGCCTCAGCTGCTGAAAACTCCTGAAATCTGAAATAAACAAATTGTATAAATTGTGTGAGCAAAACAAGTCTTATTTTTGCACTGAATAAATCTTCTCTATGAGGTGTAGATCCTCAAGAGGGCGGGGAGGATCCTACTCCGTTTTTTGTCCTTGTAAATTTTGTAAGTCCATCGGCGAAACGAACCGCAACAGAACAGAACAGAACCGCGCGTGAACCAACAGAGTGAGTAAAATGAATTAACACCACCCCCCATACCTAGCCCAACGTTATATCTCCTGGTAAAACCCCACGAAATACGCGGGGCTTTGATTGTGTGTGTGTGTTTCCCCACTCGAGAACTCGAGAAACATCCCCCCCCGAAGGGAAATTCTCATTTAAGCTAATCTAAGCTCAGATCAGCAGCTAATTATCATCAGAAATGATCCTATTTATAATATTTTATACATCATCAAACAAAAAACACACACTGAAAAAATACACACACACATACACATTATGTTTATGTTGTGTCGTAAGTATGTATTGTGTGTGTGCCATGTATGTAAACATCATGATGTCATGTAGTGTGTATGTAGTATGTAACTTGTGTAAATGTAATCATACATCAAGTGTGTGTCCTACCCGTACGTAGTTGATTTCCCACCGTAGTTCGATCGATCACCTTTCCCCCATATCGTACCCCATATAACCCTATATCCTATATCGTAGAATGTATAACGTATGTCTGTTCATTATCTATATATATATATATATATATATATGTATACATATATCCGTACATCATTGTGTAGATGTAACCATTTTTAGCATTTTTCACAGTTTTTGCATTTACATTTACATTCTGATTTTCCGGTATTAGTTTCGATTTCTATAATAAATATTCCATATATTATTATGCATATTTTCTTAAGCCCCATTCAGCCCCGCCCCCCCTGCCACACAGCTTAGGAGTGCCCCGTACCCAGTGTCCCTTGCAACCCCAAGCCTCGTTACATCACTAACGTAGAACATTTATTTTACTTGTTCAATTTCCTGAGCTGGGAGTTTACCCCCAACTCCAGCCCCGGCTTTGTGTACAGTAGATGCTCGCTCATTGGAAACTGTTTAAACTGTTGGGGAGATTTTACCAAAAAAACTAAAACCAAAAATGGACTGTCTAGAAAAGCTCCCACAGTGTTGCGGTACATTGATGGTCGACAGACACAAGCGAAGGCCACAAAAGAACCTAAAAATTGAAAAACAACATACATGTCGTGTGTATGACGTATGCTAAACTGATGCAAATACTGGAAAATCTTCCAAGTGTCGTAAAAACTTGTCGATTGAAAATGCTTTTAAATATTACATGGAAAAGTTGAAAGGGATATTTCAGGGGATTTTTCAAGGTAGGGCCTTGGGAACTATGAGGAGTACTGACACGCATTTCATTTCTGGATTTCATTTAAATTTATAGTCGCCGATCTTAGGTTGGGGTTCCAACTGTTTCCAATCAGCGAGACCAATTCTGTACTCAAATTAATTATGATTTGCTAATTGAGTTTGCGATCCAAGATTAAATAAATAAAGAACTTTTGTTAATTGTTGTATATGCGAAGAGTTTTCAAGATTCAATTTAGAGATATACTCGTATTCGTACCCGTACCACCCCTCCTCCCAATAATCCGTAGAGACAAGAATGAGCACAACCCAATATACGAAATTATCTGTACCCATCTATCTATCTTAACTCTTTATCCCAAGCTATCTATCGATCTATCCCATCTCTTTTCGTATGTATTCCTAGATTAAAACATTTAAAAACAAAAAAGAAATTCTGTTGATTTGTAGATACCCGAACCAAAATCCAACAACCCAATCCCCAGCCCAAGCCCAAACTATACCCTGATTCCCACATCCCAACCCAAACTCATATAGAACACATTTTGTTGATGATTTAGTCCACACGTGCACGACAAAAGCCCCCTAATTCGAATGCTTTGCCATACTTTGCAGCCTCCGAGGAGAATGTACTGTCGTACGAGGCCGTGCAGCGTTTATCCATCAGCTATACGCGTCCCGTCATCATACTGGGACCCCTGAAGGATCGCATCAACGATGATCTAATATCTGAATATCCCGAGAAGTTTGGATCTTGTGTGCCACGTAAGTTGAAAGAGACCCTCGCTCCTTCAGCCACAAACTGATCTTAAATCCGATCTGATCTGATTTCAGACACCACGCGACCCAAACGCGAATACGAGGTGGATGGACGTGACTATCACTTTGTCTCCTCGCGCGAGCAAATGGAGCGCGACATACAGAACCATCTGTTCATCGAGGCGGGCCAGTACAATGATAATCTGTATGGCACCTCGGTGGCCAGTGTACGCGAGGTGGCAGAGAAGGGCAAACACTGTATTCTGGATGTATCGGGTAATGCCATCAAGCGGCTGCAGGTGGCCCAACTCTATCCGGTTGCCGTTTTCATCAAACCCAAATCGGTGGACTCTGTGATGTGAGTAAACCACACGAATTAATCTATACATATAGAACATCTGATAATTGTGAATTCACTCGAAATCATTCAGGGAGATGAACCGTCGCATGACCGAGGAACAGGCCAAGAAGACTTATGAGCGTGCGATTAAAATGGAGCAGGAGTTTGGCGAATACTTTACGGGTAAGTTTGTGAAATTATTTGAGGCAATTAAATGTGAAACTCATATTTGCATTTTCATTTGCGTTTACATTTACAGGCGTTGTCCAAGGCGATACCATTGAGGAGATATATAGCAAAGTGAAGTCAATGATTTGGTCTCAGTCGGGACCAACCATTTGGGTACCTTCCAAGGAATCTCTATGACCAACAGCCACAACAACATGGACACTGCCGCCTCGAGTACGTTGTCGACCAGTCTCGAGAACAACAAATACAGCAACAACAAATCAACCGCAACAGAAAACGCCGCACTGATGATTATGCATCACAAAATAATTAACAAAAACGAATACAAACGACGACAACACAAAAAACAGGACACACACACACACACTCAAACGAACGACTTATTACACTTGACGATTGACTTAAGAACAACAACAAACAACAACAAAAACAACAAACAACAACAACAAAATTGACGCAGCCGCAGCAGCCAACTTAATGTAGCAAAAATAAAACAAAAAAAAAATGTCCAAAATATGTATTTGGATGGTTAGATAGATGTACGCCGCTTAGTGGAACGTACATATGTTTAAGTGGAGGAGGAACATCAGAGCAAAGCATTTGGCATCGTGTAGCGAGCAGGAGAAAAGAACAGAGCAAAGCAAAGCAGACAGCACAGTGACGACAGGCCCCATGGACGGATTATAGATGATGACGATGTTCAACTGAAGCGGACAAAGGTGTATAGTTTTTAGTTAGAACAAAGTTTGGAGAAAGGTTAAGGAGAAACAAAGCGAAATATAATATATATATATATATACACACACACAAACAAACAAACACTTATATATTAAGATCTGATTATGATGGCATAAAACAGAGAGCAGATGGCAGATGGATAGCTGGAGAGCATTAGCAGAAGGCAGAAGGTAGTAGAAGGCGGATGGCAGATGGCAGATGGCAGGATGCAGAAATCGATAAGCAAATGCTTAGAAACGTTCGTTAAGCGCTAGAATGTTGTTTGTTTTATGTTGATGTTTATATACGAGAGCCAAGAGTTATAGCGAGTTAGTTATGTTGAAGAATAATGTGTTTTTTGATATATATAAATATATATATATACATATACATACATGCATGTGCAGCACATAGTACATATGTACGGCACCCATGATAATGATGATGATGATGATGATTATGCAATGAATTGTATAATTGTAATTTAAGTACGACAGTGTTTAATAGCTGACGGTAGGGGGTTGATTGACAATGATTCAAAGTAGCCTGTAGAATTGTACATCTGGAGTTACACATCTGGAATACACACGTACATCTACACGGTTGCGCTTACAGTTACAGTTGAACGATTTACGGTCGTACGATTACTGTAGTCGGGTAACGGTACTGACGTTAACGGTCTACGATTTACGATTTACGATTAACGATTAACGATTATGATACGGATGAATATGATTATGGATAATGATTATTGAATATGATGAAAGGATGAAACACGTTGGTGCATTTGTTGTTAGATGTATGTAATTTTTCCCACTCGCCTTTGCCTACAAGCAACACAAAAAAAAAAACAAAACAAAACACTATATAAACGAAAACAAAAACAAAACATAATAAAAATCAATAAAAGATCTGCGTATAAATACAAAAGAATGCAAAATAAAAGAAACTAATGGAAACTAGTTTCTCATATACATACATACAAACATATACATATAAAATCCATGTTCATTCACACACACACACACACACATATTGCTATGCATATACTACACTCGTATTTGTATATCTGTTACATTTAACAAATAGTCCGCAACCATGCGCGAGATGAGATCCTTTGAAACGCGTCTACAAAGTCATTTTACTATATATACACGCCACACGTTCCCCCTACACACCCACACACACACACACATACCTATTGTAAACTGAAGAAAATGAATAACTAAGGAGATAAAAGATCCCTCCCTCGACAGAGAGAGAGAGAGTGAAAAGTGTGAAGAGAAGAAAAGCAATTTGTTGTCGCGTTGATTTGAATATAAATATATATTGTATATTTAACAATCTATAAAACAAATATAGTATATAGAAAAACACACACACATACACAAAAAGATACATGGATGACAGTTGAGGTCTAATTTTATACACACACACACGCAGAATACACAAGGGTTAATGGAAGATAGAACCGCGTATGGAGGGGAAAAATCGCAATGCAAAAGCAGTTAATGTGGAGGAGCCGCCAGATGATAGATGGATGGATGGTCCGGCTAGAACTCAAATTAGATATCTATATATTTGCTGATTAATTTATATAAATCAATTTACGAATTATAGCAAACGCACACACACAGACAGACATAAAAAAACACATACATAAATATACATACATACATACAATTAAATAAAATTGCTACCGAAATTTGATCAAGAAAACAAAACAAAAAGAAAAGAAAATTTAGAAAAATTCAACGTTGAGTGTTAAATACTATTATTCTGAATATTGAATATGGAATATGAATATGCATATAAATATGAATTAATTTTTTTTTTTTATATAACTATTATTACTTTATTATTATCTGGTCCGAGTTTCTCTTATCCTCTTAATCTTAAATGAATCATTTTTTTGTGTATGTTTTATAAATTTTTGTAAATTTCGAAATTGTTGACGACGTCACAAGCAGCAGCAGAAACAGCAGCAGCTGCAACTATAGTCGGATATTATTTTAAATATATATACATACATACACACATACATACTAATTAAAACACAACAATGGAAATTCATTATACTTTTTTTTTTATATTTAACAAACCTAAAAAAACAAAGCGAAAGAAAGAGAGAGAGATAGAGAGAGAGGAGGAGGGAGATAAATATATGATGATAATTTCAAATCTACAAAGAAATAAAAAAAAAAGAAAAACAAACAACATCCCCCTAAGAAACAAAACAAAAACGAAGATGAGATGAGAGAACCTTATATATAATAAACAAAATAAAAATTCAAACAAATGAAAACTTCTTAATCAATGACACACACACTGACACAAACAGAGATACATACATACAACATACTCCTTCAAGCAAAGAGCAAAAAAAAGAAGAAGATATGTAAGTTAGATAAAAAGAAAAACGATAAGCCGCTTGACAGGGTGGAAGATACATACATACATACCTACATACAATACATACTAGTTTTAGTAAATGACTTTTGTTTGCTCTAAACCTCGGCGCTCAAAATACAATACTCGTCGTAGCAGAGTGTTGGCCGCACACTCGCGTGAAACAATTCCTAGCTTAACCATCTGTAATTGAATTAATTCTTTCAACTGCAGAGATCCCTGACATACTAATACTACTACAACTACTACTATATATATAGAGAGCCTGACGCCCGGAATCACTCTTTGACCTAGCCTTAGATTCGTATGCAAGAATTTTACTAGCAAAAACCCAAAAACTAAAACTAAAACAAAAACCAAAAACCTATCAGCTAAATAAGGACTAAACTTAGGGCAGAGAGCTGCTATAAAAAAAAAAATCAAAGGATTTTCCTTATCCATTTACAAACAAACAAAAATTAAAAAAAAAAAACATTACTTATGTGCGCACACACACACATCCACACACGCCACGCGCCCACACGCATACGCATACGTACATGCATAGGAAAGCGTTTCATCAAAATTGTGCCTTTTCTTTTCGTTGTTGTTATCGAATATCGATCAAAATATACATACATACATGCATATACCTATACGGGAACCAGTGCAGTTATAGTCCGCACACAAGCACACACGCACACACACACACTCCCAAGCATATTGTGGCCCTCTGCCCATTCACTGCCCTCCAAAGTAGGCAATGGATTCTTCAATGGTATTTGCCCCTTAAAAGTAGGCAATGGTTTTTGCCGATAGTCAAGCAAACTTCGCGACGCGTCTTAGCCTTAAATGAAATGCAATTTGGTTGGTTTTTGCTTCGTTTGTGTGTGTCGTTCACATCGGGTGGGGTGGGATGGGGTGGGGTGGGGTTACCTTCAACAGAGAGAAACGTAGAAGATCGAACGGGGCTGCAGGCGCGTAAAACATGCAGGACATCATATGCACACAGACACACACACGCAACAACACGAGTACAGCAACAACCAATACATACATATGTACAATACTCCAGAGACATCCATCACAGAGAGCGTGAGAGAGAGAGAGAGACGAGACCCGACTAGAAGGGCCGCTAATGTGACAAAAGCTATCATTATGTACTATCGTATGTCAAATGTAACTTGTTCATCAGCAGATGAAATTACTCGACCCCCACACCCCTCACACACACCCACAAACAAACCAAAAAGAAACAAAACAAAAGAAAAAAAACACCCATGAAATAAACCGAAATTAATCTACGTAATATCATACAGTATCTAACTTTATTTGTCGACTCTGGGGCACAAACTAATATTCAACAGAGAACGGAAACAAAAACGTTTCCAGAAGGCATTGGATCTGCAGTCAGTTTTTAGCCTTCAAGTTCAGTAGACAATTCGGCTCCACCACACATCAAATCAAATCAAAAACAACAAAACAAAATTGTCAGCAAACAAAACTCAATTTTTTCGAAAAAAGTGCAAAATTTTCGGTTGAACTTTGAAACAAATTATTTGCAAATATGGCCACAAAGACTCTGAAGCTGGGACTGTTCAGTCAGATTCAGCGATCGTTTGGATCGAGGCGCATTCGACACTTCCGTAAGAGCCAGCCGTAGACTGAAAGCTAACAGACAGCATGTGGGTGGGGGTTCTTATGTGCACTTGTACCTTTCTTCTGCAGACAAATTCGCCTTGAAGCCCGACCGCCCGACCCCAGAGCGATCCAACAACGATGGACCCTTGCAGCGGGTTCTCAGGCAGATCCAGAAGAGGCCAAGACCGGCCTATCATGCAGGACGGGAGAGCAAGCCCGAGGCGAAAGCGAAGCCACTTGCCCCACGCGCAACGGCATCAAACCACTCCATAACGCCCTGTGTGCCACAAATACTGAGAAGTGCATCGAAGACAATGCTCGCTGCATCGCGGGTGCCAGCAAGCGAGCGTTCAATCAGGCAGCGGCAGCGGCAGCAACAGCAACAGCAACAGCGAGAGGCGCCACGGGCCAGCGACTCTTCAACCACATTGTGTGCGGCCCCGTCCACAATTGCCCTGCGCACGTGCTCCTCCACCATGCGGCGAGTTGTGACTACGCTGAATGCCGGCGACATGCAGGCCACACGCGCGAAGCTCATGCGCAAGCTGCGCAGAAAGGAGCAGCGCCAGAGCGTGCCCCTCGAGAGCTCAGTGAGTGCCATTCGCATAAACATACCGGAAAATGCCGGCAAGAGGTCCTACCGTCGCATTCGAGTGCAGTCGTCCAGACCGCAGCTGAACGTCGATCGTTCTCCGAGCAACGTCAAGCTCTTTGGCTCGAACAGTCAGCCGTCGGTCAAGGCGTCCCAATCGAGGACGTTCTCGGTTAAGCCACCGCCACCACCACCGTCAGCGCCAGCGCCAGCGCCAGCAAAGCGCTTTCAAAAGGATCTGGCCGGCGAGCCAGGTGTGGATGTGAAGTCAGCAGTCGAGTGGTTCGAGAGGATCGACAACAAAAATATCAAACTGGACAATAACACCCGACAGCAGCTAACCGCCAGGAAGCCAGCCAAGAGGAGTGCATCGGGCAGCGGGCCAAGTCCCCTGAAGAAGGTGCCTTCCACGGAGAGACGCGTCCAAAACATAACCGTTCGGGCACCCAAGCATTCCAGATCCATATCGCTGTACAGTGTGAACCCAAACAGGCAATCAACCTCCGGACTGTCTTCCGAGGCCAGCGAGCGTTCTGCTCCCTTCGGGCCCTGGCTGCGAACGGCTTCGCAAATGGAGGGCAAAGCCAAAGATGATGGCAAGAAAACACAGCACAAGCCCGCCAGCCTGCTGCTCAAGTTGCTCTCAAAAAAACCCAATGAAGCTGAACCTGAGCCTAAGCCTGAGTCCAAGCTGCGCCGCAATCAAGCTGCAAATGTACAAAAATGCAGGGAGAGGCCTGCGTGCAATTACGAAAAGAATACGAGTGAAGCAACATGTCTGGCAATGCCGCACAGACACAGCCCTGGGGATCTGTTGATCGAAGGAAGTCGTGCGAATGATCCCCTTGGATCGGCCAAACTGCCTGCCAACGGCAACGGACTGGATGCGACTGAGTCCGGCTATCAGATGACGGTCAAAACCTTTGTCGATTACTCCTACCTAACACGCGAGGGGCTGTCAAAGCTATTCCGCCCGAATGTCTCACCCAATGCGGATGGCCTGGCCACGCGGCTCGGCAACGGTTGGAAAAAATATCAAAATACGGCTGCGGAGCAACTGGCAAACCTGCAAGAAGAACAGGAACACGAACACGAACATGTGCGACCCAAGCTGCAAGATACTCCTGCAATATTTGCGAAAGTCTATCTGCAGAACGAGGGCAAAGGGCAGTCCCCACTGCGGATGGAGGAAGAAGCTGCCTTTGAGTCGGAAGCTCAGACGAATCTAGCAACAGTCAGCAACGGCAGCCAGGATCCGCATATGAATATGGCAGAGTTTTTCAGTCCTAGCACACACGAGCAACAGGACTCAGTGCAGACCGAACCGATGAAGATGCCCACCAAGGAATTGCCCGGCAAGGACGCCTTTCAGCATGACACTCAAGCAGAATTTGAGCTGGCAGAATGTCTCGAAATAGAATCAAACACGCCGCAGATTGAGCAAGGAATTGCTGCCGATAAAGTGGCCACTGCCCTCGAGCAAGATTCTTCTGCCGCTGTGGCAGTTCCACCGCTGCCTGCCGCAGAGGAAGCCAAGCCACAGGAGACGCTGGAGTCAATGGCTGATACCCATGCCGATGCCAATGCCAATGCCGATGCCGATGCCGATGCCTCTGTATACTTTGTCACCTACCGCTCAAAGTTGCCTGGCAATCGCATGAAACTCTTTGATGCTGCTGAAAAAACACCAAACAAAGTCTGGTCGAAGGTGGCTGCAAACGAGGCTGAGCAAGGCGCCAATCAGCCCTGCTATAACATGGAAGTCCGATCCACGCTCAGAGCGAACGTGGAGGATAATGTTGAATCCGAAACCCACCAACACAACTAAGCTTTAACCCTACTCAGCTGACCACTGGATATGCTGAAGAAACCCAAGAGCAGTTGTCCTTCATTACAATATTTAGAAATTAATTGTCAGTCTGTGGATTGAAACCGAACAGCAAGGATCCGTCCTGCTTGGAGCACAAATTTTGCGTAAGAAAATCATTTCAATTCTCTTTGAATGGCCTAAAACGAATCATTTTGCTTACCTTTCAGCATTGTACACATAAAACTGCCATTGATGTGCATTTTAATGCTGCTGCACTTTTGGGCATTTAATACTCAAAAAATAAAAAGAATACAATAGAAAAGAGTCACCGACTTTATGCGGGTAGTGGATTGGTTCTAGAGCGACTTACAGACCGAAGATGCAGCCACCGCCATAGCCTTGGAGTGTCGTTAAGGACCTTCCTACCAATCGGTCTTCATTTTTCTAAGACAAAAATAACGCCCCATGGCCTTCAATATTCCAATATTCGAGTAGCGCCTATTTTGATGCTAGATTTGATTTTATTTCCAATTAAAATTTGATTTGCGTATATTTCAATGTGTGCTGCCATCATTATTTATGCACCATTATATCATTTAGCTGCCATCAGAAATATCTGTGGCTCATTGACTCTGTGGAACTCGTTCTGAAAGCCTACATTTATTGGGTTTTAAGCGTTCATCCAGGGCAAATACGAGCACACATATGTATGTACGTAAATTAAGCTACAAGTGTGTGCCGTAAGCAGCGGCTATGGCTGGCCATTGGTAGGACTCGCGTGCCCTGCCACCCACAGCTCCATTTAGATAGATATTTTCAGTTAATTAGCTTTATTGAAGGGGAATTGCTGGCGATTGAGTGCTGATTGCTGCCTACTGCTGATCGTAGCGAGGGCACATCTCATGCTATCCATGCCGAGGACTGGCCCGCCATTTCCATCCCTAGGCCAAGGGAATGTAGCTGCAAGGGTGCTTTCGGGGTTAGTCTTGCTGTGTGGGGAGTGCTTGCTGTGGGTGCGGCCTAGGACCGCTTGCGCAGATACAAATCGAACTGCACCAGGGTGATGAAGTAGGAGAAGGCAGTGGCGGCTATGAGATAGACCAGGCGACGGTCAAAGTTGAGCAGGCCACAGAGCAGGGGCGGTCGGCACCTCAGCAGCTCCAGGGAGAAGTCTTCAATCTGTTCGGAGCATAGAGAGCATAGATAATCCGCTCCCCCTCTGTGCGTATCTCTGATAATAATTACCTGCTGGGTGAGCCGCTGCTCCGCTGTGGCTGGGGGCTCGGCAAAGGTGCGCATCGTGAGGGCGAAGCCTTCGAGCTCCTGCTTGATGTGCTCGTTGAGCAGGGTCACAATGTAGGTGTCGATGTAGAAGCCCGTGGCATACACGCACCCGATCACGATCGGGCAGCTGATCTCCTCGAGCGACTGCTTGGCCAGCATATTGAAGATGGCATAGAAATTGGTCAGATTGTTGATCAGTGTGCTCAGCACGAGGCCCAGCAGCTGGAACTGATGCATCTGAAAGCTCTCCGTGTAGAGGCTGTGTATCTGGCCGAATCGGTGCCGCAGCTCCTCCAGGCGGTCGCTCATCCGACAGCAGTGCTGCATCAGCATGCCGCCCGGCCGCAGCCCGCCCAGCTGCCGACGCAGGGCGGACAGCTGCAGATGCAGCTGGCGGTAGTACTTCAGGACGCTGCCATTCACAAAGTAAAAGTAATCGGCCATGTTCTCCGTGTAGTTCCACAGCACAAAGGCGTAGATGGCGAAGTGCAGGCGCACCTGGCTGACCGAGGGCCCGTCCGAGGCGCCATATAGCGCACATATGCCGCCCACCTGCACGAGCATCATCAGGTTGATCAGGCAGAACTTGAAGTACATGAAGAACTCGAAGCTGCGCTTCGGCTGCCGGGGTGCGTCCGCGAAGGCCGTCTCCAGGCGCTGCCGCTGCACCGTGCACCGATAGTTGATGGCCTCGAAGTGCACCGTATTGGCCACATATGTCACGATCACCGTCGCATACTTGATGGCCGTGTTCGCGAAGCTCACGTACAGCATTAGCTGCATGCGGCGATCGTGCGTCTCGGTGAGGGTGCGAAAGTGATAGACAAAGTAGCCCGGCAGCACCACGATCAGGATCAGGCTGAGCGCATGACCGTAGGCGATCAGCAGCGCCTTCAGACCCCGTCGCATTGGCTGCTGGGGCACATAGTCGATGACCACCTGCCCGTAGATGACGGCATAAATGTGGCCGTACTTGTAGAACTTGAACTCGTGCCGCTCCCAGAAACTATGCCGTTCCGGCTCCTCGTGCTGGTCCTCCTCCGGTGTCGACATTTTCAGCCCACCAGCTACCGGGACGTACTGTCACCTGGATGCCCCGTAGCCCGTAGCCAGAGCACAGAGCACAGAGCCGTGAGGCATGCCATGACATGACATGACATGACCCGCCATCAGAGCGACCAGTTGCGTGTGTGACAATGGCTGTGGCTATGCCACTCGGCGCGTAATTAATGAAAAAATATCTGATTGGGCAAGCTAAAAAAAAAAAGGATTGAAGTACTACGGCAGCTCCTGAAGCCTCCTCCCCTCATCCCCGCCTACCTTAACTTCTCCTTGCACCACTTTTGGAATCATTTAATCAATAAATACGATCGCACTAACAATCCTTAGCTGTTTAGTTGCTAGCAGATGATGAAAGGTAAATGTGTGGGCTTAACTGGGGATATATTTATATATGTATATGTATGTATATTATGTAGCATATTGCTTTATGTTTAAAACTACTCGCTACTCAAACATGACTCGCTGCTTGGCATTCGTTCCTTTTATGCAGCACAAGCCAACAGTACTGTACATCACTGCACATCATCCTCGATGCCACCTTATTCGATAAATGCCACCACTGCTACTCGCTACTTGCTACTGCTACTCGCTACTTATATTCTATACTGCTACAAGCGGATTCTACTCGCTGCGCGATATTCGCTGCTGCTTCTAGTTACTGCCACTCGCTCCTGCCACTACTCGCTACCCAGCTAAATACTTTCGATTCGCTACTCCACGCTACACTTCCACTTGCGCCTGCCACCGATATTCCCAACTATTGAAAGGACTTGGAAAATGCAATAATAGAGCCAGACGTCTGTAGTATCTGCCAGAGAGACCCAAACATAGGATTAATGCGATTCAAATGCAAGTGTAAATATTAATCGGATCACTAACCGATGCAAATGTGTTCAGTGATGGCGAGAAGAACGGCACCGCCATGGTCGGTGCTCGCTGGGACCGCAGTATGAGCAGCAGAATAATGCGACGCTGCCTGGGCGCGCACAGTGTCCAGGGACAAGCGGCCGTCACACGGGACAGCTCAATGCTCTGCATGATCGAGGATTCATCGAGGAGCCAAGCTAATGATAATTATATATCACCTGTGGGGAGGGGTGGGGGGTATTCGTATACTCACACTCTCGGCCACCAGAGTGCCGCCGTAGCAGTAGACGAGCAGCTGGCTGAGGGCGGCCACCGTGTAGGCCACATAGAGCAGGGCGCCCAGGCTGTTGTTGCCAACGGTCAGCAGATTGAAGATGCTGAAACCGATGACCAGTCCAGCGGACACAAAGTGCGCCAGCGTAATGATCGCATAGCGTTTCCTGAAGAAACTCGTCAGCTCGAAGATGGCATTCTGTCTGATGATAATGTCCCTCAGCTGAAGCTCCAGTAGCACGCACTCGGCCGGCGTTAGCTTAAGGTATGCTTCGGGTATAAACACAGGGGCATTCAGGGGGGTATTCACATTAGTTCCTGGCTGGAATAATAAACAATCTACGTACCTGCGTAGGGGCGAAAGATGGCGCGCATCTCCTCCTGCAGTGACTGAAAGAGGGACGAGATGTGGGCACAGAACTCAAAGTAGAAGCCGTCGCAGCCGCCGAACATGAAGATGGTCACATAGCCCGTGTAGGCAATAAAGGCGTAGGTCAGCGGAAAGAACGGCGCTCCGAGCAGCACTTGTGGCATTCTATGGGGTGGTAGGGGGGTTGCTCCACAGGAGTAGTTTAGAGGTTGCCAAAACCAAATGCCAGCAGCAGCAGCAGCAGCACTCACGTCATATTGAAGGGTGTGTTCCAGAGCAGCGGCTGGTCGGGATCGCGCACATACAGCACCAGGGCAATGAGCAGCGGCTTCAGGTTGTAGGTGGTGCAGGTGAAGAAGCCCGTGGACAGGGGCCAGAAATTGATGCGCGCCGCCATCACCGAATGCTCGTGCATGATGGCCCGCTGCTGGGGCCTGTTCAGGCCCCCATCGAAGATCATCTGTCGCAGTCGCTTCCACATATTGGCCAGATCCGAGCGATAGCGCAGCATCAGCAGCATCTTCAGCAGCGTGACGGCGGAGGTGCCGGCCGGACAGAGCGTCTCCAGGGCCAGGGTGATCTGCGTCTGGCGCAGAAACGCAATGCCCGCGTGCAGCTCCGTGACCACGCCAATGGACAGTATCACAAAGTGCACAATGGAACGGATGGGCAGGGGCTCGCCTATCGGCCAGTAGCCCATGATTTCCAGACTGAGGCGGGGCACGGCAAAGAAGTAAACGCCCAGCGGCTGATCGCGTCGCAGGAAGCGCAGCCAGTGCCACATAATGCAACGACAATGGAGTGCTCTGCAGCAGGAAGGACTCCTTATATAGCCACAGCGCCAGCTGCTTGGGCAACAGAGGGCGAGCAAGCAGCAGCCCACTTAATTGACTTGTTATGAAAGCAATTAGGAGAAAGTTCTGGCACAAAACTTACGCCGGGCTGCAGCTTTGAATTATTTATGCCACTGATACTGGAAGGCAGTGAAGGGACAGTCGGGACAGACGGGACAGATGGAACAGACGGGACAGACGGAACAGATGGGACAATCGGGACAGACGGGACAGACGGAACAGACGGGACAGATGGAGGTGGAACAGAAGGGACATACGGAAAAGATGGAACAGACGGAACAGACGGGGCCAGAGATGAGGGCTAGAACAGACGACGTGGGCCAAGAACGAGTGCCGCCAAGTCGCAATCAGAGCTAATGCATCAATTAGCGCTTGCCGCTAATTTCATTTGCAGTAATCAAAATACAAACAAATCCAGATTAATATATTTTGGCGCTTGCGACTTGCGACTTGGACTCCGCCTCCTTCAAAAATAAAATAAATATTCGTGCGGTTAGTTAACTCTAATCTCTAGCCCACAACTCTCACGCAGCACCGCATGAGGCTGCAGGAGCGGAGTTGAGTCCAATAAGGGTGCTCAAATGTCCGGGCATTCGAAGCCCAAATTAATACAAATAAAAGAATTCAATATGTGGCTCCCAAAATGATGATTTCCCCCCGACCTAAAATTGGTATCGAAATATTTCCAAGTGCAAGTCCAAGTGCTGCCATTTTTCTTTTAAGTTAATGAACTTTAATGAAGCCTGCAATTAGCTCAAGCCCTCTGCCATTTGCCACTTGCCCGTGCATTCCGCTCCTGTGCCACCTGATTGCCTGTCCGATGGCCTGCCTGTCCGTTGGAGTCATAAATCATGCAAACCCGTCTGGCATCGGACCCTCGTGTGTCGTTCGCTTCTTTCGCTTCGTTCGTGTGAGACATTGATTGAAGTATTGAAGTTTTTATTTCTTTTATTTTATTTTTAATTTGTTTTGTTTCTGTTTTTGTCAACGCCATGCCATAGACGGGTCTAAGGCAATCGTTTTGCAGGCACACTCAGATTAGCCGAGCACGTTCCCTGGCCAGGCCTGGCACCGGCCCCATGACGTCAGTGTAGTAGTACGAGTAGGGTAATATACATATATGTACGTGCTGCTCGCACTCGTGTCGCTGGTGTGGCTGGTGTGGGAGAGGGTGGGTGGAGGGAGTCTCACAAGTTGCGTTTGATCGGGTTTTAATCGTTGATGTTTTTGGGTGGAAGGCCTGATCATGAGTACCGACTGCCTGATAAGGTTGATTGAAGTTCACTTGAATTTGAATCTCTACGAAAAAAAAACCAAAAATGTTTTTGTTTCTCAGTCGAAGGGCAGCAAAAATGATAATGATGGCGATGATGATGAATAAATTGCTTGATTCGTTGAGTTTGGGGATACATAGATTTGATGGGCAGATATGTACATATGTGCTCGTAATTGCAGCGACAGTCCCCGAGAGTGCCAAGCACCAAAGAACTTAGCAGCACCAAATGACTGGCCACTGGCCACTGGCCACTGGCAAATTGAATCAACGGCAATTGTTCAACTAGCTACAGTAGCGTAGCGCTACTGTACTGTACATATTTGCCCCTTTATTTTGAACCCCCCATTTGATTTCACATTTTGTAGTTTTGTATCCCTCATGTCGTACATAGACACAAACACACGCATGCCTGCAAGAGCCACGCAATACAATTACAACCAGAGAGAGAGAGAGAGAGAGAAGCTTTCACACTGCTTGAATACCCTTTAGGATGGATTGTTCTTAAGGCAGCAGCAGCTACATGCAGCTTAAGACTCTCTTCAGAGAGTCTCCTCTTGGTAGCCACTGAAAGATTAGTTTATTAACCTTTATGCTGTTCCTTCATCTATAAACAGCGCTGATCGTTTGCTAATCAGGCAGCGAACAAACTTTCTGCTCGGCCTGTGCCAACAGCTGCTCAAAATTCGCATACCCTGCTGCGCCAGAGAGGTAGAAAGAGAGAGAGAGCGCGCGAGGAGGAGATCAACTCAATTGAGATGGCCTGACATTGTTTTTGATGAGCTGAGCAGCGTGGCAGGGTAGGGTGGCGGCGAGCAGGAAGAACAGCCTTAATTTTGGTGGCCGGTGGCTTGGGCCTACGATCACGCTGTTTCATGACAAGCCGAACTGGGGGGACCCAGCACGCAACTCGCAGCTCGCAGCACCCATACAATCATAAAGTGCACATGACTCTGGGCATTAGATAAGTTTATTATATAGAATAAATAAGCGTGCGGTGGTGCCACAGAGCCACAGAGCCCCGAAATGGAACCCGAAAGCGAAACAGAAACAGAAACAAGAAACCCCAATGCGAACGTAACGAACCAAAAGCGAGCCCCGCAGACCGCTGGGCTATAAAGAAGTTTAACAATTCAGACAGTTTAAAGCATAAATTGTTTAATAGAGTTTATACGCCAATTGGGGGCATAAAATAAAGAGTGTATGTAGCAGTGTTTTTTTTTTTTTTTATAATTCGGTTCGCATCGGTTGGGTTTCTGCTGCACAGCCAGCCCCTCCCTCTCCACTCACTCTCTTTCTCTCGCGCCACGAACATTGATATTACGTATACGCAACGCACGCTTGCGCCTGTCTGCACTCTTGGACACATACCAAGCATTCCACACTCGTAGCACTGGCAAAGTTCAGGGTCGTGCAGGCCAAGAATTAGGTGGAAGTGCGTCTGCCTTTATGAGGGCCAATATTTGGGCCGTTGGCTATGGCTATGGCTATGGCTATGTTATGCAACTTTATTGGGGCCCAGCCTGGAGGCCAAGACAAACGAACTCAACTAAGTTCCCTGGACAGCCGACTGTTTTAATACCCTTGCAGAACGCTCTCTCTCTCTGCCCAAAGTCGTACCCCCCCCCTTTCAAAGTGTAAATATAAAAATCCAAACAATAAAATGGCGCCAAACAAAGAGAAAGAGAGTTAAATTAGGGGATGATGATGATGGCCCACAATGATTAATTGGCACTTGATGATCGCCAATTAAGCAGGCAAATTAATGTGAGCGAACGATCCACTCCCATCCACAGAATGGAACGATCCCCAGCTGAACGGGCCGCCAACGATAACACGTCTCCGTCTGCACAGTCTCCCCCGCCAATCAATTAGTCACACAAACAAAATACCCCACCCCAGTGGGTGAGGAGGGTGGGGAGGAGGGTAAGGAGGGTGCCGGTGCTGCCTTCACCTACTTACGGTTAAGTCGGTTAACCCGTGCGCGACAAGCAGCACCACCGCGCCTGCTGCTGGCCTGCTGCTGGCCTGCTGGCCTGGCCTGCTGCTTATCGAAGCCACGCGTCAATGGCGGCTGCTTGTTCTTCCACACTCTTCTGGGTACTTAATCTTGGCCCTAAGCACTATCGTCCGTGAGATCAAAGTTTTGTGGTCTGACCAGGCGGGGGTTTATGGCCGATCGATCGATTCCGCCGACGCCTAAGCCAATTTGAATGCAGCAAAGACGCGCTGCCGAAAAAAAATAAAAAATAAATAAATAAAAAAAAAAAATGCCTCGTTAAATGCGAGCAAAGATCGCAACGGCAGGCGGACGATGAACGACGTCACCAGACGCATGCGCAGTTCACGTGAACGGTCGAGCAGAAGACGTGCCGGGCCGACGGACGGAAAAGCAGATCTCAGACGAGAAAGGCGAGAAGCGAGACGACATACGGATTACGGATTGAGGCGATAATGGGCATATGACACTCGCTTAATCATAATTCGAACTGATGAGAGTCCGCCACACTAAGCAGAGCCACAAAAACTGATTCGTTCAAGTCGAAAATCAGTGAACAAAAAGGAGACTAAAATTGTGTACAAGAACATCTTAGAACTTACGGAATTTGTACAATTTTTTCATCTGAGAATTTTTTCCAATACAATATTTTTTCCAAGAAGCAGTGGCACTAATCATTAAAGCACAGAATCATGACTTTTGGCCGTTTCAAATCAGCGAAAACAGGAGCTTAAAATAAAACATTAAAAAACAACAGAAAAAACACCATTCCCGTATATTACGAGATCTATCCCATTTTTCAGCAAATGTATATGTGTCCTTCCAATTTAAATAAGTATTGTGTATGGGCTGGTACATAATTGCAAAGCAATCCATGGACTATGTTAAGTAAGTGTCATACGGGCCTTAATCGAAAATTACTTCACGTTTGTCTGCTCCGTTTATTTTATGTACTATCGAATGAATTTGTTTGGGAAAGGGGAAATGGATGGGAATGGGGGCGGGGGGTGTGTGTAGGCATGTTTGTAGACGCCAATGCATACATACATACATATGTTAATTGTGCATTTAAAATTGAAATAAAATGTTGCTTGTCGCAATTTATTTGGCCAACTTCCTCTCCCACTCCGCTGCTCCGCCAGACGGCAGACGGCAGACGGCAGTCCGAACCGTATTTTTTTTTTGTCTGTTTTTATTTGCGTTTAAATTTAGATCGACTGGCGCAGTCCTTTACACCCGAAGGGAAAAGCTTTTGTCATACAAAATAAAGGTTTCACATGTACATGTATATGGAATGGAAATACATCAAACATATAAATCATGTCTTTGTGCCTTGTTTACTTTACAGCTTCTCTGTCTGTCTTGATGATGTAACGTTTATTAATCATTGAAAAATATATATGTATATCTACATTTATGTATGTAGATTGCACTTATTCACTTAAGTGCTGAGTAAATCTACGTACGTATCTGTGTAAGGTTGCTTGGGGGAGTATGCGCTGGGTCTCTGGGTGTATAGTCTCTCGGCTTAATAGAGTAAGAGAGTTAGAAGTTCATTATTTTTAGACTTAAAACTTGTTTGGATTGCTTTTAGATCGACGGCCAGACCTTCATTCAATTAACTAACAATTTTCACACCTCCTCCAGCCCTCAGACACGACCAATATTTTACGCTGGCTGTACGGCACTACGCATTGAGACGCAGCCGAGACGCTGACTACGCACTTGGCACGGACCCGGACCCCGACCCCGGACAAGAGAGGTTCACGTGGGGGCTTGAACCGTGATATCGGTTGCCGGAAAGCGATTAAAAGGGAACGTAACATACTCGCACATCTGTGATTACAGAGATATGTACATACATACATATGTATGTACAGTATGTATTGTATGTCTGCGACAATGTCAGATTTGTTCACGTTTCTTTTTTACTATATTTATATATTTACATTTTGTTGGGATTTGTATTCGTGTGTGTGCGTGTGTGTGTGTGCCATGGCTTGGTACGCCAAAGACACTCGCAATAATAAAATGTGAGAATCTTGAAAAGGTAATTAGCACATATGCTCTGCTCTGCTCTGCTGTGCTCTGCTCTGCTCCGCTCGTGTTTGTTTTATACGCCATAAAAATAATACAAAAAAAAATCGAGTCACACATCCGACGGCGACGAAAATCATTTTCTGTCGGATTTGGAGTCGGGAGTCTCGTCTGGGCCAGTCTGGGCACTGGGGGCCTATAAAAGCAGATCAATCGCCGATGGATATGCGCAGTCAGTCTCCGCAAAGAGTGCCCACTGTGTTCTACCGTTTCCAGCTGCAGTCTCTCTCAGTCTCTCTCAGTTTATCCAGTCTCAAAAGACAGCGCCCCAGTATATCACAGTCTGCAATCTGCAGCGTCATCACAGTCGCATCCTGCAATATTCAGTCAAGTGCAAGTGTCAAAGATCAATAGGGAGATAAATAAAATTGCAATTGCACTTCACTGTGTGGACTAAGCAAAGGAACAAAATGCATTCATCGTAAGTTAACAGACGATAGTCGCTCATCGCTAAGCCACTTGCTTGGCAGCAAACATCGACCTCGACCTCGGCCTCGGCCTTGTGCTTGTCCTTGTCCTTGTCATCATCGATTCGATCTACATCTCCATCGACACAGCCAGTGTCCCCCCCCCCCCGTCCCCCCCAACCCCCGCTGTCTCATGTGTTCTCGATCTGGCTGATAAGCGGATTACAATTACAAAGATTGCAAATGCATCAAACAGTAATATCCCGCTATCACAACCTCCCACCAACACCTTCATTCACTTCATTCACGCATTAATCAAAAGTGAATCAAAAATAAAACAAGGCATTTGGCAAAACGAACGAGAAACGAAGCAGCGACCGGAAGCAACCAGGAATCCAATTGGGAATCTGTAACAGTAACAGAATGTTTGCGGGAGAGGCTCTCCTTCCTCGCCTCTCTCTCTCATCTCTCTCACGCAGTAACAATATGAAGAGCGCGCGCGCGACACAACCGCAGCGACAACACTGCAAAACGAACGGTTTCTTTCCCCCTTCGCATCCTTCTATAATTGCCAACGGCGACGGCGACTGCGACGTTGACTGCGACGCTAACACTGACGTCTAATCTGTTCTGTGGGATTGGGTGGGGTAGGCGCGCACACGACGCCGTCCAAGTTGTATTTATCGCATGGTGGGGCTATACAGGCTCATTAGCTCTTCAATCTCTAAATCTCTCTTGGGCTAGCGATGACCTTCGGGTGCATCCCATGCAATATCAATTGATAGCCAATCCGTCTCCCAGGGAAAGTTTTCCCCAAAGCGAACTGGCGATGCATCCATCGCTTTTATTATTCCTATAAATTTCTTAACATTGACAAGCAAAGCCCTGAGAACAGCAAGGGTCGGATTTGCGGGTGTCAAACAGACAAGAGTGTAGGCGCCTAATTATTTTTCTCCGTCAAGTCGTTCAAAAATGTATTGCCACGAAAGTAAATTATTCACCCGAGCAGTTAAGTAATTAACTCACGCACCTAATTGAGAACCCACTTCCTACTTGGCCTCACCTTGTCTAAAATACACCTTGGACAGTGTCGAGTCGATCATGCAGCGGGCGGCAGGCTAGAACAAGTGACGAACGCCGCACCGCCGCCGCCTCTGCTGCTGCTACTGCTGCTGCTGCTGCTGCTGGCAGCGACTACAACAGCTGTTGCTTTTGTTTTCAATGGCGCAGCTGCTGCTGCTGCTGTTGCTGCTGCTTTCGCGGCCGCAGCGCTTAGTTTGTTGTAAGTAGTAGACTAGCAGAACAGCAACAACAAATACAAAAACATTGCTGTTACTGTTGCTGGCGGCGTATTATAAATTGTGTGTGTTTTTTTTTTGTTTTGTTTGTTGTTTGTCATTATAAATTGAGTTGGAATAACGCTTTCCAGCTTAGTCGTGTTCCAGTAACGCTTCCGCTCGCAACCTAACTAAGAAAAAAAATCCACACCACCCAACCACCCACCCAAGGACACTTAGGCATTTCCTAAGCACAAATAAAAGTTCAGAGTGTGAGAAAATCCAAAATACAAAAACAGGTGCATATTCCCAAAATACAAACAAAAAAAATACAAAAACCCAACAAAACCCGGAGACCCAGAACTCCTGACCTCTGCCCTCCACCGCTCCAATTCGAAACGTGTGCCAATCGAATCTTGTTTTATATTTGATTCACCTTTTTTTTCCCGCAAAACCACAACCGTCACCAACACCACCACCACCACAATACCAATCCTCCAGTATGTCCGCTAGAATTCTGGAAGACTCGCCCAATGCGCGCATCAACAAGACCATTCTCGATCGCTATCTGTCGCTGCCGCTGGAGGATAACGTGGTCCAGGCCACCTATGTGTGGATCGATGGCACCGGCGAGGATCTGCGCTGCAAGGATCGCACCCTCGACTTTATCCCCACGAGTCCCAAGGGTAAGTCCTAACACTCTATCCATCTGATATTGGTTGGGGGTGGGGGCATCCTCCAACATGCCCAATGCCTCCCAGTTGCCCCGTCCCTAATCTAATCTATTGGCCAAGTGGCCCAAAAACACACACACAACTCCAATTCCCATTCCAATGACAGTTTTGAGTGCTGCTCTGCTGCTCTGCTGCTCTGGGTGTGTGATTTATAGGCCATAATCCAGCAGTACCGATCCGATCCGATCCCAGCAGTTCCGTTGCTCAGTTTTATCGCCCCAAATGGGTACAAATTATTTTGACAAACATTAATTGGCATTTAATGTGAATCGTGTCGTGTGTGTGTGTGAGAAAGGAAAGGGAAATTGAGCCCAAAATATCTTCCATGCCAGACGCGATGCGATGCGACACTTGCTAATTTCCCAATAAACAACAGACAGACAGACAGACAGATGCATACATATATTCACACTTTAATCCCATACACAAACTCGTGCCAGCAATGCTCCCCCCAAACGAGTATTCGTATCCCCCCCATTTACGGGCTTTTATGGTTGCTATTCGATCAATTTTGGCACTGAACCGCTTCGTTTGTTTTAGTTTTTAGTTTTTAGCTCTGTTGGGCCGTTGATTTTATTTGATTTTCAATTTGCTTTTTATTGATTCCTCCTCATTCACCACAAGGAACAGAACAGAGATAAGAGCCAGAGTACACGAAATTCATTCGGTTCATTATGTAACTCGCTCCCCACCACCCCTCCACCAACTTGCACTGTGTGCGCTGCTGCTGACCTTTGCCTTGGCACGGTTCTGGGCAGCATTTGGGGTTCGTCTCGGAAGTGCTATTCTACCCCCCCCCCCCCCTATGTGAGGGGGGGGTTCTAAAAAAAGAAAATTTTTCACGACTCGCGTCTGATAATGCGATTTAATGCGATCGCGCGAGGGCTTCATAAAAATACAACAACGAAAAAACCGAAAACCGAAAACAAAAAAATTGCGACGGCTGTCTTGAAAGAGTTTTTCATTTAATTGATTGCGTTTTAATGTGCAATTACCGAGCAGAGTCTTTAGTGCCTGCTCTATGGCCAGCCGTAAACTAATCAAGTCTGGGGCAAAACATAGTCTCCCCCCCACACACACACACACACACACACAGACACACAGCCACAGACACAACTCAGACCAGACAGATACAGACAGACTACTCGTAGGTAGTGCTAGTGCTCCCAAATAGCCCGCCAACAACTCGGAAGTGAAGTCGATTCCCTCTACCCCAGTAGATCTTGTCATCTTAATTATTCCACTCGCACACGCTGTTTGGCTGCCTGCCTGCCTGCCTGCCTGCTGCCTGAACTTGAAAGCGCATAGAATACAAAAAAAAAATGCAAAGACAAACAACTTTTGCTGCCTGCTAGCTGCTGGCTGCTGACTTTTGCTATCAAAGTGACTTAATGCGCACAATTACTAATTAAGAATCTGTAGATACATCTACACACGACACACACGCACATGCACACAAAGTGCATCGAACAATGACAAAGAAAGAGAGAAAGAAAGAAAGAAAGAAAGAGAGTGGCGACAGCGCGTGTGGGTGGGTGGGTGGGTGGGCTGTGTAGGAAATCGACACGTTGCTGCTTAAGCACTGGCCAAACGAGGCAGCAGCTGATCCGTGGCATGGCAAGCTTCCAGCTACAGCTTTAGGGACGATGAGGAATGAAATGAAAGTAATCGATCACATATTTGTTAGAATAAGGCTATTAAATAAAGGTAAAGGTAATGCAAAGAGAACTTCCCCCTGAACGTGGATAGTTCGTAAATGCAGTCCAAAGAAGTTCCATTCTAATTGGGCAATTTTCCTAACAATTTGATACCAAAATGACACTTAATCGGTGAAGCGTGCAGGTTTCAATAACAAATAAAAAAATCAACTCGATTTTGCATTGTATGCGGGGGGGGGCCTTCTGCAACCAAGGGGGGTCGCACCCTGCCTATCAGGCGACCATCAAGTGCAATCAATAAATTGCAATAAAAGAAAAACACTTGAACAAGAAAACGCTGTCCAATGGCCCCCACCTCAAGGGTGCAGCTGATTAGGCTTAACAAAAAGAAATACCACAAGATGGGAATTTCGGGGAAAGTTCGGGGGAAAACCCTAAATGGGATGAGCAAATGTAAGGCCCAACAAACAATGATTAGAGCAAAGGCTAATACAATAACTGTGGCACAGTGACACACTGTCGTCCGGCGTCTCTGTCTCTGTCTCTGTAGCTGTCTCTGTAGCTGTAGCTGTAGCTGTCTATAGTCTACAGCTGTTTATCAATTGGAGTGCGCTCTACGAGCAGACGGGAGACACTCACACACGCAGCCAGCGAGTGATGATGATGACGATGATGACGATGATGAGTGGTGGAGAGACAGCAGTCGATGGCGAGAATGGGACTGAGGACTGTCGCTGCGACGACTGGGGTCGTTCCGAGTGATAGAGATAGAGAACTAACATGAGATACCAGATTGTAAATGAAAACGCTTGCTCAAGGTCACCCCCCGCCTGTTACAATAGACTGCAAATGACTCTGTCACCCCCCCCCCCTACCCGCTCTCTCTCTCTCTTCCGCTCACAGCGTGAAATTTGCATAAGTGAAATATTTTCATTAGCATTATTTACATGCATTGAGAGGGCAGTGACGGCGGGCAGGGTAGGGTAGGGATAGGGTCGGGTAGGGAAATTAACAATTTATTATAATAAACAACAGGCAACTGGGCAAACAGGTTCCCAAAGCACTGGACCTGAGCCCCAGCCCAGCCCCATGACAATTCAACGGAATCCCCTCTTTTTGAGGGACACTTTGCTAAAAATAATAAAAACAATACCCAACCAAAGGTTAGAGCGGGGGGTGGAGGGTACTGTGAAATTTAATATGCGCACAATAATTATAGTACATTTTATAAGCGATATCTTTGAAGAATAATTGCTGGAGGGGGGGGGCGGCATTGGGAATCCCAAGCAGCAGCAGGCAAGGCACACAGCACTTTGGGACTTAAGAAAATAAATATAGATATCAATAATGGAATAGAATTCGAACAGCAAATAATTAACATTCAGGGCATGCTCGATTTCTGGTACAATTTCCTAGGGATATTTCACAAAAACAATTCAAAATTAAAGTTGAATGTATACCCTGACCCTCTTTATACTTTCCGCCCTCTTTTGGTCAGTCTCAAATGTATGAAACGCACTGTATGTGCACGCTAAATAGAGAAATGCACCTGGCGCGTGCCTTTTGTGTGAAAAATGAGAAATTGCTAGGGAGATGTGAAACCCAGTGTACCCAAAAGGCAGCAGCAATTGCCAACAATTACAATTAAATCGAGAGTATTGCATGCTAAGTGAGCCACAAGGTCAGGCCCCTGAACCCCACCCCAAGCAACCCCAAGCAACCCTTAACTAATGCCCGCCAATCAATTCCATTCAATTCAATTCAATTCAATCAAATAGAATTACCCGTGTGGAATTATGATGGCAGCTCGTGCTACCAGGCCGAGGGCTCCAATTCGGACACCTACCTGTATCCGGTGGCCATCTACAAGGATCCCTTCCGCCGTGGCAACAACATTCTGGTGATGTGCGACACCTACAAGTTCGATGGCACCCCCACCGACACCAACAAGAGGAAGAGCTGCCTGGAGGTGGACAACAAGTGCGTCGATGAGGTGCCATGGTTCGGCATTGAGCAGGAGTACACCTTCCTTGACTTTGATGGCCATCCATTGGGCTGGCCCAAGAACGGTTTCCCCGGTCCCCAGGGTCCCTACTACTGCGGCGTGGGCGCCAATAAGGTAAGGCATCAAATAAATAAATATCAAATAAATATGTGTAAAGAGTTTTGTTTTGTTTTATTCCCTGCTTTGCTTTGCTTTGCTTTAGGTCTATGCCCGTGACATTGTGGATGCGCATTATCGTGCCTGTCTGTATGCTGGCATCAAGGTGTCCGGCACCAATGCCGAGGTGATGCCCGCCCAATGGGAGTTCCAGGTGGGACCCTGTGTGGGCATCTCCATTGGCGATGACTTGTGGATGGCTCGCTTCCTCTTGCATCGCATCTCGGAGGAGTTTGGCGTAAGTAGTAGATCAATCCCACATTACCTAGAGATTGCATCGGTGCTCAACGCTCTTTGCGATTGCAGATTGTGTCCACATTGGACCCCAAGCCCATGCCCGGTGACTGGAACGGTGCCGGTGCCCATACCAATGTCTCCACCAAGGCCATGCGGGAGGATGGTGGCATTCGGGATATTGAGAAGGCGGTGGCCAAGCTATCCAAGTGCCATGAGCGTCACATTCGCGCCTATGATCCCAAGCAGGGACAGGACAATGCCCGTCGCCTCACCGGCAAGCACGAGACGAGCTCCATCAATGACTTCAGCGCTGGAGTGGCCAACCGTGGCTGCAGCATACGCATTCCCCGTGGCGTCAACGATGATGGCAAGGGCTATTTCGAGGATCGTCGCCCCAGCTCCAATTGCGATCCCTACTCCGTGGTGGAGGCCATCTTGCGGACCATCTGCCTGGACGAGTAGAGGCGGTGGCAATAGAGGGCAGACAATGGCACCATTCTATATATGCATCTTGTCCATCTTGTCTGCCTGCAGCATTGTTTTGTTGCCCTGTTATTGATTTCTAATTTGTTGTTAACCCATCGATCCACTGATCCATTGACCCCGCACCTCTGCCCGCACCCGCACCCGTACCCGACACCCGACACCCGACACCTGACACCCGGCAAGCCGAACCGAACCGAATCGTAACAAAAAAAATCGGACGCGGACGCGGACCCCGTCTCTCGGCGGTGGTAATATGTATACCGTTAGACATTAGTCATTAGGCGCAATTCAATTTACCTAACGTATTTTCCCCCCACTGAAGTTCCTGACGCTGAAGGGCAGGACAGGATCTAGAAACAGAATTACTCTATCTACTATATAGAAACTTCCTCGCTAAGATTTTCCAGTGTTTTTTTTTTGTTTTTTTTTCTCCAGCCCCTGTTGTTAGGTTTTAGTGTGAGGATGTTTTTAATTATGTTTTTTTTTTGTTGTTGTTGTTGTTGAATGATTAACGAGTAGAGCAAGCAAAGATCCAAAAAGATATACCACCCCTGATCGCCCCCCATGAGCGAATGGGTGGGGGGCCCCCCAAAGACAAAGAACGAAGAACATAAAGCTGTAGGATCAAACAACACAGTCCCCAGACCCCATCCCTATAATTGTTAATGATATTAATTAATTACGCGTAATCCTAAACTACATACATACAAATATACTCTCTAGTTAAGTAAATGCACTAAAAAACAAAAAAAATATTAAAAAAATATACAAAATACAACAAAAAAAAAAACAAAAAACAAAACGAAGTTTCATTGAAGGGCTGACTGTTAAATATAATGCAAATATTCCGCATACCGCATTCCGTATTCCTAATGAGATGCTCAAACGCTTAAGCGTCGAATGGGAGCGTGTCCAAAACCAATATTTTCACTTGTTTGAATATTTAATATGGTTCCAATTGACAGCTCCAATTGACAGTTGAATAGAGAAAGTAACAAGTGTATGTATTGGACTGTATGTATTATCACTTTAAAATAATAGTCGTTCGATTTTCGCACTCGCAGCACAAAGATTAGAAAAATATGTGTCAAGTTAAAGATTTCCCACGATAAAGATTGCTCATTTTCATGCTCAATAAATGTAGACAGAGAGAGAACTTATACCTTATACCCTTTGATTCTAAAATGGAATGATATTTTCATTCGATTGGAATATTCCGCCATCCAAATGCTGCACAGGATTAATGCGTAGCAGAGTACTAGCTGACATGGTATCCGTATCCACAATATAATCTGCTGCAGCCTTATTGCATTCTCCTCAAGCAAAATGCACGTGTGAAATGCATTTGCTTGTTCGTAGAAAGTTTTCATTCAGTGCCCGACGGCACAGGCTATAGTTATACACGTAAGTACATACATATGTATATGCATTGTAGATTAAGCTGAAATTCATTGTGAGATTCATTAGCTGACAGGCAGTGCAGCCAGCCCAGTCAGCACACCCTCCCACCCTACAAGTACCCATCCCATAAGCAACCAAATTGCATCATCAAATTTGAGTACTGCTCTTGTGTTTTTGTAATTTTTAATTTTTATTTTGCTTCTCATTTTGTTTTTATTCATTTAATACTAAAAGTTATAACTTTGATTTCGCTTTGTTTTACTGTTTAAATTTCGGTTGTCTCGCTCTTGATTTTTGTGTGCTGTGTGTTCAATATTTTCTGTTGCTGTTTCTGGTTTCGGTTGCTGTTTCTGTTGCTGTTTGCATTTCCCACCTGTTCTGTTGTCACATCTCACACGCTCTTCAATCGTTATATTTTTTATAGTTATTGGTTGTATGTATGTATGTATGTATATACTACATATATACTATATATATAATTTGTATAACACTATTTGTTGTTTGCTGTATTTTGTTTGCTACTTTGTTTTTTTTTTTTCCCATTTTGTGACTTGTGTGAATTTTCGTTTGAATTATTCTCTGACGATGATCAACAATGAACGAAAATAATTATAAGTGTAATACTTAATTGCAAATCAAACTGAAAACTGAACACTAGCACTGCCTTTACTCTGCTTTTCTTTGCTTTGCCTTACTTAATGGAAGCAGTAACTGATTTATTTGCCTTTAATACAATATACATACTACATATATAGGTATACTGGTATGTGTACGCTCGTGTACTATATGTATGCTAATTAATTGCATTCAATGGAATTGGGCGAGGGTTCAACAAATCGCCTTGGTCTTAGTCGAGTCTGGTCCAGGGAAGTCATTGGCCAGTTGCCCCAGTCAGTCGCATTGATAAACTGCAAAGTCTTGAAACATTTATCAAATCAAACAACAGACAGACAGACAGGCAGTCGGGGGAAAATGTAAACAAATGAAATCCAATCAAGGGTTCAATAACTCTCCGGCATGAGTCACGTGTTAAGTGTGGGTCAATTGTTTGATTAGCAAATTTGCACCCCCCCAGCATTTAACCCATTGACCAGGCTATCTGTTAGCCGTAGAGCAGTATATGCAGTATAGTATGTGTAGTCAATCAGTTAACACGCCGCCGTAAAGCCCCAAGCCAAGTCTAGACTTTGGACAAACTTTGCACACAACAGAACAGAAGAGAACTTTGATGATGTGCTGGTGCGCTGTCAAACAATAAATCCAATTGCAAGTCAGTCCAGTCCATAGTATGTATAGAAATGTATAAATAAACTAGCATAGATACTTATAATTTGTGCCGTAATTGCTTGCCATAACATAAATACAAAATTAATTCTAGGTTGCGCTTGGCCTGGGCGTGCCGTGCCGCAGAAATATATAGTACATACAATACAATAAAATATATAATTTAATACATATTGTTATACATATAAGAACAAAAAATTCTAATAGTTCAGCAAAAGTCGGGAACAAAACAACAAAAAAAAGAACACTACATACAAATACAAATACAAATACAGCATTACAATATGGTAATCGTACTTAAATGATTATGTATAACAAAGTTTTGTGACACGTTTCATATTGGATACACACTATAGTATATAGCAGAATATATTCACTCATCCGCAGTATGTATGCAGCTCGTGTTTGTCATGCAGGGGGCAAATGCAATCAATCCTTAAGTGGAATTATACAAATTAAGTTTATCTCGTCGTATAAGTAACAAACCTAAACATTGATTAAGAATCTATAGTTCGAAACAAAATTGAATACAAAAAGAACTTAAATATTGCACATACATATTGGATACAACAAAACACTCAACCTGAATTATTGTGTGCGAGCAATCGCCCGCCGTTCGATTCATCTCTCAATCTTACAAAACGATTGATAGTTCGTTGGTTATCAATTATTGATAGCTAGTCTATCGAGTAATCGCTAGTTATGCTTCATTTCGTCCCATTGCTTATTTAATCAAAATCTTGACAACAACTAATCGGCTAAGCGCCTCAATTTCGACTAGTTGTTTTTTTTATATAATAGATGAATGGAAGTTTTCACTTATTCATAAATTGTTTTTTATCGATTAATATTGGTCTTAAGGGATTGCTTGCCGTTTCTCGATTAACCATCTACCAATCAATCTCCTTCTCGATTGCTCGCTCTTATCGCTTATCGATAAATATATCTTTAATCGATTACACGATTTTTCTCTATGTTGTCTGTTTTTGTTTTTTTTTGTTTGCATTGTACAAGCTGCCAAATGGGTTTCAAATCGTTTTCAGTGTAACAAGGAACCATATCTATAAATGTTGGCTAACGCGAATGTCAACTAAATATCGTAAGAATATCGTAAGAATTGTATATATCGTAATTGTTATCGTAATATCGTTCTTGGGAGGGGGAGTAGGGATTGTTGGAGAAAGTGGTTGACTCGGGGTATTGGGATCTGAGCGCCACCTCTCTCCGTGCTACCTTCACATTGTTTGTGTTTGTGTGTGTTGTGGTTTTTTTTTTTACTATTTTAAATAGTTTGGGATTTTGTTTTGTGTTTCTTCTTGCATTTGATTCTGCATTTGGCAACGCTTGTTACTGTGTCTTTCGCACTTGGTTGTATATTAGTTGTAGTTTTTTTTTGTTTTGTTTCGTTTGTTTAAGATACAAATTTTAGATTTAGATGGGTTATCCTACTGCAAGGAGTTACAAAATTCACTCTAGACATATCGTTTCGTTCGACATAGATCAAATCAAAATAATAAAAAATACACACAAATGAAATTTGTGGGATTCTGTAATGACAATTTGCGTAAACATTTTCAAAAATCTTCATCTACTTTCGCTTAAAACTTACATTAAAACTTTAGGTTTTCTTTTCTTTTTTTGGGGGGGTATGGTTGGTTAGGAATGGTGGTTGAGGGAAGGAGGGGGTTACATAAAAATGCTTTGCTAGTATATCGAGAAGATACGTCTCCCTCCTTGTTATTTCTGAATCAATGTACAAAACTGTTATATATAAATCGTTTTGATTGGGGATTTTCAATAAATAAATATGAGTGTGTGTTTGTGGATTATAAAACATAACAGTAATAGAATTTAAAATACAAAAAAAAAATTAATAATTAATAATTAATTGATTTAAAAATAATCATAATATGGTAGGTATTCTTATCATCATAAAATTTAAACGAATATTATACATAAATAATATTTGTGGTTTTGATTCCAACTATTTTTTGATGTTACTCTCTCTCTCTCTCTCTCTCTGTTTCTTTCTCTGATCAATCTGTAATCTTAACCACTATTTCCACTATATTGCCCGATGCTGCTCCGCTTCCGCTGCTGCTTTGTGATCACAGGCATGTGTATAATATATATAGTATATATATGTATATATGTATATATATATTGTTATATATATTGTAGATCGGCTTGTGCTTCGCTTCCTTTCTCTCAATGCATATAACAGCAGACGATGTATATGCCTGTGGGAGCCGTGTATCCTGTACTGCCCCTGATATTTCCTTGCCCTCTTGTGGCTGCTGTTGTGAATGTTGTTGTCGTGCGGCGGATTTGTTGTTGTTTTTGTTATGTCGACAGCTCTGTGCTACCACGCCGCATCATATTGAGTTCGCTAAAGTCCATCTCTGTCGATTCAATCGACTGTATCGATGCACTGCGCAGCTTTGTGCCCGGAAACTTGCCGCGACTCTTCACCGCCGTCAACTGTTTGGGAGGGAGGGGCATCGAAAAACATTCATTAGTTTAAAGATGTTTAAAATGAGTATAATTTATGGAAAAATAAAAGCTTGTACAGGTATACCTATTTGTATAATTATAAAAGTTTCTACCTTTGCAGAAATAACAATACATTTCTAATGGAACTGCATGCATACATATATATGTATGTATGTACAATATGTATATGTTTTTATAGAAATTATAGACTATCTTTTCCAAACTAATATATCGATTTTGTATGAATATTGGATTCATTCAATCCAGTTTAAGAGTTACATTTTAAGCTAGTCAAATAATTTAAAATAAAATCTGCAAAGGGTATTCAAAAGTCAAGCATTTCTTTCTTATTTTCTTTGTATTTTGCATGCAAAAAGACATCTCTGTACCTCTGATTGATTTATAACTTAGATAAGCAAAGATCGATCTATGAAACGAATCATATACGTACATACATATGTAACTATTTTCGTGTTTAAAATACTTATTTGAATTATAAACTACTATAGATAATGTCAATTAGGTTAGATAAGATCAGGCATGCAGGCGTGCAGAATAATAGCAATAGTATTACGAAATGTTTTTGCATTAAGACACTCCCGACAAGGTGAGGTACGAGTAGGAGAATATGTTGATCGGTTCAAGTATGTAATCCAAAGTGTAGCTGCTGTGGCAAGGTAATAAACAACAACGAGCAGCTAGAAGCTGCGGTTTAATTTCAGTTTCAGTTGAAGACATTTTTGAGAGTAATGCTAAGTACTTAGATCAGTTAAGACCTTTGTGACCCATTTAAAAATTAAAGAAATTAATGCTTTTTTAACAAGGACTTCCAGCCATCGGCAAAGAAAACCAATCAAAAAATCCAACCAGACGAAACTAAATATTTAACTGGTAAAAATTTAAAAAGAGCTTTTAATTGAGCTTTTAATTAAAGCTTATTTGCTGTTTTTTCCCCTATTAAATGTTGAAAAAATACCATATGAAAATTACAAAAATTTTACTTGAAAAACAGAACAAAAATACTGCAAAAAAAACGTACACCATAAAAACAAACAAAAAAAAAACGTTTGGCATTTTTTTTTGGTTATTTTTTAAATCAATTCTAAAAAAAAACATTTCTGATCTAAGACGAACGCGAAAGAAAAAGGTTCATGGCTAGGCTTAACGTAATAAAAGGTTCATGCCCACGCTAAAAAAAAAAGGTTCATGTTCAAGCTCTGGCAAAAGCTTTCATTTACAGCTATCTATTTGCAACTGGAACACAGAAAGAGAATAAGGAATGCTGGGAATGGAATCAGGTTTCATGTTCATGCAAGTATGTTCGAAAATGGTAGAAAGGAACGGATGCAACATGTCGGAAAACTATAGAAATACGAAATACGATGCAGCAAATGGTACGTATACGCCATGCCTATAATATTTAAGTATTTAAACAAAATATTTCATTATCAGCTGTTTTTCATAAAGACCTGTCGTATTTTGGAATTTTGCTTTTGTCGGGTGTTCGCAAGAGAGCATTTTGCATGGTATTTGAGTTTAGGTTTTAGTTTAATTATGGCTTGATTGATTGATGTAACTTGTTTCGGTTTCGGTTTATTTTTATGGTTTCTTTTCATTGTTCATTTCGTGTTGTTTTTTTTTAGCTGCTTCATTTTCTTTTTTGTGTGTTTATATAGGTTTTAAATACGTTTAGCTAATCCATTTCCATGGCTCAGTGTCGGGGCTGGTTATTGGCGTGGGAAACTATAATTAAACCGACGACAATGGACAATATTTTTGTATTGTTTCGTTATGAACAGAATGATGGAATGGAACAAAATTCAATGGGCAATTACAACAAGAGAGAGCCCACACACACACACGTGGATCAAATGGGTATAGAAACAAACGAAAAAACACAAGTAAAATCGAAACAAAAGAAAAGTAAGGCAAATAAGAAGGAGTTCAATCTCACTTCAATGTGAGAGCCAGGCTCTGTAATGTTTGAAAGTGCCAGAAGCTCCCCTTTTTAGACACAATTGAAGCACTTTCAAGCCTGCCAGTGGGAGGAACACACAACATTTATGGGGTGTAAATTGTAGCGGCTGTGAGTGAGTGGCCTTGAAGAGTAGCTTGATCGAGTTTGACAGAGCTTCCCGAGCCTTGGATTGAGCATTCTGACACTTGATCAAGATTCCAAGAGCTTTCTGCTCTTCGATAAAACATTCTTCAGCCCGCTAGAGTGAATACAGACAACGTTTTTGGTTTTGGTTTGCAAATGAAGCTTAAATGAGCTGTGTGTTGTGCTCCTTGCTGCTGTGTTCCTGGGACACAGGTGAAGCGCGCAGGTGCCTGCCCAGCAAAATATAAAAAACTCATAACAAAACAAAAAGAAAAACTCAAACAAAAAGCGGTGAGAATGGGCATTTTGTGGGGAATTGGTTAAAGGTTAATGGTTAGCTGTTATCGTTTGGGGCACTCCACTTGAGCACTCTCTCTCACCTCCGCCTTCATGTCGGCCAGCCTGTCCTGCAGGTCGCGCACCTTATCCGATTCATCCAAATTGGCACGCAGTTCGCCCTCGGCCAGCATTTCCGAGTTCTGGTTGAGAGAACAACAAACCAAAAAAACAGAAAGAAAGAAGAGAGAGAGCGTTAAGCAAAGAGAAGAAGAACAGAGGAACAGAAGCGAGTTGCAGCTCGTACCTTGGTCTCCAGTCGGGATATTTCCTGTTTCAGTTCGGCCACCGTTTGGCTCTGTTCTGTGAATTTGATCTTCACATTCATCAGCTCATCCTTCATACGAGATTCCAGATCAGAGTATCTGTGGGCAAGGGGACGGGCAAAGGTGTTTTGTGGGTCTGTGGGTCTGTGGATCTATCATCAAACTGTGGCTCTTACCTGTGCTGCTGTTCGCGCGCCTTATTGGCCATATCCTTCTCCCGGGTAACGGCCATCTCGAGCTCTTCTTTGAGCTTCTTTTGCTCTTCGTCCTGGCGTCGCAATTGATTGGTGGACACCTGCACTTGAGTCTCCAGCTCCATGACTTTGAGGCGCAGCTCCTTCAGCTCAGTGAGCGTTTCCATTTCCCGTATCCGTGTGGTCATCAGCTCCTCCTCGAGCTTTTGCGTTAGCTCGCTGGACTTGGAGCCCTCAAAGAAGTTGGTCAACAGCTTCTTGGGCGTCGAGTCCAGCGCTTGGGTGTTGCGCTCGCTCTCGCTGCGCTGATTTTCGGCCAGCTGGCGCTGCCACTGCGAGCTGAGCTCCTGCACCCGCTGCTTGAGATCCTTGAGGGAGAGCGAGGCCTCTGCCTCGCGCAACTTGCTGGCAATCAGCTCGTCCTGCAGATGCGCCACCGAATTGTCCGGCGTTGTTTCGCGCAGCGTCTTTTTGTCCTCCTCCAGCTCCTCGACCTTTGACTTCAGATTCCTGATCTGATCCTCGCTCTCGGCCAGACCCTGACGCACCTTCACCAGCTCCTCCAGCAGACAGGAGACCATCTCGTCGCGCTGCTTCAGTGCCTCCTCCTTCATGCACAGCTCATCGATGGACGACTGGCGAGAGTTGTTCTACATTTTAGTTGGGTGGTGGTGTGGTGTGGTGTGGGGTGGGGGGGGATTAAACTTTTCATTAAACTTTTTTCATCTATGAATCAATGGTTGTTTTTTTTTTTGTTTTGTTTTGTTTGAAGGGCATGCGGTGGCTAGTGCTGAGCTATGATACAAATGATACTCGTACTATGGCTGCTACAGATACATCAACTAGTGATTATTTATATTTGCACAAACGCATAACCCCAGGAGACACGGACAAATGAACAGATCACGAAAAGTCGCGCATTAATTATGCTAGTCATGCACACGGCATTTATGTTGTTTTTAAATTTTTTGGGCATTTTCTTTTGAACGAGTTCGCTTGTGCGTCGCGAGTCTTGAGTGTGGGATGTGGGAGTGATGTGTAGCAGTCATTTATTCTACAGCTTCCGAGCTTTCTTTTTATGTATTCTGTGACCAATAAGTTAATTTGCAGCTTCATTCTTTTATTCAATTTGTCACACCTTGAATTTTCTTTTGATTAAAGAACCCTCAAGATGATCTCCTGGGTTGACAAATGCTACACCATGTTCCTGGCATATATACCTTAGATCTAAGAGACCAACACTACCATACATACATATAACTAATAAAACACACAGAAAAAAGCATGCACAAAAATACTACACAAGGGATATGCAATATTTACACAAAGGGAATGGGATTGGGATATATTTGGATGGAATTTGAGGCGAGGCAGGCAAGCAGTGGGGTGGAAAGGAATTAACTACAAGTCAATGTTTGTTTTTTTTTTTTCTTTTTGAGAGGTATACTTACGCTGTCGATGGATACATTCTGTATGTTTTTGAATTTGGGTGTGTGTATTTTTTTTTTTTTTGATTTTGATTAAAGCGAACATTTTGTGTGTGAAGCACCACAACCATAAAGTAAACCAAATAAAATAGAAAAGAATACAGAAATGATTAGCAACATATTCCGTTTTTAGTTACAGGAGACAATCGATAGAGAGTGAGAGGCTGGGGAGACAGGTGGCAGGATCATGGCAGTAGGTCGGCCGACTGTACTTACATTCTCCTGCAGCCGTAGACTGAGACCGCGCACCTCCTCATTGGCATTCTCCAGCTGATGGGAGACCTCCAGATAGGAGCGTCTCAGCTGCATCAGTTCCGTTTGAATGGCATAGCTAAAATGGGAATGGGAACGGAAATGGGAAAAGATTATATACAGAATCCTGCTCCAAAGAGATGATAATCTCTCTCTCTCTCTCTTACCTTGTTTCCTCCTCTTCGGCACGTGAGACCTGACCGCGCACCAGGCGATCGGCCAGCTCTGCACTCTCCGCCTCAAGCAAATCATTGCGCTGCTTCAGCAGACAATTCTCGCGACGCAGCCGTCGCAATTCGACCATCTCCTCCTGCTCTTTTTTCTTCAAGTCTTGATACTCTTTCTCCATCTTCTTCATGCGCTTTGTGTTCAGCTTCTGGGCGTAGGCGAGATTGAAGAAACCCTCCACATCGGCCTCCACACGGCCGGGCAGCTCCTTCTGGAAGAACTTCAGCATGGCCTCCATGTCCAGGCAGAGGAGCGTCTCCTTGCCGGTGAGCAGCAGGGCCAGTGCCACCTTGAAGATAAACTCCATGCCCTCGCTGAGGAAGACGTCCATGATGCGGCAGCTGAGATTCACATTCAGCGTGGTCGTGTAGAGGGTGAGGAACCAACTGGAGGCGTACATCGTTGTCTGGAAGCCCTGCTGCTGGAAGTGTATGTGCATGTCGGGTATCTGCTCCTGCACGAGATTCTCCAGCTGGTACATGCACAGCCCCAGCTCGGACATCGATGGCTTGAACATGTGCCGCATGCGATGCTGTTGCATGATCTGCACGAGCACCGCGAATGCCTCCTCCTCGGGCATTTGCATGAGCAGCAGGCCGACAATGAAGCCGGAGCCCTGGCAATAGCCAACCTCGCGATCGTGCAGCGAATACGCCTTGATCACATTGAACAGGGCCTCCTGGCCGGGCCCGTCCTTCTCCTTGAAGAAATCCACCTCCGGATAGGTGCGTGCAATGTCGCGACGTATCACCTTCTCGCAGGCGCTCGTCGCCTTGATGTACTCCGCGTACTGCTTCTTGTCCGCCTCCGCCGCTGTGCTCAACTGTTGCCACACAATCGCCCGGAAGTGATGCGGTATCCCGCGGCGCACCAGCTCCCGCACGCACGGATTCTTGCGCTTTAGCGCCCCATCCCAGTCGTTTAGAATGGTGGCCCACGTTGTCCAGATGTCCTCCTCGGCCACGGAATTGCCGCCTGTTGTCGAAACAAAAAACCACACATTTAATTAGCTATCGAGTTATCAAGGGGGTGTTGGGGGGGTGGGTTTATCATACGTCGCATTTTAGATAATTTATGCATTAAATGGAATGCCATTTGGAATTGGCTCTCCGATTCGGCTGCAGCTCTAATGGCAAGCGCTCTCTTCCTGCCCAGTCGCTCTCTTCGATGCGCACATCTATCGCCCGGGAGAGAGCAGATTTGGGTGATTGGGGGGGGGCGCTCTCAACTTGCCCTTTTTCGATAATTTGATAACTAACTGAAACCCGACTACGATTGTCGATTGAGCAATGATTCGGCGGGAATGGTAAATGCTTTGGGGGAGCAGCATTAATTGTCTCAACGAATAATCAACTTGGTAATCGATCTGTTATCCATCTTTAATCGATGCTTCTTTCTCTCACATCAATACCGATCTTTTAGCAGATTTAGCGTTAATTACTTGCACAAATGTTGCCCATAAGTGAAAGGACACATTCGTTGCGAATGACACAGACAGACAGGAGACCGATCAGTCGCCACGATCGATAGGGAATTTTTTACGTTGAAATCTCGTTAAGATATCGATGCATCAATGTGAGTCAAATACCATAAACCATCATCCTTTTTGGTAGTGCAGTCTGAATACTATCCACAATTCCATGTGAAAGAAAAGAAAAATACTTACTCGATGTGAGACTAATCTGGCTCGTGTCCGAATTCTTGCGACTGTGCGTGGAGTGCAACGAATTGAGGGACTTGGCATCGCTCTCGATCAGCTTATTGGCTGCCTCCAGTTTGGCCAGCAGATCCATTTCAGATGTGGGCAGATTCTCATCGGCTGTGGGTGGTAGAGTGCTGCTGCTGCTGCTGCCAGTGCCCTTCACATCCATTTTCGTTTGGCTCTCCGGTGTTGAGGCAATTGTCGTGGCTGTCAGGGTCATAGCGGTGCTGACGGCAACGGCAACGGCTACGGCAACGACAACAGCGACCTGCTCGTCGACTAGTCAAAGCAAGGCACAGAGACAGTCAGCGACAGACACAGAGAGAGTGAGAGTGCGAGAGATTTGTATCTCTGGATCGTGTATGACCTTTCAGTTGATAATCCTGGGTTCCTGGGATTCCTGATCCTTTGATCTAACAGCATAGACACATGATGCTCGAATTCTTCTGGTTGCGATGCGGCTACGTCTCTCGTCAACGTCTCTCACTGAAATTGACAGAAGAAAGTGGAAAACAATTCATTACTTAAAAGAAGTAATTACATATACTAAAATAAAATAAACAAGACTCTCGCAGTCTCTGGAAAGGCAAATACAAACACTTAAAGCGAGAGACGGAGAGAGAGGGAGTGAGAGAGAGAAAGTACTCGTATTCCCAGCTTGGATTCTCCAGCTATTCCCCTCTCCATGTTCTTCCGTCTTTTGTTTATATTTCCGTGCGCCCTACAAAACTTAGGAGGATAGTCCAGGGTGGGGGCGACGCGACGGTTTTGCGGCAAAACAATGGAAAAAGCTGTTGGGGCTTTTTGTTGATTGCGCCCCCAAGTCGTGGCTACTGGGTAACATAAGGGTATATTCTTTCTGGACAGTAAAAGACTTACAACCGCCTCCTCAGGTACTTGGCTCTAAGCGACACAATAAAGCAGCGCGAAAAGGCACAGGAAATGTACCGTTTCGTAACGTTATCAAAGTGTTCTACTGCTATACTGGCGCTGTCTCTCTCCCAGAAGCAACACCACGCAACACCTTCGGCCGAGAACAGTTATCAGAAGCGCAAAAAGTGGGGGGGGAGAGAGAGAGAGAGAGAGCGAGAGCAACAGAAAGTGATTTGCTTTTATTAGATTGGTACAAAACATTCGTCTGTTCTTTTTGTTATTCTTTTTTGCTTTTTCTTCATTTTCTTTTCATAATATTTATATTCTTTAATTTTCTTGTATTTTTATATTTTCTTTACTTTCTTGTATTTTTATCGTTTCTATTATTTCGCTTTCGATTCGTTCTTTTCCTTTTCTGACTTTTTCTTTATTTTACTGCGTTTTGTTCTGCTTCTTGGCTCAATCAGAGATCGAGTGACTGCAGAGCACTAAGAAACCAAAAGAGAGAAAGAGAGAGATCAAGACAGAGAGAGAAGCGCCGCTATTATCGCATCGATGATAGCCGAAAGTTTTTTTTTGTTGTTATTTTTTTGTGTGTTTGTGCGTGTGTTTAGATCGATTAATCCGACATTCCTCATTAGAAGAACTTGTTTTATAGATTGATATATGTATGTATTTCCATTGCTTGGATTTCACTTTGGTTTCTGGTTTAGATTTCTGAATATTATTCTATGGGTTTCGGGATTGGATTGCTCTTCGGCCGGTGGGCTATTAATCAGCATTTAATGGCCCAAAAAGGAGAGGTACGTGAGAATCGTATCATTATCTTGCTGGTTTAATGGAAAATAAAATTCCATTCTTCAAACTGCAGTTTTATTATGACAAGGGCTGATTGTACATATCTAATAGGTAGGTTCTGGTGCAGCACCCCACATTTAAGCAAGAACCAAAGTGGTAATTACTATAAGTACAAAATTGTGTAAAAGGCTTTTAAACAAAAAAAAAAAAAAACAAATAAGTCTGCTGGCCATTAAGGGGGGCCTGATGATCTGATGTTTTATCAGCTATTCATTGCCAAAGAGAGAGAGAGAGAAGAGCCAGTCCCTCTGGTGGCTGCCACTCTCAGCTATCTCTATTGTTGCATTCCATTTCCTCTCCAGTCCAGTCCTTTATTTACCCTAGCTCCTGCTGCTTCTTAAGTTTTTCTTTTTCAATGCAATTGAAAAGCAAAGTGAATTCATCATCATGCCACACAGTTGCATACATATGTAGGTCAGGAGACGATAAACAATGGAGTGGCTAAGAGCCAGGTCTGGTCTTTATCGCTCTGTCTGTGTGTCAGTGTGTCTGTAAAGTGCACGGCAGCCGGTGGGTAACCACTTGAGTGCCACGCGGCCCCTCTTCCTTGTGATCCATCAAAAGCCACATGTTCTCCATTACACCACCCCCTCAACTCCCCCTGGTGGTGGAAGCACCGCTTAAGACCGATGAGGTGGAGAGTGTGTCTATGGTCTATCTATGGGGGTCTCTCGACATTAATTGGACGGGGGCCCTCCGAGTGACTCATTCAGGTGGTGGCGGGTGGTACGTCAGACCTTCCCTCCCTCTCGCTGGCGGTGGATGGATGGATGGATGAATCAGCCTGCCATCCAGATACGAGTCTGGAGTAATCAGACATTTTCCAGTGTACGCTTTATAATGCTTTCGGATAAAGTTTCCCTGGCAACTGTGCGTGCCCCGCACAACTGGCGTTAAATGGAAGGAAATCAATCCATAGATTTCAGATTTAAGCTATCGGGCAGTGCCAATTAAATTTGAAGCTGTAAAGCAGCCTTTAAAGCAGTACAAGCAGTGGAATAAGCTTAAACCTGATGCACATTGATCTCTAAAGCAGTGCATTTCGAAGAGAAGAAAGAAAGTTTGAGCCGTAGAAGAAATTGAAAAGCAGTAGCATAAGCAGTGCGAGAACGTATGTATGTGAAGCAGTGACGAAAAAAGCCACAATAGCAGTAGATTAGGCTTAACCGCTTATTGTTTTGACTTTGCATCGACATCAACGAGTGACTATATTTATTATCTATCTGCTTTTGCAGCTGTGGGACCTCCAAGCACCCCACTTTGCCGTATAAAAACGCTGCAACAAATTAAAACTGTCCCCACCAGCAATTTCCAAGCAATTTAACAATCTCTGTTATTTTTTTTAACTCTGATATCAACAGACGCGAGCAATTTAAAAACAAAAACAAACAAAAAAACCAAAAACGGCAGAAATAATCAAGGAAAATAAAATACAGAAAAATACTGTTTTATGTACACCTGGCAAAAAAATATTTCCAAAGAACTTGTACGGATTAATTTGTTTTAGATTTCGCAAAAACCCTTACACCGCAAAAAATCCAAAAAAAAAGCAACAGCAACAAAATTAAATACAAATGGAAATAATGCGAATTTTTTTGTTTTTTTCTGATTTTTGTTGTTGTGTGTGTGTGTGACTGAGTCACGTTGAAACGCATGGATAAGCGTTAGATAAGATCTGGTTGTCTAGGGTTCAACATGACGTATACGCAACATGTGTCGGAGCAGACCCCCCTCCAACACCTTTCGCTTTGATCTTGCAAAATGATTGATTAACCCCTGCGCTACTAGTAAGAGAGAACGAGAGAGAGCGAGCCGTACAAACTATGAATGAAAGGCAACAAAAATTGCATACAGAGAGCCGAGCCACAAAGCCCAAATAGACACAGAAGCAGTGAGAAAGAGAGTGGTAGGGTGGGAAAGCTCACACATGCAGCAGAACGAACCCAATGCCCGTCTTTACCGTTCAAAGCCTCCAATATTCACACATTTCGCGCTCCCTCTCTCTCTCTCTCTTCCTCTCTCTCTTTCTCTCTCGCATTCAAAGTCAAAGGCAAATTGCAGCTCAAATGCGCAACAAGGACAGCCATACTCACACACACAAAGCCTGCCTGCCTGTCTGCTTGCCTGCCTGCAGCTTGTAAGCAGTGCCCAAAGCTTGTATAACACTGAACTGCTTTTGCACTTAATTCTTTTTTGGTTCGAAATTTTTAATTGAAAAGTTGTTTTAACCTTTTTGTTCTTTCATAAATCTTTTATTTTTTATTTTTTTTTAAGTGAAACTCAAATTAATTGCATTACGCTTTGTTTGCATGCATTTTTCTCTCTCTCTCTCTCTGTGTTTGCATACTTAAGCTTCAATTTTGGCCTTTGACTTTGATTAAGTGGCTGTGCGAGTGGTGTCATACAGGCCTAGGTAAGTAATGGGTGGCGAGAGGTAAAAGTAACAGTAACAGAGTTGACAGTTGGACACTCTATCTCTCTTGCAGTGTTACTCATTGAGCAGCACAGACTAGACATGGACAGAGAGAGAGAGAAGCAAAAACATTATTTAAGGTGCCCTGTTTTTTGGAACGCACCGACAGCTGTTTTTGAGTAGAAAATAAAATATAATAATACAAAAAAAAAAAAAAGGCAGCAGCAACAAAAACAAATAGCTGAGGAAAGAGAAGATAAAGACATACTAATATCTCCATCGATACGATACGTGTTGATTAGATTTCGACACGACACTAAAACAACAACAACAACAACAACAACAAATAAAGCGCCGAAGATTGTGCCAGTGTGTGTGTGTGAAAGCAACTGTAACAGCAAAAGCATACGCAAAAGCAAAGCAACAACAACAACAACAGCAACAGCAACAACCGATGTGCAAATCGTAAAATCTCCATTAAAAATAAGGTTAGTGTTCACCCTCGCCCACGGGCCCGACTCAGTACGAAAAGCGCACAGGAAGCGATCGGTACGGAACGGAACAACGGTACGAAACGACAAGCAAACACAAAACAAAAAACACACTAAAGAGCGTAAGCTCCGACGGGCCTGAGAACTCGCATGTAGAAACACAATTATTTTTTCGTTTAATAGAAGCACACATTAAAATACTAAGCAGGCAAATAAGGCAAATAATAATAATAATAATAGCAATCCAACAAAACAAAACAAAACCAAAATCAGGCAAAGGCCAGACCCAAAAATAAACGGGTTTCAAACGCTCTACCCACCCTGCCCCCCACAACTCTCTTTTTTCTACGCTGATCTTCATTTTGTGCCATCGACTAATACGGTTTGTGCTTGTGTTGATTTTGTTGTTGTTGTTGTTGTTTTTTTTTATTAGTGCCAAAGACAAGGTCAAAAAAAAAAGACTCCACTCGAGAGAGACAGAGAGCGAGAGAGAGCCACAACGGTGCACACAAAGAAAAGCTGCACAAGACAAACTTCCAGAGCAGGCGAGAGAGAGGCAGAGAGAGAGAGAGACAAACTTCATAGACAAACTTCAGAGAGCGGAGGAGTCATAGATATAAACTTCAGGGAGCAAAAGAGAGAAAAAGAGTGCAAGAGCGCAAGCGAGTGGGAGAGCGTGCTGATGACAGCCACAATGGAAGCCGTGGCTGCTGCCGCCATCGCCACCACACCCGTCCAGGAGCAGGCTGCGCTGCACCTGCACCCCACCGGCAAGACGATGTCGTCTCTGCCATCCACACCCACATCCGCCTCCTCAGAGACCAGTCAAGCATTGAGCGAGATCTTCTTTGTGGAGAGCAGCCGGCGCAAGCAGAGCATCAAGATCCAGGTGAAGCTCTGTCCGGAGGGCGTTTACCTGCGGCGGGAGACCGATCAGGATGATCACATCAACGAGCAGCTGATACGCATCGATGACATCATTGGCTCCCGGTATGGTCCCCGCCTGAAGAAGCGACCACGTGGCGGGCTCACTTCGTGCAAGAATCCCAACGGGGATGCGGCCCAGGAGCAGGAACAACAGCCGGATCGTGATAACAGCGCCTACCTGTACATCTATGCGTATCTAAAGAAGGAGAAGCCCCTGCGCCGTGTACAGACGCTGCGCATTCTGCGTTTTCGCTCCAGCAACGAATACGCGGAGAATCTGCAGACGGCCGAGCTCTGGCATCGCACCATACGGGAGCACAAGCAGCGCAACAGCACCACCATCGACATCTCTGGCAACATTTCGGGCGCGGGCTTTGGCTCGGGCAAACACCTGTTGATCCTGCTCAATCCGAAATCGGGTTCGGGCAAGGGCCGAGAGCTGTTTCAGAAGCAGGTGGCACCGCTGCTCACCGAAGCGGAGGTGCAGTATGATCTGCAGATCACAACGCATCCCCACTATGCCCAGGAGTTTGTGCGCACTCGCAAGGATCTGCTGGAGCGCTACTCTGGCATTGTGGTGGCCTCCGGCGATGGCCTCTTCTACGAGGTACTCAACGGTTTGATGGAGCGCATGGACTGGCGTCGCGTCTGCCGCAATCTGCCGCTCGGCATCATACCCTGTGGCAGCGGCAATGGCCTGGCCAAGAGCGTGGCCCATCACTGCAACGAACCGTACGAACCGAAGCCCATCCTTCATGCCACGCTCACGTGCATTGCCGGCCGGAGCACGGCCATGGATGTCGTCCGTGTGGAGTTATCGTCCATGGAAAAGCACTACGTGATGTACTCCTTCCTGTCCGTGGGCTGGGGCCTCATTGCTGACATTGACATCGAGAGCGAGCGTCTGCGTTCGATTGGAGCCCAACGGTTCACACTGTGGGCCATCAAGCGACTCATCTCGCTGAGGACCTACAAGGGCAAGGTCTTCTATCTGCCACACCCCAAGGAGGAGCATGAACAGGGGAAACCTGCTGAAGCTGCAGTTGCTGCTGCTGCTGCTCCTCCCCAGGAAAAGGAAACTCCACTGCAGCTGTCAGTGGAGGAGCAGGCGCCACCCAGCAGGCCCATCTCGTTGCCCCTCAACGTCAACGGCGATGTCAGCGAAGTCAGCGATGTCAGCGAAGTCAGCGAATTTAGGGATCTGCCCGAGGACCTCAATGAGGAATCCGAAACAGATCCGGACCAGTTTGTCGATGCCCTGTCCATGGATCGCTCCATCTTTCGCCAGCACGCCGACAGCTGGCACTCGGCCATGTCCCGCCGTACCGCCTACTATTCGGTGGGGGGCCAGAGCATCCGTTCGAATCGCAGCCGAATGAGCGTGTCCCAGCGGATTGAGGCGGCCAATGCAGAGTTTGCGGAGATAGTGCCCTCGGGCACTATACCGGGATTGAAGCTGCCGTTGCCTGCCGCCGAAGGCTGGTGCTGCGAGGAGGGGGACTTCGTGATGGTGCATGCCGCCTACACGACGCACCTGTCCTCCGACTGCTACTTTGCGCCCGAATCGCGACTGAACGATGGCATCATCTATCTGGTGATCATCCGCAGCGGCGTGGGGCGCCACCAGATGCTCAACTTTCTGCTGAGCATGAACACGGGCACCCATCTGCCGGCCGGCGGCAATGATCCCTTCATTCGAGTGGTGCCCGTCAAGGCGTTCCGCATCGAACCGAGCGGCAGCGATGGGATCCTGGTCGTCGATGGCGAGCGTGTCGATTATGGACCCATACAGGCGGAGGTGCTGCCGGGACTGATCAATGTGATGACCACCAACGGACAGTGAGGTATCGATGGTCGATAACGATAGCGATATATCGATCAAATGATCATAGATATGGGACATTGGATATGGATATGGATATCAGATCATAAGAGAACAGTACTGTAAGCATTTGTCGATAATTGTCTACGTTCGATAAGCATTAATCGAGCATCAAATATGTACGATATATTTACGTAAATGTATTCGACAACCGAAAATGTATGCAAAAATTGCAATTATTCGATAAAACAAAATTTGATTAGCTAAATATTAGATTTATTATTAAAAGCCGATCGATTTCACTAATCGACAAGCGATCGATATTGAAATTGATAATCAATCGATACCTTAATCGATAAATCAACAAATGATTCGAAAGCTGTGCTTTTAATCAAAAAAAAAAAACAAATCATGACATTAATCGATAGCTAAATTTACTCAATATATGTATGAATTATGTGGATGGAGGGGGATACATTGATATCTTTGATAATCGACTTTATATGGTTAAACGATAAACACTATTCGATACCTGTCTTCAGAGCTATGAAGCACACACTAGATCTGCAGAAAGATCCGCCCAAAATAGGGAACAAACGATTAAATAATCGACTAAGTTGATTTCCACAAACAATTTTTTTTTTCACAACTGTTTATTATGTTAAGACCAAGAAAAATCAAATTAAAGTCTACACAAAAAATATGCTGGGTGTTTTGGTAGATTACACATAAAGATTGTAGCTATAGAAGATCAAAAAGAAAAGTAAAAAAAGAACAGGTTAAGCAGGGAGTCCAAAGCCCTCACTTGGATGTCGACGTTTCTACGCGCAGCGCTCCTCATCCGGTTGCATGCCAATCATTATCGATATCAGCTCCCAAGGGGCACGCAATCGGTCCGATGTTCAAGTGGCAGAGGGGGGCGGGGCCCATTCAAATGCAAACGTAGACGACTAGCTATGCCAAAGGGATTACCGAAAGCACACACAATCCACATACATACATACATATATTAATCGTTAAAAAGAAATGATTGAAAAGCTCTGGCTCGAATATCCCCTGAGGGGAGGGTGTGGGTGTCCGCTTGCTTGGAGCTTTCACTGTGTTTCTATGAATCCGACATACATACATATCATATCAGAAATTATCTCTGACAGGTACTTAAGTTCGCGGCAGCAATTATTCCCGGAATGACAATCGAAACGCTGCGTTGGATACCCCTCTAAACGAAACAGAAAAACAATGCAACACCAATTGTACCTGCAATGGAAACAGCAAGCGGTCACTCTTCTGAAAATTGACTCCCCAGAGTATTGCCTTCAAAGAGGCGTCTAGCATTTCAAGGTTGTCCCATCGATTGATTATTTGTATTTGCCACCTTATCAAACACTCAAACAACACATACACATGTAGATGGACGGACGTACCACCATACACTTGGAAAAATAGTTCAAAAAATGCTTTCAACTTTTTCAGAGCATACTTTTAGGCAACAGTGTGAATCATTTTTGGTTTCTGGCGTGAGTGATGATGGCCCATCACCGAAAATTCAATGGAAATAGAGATGCGCATCTAAAGGTTTCAATTGGCCAAAACAGAGCCGGAAAAAGAAATTACTTTAAAGGTATTTAAAGATCCTGATAGCTCTAATTTTTCGAATGAAAGAGCAAACCAATTAAAGTGAATAAATAATTATATTTATTTTCTGATGTTTAATCCCATTCCCACACCTAGAATGGGACAGCAACAACAGAATCACGAATTACGCAGAGATTCGCCAGCTCTGGATAGGAAGCCCCCCCTCGCTATTGACGTCACAGGCTGCAATCATTGCGATGAGAGCATCCCAGTGCCTAATACCGTTATACTTTTAGGCTCGTTTTGTTCCGTCACATGACTAGTCAGCGTCGAGCGTGTAGAGAGAGAGAGAGAGCGCATGTCATTCGGGCAAGTGTTTTTTTTTTTTGTTCATTGCGACAATTTTGCGACAGCAACAAATCAAACGAAATCAAAAATCCAGCTCTTAAAGAAGTGCAAGAGTGTGTGGGCAGGGGTGGGGTGGAGTGAAGTGGGGTTGGGTACAACAGTAATTGTTAACAAATGTTGTGGATTGGCACAAGCAGCAGAAGAGTAAAAGGCAAACATCATCATCCATGGGCACCTGTGCCGAATTTTGCGATTTTGCGAATTCCATTTATTCCCCTGTTCCACATCGACTGATCTTCCTGTTTCACCTGTTACACTGTTCCTCCTGTTACACTGTTCCCCCTGTTACACAGTTCCTCCCGTTACACTGTTCCTCCTGTTACACTGTTCCCCCTGTTACACTGTTCCTCCCGTTACACTGTTTCTCCTGCTCCTGTTTTTACAAAATTTCCCATCAACGAGCGGATGACACTTTTTTGTTAATCCCATCCTTCTCTTTCATTTCGAATTTCAAGCACATATTTCAGATATATATTTAATACCATAGAATTTCCTTTTGTTTAACCATTTTGATGATAGACCATTACACACGGTGGACAGTCTTCATGCACCCATGAGCTTGCCCCCGTTTATTATTGGGTGCAACGTCTGCTGCCTGCTGTCTGCTGCCTGCGCCACTTGTCTTCCCCTTTGTGTATTTGGCTGCAGCCTTAAGCACACGAAAACACTTGAGCAAACCACTCCATGCATGTATGTACATATATTCAGACCATGGAAGCGCACACTCGTGCAGATATTTATGCACTATTTCCAGTCTAATTCATTCATAAAAAGTTCTCCTTCTTCAGCCACTTGCCGCGCACGCCACACTTAATGTGTGCTCGGGCCTCCCTGGCATGGACTGTGGCATGGACTGTGTGGGCTAGCAGCTAGATGGACGTTTTTTACATTACCAGAGAGAGACCGAAACCCCCACTCAGGGCTTAAGTATACGCCTTCAGCTGGCGGGGTCATTCGAAACGTTTCTGTAGAGCCACATGTGGGGAGAGAGTTGGCTGTGAAGGCAGAGACAGAGACAGAGAGAGAGAGAGAGAGGGGACTTTGTTTCCTATATTCTGAAATTTCCTTGGATATATTTTGCCCTACTGGACTCTTTCTTTCTTTAACATTGGTATGTTAAAATCTCCCTAGAATTCTTCCCATAAAATGTACCATGAAAATGAAAATTTAGGCAGAGTTTCTTCAACATATTTTGGGATCTGACTTCAGAATTTATGACTCTCAAGGGATGCTGCTGGTATTATGCATTATGTTTTTGCATCTCGATGACAGTCTCGAGTGGAACAGGCTCATTCATATTCTCTTTTGCACTTGCCGCTTGTGGTGGTGCACCTGTCTGTGCGTCGATTGTTAAAGAATAAGTCACAGCGCACAATCGAGAGACGTTCGATTCATACAATTTTATGACCGCAACTGTATCTATAAGTGTGTACACTGTACATACATACATATATGGATGTTTTGTGTACCGCAAAATACTTGTTTCATTCCGCCAGTGTGTGTGTGTGTGTCGGTGACAACCGTTAGAGCTGCGCCCACAGACGAAAAAGTTTTTTCTGTGCATTCTCATTTTTTGTTTGTTTTTTTTTTAGGTATTTACGACCTGGTCAGACCTTTGGGCATCGGTGTAAGTATATGTATCTATATTATGATGCATTTATTTATGGATTTGGAATTAATGGAATGGTAACAGAAACGAATGGAATAGCACCTAACGGCATTTAATGAATGGAACGTGTACCGGAACGGTATGGTAATGTGAAACAGAAAGGAATTTCATGTAAGAAGTAACCCCGGTAAGAAACGATAATTTCATTTGTAAGAAAAAGCAACGGAGAAAGCAAAGAAATATAAATATAAAAATATATAAAAATATATATAAATATGTTTTCAATTTCCCATTATATTCCCGCTCTTAATGCCTTACTGACATCTCTCGCAATCACTACCTCTCTTAAGTTCCTTATCTGTGAAGTTCCTTTTGTGATATCTTGGAACTGAATCGACTACTATGTACCACGTATGTATGTATGTAGTGCATCAATTGCTTCGGCATGCTTTTTCTCTATCTGCTTCGCACTTGCACCCCTCTCCATCCATCGCTGCTTTGCTGCTAAGATATGCCGCTGTTTCTGGCGCCGATTAGTCAGAAACCTGATGGTGAATACCTTACGCTAACATTTGGCCCTCTCCCCTCTCTACCTTTCAGACAAATCACAAAATTTTGTAGCCGATATTTTTGTTTGTTTAATACCAAATGAATAATACATTAGATGACCCATCTCGCCACCCGCCACCCGTCGCCGGTGGGGCAGTGGCAGCGGCAGCATTTAGTGTGGAAGTTCATTTTGTTTTATTGCTAATTTTAAGCACAAAAACAAAAACACGCACACACACATTTCAGTGCATTCGTTAAGCGCATTTCGAGATTTGAGTCATGCCAGGGATGCCTTTTTGGTACAGTCCCCGGCGGCATCTGGAAATCTCAAGTATTGAAATTCCCCAAAGTGATATCACTGTGTCCCTGTCAGTCCTTTTTGCTTGTCATTTCTCGTCCGTCCTGTGTGCGCCATTTGTCCCCAATGTAATTTAAGCTTCACTCATCAAAAATGTATGAATGCCACGCCCACACACAAACACACACACAGCCAAGCCCTGGGCCCCAAACACTCTCATTAACCCAATTTGAATTGTTTGCCCACTGGGGCACAGGCACAAACCATTCCCAGCCCCACCTCCCACCACCACCCACAGCACTGGGGCCGAGCCCTTGGCAAAGGCTTTGACGTCAGCCAGACGAGACGTTCGATTACAGTGGAACTTTGATTTAAAAGAAAAAATGTATACTAAAAATTAAGAATTTTCTGGTGGAATTGTTTCACCTATTCCGCCTGTTCCTCATGGTTAATTCGCTGTACAAAATGTTACATAAGTAAAGGGGAAACGTTTTGCTTTGAACGGCACAATAAAAGAGAGCGACAAATAGTTCTAAATAATTCTTTGAATTTGTTCCCCACTCATCCACAAATCTTTGTATATCTAATTTATTTTTGGAACTTTCACTGTATTCAAATTGTATTTCTTTTGTAATTATTCTAAAAACGGTGAAGCTCCAAAAGCCCCAAGAGGCGCAACAATTTGTGCATTTTACCCCTAATTTTCCATTATCATAATGCAATGGAATATCTTAGAAAAATAAATCCTAAGAGCAAAACGAAAACAAACTCAAGTGGAGAGAGACTCCGCACCGATAGGGGCCGCCAAATCAAGAACCAGTAGCCCAAGAGAAGAGAACCAAGGGGCAGGCGGCGGCAACGACGTCGACGACTGGAAAGGGGAAGATGCGATAAGAGTATTGTCGATTTCCTCAATCGGAATGGACTGGAACGGAGGCGTAACAGGGGCAATAAATGAATCAAACAATGAAATCTTTATCTCAGAGACGGAGACAGAGGCCGAGATAACAAGTGCAAGAGTGGGTCGATCAAGAGGGAGAGAGCAAGTGCAGGAGTGCCAAAGTGGAACAGTGGAACAGTGGCACAGGCGGGAGGGAGTGCGCAACTACTGTAGTGGACGTAGAGAGACATCGGGAAACAGCAAGCAACCTTGCAAGGAAGTGCCTTTTATTTGCAAGAGCAACAAAAACGTGATAAATATTGAAAGAAAAAATAGAAAATATTCATTTTGGCTTCACGACTTTTACCCCCCTATCTCACGTACAGCTTTTAAGATCATAATCGGAACTATTCCAAAAAAAAAGTGCAACCGATAAATAAATCACTAAAGATACGGGTAGACGAAAGATTTGATCGGATATGCATCTGGAGATTGTACCCAGTAATCGATGACGGAAGCGCCATACAAAGTAATAGATCCCTGGACAAGGAATCCTCTCTCTCTATCATCCTCTATCTAGCAATACGATATTTGAGGGGCGGTATTGCAGTAAAAATAAACAAATTACAAAATGTAAAAAACAAACAGTAAATGATATTATGAAAGACACCCCGCCAACCACCCAACACATTTCCCTCCGCAACCCAACAACAACCAATGCCGTTTGGCGTTGCCTTTTCCGTTGCTATTCCCACAGTAACATAATTATATACAAAAAAAAAAAAGAAGAAAATAAATACTGCTGCTGTCTGCGATTGCTCTCGTTGTTGTTTCAGTTTTGCTGTTGTCTTTGTTGTTGTTGGATCTTGGGAGCAACAATACGATACAGCGCAGTCGACAAGTGCTTTTTCCAACGCAATATTTGAGGCGTTTTATATTTCCCCACAGACAATGGAATACAGAAACTGAAACTGAAACGTAACTGCAGTTCCGATCATTCCCACCATTGCAAAATATTTATTGTAAGAACTGTAGCTGTAGTTGATATACCGACCAGAAGATACCCCCTTTTTTCGTGTCATTTATTCCGCCGTTAGAGAGACCTTGCCATCACTTTGCTTTACGAAAATACAGCATGCCCCTATATCACTGACCTAAACCAGGGTATCGCTGGCGGCAACAACAATCGAAAGCTTGAGCCAAAAAGAAAGAAACTCGAAAGCAGCAAGCAGTAAGCGCTGAAACCGTTAATTCATTTGGCTTCGAAATTCGAATCTCGAAATACAGCAAATACCAGCACGTACACACACACACAGAAACAGACACACACACATACGAACACGGCTGTGACGGGGAGATTGGCATAGATATTGGAAGTTGAAGTTGAAGTGTGGAGTTGAAATTATTTTGTTGCTGTTGGATCTTTCAATATTTGCGGCAGGTAAATCTCGCAATAATGGATGCTGTAGGAGAAGCAGGGAGGAGTGCCGTTCGCCCTTTGTTGTTGATCTCTCCTCTTCCTCTTTTCTTTTGGCTTTTGCTCATTTTAACTTTACATAACGGTAGTTTTTGGGCTTTGCAGCGAGAGCAAGAGAAAGAGAGACAGGCTGCGCAATCGCATGAGACAGCGGGAATACAGCGACTGATAATTTCCTTTTTACGCTCATTTAATTTTGGTTAAATTTACTTTTTGGGTAAAAACAAAAACCAAAACAAAAACTGGTTGGCAAATATCTCTCAAGTGCAAAATAATTTTGACACATTTTCTTTTTTTTGTCGGCTTTGTGACGAAGGTCAAAAAGCGCTTCAAAAGGCAACATGTGGCACGGCAAGGCACGGCACGGGCACAAAACAACAGTTGAGATCGTAAAATAATCGCAAAATGCGAAACAAAACTATGAAAAAATGATGATAAAAGAATGCAAATAAACAAAAGTCGGACAAATATGGCAGAAACACTTGAACAGATACTAGATATAATAACTCAAAAACCCCGAAACGTTTGAAAACCCAGAAAAATATGTTGTTTTTTTTTTTGGCAAGGGACAAGAGAATGAAATGTTTGAAGGCTGTTTGTCCCGCTCCAACCTTCCTTCCTTCCTTCCAGAAGATGATGACAAATGACAGATGGCAACACCCACCCACGCACACAGTAAAGAGGGGACACCCGACCCGCCCGCACTATCACACAGATTTATGATCATCATTAACTTGATGATGACTTTCTGCCTGCTCCATGTGTTCCACACAATGATTTTAATGATTGTGATTTAAATAGAGGACAGAAAAGAACAAAAAAAATAAGAAACATTCCCTCTAGTACCAGGCAACTAGTTCGGTACCGGTGCCGAACTAGCTACCATTCTCATGTCCCTAGTTCCGCTTCGTTTCCCCGACAATGTATTTCAGCGGAGAATTTAACACATGCATGTCCTAGGGCGTAACCACCCCTGGTTCCCGATCGATTACCCTTCGATTACCAGTAGCTAGTTGCTTATGAGCTAGTTCCGACCTAGTTACCAGTAGATCGTCAGCAACTAGTTCCCGATCGATTACCCTTCGATTACCAGTAGCTGGTTGCCTAGGCGCTGGGTACGGCCTAGTTACCAGTAGATCGTCAGCAACTAGTTCCCGATCGATTACCCTTCGATTACCAGTAGCTGGTTGCCTAGGCGCTGGGTACGGCCTAGTTACCAGTAGATCGTCAGCAACTAGTTCCCGATCGATTACCCTTCGATTACCAGTAGCTGGTTGACCAGCAGCTTTCTGGCTTTATAATAAATAAATTAAATACAAAATTGTGTTATATGAATGTTTAATTCAAAATTCTTGCAAAATTCAAACTTAAAATATATATTAAAATCTAGCCTAGCCTAAACAGATTCTAACTTTTTTGGTTTGGTACACCTTTGCTTAAACACCCTTTTTTCACCCTCTGCATCGCTTTGCGCATCAGCATTTCTGGTGCTCGTCTCCAGGCGAATACATTCTGTAATAATTATATGTTTAATTTAATTAAAATATAATAAACACTAGTGTACTTTACCTAGCAAAGCTCCATAAAACTCCGAGTGGCTCCTGAGGGCTTTCTTCCCTTGCACTCCATCCACATTATATGCCAGTACAATTTCGTCACTTAAAATAAATTTTAAGTTGACGGCAATCCGGCCGGCTGTAAAATGGATTTGATTGTTGAAATCTGTAAATAGAAGGATTCAAGAAGAAGGTTTAGATAGAAAATGAATAGGTCATATTATTTAGAGTTTTAATTTACTTACATAAATGTCTCTATTCATTTTTAAATCTCCTCCATTTTTATCAGCTGCTCCTCCGTTTCAATCGGGAACTGGTCCCGAACAGAATTAATTTCGGCCTTCTCCTTTAAAAGTTGTTTAAGCAAAACTGTTTGGTCAGCTAAAATTTTGGCCAATGCGTTCAATTGATCTAAAGGAATTTTGGTATTAATTTTGCTGATACAAATATTAATCTTTATTAGTCTTACCACGAACAACGGCATTTTCCTGCTGTAGATTTTCTGAAAGTACATATTTATTTCGATTTATTAATTAATATAATATCACATTTATCGTCTTACCACGAAAAAGGCATTCTCCCGCTGTAGTTTTCTGAAAGTGTATAAATATTTGGATAATACAAAAAATGTTATATTAATACTTATTCGCCTTACCATGAAAAAGAGCATTCTCCCGCTGTTGATTTTCTGAAAGTATAAATTAATTCGAGTTATTTATTCCAATTTTATATGGAAACAAAGTTTGTATTTACCTGTCGACTTCTTGACCTCTTCCAAAATTTGCTTGCAGGTTTTACACTGCTCATTTTCTAAAAAAAATAGTATTAATTTTGTTTAATATAAAATACAAAAATACTTACCATTGCTTGACATGGTGAAACGGCTAATTTTTCTAGGTGATGCCATTTTCGTTATTAATTTTTTTTGCTAAAATAAACAGATTTATATATATAATTTTTTTTTTTTTGGTTTGCGGACCATGGTAATTAGGTGAATCTTTAAAGATACCCTTTAAAGCCGACGATAAAGGGCATGCCCGATTCGTGTTGAAAAACACGCCTACGGACTAAACACCCCAATATAAATCTGTTTTTATTTAGGTACTGACAACATATTTAAATTTAAATACAATGATGAAGCAATGGAATGACTAAAATATTCCCTCATACGGTAAACCTACACCTTTATTTTGCAAATCTACAAATTCAAACCTTTCCTCTATTGCTATGGTTTCCCTATCAACTAAAACTATTCCTAGTCCGATTGAGTTTATAGGTTCCTCATAAAAGCTTCTGATATTTGAAAGTCTTTTCCCTATAATAGCTCCTCCCTCATTTGCCGTAAACCCTGTTACAATAATTGGGATATTTCCATTAATAAAAAAAAAATTATCAGGTTCCTTTTCTGATAAAACAAAATTATTAAAAAAGCACTTACTACCCACTATCCTAGGATTTTTCTGTACTTTTATTTCCATTCTGTCTTCACTAATTTTTCTAAATATTTGTTCTAGAATTTTACTAGGCTTTCGGACACATTTTTTTAAAGTTTGTAAATAGTTTTCAAACGCATACGAAGAGCCGGAAATCGGATCTCCGATTTGATCTACAGTCTCCTTTACGTGCAATAAACTGTGTACATTATAAGACACGCTATTTTCACCGAATACAATTGGAAAATTGTGAACAAAATGATCTAAAATGCGTTGACAAGTTTCCTTATTGTACTCGCGGAGCTTAGAACTGCATAGCATTCTATATGAGCAATGAAGTAACATAAACTCATAATAAAAGTCGTCACTGACTTCGTTTTTGAAGGCAATGATTCCAGTGTACAGCAAAAATTGTCTAAACTCCGTGGCCTTCCAGTTACACAATTCATCTAAAGATCTAGGCCTACGCGCAAACTCTCTGGGAATAAATTGTTTAAGGGACACTAGCTTTTCTGAAATGCGTTCTCTGGACTCTTTCGAACTTTTTACTACTAACTTATTATTGACAAACCTTAACAACATCTTACGCATCACTCCTAACTCTACCAAATGCATGCAATCTAAGGGAATCTGTGTCACCATTGAAATGTTAATTTCTTCTAATATTGACCTACAATTTAAATACTGACTGCTATGATGACAAGGATATCTTCTAAGCGCAAAATCTTCATTGGTAATTAAAACTCCTGAAGTAGTACTATAGGTCAAAATCCTGTCTACCTTTCTGGCTATCTGTGTACATTTGGCGCACCCGTGACTAGATGTGTGTCCCGGGGTGCCGCTAATAAATGCTCTTGCTGGAGCATCGCAAACTACGGCCCTAATAACAATATTTATAGGTCTGCCACAAATGGATAGACCGCCCTTCTTTAATTCTTTAAATTCTAAACAAAATTTTGCTAAAAACTGCTCACAGCTATGGGGCTTACTTTTTCCCAAAAATATTCCAACTGGAAACACTGGAACATTTGGAAAATTGTTGACTCTAACTAATACGGGCCATAGCTGTGTCCTTGAACTTCTGAATAATGGAAGTCCATCAATATTTATATCAATATTTAGCTCTTCCATTATTTGAACATTCTGAAAATGGCGTTGAAGCTGCCAAGCTAGACCTATGTGAAGATAAGATCCTCCACCAACTAACTGAATGTCGCCTCTGTTTTGGCGTTTTGCTTTGTAAAACGGACAAACATCTATATTTTCCTCTTTTAAAATACCTACTAAGTCGAGTGCACATTCACGCGTAGGCCTATGTTTTATAAACCACTGCCTTAATTTTTCATTTAATGACGATTTATTTGTTTGAATTTCCTCATAAACTAATTCTTCCTCTTCTATCTGTATTTCAACTTCTTCTAATTTTTTTTCTACCAATTTCTGTTCCACGTTTCTTTCACTGCACGACGCTAACTTTTCAAGGTTCGATTCCCTCTCACACTTTCGGAGTCTACGCAAATGCCTTTTGCTCATCATTTTATTTAAAATATGTAAATATATTGTCTCGTACCTGTGTTATGGCGTTTAATTTGTTAATTTGGGGTGTTATTTCTCACTTTCTAATCAATTGATCACAGAAAAATTGCAAATGCTTCTTCCAGCAACTAGATCTAGCACAGAAGTGGAAAAAAATCAACGCACAAAGCATACGCGCGGAGAACAAATGCATTTTGTTTGTGTAATTTTTTGTCTCTTGCATTCCACGAGTGCAAGTACAGTAAAGTATCACGAATAACTTACCATTTTGGTGCGAATTGCATGTAGCAGCATCAGTAAAAACTAACTGAGTCCGCACTGTAGTCTAACTCTTTTTCGCGGTTTCTTCATAATTCCACGGCTTTACGGTTATTTGTCGACTTCGAAAACAAAGCGACGACGGCTTCGTTTCTGTTTTTTTTCTGTTTCGACTGGTCGCTGATCGCTTCCCGCGTAACTAGTTGCAGAACTAGTATATTGTATCCGACAAAGGCCTAGTCGCCGTTCGCTTCCCGCGTAACTAGTTGCAGAACTAGTTGCGCGGTAATCGGCGCGGAGCTAGTTCGAGAGGGTCAATTCACCCCTTTGGTTCTACAGGGTTTGAATAAAGCGCTGGCACGCACACACACACACACACACATAGATACATAGTTAGATAGGGTAAGGTGGCAGCACTGCGTTCCGTTTTGTTGTGGTGCGGCGGGGCAGCGGTGCGTGCAAGGTGTCGGCAAGGTGGCAACGCGCAGGCGCAAAGCAAGGTAAAACGGGAGAGAACAGAACTTTAGAGCGAGATGACACGCCAAGTGGTTGTGGGTGGTAGATGGTGGAAAGCAAGACAAGGTTACAACAGCAACAGAGAGCAGCTGATATGCTGGAAGCGCATGGGAGCAATAGAGACAGTCAACGAAACAGGGTGGTGGTGTGGCGATGTGGAGAGCAAGGGCAGGGCTACAATTTGTTGTTGTTGGTGAAGCTGCAAATGGGGGAATGGCGGAATTGCGGAATGACTGATGATGATGATAAACGCAAGCGAACAGGCGTAATTAATTACATTAATGCGCGAAAATATGTACATACAAACACAAATGTATGAAGAAAATATAACAACTTTTATGTGCGTGTGTGTTGGAGAAATGGCCAACAATACCGTTCGGTTTGTTCGCTAATTTGTAAAAAAAAAAAAATATTTTAACAAACACACACGAAACGCCAGACAAGAGAGAAAAGAAGTTGAGAAAAACCATAAAAGACAGCGAAAGAAAGTTTCTTTTTCGAAGATAATAACGGAGATGCAATGCACTGGGGCAGCATACGATACGCGTAAACACGTCCACAAAGATACATAGGAATATTTGAATCTGGAAAAGAACTGTTTGCTCAACTTACCTATCCTTCTCGCTTCCCCTTTTTGCTAATTTCCACTAATGTGAATGATTGCACGAGGGGGATGGATGGAGGAGGGTGGGTTGCCTGGTCTTCTTTTGTTGTTATCGCTGTCACTGTCGCGCCGTTCACAACCAGCAAGCAGCAGCAGCAACAAATTTAGGAATCGGAAATGCTGCCTGCAAATGCCATGGGAATCGGCAGACGAATTAACTCCAGACTACAGATGCCTTTCCCATTAAGACGGTTTTTTGCTCTTATTTCACACACAAAATTTAGACAGAGACCGAAACGGAGGGCCGAATTTTTTTTTATAGCTGTAAACGTCACTTTGTTTCTCCTCCTCACACTTGCACGCAAACACACGTACACACAGGCAGACAGACACGCACACACCTCTTTCACACTCTCCCACGGGGTTCTGCTTCTTTTATTTATCTGTTTCTGTGTGTGTTTTGGGATCACTTTTAAGTTAAATTGCACTCGAAAAAAATAAACATTATGCAGTTTTCATTCAACGGATATTCGGTTATTCTGTTTAGCTGTACACGACCACGACAATCCAACTAGACTCTGTCTATTTTTCCAACAGCGGACCCGTTCCAGACGTAGCCAAAATCTGTTTGGGCGCTGCCGGTGCTGCCACATCGGTTGAGTGTTACTGTATGCAATTATTTTCAGAGCAACTTTTTAATGAAATTATTCAGAGGAAATTAATTGAACAATTATGAAGAATTTATTTTTCCATTACGTTAAGGAAAATAACGGAGTATGATTCATGATCATGTATCACAAAACTATATACATAATTGGATTAATTGGCAGCCCTGATATGCTTCAGCTGTTTGAACATTTAAATAAAAACTATCGGCAACAACGTGTACGCTTTTGTATATTTTATATATACTCATGGCTGATATTCATTTTCAGCGCGAAGTCGCAATCACCAACAAATTATTTTGTGAACGAGCCCATTTCGTTTTATCTCTTATTAGCAATTTGGCGGAGAAGCCCAATCGATGCGATACAGTTATCGAATTTTACCGCGTTTCGAAATTTTCCAGAAACTAGCGATGGGCAATGTCATGATTTCAATGTGCAATTAATTGACGTCTCTGACGGATATATTTTGTCGATAAATCCAATCGTGCCCATCACTACAATAAACTAAAAAAGTTATCTCTCGCGGAAAGTTAAAAAAAGATAAAATAATTAACAATGCCCGATGCTGAACAATTGCCCGATGGCTGGGAGAAGCGCACAAGTCGCTCGACAGGCAAGCAACTACAACAAAAACATTATTTTCACAAAATTTGCTGACGACCGGTAAAATCATTAATTTTTTTTTTTTGCAACAATTCTGCAACAAAACGTGAACGCGCGCAGGTCTCAGCTATTATCTGAATGTGCACACCAAGGAGTCGCAGTGGGATCAGCCCACCGAGATAGCCAAAAAATCGGGCTCCAACGCTGCCGATGGACCGGCCGAGGTGCAGTGCCTCCATTTGCTTGTGAAGCACAAGGGCAGCCGTCGGCCGAGCTCGTGGCGCGAGCAACATATCACACGCACCAAAGATGAGGCACAGTTGCTGCTCGAGGTCTATCGCAACAAGATCGTACAGCAGGAGACCACATTCGAGGAGCTGGCCCGCTCCTGTTCCGATTGCAGTTCGGCCAAGCGCGGCGGCGATCTGGGCAAGTTTGGACGCGGTAAGTCGCAGAAGGGAATTTTTTTCTTTTTCTTTTTTTTTTTTTTGCATTTCCTGACACGACCCTGAATTTCACAAACTGTAACTGCGTCATTTCCGGTTATCTAGGTCAAATGCAGCCACCCTTCGAGAAGGCCGCCTTTGCCTTGAATGTAGGTCAACTCTCGGGAATTGTGGATACCGACTCGGGCCTGCACATTATACAGCGCAAATCTTAGACAGCATAAGCTTGATGATAAAAACAATTTTTAATTAAGCAGCTGCATCAAAAAACAAAAACAAGGCGCAACAGATAGATGTTTAAATTTAAGCGAACAGGCGATAAAGTAGAAGGTAAATTAATGTATGAACAGGCGATACAGAAGAAGGTAATTTAAATAATGAAAAGAAGTTAAATCGAAGCATGAAAAGGAGTTCCTGATGAAGGATAAAGGCGCTCCATAAACTAAACAAAAAAAAAAAAAAGACGCTCCAGTAGAAGGATAAATTAAACTACGAAAAGGCGCTCCAGGAGGATACAATTGAAAAGGATTAAAGGCGCTTCCCAATTGCCAGTTTAAATTATAACCCCACGAATTGGCTGCGCTCCAGAAACCAACACACATATAAAAATACCAGCATTCATTTCCAAATAGATTATAAATGTTTAATTAATTCATCTAAAAACTAAGAACTTTCGTTTCGAATTATTTTCATTTGCCAATGTTCAGTTTGCCAGCCAGTAGCTTGGCCCCCAGCGTCTTCTGGCTCTTCAGCAGCTGGCTGACCTCCGGCTCGGCCTGGATGGCCGTGCGGCAAGTATCCAACAGTTTGGGTCGCTCCTCGACAAGCTTCAGCAAGATGAAGCAGCCGCGATTCACCGACAGCCAGGCCTTTAGCTGCGCAAAATAATGGGAGCACCAAAATTAATTAGAGACGAGCAGAAAGAGAGTCAGAGACCAACTTACCCCATCGCTGGTCAAATGTTTCAGTAGCTGTTCGCCAAATGATTGGCCCTCCTCGACCTCTTGCTTGCCATCGTTCTTGAGGATCTTCTTGAGCACAATATGCATGCCGGCCTCTTCGATGCCCGTGACCAGCGGCTTGGCTGGCTCTTCTTTGGCCGGTTTTGGTTCTTTCTTGGCCTTTTTGGGCTTGACTATGCCATTGTCAGCATCCTCTTTGTCAGCTTCCTCCTCCTGCTCCTCCTCCGATTCCTCGTCATCGTCGTCGCTGCTTTCCTCGATTTTTGTCAACTTCTTGCGCTGCTTTGTGGCCTCAGCAATGATTTCCTCCACATCCTGATGGCCCTTCTTCTGCTGTGGCGGCTGTGCACCAGCGGCATCTGCTGTAATGCGCCAATCAGGCTGAACCACCACTTGGGCGAGGGCTTCCACAGCCTTTTGATAGGATACACCTTGGACTGCAAAGAGGCGGAACGTAATTGGTATGGTATGGAGAGAGCGAAGCGGATCTATCGTCACTTACTGTGATTCAGAATATCTGCTGTGACCAGGCCAATGTGACTGTTGGACAGCCAAAAGGCACCATCCTCCGCAATGGCCTCGGCAATGGGCGCCTCAATCTGTTCGAATATCTCCTTGCGACGCGCCTCCTTTTCTTTTTTGCCAAACGCCAGACCCTCCTCGATGACGCGTATGAATGTGGGATGGAAGCAGGTGGTGTCGCCTGGAGCCACTAGCCACTGGACCACCCTGCGGCCATATTGATTGGCCACCAATTGCTTGAGATCGCCATGCAGATGATCGTAAATGGCCTTCTTGGTAGCCTTTGTGTCATCAAGGGAATTCAGCAGCGAGATGAGGAATACATGGCCATGCTCGTGGGTGGCTATCTTCAGCAGATGTTCCTTAATGTTCTTGATGATGGCCTGGAATGACGAGAGGGAACAGAAGATGGCGATGAGATGCCGCCAGCCTCAATCAAGCGCGTTTCACTTTTACTTACTCGACGATTTTTGGGCGTGGATTTGTAGAAACAAATGACGGCCGCCTCGCTGCCCTCCTTGGTGCTGAGCATGTGAGGCACAAGGGCGGCAAATGCGGTGACTGTCTCCTCCAGCTTCTCCTCCTCATCCTCGCTGGCGCGCAGATACTCGAGCATTACGCAGTGAACCAGAGAACTGTCCACCAGATTTTTATTCGCCACATGATCCAGATTGGCCTTAACAGAGCCCAGAATGGAGGCCTTCATATTGGTGGCCTCCTTGTAGGTGTCGCTGAGTGTTTTCACACTCGAATCCTTGGCCTTGCGATAGAGATCCCCGTAGAACTCCTGCCGCATATGCGTACGCTGCTGACGCGTGCCGCCCTGGTACATAACATCCAGCAGACCGCTGGCAATGCTGTGCCCGGCCAGGCGGACAATATGCCCGAAGAGGCTGTCCACCAGCTTGCTCTTGGTGGCTGGAGCGCCATATTTAAGCATACGCTGGACACAAAACTGCGCGTACTTTGACTGGCACATCTCCACGGCGTAGGGCAGCAGCTTGTCGGAGATTTCGGCACGCAGCGCCGGTGTGGCATGCTTCAGCATGCACTGGAGCACACGGGCAGTGTCGTGGGCCTTGACTATCTTCGATATGGTGTCGCCCACATTGAGGATCTTGAACATTTGCTCCACCAGCTGGTCCTTGTTCTCGGTTTTGCGGCTATTGAAAAGTTCAAAAACAATTAATTCGATTCGAGGTGAATGCCAAGTGCCGTGCGTGCGTTTGCTTACCATCGGAGCTTCTCGTAGATCTGCTTGGCCTCCTTGGTGATCTCGTAGGTGTCGCGGGTGCTCTTGCGCTTCAGCTTGAGCTCCTTTTTATCCTTCTTGAACTTGTTCCAGTCCTGTTTCTCGGGCTCTCCACTGCACACCGGTTTGCCAGCAAATTTGTTATGACCACCGCCTGGTTTTGGTTTTGTGTTCTCATTGTCCGACTTCCTCACGAATTTCGGTGCGGATTTGTCATTGTCAGACTTTTTGGCGAATTTCGGTGCGGATTTGAACTTGTCGTTTGGTTTATTGTTGCCAGGCTTGAAGTTCGACTTTGGACGCGGCGGACGGGTCTTGGCAGTTTCCTTGGAACTGACCATGTTGGCTTTTATGCGACACTTAAGCTAGCTTTTAAATCAAAAATAATGTTTGCAGGCGCCGTCTCCTACACGTGCTGTGTGTGCAGTGTGACCAGGTCTTGTCTTTTGCGCAGCATTACCATTTTCTTGAAGGAAATACCATCAATTACGGGTTTTTAGCGGGGAAAAATACTCAAAGCTTTAGCTATTTTTTTGTATTATAGTATACTTTGGCTTCTTTATATATTTCGCCAATTAATTGTTTGCCTTAGCTTAAATTCCTTAATTCCTTATAAAAAGCCAGATTTATGGGGAACAAGATACCGTTTTATTAGCGTATCAATTGAAGTGCGTGAGACCAGCAATAAGTACCTTAAGGGGCAAATAATGCAGTAAGAGTGAGAGGTATAAGTGCAGAATATATAAACGTATAAACAAAATAAATGTATAAACAACTTCGGACACTTCAATCTGGCCGAAAAAAAATACCAATCCAATTCGAGTATTTTAAGCAAAAATCGATTAATCCTAAAATGCAGCCATAGCATTCACCTGACCACCCAGCAACAGCCCAGCAAGTAAGTGTGAGAGGGATGCATAGATCTTGGGCGATAGATATCGACAGATACATACGATATACAAACATCGCCGTCGTTGTGCCAGCCAGTGTTTGTAGCTGTATTTGTACTGTACTGTACATTCGCCAATACTAAGACAAATAGCTCTGCTCTGCTCTCTTCTTCAGATTTACTGTTTTTTTTTTTCGCGGCAAAAAAGAAGAGGGAATTTCGGTAAATAAGCTCTGTGGCTGCCTCAAACTTGCGCACTGAGGCCACGGAATTAAATAAAACACTTGCAAACTATCAAAAAACCATACGAATAATGGGAAAGCTGGGTAAAAAGAAGGTGGTCGAAGAGATGAGCCGCAAAAAATCGGAGGCCGAGGCCAAACACAAGAACGGTGATGGCGCCGACGACTCGGACGATGGTATCGACTCGAAGGACGGCTGCTCCGATAAGAATGATACCGGCAGCTCGTTCAGCGGAAGCTCCTCCCAAAAACAACGCTCCAATCAGCGCAAACGCAAATCCTCAGGCATGGGCCACAGCGCTGCAGCCGCCGGCGGCGCCTCTGATGCTGGCACCAAAGTCAAGTCCAAATCCAAATCTAAATCCGTAGATGGCGACTCGGATGACAGCGATGATCTACCGCTTAATGGTAGCAAGAGTTCCAATTCGAACGAGTCCACTGGCGGTGGGCCGCAGGCCAAGAAGCCACGCAAACAGGCCAAACCCAAATCGACAAAGTCAGCCACAGCCGCATCGACATCCACAGCCGTGTCATCCAAGGGTAAATCGAACAACAATGGCAAAAAGAAGGCGGCCGCACAAAAAAATGCCGCCGTCGATTCGGGTGATGACTACGAGGACGCTGTCGATGATGAATCGCTGGCCAAGTCCGATGATGATTTGGACCGAAAGCGGCACGATGTCGAAGAGGAAGTGGAGTACGAGGTGAGCGGAATAGTGGGTCTCTACACTGCTTTAGACTCGGGTTTTAATCACTTAAAATGATTTCCAGGTGGAGGCCATCATTGGCCACAAGAAGGTGCGTGGCGCCTCCTATTTTCTTGTACGCTGGAAGGGCTACAATTCGGACTCGGACACCTGGGAGCCGGAGATTGACTTGAATTGCGATGATCTGATCGCTGAATTCCGTAAAAAGGTGCGCCCCGTCTCTTTCCAATTCATTTATTTTCGCTTACCAGCTCTCTCTCTCTCTCGCTCGCTCTCTTCTTCCCCAAGGCAACCGCCACTGAAACTGGACCGCTTAAGGGCAAAGGCAAAAGCAATGGCAATAGCAATGCCAATGCCAAGGGTAAGGCCAAAAAAGTCGCCACAAATAAATCCGATGGTGGTGCTGGCAAATCTGTTGGTGGCAAGAGAGCAGCCAACACCAGCAAGCAATCGTCCAGCAAGAAGTCCACCGAGGATCCCGAAAAGGAATGGGTCGTCGAACGTGTCATTGATTATGTTGATGATGACGATGCTGGCGGCCTGTATCGCATACGCTGGAAGGGTTTCGGTGCCAAAGACGATACATGGGAGCCCGAAACGAATCTCTCCTGTGAGGGCCTAATTGAGAAATTCAAACGTGGCCTCGTCTCACAGCGCAACGTTGATATCAAGGAGCTGCGTGAGTCACCAAAAAAGACCAAGCGGCTGGTGAACGAGTGCTATCCACGCACCAACATAGCAAATCGCATCGAACGCTCATCCAAGCGGGCCGCTGCCAAGAATCGGTGAGAACAGAAGCACACAAAATCAGTCTCAATTCCTCGATTCTATTGCCTAATGCCTTGCTTTGCACACAGTGTCTTTTATGGGGAGGAGTGAGATACGGCCTAAAGGGGGACACCGACGAAAAGCAGATGAAATTCCCCTGGAGATCTCCCCATCTACAACCCCTCCCCCTCCCCACACAAATGAAGAATGTAGATGGCTGTAGATCCCGGGTTGTAATTTCATAGAATTATTCACCTTCCTTTTAATGGTCGCGGGCATGCTTGGTGGCTTGGCAGGAAGATCCAAGCCCAAGCACAGACCACGAACCTACCCCTACCCCTACCCCTACCCACCCCCAAATTCGATGCACAGATCCCACAACAACAAATAATTTTATAATTTAAATGGAAAGCAACAGAAAGAGAGAGAGACAGTTTCATTTCTAGCAACTAAGAGTAGAAGGCCAGACTCTGGACATGAAAGGACAGGACACCCGCAAAACATCAGGCATGGCATGCAAGCAGCGCATATATCCGTAAATGCAATCGAAGAGACAGACAAACTGGCATTAGATTATAAGCTTCAAGTGCATCGGCATCTGCATCGTACTATCCTCGTAGTACCCATCCTTCTAAGGCATATACACCATGCGAAAAGTGTAGTGGAAGGCGCAATCGATTCGCCCCTCTTTATGTATAATTAATAAATAATATACTGTACACAATATAATACAACAAACAAAAAAAAAACACCCCAAAAAACCAAGAATAGTTTTCTGGCTCCTCACATATTCACGCCTTCTTATTCGACTGTCAAATGATTTATTTAATTTGTAAATTAATGGATTTGTTTTGTAACCCGATTTGGACCGCGTCTAATTTGGCAACGTGCGTGCTTTAAAGGGAGTTTAAGCTCAAGTTAATTCCAAATAGGCGTTTGCACAGTTGGTATATTATTTATTTGGACACGACGTGCTGGTTTCCAGCTTCTAGTGCGAAAGAGAATGCCCGAGAATAGCAAAAGCAATATACATTCGAAAAACGCTGTTCCTAGCTGATGAAATATTTCTAAGCAAGAGATATACCATAATTGTATATGTTTCGATTAGCTAGAACTCTGTTTAACTTAATTAAATACTTTTTTTTTCTTTAAGTATTTCTAAGATTTCTTAAGGCTTTACTCTTATTAAAGCTGGCTATTCCACCTGAAATCCCATTTAAGACGAGGTTTATTGATACCAAAATCCAGGGGGTACATACTTTCGATTATTATGGATATATTTGCAGGTACTAAAAAAGCATTGAGCAAACCCCACAAAACATAGAGCATCAGAGGTTGAGGATGCTGGGGGACATGAAAAATATAAAAAGCAAAAATTACTGGAAATACTTCTAGCCCATAAACTAGTTACGGACAAACGGAAACCATAGGCATATCCATAGAACATTAAGTATTATTTTCAGACACTTGAATGCTTTCTCCACGATTTACAGGCAATTGGAACATCATCTTTTGGCTCTTAAAAGAATCACAAAATATGTAAAAAAGCAATAAAGTAAAAAGTAAAATTGGTAGGATTGAAAATGAGTTGTTGAAAATTATGTAGTGCAATTAGTTGTAGGTTGAACCTTTTTTTCTTGGAGTTGCTTAACGTTTATTTCACTTTCTCTTTCGACAATCAGTGTATAGAATTTGCTCTAAGGCTTGTTGGGTGCGGGGCCCTTTTTGTCTTCTACCGGCTCATCGCCAAATTCGACGCAACGTTGGACAGCGAAACCAGGCCCTTTTGGCTCCTCGGTCAATGACGTGGGCTTGCCCTTGGGCTCGCTAGCGAAGCGCCCATTGCGTGGGCCAGGTGGCGAGATCTTGTCTGCTTTCAGATCCCGCAGTATTTCCTGCATATCTTTGGCGGTCAGATCCTCCTGCAACGGACGAAAGGTTACAGATTGGATATTGGGATTTATACCTGAACGCCACTCACATAGTAATCATCGTTGACCGCCACCATGGGCGCATTGACGCACGCGCCCAGGCACTCCACCTCGGAGATGGTGAACTTCTTGTCCTTGCTCATTTCACCGATGCCGATGCCCAGCTGCTTCTTGCATGTCTCGAGTATCTCATCGGAGCCGCGCAGCCAGCAGGGCGTTGTGGTGCACACCTGAATGTGATACTTGCCGGTGGGCTTGCGCAAGAACATTGTGTAGAATGTGGCCACCTCGTAGACGCGCATGTTCGGCAGGCCAAGGATCTCGGCCACCTTGTGCATGGCCGATAATGGCAGCCAGCCGTACTGACGCTGGGCCAAATCCAGCAGTGGGATCATGGCGCCACGCTTGTGACCCTCCGGATAGATGCTCATGATCGCCTCCACACGCTTCTTATTCTCCGCCGAGAACTCGAACGGTATGTTGGGATTATCCTCGGGTGTGTCGCGGTGCACAAACAGATTGTCGCTGCGCTGAACACCGCTGGTGGCAATGGCGCGCATGCCGCCGCGCTGCAAAACGAACGAATGACACAGGATGTTAAATGTTATTGTTTTTCTAGCGTAAATTATATAACCCACGGAGGCGACTGGCTATCCGTCTGTCACTGACAGTGGTGGGGCGGCCGTCCTGGACTAGTGGGCTACTTACCACGGCGGCCAGCGTCTTCGAGGCACAACTCGTCAGCATTTTGGCGTTTCCCAGTCGGAACAACTCTACGAAGCAAGTGAAAATTTGCTGTTATATGAAATGTAGTCGCTTTTCAACAAGCACCGCTGCCAGCTGTTTCAGCGCACGCTTTACAGCACTGTTTGGCGCAGCCAGAGTTGAGCAAAAAGTGCGAAACAAATGGGGCTGTGCAAGTGAAAAGCACTATAAAAGTATTTCGTCTTTTAGTTTATGACACGTTACTTTTATATATTCTGTTAATAATAATAATTTTAATAATAAAAACTGCAATATCGATAGTATCTGCAAAGCGTTGTCCAATACTAAATATTTAGGATATTTAGTCGACTCTACCTATCGAAAGCGTTTCAATCGCCGCGAAACGACGCCATTGCTACGAAACGAAATTAAAATTAACAAATAAAAACATGAATAGATTGCCAGCAGTAATGGACTACATGAGCAACATGTGCGCCAGCTATCCCACGATAGGCCAGTCAATGCAGGAGTTCGAAGAAGCACTGCAGAAGAACAAAACACTGAAGCACAGCGTAAACAGTACGCAAGCTACGCGAAAACAAACACAAAACACCCACTAACGCACACACACATTTTTGTTCATATGCAGGATTACAGTTACAGCTAGAGGATCAGAATGTGGATGCGAAACTGGTGAAAAAGGCGGCTAAATCCATGGATGAGTGCAGGGCCGAGACAGAATTGGCGGCCAGAATCGCAACTGCTTGCTATAGCCGTATCCTGGCCATTGAAAACCACATGAGCGACGCACAAATCGAAGACGTTCTGCGCTTAACTGTACACCTCAAGCAGGGGGAGGTCATGGAGGAGATCAAAGGCGTGGAGAAACGTTGTGATACCTTCAACGAGAGCAGCGCGATCCTGGAGAGTCGCAACATTGGTAAAATTCGAGTTCGATATGTGCCACAAATATATCAATCTTTATATGCATTCTGCAATTTGCACATTTCAGTGCAGGATTTCCGACAGATGAGGCGCACCATGAAAGAGGCCGCTGACGAGCTGTCGAGGAACGAAAGGGAGGTCCAGGCCATGCTCCAACAGTGGAGTAGCAAGATTAAATCCTCGACAGCCTATCGCAACAAGAAGATTGTCTATGTGCTCAAGTTGCGGAAGGAGATCCACGAGGTCCGAGAAGAGGTCAGTTGCTCCCACACAGCAAATGCGCAAAACAAATCAAATCCATTCCATTCCATTCACAGCTCATCAAGCCGCGCATTAAGCCTTCGGAAAAGTGCGCAAACGCCTCAGACCCCTCTGCCCCGGCGCGTCCCTCTGTGATGGCAGAGGCCAGCAACTTGATACTGCAGTCGGCTATGACATTTGTCAGTGACTTTCTCAAAGGCACCAAAGAGATGGAAATCGAAGATCGCGAGGAGGCGCCGCCACAGCCACTGCAATTCAAAGAGCCGCAAATCGAATATAGCAAGGAGACGCCACCGCTTCGCTCCATACTGGTGAGTAAGCAAGGCGAGCGCAAGCGCGCCGCAAGTCCCGCCAAGCTGGTGCACTTTGCACCGTCTCCGGCTGGCTCCGTCGCAAGCGACAACGAAAATGACAACGATGACGGAGCATTGGGCACGACATTCACCAAGGCAATCGATGAATCCCTAAAGGAGTTTTACGACTTCGACTCGCCCATGCCCCCCAAAATGGCAAAAATTACCAAAGTAGAGATACTCCCACCACTGGACATACGCGCATTCCACCACCCGCAGGGAATTGGCAATGTTGGCAAATCCAAAACGGAAATTAAGGATTTTTCAAATTTATTTCCAAGCTTTGAGAGCCAGGAACAACACGAGGTCATGGAAATTGTTAATGAAGCGGGCGCTTCCACGAACAAACAACAGCCAGCAGTTGTGTCGGACGAGTTGCTGTTTGTGCGTCCATCGCCGCCGTTAAGCCATCAGCAGGATTCGAATAGTATGATTATTACCACAAATGGCACCTTCCAATTCTCGGAATCCAACTGCGATCTCAATGACGATTTCATGCTTAACTTTAGCGATGACAACAACGAGGATGATACAAAGAACGGATATAATCTATAACTGGGTCAAGCTAAGCCACACACTGCCCACACTGTGGGCCATTAAATTTAAATTTATTAATTGTGCCAATACATTATCTATCCATAAGTAAGGGATTTCACCCGTTAAGTCCCACATTTTATGCAATTTTAAAAGTTTCTGTAAAACAATTCTCATAATAATCCACCCAAGTGTATTCTATATGTAGTATAAAGAGCTTCAAGTAAAAAAATACTTTCAATCTTAATTAAAACATTTATTTTCGAATTTGTACCCGAAGTGCATCTTGAACGGGCGATTTGTAATTCGCGCCAATTAGCTCGAACAAAAAAAAGTCGTTGCTTAGCACTGAGCGAATGTGATACATCGATAGATAGCCATTGATCGATATCGATGACCATGCTGCTTCGTAAATAAAACCACGAGTTCGAGAACCACAAACATAAATAATGGCTCGAGCACGGAAAATACCAGTGCGCAAGCATCACGGCATCCGTGATCCTCTCAAGCAGCAGGAACAGAGGGAAAAGAAGTGAGTCCATGCCATCCCAATCAACTAAATGGCACTGAAATGTTATTTCTGCTAACCCTCCATACAGGTTGTCCAAAGTGACCAACAATCCGCCAACGAAGAGCGATGAGCAGCATGTCTCCTTCAAATTCAAGCAGTTCCAACAGTTGGCAGACGGGGCCAAGGCCGGCAAGAAACTTAGACTAGGCGAAATCGGTAAGGAGGACAAGCCCAAGGCCTCCACGAAATCGTCGGATAAACAGAGCGCCTCGAAGAACACGCGCAACATTAAGCAAATAGCCAATGAGTCGGACACGGACTACCTGCGGCGCGTGAACCGCATTACCAGCGCCTCGGTGCGTGAGGCCCAATACGAGGCTAAGTACGGAGTTAGTGTGATACGCAACGCCAAGACGGGTGAAATAACAGTCCAGAAACGTCCCAAGAACGAGATCGACGAGCTGCTTAAGCAGAAGCAGAAGGAGCAGCGCAACGCAGGGAAAAAGGGGCGCAAGAAGGCGAACCAAAAGCCAACAATGGATGCAAAGACCAGCAAGGAGCTGATCAAACGCGCCTTCAAGGAGGCCAAAGAGGAGAAGTCGTCGGACGATGAAAATTCACCGATTGTCGAGTACAAACGTGATACGTTCGCCTTCGGTGATATTGTGCACGCACCGCCAGCGTTAAAGACACGTCCACGCAAGGCGACAAAGGACGATACCACTGCCCGACCCGGACGCAAGTCGAATCTGCTGCTCAAATCCTTGCTGGACTCTGGACAGCAGCCATCCGCCACTCCTGATGCTGACAGCCCAATAGCAGCGAAGCCCATCGCCACTCCTACGCCCAAAAAGTCTCCCAAGGTATCCCTTAAGATGCAAATGAAGGGCAAGCGCAAGGATCTGCCCATCGGCATGCGGTCCATGCTGGAGACCGAGCGCGAAAAGATGGTCCTGCTCTATCGCAAGCTGAAAGAGCAAAAGGCTGAGAAAAATACATAATATTAATTCTTAGTTAAACTTTTTCAGACTCTTTAGATTTAAACAAATAAAAATGTTATATATATATATATTTTTGAAAATACCAGATAATAATTTGCATATTATTTTGAATTGAAATGGATCCAGCTGTTGGGAAAATATCGATGGTATCGATAGAATATCCATAAATAAATAGTAACTTTGTTATTTATTTGTCAGTTTCTTTACTTAATTTCAATCGGTTAAGTTTCTAGTTTGTTTAAAAAAACCATACCTTTTAATAGTCCAAACAACTCGTGTTTTGGTTTGATTGTTTTTCTCTTATGGCGTTGCAGCGTTTTTGAGCTGATAAACATCGTAAATGGCCAAACCAGCCATTCCGTTACCACCATCGACAGTGGCATCGATAATATGTTGTTAACATGTATGTAAAAAAAATGTAGTTACCATGTAAAAACATCGACATTTTTGTTGACCCATTTTGTTTAAACCCTTTTTTATAAACAATACCATAAAAATAAGACCCTTAAAATGAGCTGTTCTTGTAGAAAATGAATTCAGCTATCGGATGAAATTCTATGATCAGTGCTGTGGGCTCCAGCTAGTTAGTTATCCCAAGCCAAATATCAAAATCGAGGAATATCAACGCAATCACGGAAAGCACGAAAATCACGAAAGCGCTGCCAGCGTCGCTGCTGTTTTTTGACACGACGCTTTTGCACGACAGACACGACAGGTCACTGCCGAGTGCAGAGGCAAACAGTATCAATATATTAATTAGAACAATAAATAGTAAAAATAGCCCAAATTAGAATAGATCGACTGTCAATCGAATGACTCAGCATATTAACAGGGAGCAGGAGCAGCAGCAGCAGGCAGTGAGACGAAGTCGACGCCGCCAGCTGTGCAGCCAACGGCAGCAATAACAACAAGAGAGCAACGCAAAGACAAGAGAGAGGAGAGGAGGTGTGTATGTGTACCGTTTGCTGCTGCTTGAGAACCCACCGCCCACCCAACGTCCTCGCCCATCTTGCGCGCAGCTGCCTCCCTCCGTCCCTGGCCACGACACCATGCATCTTCACTCCAGTGGGCGCACGTACACACTCTTGAGCGTGTAGTAAAATTGGTTAAATTATTAATTCGCTTAACCACCACATACGACGGTGTGCCCTGCCCTTGCCCCCTGCGCCGGTCGTTCAGTGGGGGCACGAGGCGTGCCTGGAATTGCTTGACGCTGTTTGAGACCCCCGTTCCGTTCAATCGTTAAAATATTTGCCATTGCAGTGTCGCCATGCGCTTTAACAAGTCCGAGCTGAACGCTTTGGCCACCAGTCCGGCAACCAAGTTCGATAAGGAGGGGCTGCTCATCGTTACGGATCGCCAGGAGGGATTCCTGTGGCGCAGCGAAGGTACGTGCAAACTGGTAGCGTAGCAGATAAGCGGTTAATCACCCAAAACGTATCCAACGTATTTTTAGCTCTGATCACATGCCATGCACATGCACATGCAAATGCTCATGCCATACACATAGACACACACCCACACCCATGCACACTGCTGGACCGATAAGTCCAAGTCCTGTCCAAGCACTCTGCTTATATGCACACTTCCACTTCTCCCTTTCCCACAGTCAGAGTCGAACGCTGGTGCAAGCTGCGCGGCAATCTGTTGTTTTGCCTGAAAGACAAGGATCCCAAATCACCGGTGTCGGGCGTCCTCGTACTGGAGAACTGTCGCGCCCGCATTCAGACTGAAGACTGCGACCCCGATGGCTATGTATTCGATCTAGGTGAGTGAGATTGATGCTTGCGTAGTGACCGGTGCGTTCCCTTGCTAATCCGCTGGTGCTTTACAGACTTCAAAGACAGTCCCACGGAGCGTTTTATTAGCTACTCGTCGGCCGAACGCCTGGCCTGGGTATACAGCATTGAGCAGGCCTCCAACGAGACGCTGAATCTGCTGATCAACCAGCTGAAGGAGCAAATTGTGAGCAAGAGCAGGCAATTACCTCTGGCCATGGGCAATAATATTGATTTGGGTGTGCCAGTGCCCCCCGCAATGATCCGGCAGCAGCAACAGCAGCAGGATGAGACAGAGGACTCTCCTCCCGTGGAGGTGGCACCGACCTTTGAAGGTGATCTTATACAGTTCTAACAAAAAAAAAAAAAAACAAAACAAATCAAATGAAGAGAAAAAAACCAAAGAATGTGGATGTTGTTATTGTTTATGTTTATGTTTCAGTTTTTATTTGTTTTAAGTTAACAAAATTTTTCTCTCACTCACTTGCACTGGCCACTCTTGCACTCGGTTTCGACTCTCTCTCTCTATCTCACTCTCTTTAACGCACTTTCTGTATCGTACTCACACACACACACGCAGATCTCATTACATTTCCCTTACTTACACACACACACACGCAAAAGCTCACCCATTCCAAGACTTGTCGCTGCTTTCCAGAGCCACTGGAAATGACGCACTGCTTCCATTTGTATATTTTTGTATATGTAACTGTATTTGTAAATCTAACGGGAAATTGGTGGCTGGGGTTGGAGGTAGAGATCCGATCTCTTGCACTGGAAATGGGTTTTATTCTTGGAATAAAATTGAATTTTATTTTTAAATTTAAAACGGAAAACAGTTTGTTTTTTTTTATGTTTCTCATGGTCTCTGCTCTGCTCTCTGCTCTCTGATCTGATTTGATCTGCTTCTCCTTCCAGAACTGGACCTCTCGGAGCTGCCCATCTGCGAGACGGCCTTGTCCTGTGATAGCCTGCCGGTAGACACCTTCGGGCGTGATCCCAATCCCCGTGTTGTCTGCTCGGTGCTGCAGCCAGGAGAGGATTGCCTGTGGCGCGAGCACGCCCGCACCGAGCTGCAGGAGGGCACACGCACGCCGCAATTCCTGAGCACAATGCGCTTCCAGCGCAGTGCCGGATTTACGGCCTCCACGCGTCTCCGTTTCAGTGTACACGATGTGCGGGAGCGCATGACGCTGACATCGGTGCCCCTGGGCCACGCTGAGGTGGCCCTGGGCGTCATACAGGACACCACCAGGCTGCGTCTGCCTGTGTGCTCGCCGCGTGGCGAGTGCGGCTTCATTACCCTTATCTCCTGGTCACCCGAGGCGGCCGTGGAACCGGGCCAAGCGACGGGCAATGGTTTGCCACCGCCGCCCCGTTCCAGCACGCAACTTTTTGAAACGGCTGGAGGAGCATCCGCTTCCAGTGGCAGTGTCAGCGGCAGCGGGAGGCGAGGTAAGTGCCCAATGAAATCCCAGGCCAGGCCGTCAGCTGCTCACGCACCTCTCTCTCTCTCTCCACTCCACCAGCCCATCGTCGCACCCAGTCGCTGCCCCCGAAGCTGGGCGTGCGCCTCTTTGTGCCGCAGCAGTGCGGCCTGCAGAGGGTCTGCGCCAAGCCACGCCTGCACACATATCGACTGCATTCCTCGCTGGGGGCGGACATCAGTGTGCAGGAGACGCTGCTGGAGTCGCGTCTGTGCTGTGTGCTGCCCCAGCAGCTGCTCTCCATCTGGATACAGCGCGAGAAGGAGCTGCTGCAGGAGATCTCGGGCATGGGCGAGCTGAGCGGCGAGTGGCGCTGGCGTCAGATGAATCTGCTCGAGGAGCATCTGCGCCTGCTCAAGGACTACTCGCAGGCCAAGCAGAACATCCAGCAGCTGGCGCGCGACGGCATCTTCTTCAAGCAGTCGTCGGTGAAGACGGACGAATCGCTGGAGTTTCTGCCCGTCAACCTGCATGTGCAACGGATGTGGGCCCAGAACGACACGCTGCAGCGGCGCGGCTTCCTGGACATTGTGACAGTGGGCGCCTTCACGCGACACGATGCCAAGGGACGGCAGTGCGGCGGATTGATCAAGTGAGTGGATTACGTCCCAGGTGCGCCTCTTTTCTAACCATTTCCCACTCTGGTTGGGCAGACTTTTGCAGGAGAGCAAATCGTGGAAACTGGAGCAGAGCAATGCCTGCAAGGTGCAGGCAGCCAACGATGCCGTCCAGGCCACCAAGCAGCTGCGCAAGGAGATTGTCGAACTGATGTCGCAGCTACTGCAGCTGGCCAGTCGTCGGTGTGCCACCGACATGATGCCCCTGTGCAATCAGATGGTGTCCAAGACCCGCACATTGCTGAACATCTGGGAGCCGAGCATTGTCAAGGAGGCGGTGGACTTTATCGAGCAGCATCGCATCATCGAGGAGCCCGAGAATGTCCTAATGGAGCCCATGTCCCCGTTCCGAAAGATTACCCAACAGCTGACGGCCTTGGAGTTGAAATCGCCGGAACTGGAGGACTTTGCCACGCCGGTGGTGGCCCCGCCGGATCTGTGGCCCCGCGGCCAGCCGCCGCTGATGCGCTCCAATAGCTGGCATCCGAGCAACAGTTCGCCCTCCGGCTCCCTGGACATTCGTGCCATTGACTCGCTGCAGCATGTCGTCAAGTGCTACAACGAGCATCTGCGCAGCCTCGAGCAGGGCGCGCCCGGACAGCGCACGGAAAAGGATGCCCTGGCCGAGGCAGAGGCCACATATCAGTCGCTGCCATTGGCTTGGCATGCCCAGCCACAGACCCAGTTCCAGTCCCAGCCCGAGGCGACGCCCATGCCGCCCGCTGCACTGCAGCTGATCGATCTGGATGAGTTGAGGGGCGGGGCACAGACCGCGATGCAGCCGCCCGCAGGCTTTCTCGACACCAAGCTGATGAGCTCCTCGCCGTCGGCCAACTATTACCGGCCCACGGAGGAGCCGGAGCCGCTTGATCTCACCCAGCTGAACATCGAAGCCAGTGTCATGTGCCTGGAGTGCAAGCTAAAGTTCTTCTGCGGCCGTCGCGACAGCCCGGCCATCCGGCTGCGTCATCCCAAGCCGCCGATGAAGCGCGAGGGCTTTGCTGTGGCCCCCCAGCACCAGCAGCAGCAGCAGGCACCCGCACCCGATGTGATTTCGGCACCCGAGAAGCCCGCTCCGCAGCTCGAGCTGGACCTCAAGCCGCTGGCAACGGCTGCTGCCTCTGGCTCGGCTGCCGTCAAGAAGGGCAACAAATTCACAGACGGCTTGGACCTGTCGCTGACCACAGATTGGGCCGCTGAGCTGCGTCCCAGCATGCGCAAGCTGCGCCATGCCATGGACAGGCTGCTGAAGACGGCACGCCTGATGCATTCGGTGCAGCGGCTGCAGCAGGATGTGCGCTGCAATCGCCTGCAGGCGAGCATCATGTATCGACGGGATGTCTGCTTCTCCCAGGCGGTAAGAATAATGCCCATCCCACACCCATACCCACAACTTAACCATTGTCTTTCTGCCACAGCTGACGGCTCTGGTTAGCTCTTTGATGTTGCGCCTTTGGGGCAGCGAACTGGACATGGCCTATCTGGTCATGCTCAGGGATCTGGGGCCGCTGGCCTACTTTGAGGGCCTGCTGACGCTCTTCGGCAACGAGGCGGACATGTGGAGCGACATGTGCATTGCCATTGAGGACCTGTCGGCCGTCAGCTTTCAGCTGGTGCGCGCTCAGGGCGAGGCCACGCTGGCGCCGATGCCACGCATCACAGGCTCGCGTCAGGCCTTGGAGGTGCAGCTGCCAGTGCCGGAGCACTCGCTGCCCGGCAATGGCACCTCCATTTCGTTCAAGATCACGCCCGTATTCTTCAACATTGGCATCAATGGCAAGGCCACCTATGCGGAGACGGTGGGCCAGACGCGGGAGCAGCATCGCTCCAATTGGGACAACTATCTGAGGCTCAGCCAGTACTATGGCCGGTATCGCAAGCTGGGCCTGGGCTCTGTGGATGCCGGCGAGTCGCTGCAGTCGCTGCTCGGCTTCATGGAGCAGCAGCTGCGCGCGAATCTCTCCAAGAATGTAAAGATTCTGCATTTGGCTGAGGATGCCTGCCGTCTGATGGACGGACTGCGTTTCACCTCCTGCAAGAGTGCCAAAGATCGCACGGGCATGGCCGTCACCCTGGAGCAGTGCCGCGTGCTGGTACGCGAATTTCAGCTGCCTGCCAAGCATGTGCCCTATGCCCTAAGCACAATGAGAAGGTAAGTAGTTGGCTCTCCTTTACTGACTCTTATTTGATTGTGTGGTGTGGTGTGTTCTGTTTTGTTCGTTTGCAGCGAGGGCACACGCATGGACAATGTCTTCAAGAATATTGGCACGCGAAAGTATGCCTTCCATTGGACACAGGTGCCCTTTCTGCCGGCCATGTATCGGCCGCCAGTTGGCAGCTATGGCAAGGCGCAGACCTAGGCAGGAGCAGGGACAATGCGTGTAGCAAAAATAAACTGTGCCAAAAATCAAAAACAATTTAAAGCAAAACAAACACAATTAACCACAACCCAAAAACTAATTCAATTAGCACACATTCGGACAGACAATTGTTAAATGCAAGACACGATTCCACACCCTACCCCCAAACACACGTATTTATTTAGCATCTAGAGAACCCCCCCCCCCCCCCCCCACACTTGTAGCTTGTAGAGAAGGCAACCTGTGTACTTTATAACTCGACTCATGTACTTCCAGTGAATATAAAACGAAAGCGAACTTGTTAACAAATAAAACACTTAATTAAACGAAACAAAAAGGCACCTCTAGTAATCCTGTACACGGCCAGTGCCCAGTCGCTGCTTGCGTATCTCTGTCTTCAGCCAGGAGGGCACATCCCGTATGGGATGGGCATTGGGGAAGCGCAGCGGCTTGGCTGGGCCATCGAAGGGATGCGTTTTGGCCAGCTTGCGCTGCAGATACTCCTTGTTCAGCTGCTTCTGGTCGCGATGCTTGTCCATGTACAGATTGAAGGGCTGCTTCAGTGGAAAGAATTTCTGATCCGATAGATATGGCTTGGGGAAATCGTACTCATAGACAGGCTCCTTAAGATCTGCGAAGGAAGGAAGGAAGGAAGGAAAACCAATTCAAAACTAAATGATGGATTAGAATCTCTGGGTGCACCCACCCAAAACATTGTGATAGAATTCCGTCAGTGATTCATCCCAGTTGGTTTGATAGAAGGCCAGTCCTGCCGGCGTCAACTGCTCCTGATGCTGGCGATAAAAGTCCAGCGTGCTGAATGTGCGCTTCTCCAAATTGCTGTAGTCCGAGGCGGCCAGCTGGTAGCTGCCCAGATCCATGACAGCCTGCTGCTTGTACAGCACGAAGACCATGCGCTGATAGCCCACGCCCTTGGGCGGAAACGGTGGCAGATACTCAGCCAAGACCTGTCCCTCGCTCACCCTGCCATTGGGTATATTGGCACTGCAAGGAGGCCAACAATCAATTGACTTAACCACATCAGTTACGGCTCTGATACGTACATGAACCAGTGCAGACACTCGGCCGACGGATTGGTGTAGTGGGCATCCGGATTGGTGGCCAACAGCGTCCAGTAGCTGTCCTGCCCGGCCACCGACTTGCCGGTAATTGGATCCATCAGACCATCGAAGCTCACGACTGGCGCCTTGGTCGCCTCCGCAGGCTTGATCACATTGCCATTGTAGACCGGAGTGAGAATGTCGCCCAGCTCGTAGCGTATGCTGAGCGGCACGCGGGGCACAAAGTACGCGCTGCCATACAGATGCTCAAAGATGCCATAGTGATCCGCGAGCAGGCGTAAATCATGCTGGCCCGTCGTCTGCACATATGTCTGCTGCACTTTATCCAGATCGATGATCACTGCCCCCAAAAGAGTTACACATAAGAATCGAATCTACTGCTGCTGCTGCTGGTGCTAGGTGCCACTTACGTTTGTGGCTGCGCGCCAGTTGCTCCAGCTGTTTGTTGGACCGCTGCGACTTCAGATGCTCCAGACGCGTCTTCAGCTGGGCAGAGCGCGATTCCTTGAGCTGTGGAAAGCCAATATTGATGCGGGCCACCACCTCGGGATCAGTCACAGTCTCCTCTGTGTGGCGGCAAGTGCATGTGTTAGCGCGATTACATCAACAAAACACGGCAAGAGGACTGCTTACCCTGCAAACGTTGTTCCAGCGTACGGGCCACGCCGGGCGGCTTTCCACGCAACCTATGACCCTGGCGCGTGCTAATGAGTCCAACCGTGGCCGGTGTTCCACGCAGGCCATGGTTGAGGCCGCTTTTCATTAACAAATTGCTAAAAGACATTTTATAATTGTGTCTTTATGAGTGGATTTATCGATAAAATATACCATCAGAAATATACTAAAATACACCATCTCATTTTCAAAAAATACCGTATACCACTTACCACTTAACCCCGCTCTATTCTATCTAATATTACTAACGAGCTGGGATCTCCAGCATTGAACATATAATTTCTCTACAAGATTGGTTAATTTTAAAGACCCTTTTATTTTAATTTTTTACAAAATAAGGCTTAAACAGTAGGGTCAACAAAAATAAACGTGCTCAGCGCTACCAGACTGTCTGATGAAATCGATTGGTAAGATAGAAAAGCTCTGACTTATCGAAATTCTTAAGCTGAGCTTTCTAACGGTTAACGGCTTTCTGCAAAAGTTATACAACATACAGGTTATTTCATAAAATTAATGCAAATAATGCATTATTACGGATTAGTTGTTATATTTCTGGCTGGCTACTGCCTGGCCGAGGAGCTCCTGGAGCTGAGCTGCTCCTCCGATGTGCAGTGCCTTCAGTTTGAGCGCGGACGCTGCCTTAATTCGACCTGCCACTGTACAGCACGTGACTCGGGTCAGCGCGTGGACTGCCGCCCCATGGTGCAGAAGGTGACCAACATCATTGGTGGCCACTGTCCCTGCCCTCAGCGCCATGCCGAATGCAACAAGCAGCTGCAGCAGTGCACCTGCTCCTCCGGTTTCATGCCGAGCGAGGACAAGCGACGCTGCCTCGCAGAAAAGGTGGCACTGAACGAACCCTGCGAGTTCCCTCGCCAGTGCCAGTTGGCGGACAAATTCAGTACCTGCCAACCAATTCAAAATCGCTGCCTCTGTCGAAATAGCTTTGAGTCCCATCAGGGACACTGCCTGGCCGTCCTGGGTGAGTGGAGTGTGGCGATCCCAAGCCCAGATTATGCTTAACATGTAACCCGCTTAACCCACAGAGTCCAACTGCGTGAACGACACCGATTGCGGCAGCTCTGGGGCCTCGCTCTGCCTGCCGCAGCTCAAGAAGTGCGGCTGTGCCGTCCACTATGTTCACAACCGCAACATGACCAAGTGCATCACTGGATCTAACTACGGCGATGACTGCGAGACCAGCACGGTCTGCCAGGCGACCCTTGGCTCCGGTGGCCAGTGCCAGGAACACCGCTGCAATTGTCGCTCCACCCACTATCCCCGAAAGGTGGCCAACACCGTGCCAAAGGAGGAGGAAGCAGTGGATACGCACCTGGAGCCGGAGCGGATTAGCTGCGAGCCCACTGTACCCTTTGGTGCCTACTGTCGCACGGACAGCGACTGCCAAATGCATCCTCTGATGGCAGAAGACGAACCCCAAAAGCCGCCACCGCCCTTCGCGATGGAGTGCAAGTGGGGCGAGTGCCGCTGCAGTGCCCACCACAGTGTGCGGGAAAATCAGTGTGTGCTGGAGAGTGCAGGGAGCAGCCGCGTCCCAACAACGCTCTGGATTGGACTCTTGCTTCATATTTCATTGATTCTTTATTAGCATATAGAAAAAACTGATCAACTTATCAATACAATGGTTTATACAGATCTCAATGCAGATCTCAATGCCGATCCTGATCCACTGCCGCGTTTAGAGGCCGATCCTGGCCGGTGTGCGTCGTGGCGTGGTTGTGCCTGGAGTGGCTATCTCCTGTTTGGCGGCCATTTGCTCCTCTTGGCGGGCCGCCTCCTGTTTGCGCTCCTCCATCTCGTGCTGGGCCTGCAACATTTGCTCCTCCATCTCCTTGAGATGCTCGGCGGCCTGTTTCTTCTTCTCGCGCCCACTGCGTCCGGACTCCTTCACGGAGAAGAACATGGGACCCAGCTCGGCCAGCCAGTAGCCATCCACAGCGGTGGCACACTGCATATACTCCTTGGCCGTCATGATCAGCTCGTGATAGACGACATAGTCGGGCGTGGTGCCCAGCCCGTACAGGGCGGAGGTGGGATGCAGATGGCAGGGCATACCCGTGCGCAGATTCACGTACTCACCGATGCCCTTGAGCCGTGCCGCCTGGTAGAAGTACGCCGAGCAGATGCACTTTCGCACAATGTCCCAGTCGGTGCCGCACGACTTTACGTTCATCTTCTGCTGCGTCATAATGTCCTTCAGCTGCTGGCGCACCTCGCGCACCTTACGCATCGCCTTGATGTGTATGAAGTGCTCGTTGCACCACGACGATCCATAGCTGTGGAGCAGAGAGCGAAACGAACACAATGTGAAGTCTGTCAATTCTGTCCCCCGTGATCCACCCTGCCGCTGGTGGCTTACCTGTTCTGGCGCCACTGCTGATACACATTGAGGTAGGTCAGATGATCCGATTCGGGCACCTGGAACTTTTCGCGTACACCGTCCGCCTCCTCCTCGCGTCCCTTAGGACGATAGAAGATCGACGGCACCGACAGCATGGAAACTGTAGAGTGGAGAAAGAGTGTTATAAGGGATCAGTGGATCAGGGGATCAGGAGTGGGGCCTACTCCTTGCAGTTTTGTGTGGCTCACCTATGATGAGCACCTCGGCACTGCACTCCATGCGGCAGGCGACAATCAGCATTTGGCACTGCGGCGGATCCAGGGGAAACTCGGCCATCTGGCGGCCCAGAGTGGTGAGGGCACCCGTGTGATCCAGGGCGCCCAGTATCCACAGCTGGTAAAGCGAATTGAGGATATTGTCCTGTGGCGGCGGGTCCATAAAGTGGAACTGCAGCAGATCCACCACGCCCAGCGACTTGAGCAGCAGCACCGTGTTGGCCAGATTGGTGCGCTGAATCTCCGGCACGGTGAGCGCCAGCAGCTCGTCCTTGTACTGGCGCTGGGTGTACAGGCGGAAGGCCTGGCCCGGGCCCGTACGACCGGCACGACCCGATCGCTGGTTGGCATTCGCCTGCGAGATGGGATAGATCTGCAGGGCGTCCATGCCGATGCGCGGATTGTAGACCTTCAGCTTGCAGTAGCCGGAGTCGATGACGTAGATGATGCCATCCACGGTCAGCGAGGTCTCCGCAATGTTGGTGGCCACCACACATTTGCGCACCCCGTCGCCGGACTTTTGGAAAATCTTCGCCTGCAGGTCGGAGGGCAGCTGCGAGTAGATGGGCAGAATGCTCAACACCGGGGCATTGTCGATCTCGGCCAGACGCTCCTCGAGCACCTCGCACGTCACCTCGATGTCCTCCTGGCCGGGCATGAAGATGAGCATGTCGCCCTCGTTGGGCGTCAGGTGCACCTGCAGCGCCTGCTTCACCGCCGACTCCACATAGTCCTCGCAGGTGTTCTTGCTGAACATCACGTCCACGGGAAAGGTGCGTCCCGGTATGGTGAATGTCGGCACGTTCCCGAAGAATGTTGCAAACTTGGTGGAGTCCATCGTGGCGGAGGTCACAATTAGCTTCAGATCATGCCGCCGGGCCACAATCTGTGAATGGGAAATGGGGGGAAATCGTGGGAAAATGGACATATGGATTAGGTCATTCATCGGCAGTGGGGTACGCGGGCGGACAGACCATAGTTTGACCCAAAATCCCCGCCAGCTTAGCCGCGGAGTCGTTGACCGGCACTGCAGTGGGTCAAGGCATACAACATCATTCCACGAATTTCTCATAGCCCTACCGCCCCTCCCCTCTCGCGCTCTTTCCCTTGGCAAGCAAGTCCTGCTGTGTCCACAAGTGTGGTGAAATCAAAAATCTTAACACAGCGGAATGAGAGAGCGAGTGGTTCGTGCATAAGGTGATGCACTCTCAGTGTTCGCTCTCAAACTAAAAGCTTTGTTTGACATAAAACGGAGCGAAATATGAAGGGAGGGGGGAGGGGTAAAGTACAATAGCCAATCCGCTTTTCCTTCTACTTAAAATACCTTCTTTCGGCTGCAACTGCGTGGAATGCAAACTTTAAAGTGGGAGAGAAACACACACAGAGAGAGAGAGAGAGAGAGCGAAAGATTGGCAGAGAGCCGTTGCAGCTTCGGCTTAGTCTCGACGGTTTAAGGGAGCGGGCAAGCATGCTGGAACACACGTACGCCATTGTATGGAAAGGAAGAACGGTAGGAGGAGAAGGAGGGTTTTGTTTCCTTTGGTATTCGCTATACGCAACGCACATCCATCCATCCATCCATCCAACCCCCTTTCTTCCCAGTAAGCAAGCGAATTGCGCATTAACAGAATTTTCGCCACAGCCCACAATCCACAAACCAAACGAGCCAGCCAGCCAGCCAGCCAGCCAGCCAGCGAGGCAGGCAATTTGCAATCCAACAACACAACCTACTCGTAATGTGTGCTTTATTATGCAGCTTATCTACTTGCATATGCAACACATACATACATATGTACATTTGTGTGTACATGTCATGAGTGTGTGTACATATCTGTATATCTGTGCATGTGTGTGTTTGGAAATTATTTACGATGCTGGTGGATAGCAGGTAACGCAACGCAAAGCAAATCGCCCGCATTGATTCCACCAATATCTTTATATCTCTGCACGTTGGATAGATGACGCAGCAATTACGATAGTCACGATCATTTCGATAGGCGATGCACACCCACACACGCTTATCGCGTATCGAACAGAGTATGAACTTGCAAGATAGAAGAAATAAATACCTTTCGAATGGATATAAATCACCATAAAACCATCATGCTCGTAGTATCCGACAGGGAAACACCCAAAAACTATCGGGGAAACTAAATCCGCTATCTCATTCCACAATCTTTCTCTTACTCGTAGCCTCCCATCCCCGCCCCCAAAACCATTATCTCAAGGTCGACCAATTTCGGAAACATATAAAAACCCTCCCCACTCCAAGCAAGTTTAAATATAAAGCATTGCAAAAAAAAAAAAAGAGTTAAAACACTCTACTAAGATTCTGAAATGAAATCGGGAAGGTTTTACAGAGATTTTAAGAGGAAAACTTTATACGATAATTATGTGATTATAAACAGATGTGATCGAGAATAACGGTATATTGCCAAGCATAGGTACAGAACCCAGGATCCCAATCAGATCTGATCTTAAATATATATATATATATTTTGTGAGATCGGATTAATTTAATAAATATATACCAAATGAATATGTACCCTCGTACCCCCATTTGTACCGTGTTTAAGTACCCGACCAACTTATACTTTGCCTATAAGTAAATGGTATCAAGAGTAGGTATATGTGTATGTGATTCCGATTTGGAACATACTGATAATGCCTGTGGGGAGTACGTGCGTACACAGAGCGATATCTCGGCACTTTTCTTACTCACTGAGGAGAGTGAGCAGAGAAAAGAAGATTGTGTTTGGTTTAGTTTTGGTATCAGATTTGGGGATTACGGGTTGCTGTATTCATCAGCTGTATTTCATCAGAACGAGTCACACATCGGCTGTGAGTAACACACATTCTGAATAAGATCACGAGCGTTAGTGTGTATACATATATGTACATATATGCCATTGCATACTGACTGATATTGCGAATTCGATTGGTAATTCAATTGAAGTCGTAAAACAATAATCAATAGGAGAGAGCGCCACCCCTAGCCCTAGTACATATAGAACCAGTATTGATTCCGATAAGAGACCACTCGAGATGGGGCTCTGTGAGGTTTTTATGGAAATATAATACTCGAATCCATCAAACAATAATCCCACAAACAATCTAGGTATATCTATATGGTGGCTCTAGCACATGATTTTATTATAGAAACAGGAAGCCAACAAGGAAACGAAATATGTATTTACTACGAATAATTCGCACAGATAATGCCCTTAAAATATTTATTCTCGATTGTCCCTTAATCAACATGAGAAAAAACAAACAAAAAAATAAGAAATCAAAAAAGATTACTTTCGTGCATAGATAATGCATCAATATGGGATTGAACTCGGTTCTGATATGCATCTGAAATTGCAGGAAATTGCTGCAGGCACGGTGCACTGCTTACCATCTAAAATGCCAACGAAATGCCAGTGAAATGAATTTAATTTGATTTCTTTTAGGCACAAAGCCAACAAAATGCAAGATATGACAATAATCCATTGCTATAAAAACAAATGCAGATTTGTGTATCGATGTGCAGTGCAGTGCATATCAACAGAAATATGTCTGAGGTGCCAGCCCAAGATACTCGTACTCGTATGAGGCAGCCGTACCCACAAGTACCAGCATGATATTAGATCTGTTTATTCCATAGCCCACGAGTGTTGAATCACATTGTTGGTACGACTTGGTACCAAGTCTTGCTTAGCTCAGCCCTTAACAGAGATTTTGTACACATATTTACATGTACATGTGTATCGATTAATTATCAATTAATCGCCTTCTGAGCTATGAAAATAATCAACTTTCTGTCTAGCTATGGCCTCCATGTTCGTTCACACAGAAATATTGCATTAACCCCCAGCAAGAACCTTGTCGAGTAGTAGATGCAAACAGGCAGGAAATCAAGTGTTTTCCTGGCGCCAATAGTACATAGTACATTTGTACATATGTACCTATGCGTGGCAATATACCGCTAAAAGTCTACGCACATATGCATATGTATGTACATATGTATGTATGTATGTTTGTATGTTAGCAATTTAAAAATGCCGAAAATGCAATTTAGCGTACATTTGCATTGAGGCGCAAAACGTTTTTGAGCGAGGTTGTTTGCTGGATGGCGATTTGTATAAGGGGGTGGCTGTGGGTGTGCATGTGCTGTACATGTGCCGCTGCCGTACCGGGCGCCATTGCTGGTGGGAGGTGGAATGAATTATGCGAGTCTAATGAACCTCTTTCCATTCTACTGATTCCCGGCAAGCCTAAAAGTACATAGCACAGACAGTCCACAGTGGACTGGACCAGAGAAAAGTCATCGACATATGACGACCCCCGCATTTATGCCACCCATCCAGCGTTCAGTAGATATTTGTTCAACGGGAATTGCAGGACACAATAATTGGTTTGAACATGGGTTAAAAAGCGGTTTATGCATTTTTTGCACTGTTTTTTTTTATTTCTTTGCAAAAAAATACCCCTGTGGTCGGGTTGCCAGTGCACAAGAGCACATACACACACACCCACACAACCACACAGCAAAATGCAAGTCAATAACAAGGAAGGATTGCAGCGAAGATGCTGGAAAGATGGTACACACTTGTGGCCATGGAAACGTGGATACAGGCAAGGGACCAGACCAACAGTCGAGTCCTCCGTTAAGCTTGCCGATTGCATGTTCTCGTCATTTCTCCAACCAAACCGCATGAGAGCGCAACAGCAGCAGCCAAGAGAGTTACATAGAGAGAGCGAGCCCAAGGTAAATTAAATAGAAGGTCCAGGGAACTGTCCAAGAGAGTGAAATAAACTGCGTCTCAGACTTTGATAGCAGGAGAGTGCCAGGATTGCCTTACCTTACATTTGATATTATGTATCTTGAGAGAGCCAATACCACAGACAGAAAGAGAGAGCGAGCAAGTGGTGGTTTCTGTGGGCTTTTTGGAGGTGCGGCGGCATCAACAAAGCACACACAACACCGTTCGCAAATGCATATGTACATGCATACATATGTACATATGTATGTATATAAGTAAGTTTGTTTTTTGTTTTGTTTGTGAGATTATATTTTGTTTTTGGCCAAAAACTAAAAATCAAAACAAAAAAGATCCCAACGAAGCGCGAGATGTAAACAAAACTGACAAAAATTCGCAACGAACGAAAACAGAACCTAAAATGTGCCAAAACCAAAAGAAAAATGCAAAGAACGTAGAGATATGCGGAATGTGAATTATTTTATGTACATATGTACACGTATCATATATACTCGTATACTACTACGAGTATCTATAAAAGCCGATCCAAGAACGAAAACAACAGAATGACAAAAGACTCGGCTTTGGGGCTTTGGCGCTTCGGTTCGGCCTGCCCCGTGGCTCCACATAAAGCCGCAAACGAGTTATGTGCCTCTCCCATGGGCAGATGTGGCTGAGGTGAATACACTGTAAAGAGAAAAGCACCACCAGCATGCGAGAGCCAGATATTGGGAGAGAGAGAGAGAGAGAGACCCAACCGTACTGCACTCCCGGCTAATTCAATTCGTTCTCTCGTTCTTGCTCCCCACCCTACCCCGCCGCCCACAATGTACGACCAAGACGCTGCCCGACAGCTGTGGAGAAGTCCTTCCGCCATATGATGTCCCCAAAAGTACCGTTTGACACCACTCTCCCCTTGGACACGACCCCAGCCGACACCAGGAAACGAAGGGCAGCAAAACGCAACTCTCACGGCTGTTAAAACATCGACAGAAACACACAGCTTTTGGGAACCTGTGCTGGGCGGCAGATACCCTGTACAGATCAACTGTTTCTATGGAGATTCTAGACAAAAATATTAAAACAGTATCTGTAATAATATCTTCAAATATAGAAGGGTTTTTGCTGATCAAGAAATTCTTTGTAGTTGTCTCTATGTTTCCCTCCTTCTGTTTAAATGTGAAATACCCTCGGCAAAGGGTGAAACCTATAAGCATACAAAATTCTTTATTTTTTTATTTTTATTTTAACATTTTTTTCATTTCATTTCATTTATTGTGATGCCGCCGCCCCGACTGTCTGTATTGTCTTTTATATTTCATTTTGTTGTTGTTATTGTTGTGGGGCTGTTGCTTTTATTTTTTTGCTCGCGCCTCGTCTGAATGATGATTATAAAGTGTCTGAAAATAGCCACGAGAGCCAAGAACGCCCCTGTTGATGCTGGCAACGTGACCAGAGACGTTGAGCGGAGAGTGGGTTTGGAAGGGGCTTTAAAGATGAATATGGGATAGCCTATTGGGTTTTACATTCAATTCCAATCCAGGGTATATCCTTTTTAACATTATTCGTTTCTACATTATTATTCTATAAACTTTAAACTAGATATAATTGGAATAGTAGTGCGTGCCGGCCAGGGTATTCCCATATTCGACTACCGTTGTCAGCCTTGCCTTTCTCTCCGTTTCTCTGTTGTTATTCCATCATGTAAGCTCTGAAGCTTTGACCTGGGCCATTGTCAGGGCTTTTGCTACTGTTTGTCGTGTGCTGTTTGGAGACTAGACACACTCAATGCTCAATGGAATGTGCCGCCTCATCTAGAGCCTCTGCTCTGCTCTGGTCTGCTCGGCTCTGCTCTGCGCGCCCACCTCTTTTTTCATTCTTTCGCTTCATTCAGCTGGTCTGGGTCTGGGTCTGGTCTCTCGGATCGATTACATTTGTATTGCAACTCTGGGAGCTTGAACTTTGGAATGTCACCCGCAGGCCGTCCAACCACACACCCACCCACCCACTGCAAAGCCCCCAGACAAAACAGAATGGAATGCAAACATACATACATATTTAGAATAGGGTGAAACGAATTGAAACAAAACAAAACGAAACGAAACGGAACGGAAACAGCGATGAAGTCTGACTGAAGCACAAAGTCTGGTTATTACCAGATATCGAAAGCATTTTGCCGGTAAAATGCGCAAAACGAAGCCTTTAAGTCCCCTCCCCACCAGCCCAAAAAAAAACACAAAACGAGTTTCTCCATATACAAATTTGTACCCATATACAGGGGGAAGCAAGTGTGTTGGATAGATAGATAGATAGATAGATAGATGGATGGATACATTGTATGCATGTACATATGTATATACTTGTATTTATGTACATAATGTGTATGTAATTTGTCAAAGGCCTAAGCACCTGGCCTAAACGATCATGACAGTTATATTTATTAAATTTTTCATTCAAAATTGATTATTTATGCAACGCCGAGGAAGCAAAATGCCGCCGCATGCAAATTTTATACTATATATAAATAAACAAATAGATATAAGCAAATACAGGTGGTTCTGCATTTATTTCTTTTGTTGAACATCCCCAAGCAAAAGGGCCGACCCGACCAAGAGGTATACACGAAACTGGAATACCCTTAAGCAACATTCAGTTTTTGTTTAAGTTTTTAAAAACTATTTAATTTTGTTAAAAATATACGATAAATTGTAACGGCTGATCTTCGCCTGCTTCTTCGGCTGCCAGTAAGGGCATTCACAATTTTCTTTATTTAGTTTTATTTTTTATAATTTTTTTTGCCAAATATTCATTGTTATTATCTGCTCAGACAAACGATGAATGATGACGCCTTTTGGGCACTGACCTACACACGCGCTCAGCGGGAGAAGCTTTCAAATTGATTGCGCAATTTTCAATAAAAGCAAAAACAAAAGGTATTCCGACTAGGTGATACCTGCTAATCACAGAACAGGTACTGTAGCATGCATTAACCCAGAGAAACTAATGTAGTAAATGCCCAATTTTGCGATAAGAGTTTCGTATAAAGTGGAATGTTGGGTACCTTCATCTGGAGGCCATAGATATTTTTTACCCTAGCTCTTATAGTCTCCAATTTTACTGGAACGGTAGGAACTCGTTCAGATCCTAAAATAAAATAGAAAATCAGCTATTCAATTTACTCTCTCATTCTCTTCGTTTGAATTTGTTGGCTTAATGTGCTGCGATAATCTTTGATGGTAGTTAATCGGATTAAACGATTCCAGTGCATATGTATGTTTATCGCTAATTTATCGAAGGGTATACCAAGTGCAATGAATAGAGGTACCAACCGGTAATTAGAGAAACAGATGTAACAGAGGGGTGTTACAAAGGGCACCCTCTCCCTCCCCCGCATCCATGCTATACGGCTCTCTCCCCTCTCCTTTGGGGCCGCTGTTTCCCACCTTTAGGTGAGGTGCCCCCCCCCTCCAAACATTTCGTTTTCCAACAACAACAAAAACCAAGGTTAAACTATAAATAGCTATGGAGAAAAATCAACAACAACAATAACAGCAGCAAGTTGAAAATGCTATTTATAGACGACAAGAGAGGCGACGACGCCGACGACGACGACAACGACCAGAAAAAGTAAATGAAAAACTTGAATTGAAAACAAAACAGAGAAATAAGAAACCTAGGCGCGGATGTCGACGTTGAGATGCTCTCTCTCTCTCTCTGCCAGTGTTGGGGAATGTCAAATCGCGAATATCGATATTGATTGGCAAAATATATATGTATTCTCAAAATTCTATCTCAAATATATTTTTTTTTGGTGCAATTTGAGAAATCATATGAAGTATATCTTTGTTTGCTTGTGTGAGCAGAGTTCTACATCACCTGTACAAATCGTGGTAACCAATCGAAACAGAACTTTTGTGTTTAGTCTATAATCATGTTCCCTGCCCTTATTTTTGTAGCTCTCTTTTTCTCACCCCCTTTGGCAGACATAAGCATTGAAACAGCGGGTGTTCTCCCTGAAGAGCTTTTGCCCTACATCCCTTTTCATTTTGGTTTTGGGGTCCCACAACATTTCTATAGATTGCATTTCTTTTGAGCACGATTATTTTAATTATATTTAACACCACCCAAGGGCATTCCATGGGTAACTGCTCTTGCCGTGGACAGGTTATTAGGAAGTGGTGACCCCGACGATAGAGCTTGCTGCAGCAGTTCCAACAGCAGGTAGTCGTGGGTCGTCTTGGCCCACATTAAAGCCGTGTCGCAGAGCGCTTAATGGGTCAAATTAATTGGCATGTTCTCTGGTACGTGACTAGACACACACTCCCACCGCCACTACCCCAAAAAGAAAAATATCGAACTTGTGCGACGTCACCACGAAAAGTTTCAGGCAAGCCAATCGACAAACAAATAGAGAAATGAATTTTTTCGTTTCATTGCATCTGGCGTTGGATGGAATGACGAGCCACTTGAGTCATTGACAATATCGATCCGAACATTGGATGCAGCACAACATGGGGGCGGGGCCACACTAGTAGGAGGTCTCTGGTGGCGGCGGGGGTGGGAGGTCGTACCGGGCCACAGACATCTTCAGATAATGCGATTACCCTGTGGTTATGCACGCTGAACATGGCGGGGGGAATGGGATTGAAAGAGTGTGCAAGATGGAGAATGAACCATGTATGTACATACATACGTACATATGTAAGCGTAAGTATGCATAATAATGTGTTGTTGATTTGATTTTCGTTTATGGAATTTAAAAGCAATTTAAGAGGGACAATGGATGTTAGCCATGTTCTATAACAAATAGAACCAGCAAAATTTTCGTTATACTTTTGCCATGGATCAGCTGTGAACAGCATGATATCTTCTACAATATGTAAACACACATAAGAGGCGGTGTGCGCACGATCACATGATCCCCTACGATAACAGATCTTTGTAATCGATACATTGTCATTCACATCAATCATATTTACCGGTGCCATTACCCGGTGCTGCTCTGACGTATCAGGTGTCGCGGGAGGTGACTGTGGGTGGCGGCGGGCCGCGACAACCGAATTTTTGTGACAAATATCTACGACGTTGACGAAAATAATCAACGGCATATGTATAAATTTCTCATAAAGAACAGAAATAAGAAGGTCAGAGCGGAAGTAGAGCAGCGCGCCAATCAAGAGAACACACACACACAGGGAGTGAGAGAGCGCGTGGGTACCTGTTATCGGTGCAGCTAGAGATCCCAGCAGGATCGAATAAAAATAATTATGATAATTACAGCAGAGTATTAAGCGAGAGAGGCAGAAGTGATGTGCATAATAAACAAACAACAGCAGTAGCGTAGCAGCAGCAGCATAACGGAATCCAGAGAAGAGCACGGCAGTGTGCACGGAGAGGGGAAGAGAGAAGTGTGTCTGTGAGTGTGTTTAAACAAGGTGACGACGTTTTTCTCTCGTTGTGGTGGGTTTTTTTTTTCGCTCTCTCGGCTTTTGTCGGTTCGGCTCGTTTTCCTCTCTCTCAGCTGTCTCATTTGCACCCATGTTGCACATTCTTGTGTGTGAACAAGGGGCATTACGACAACGAGGTGGCGCTTGGCAACATGTGAGTAGTACGCCATATGTTGCTGGGTGCTACCTTGTTGTCCCAACACACCCTGTCACACAATTTATGGCAGAGTAGGGAATGAAATGAAATGAACAATCTTTGAATACCCTTGGATAAAATTATATTCTAACATTATAAAATTATATTCTCGACGCATCATGAACACACTAGAATAATTCTTAAATTTAGGCCTTAATGATAATTATTTAAAAAAAAGCTGGGAATATATAACTTTGTGGTATGTAAACCTTCCAGATAGGGTACCAGAAACTTCCAAGAAACTCAATCGACCAACCATGCCCTAGCACTGGAACCGGTTTGCCAGCAACATGAGTACGGGCTACCAGCAACATGCAAGTCAAACCGGGCAACATTTGCTCCCATTGAATTTTGTGACGTAGCTATAGTATCTGAAGAGACGAGTATAACCGCCGTCCATTTGGAAAAGGAAACAACAGAAAATATCGAAAGCCCAGACGAAGCACAACAGACAACAGAGCGTCAAAAAACACGAAAAACGTTGAGAAAATTGCCGTGCAGCTGAAGCTGAACCAAAAAAAAAAAACAAAAAGAAGAAACATTTGCACACACAAATACATACAGATAGACAGACTGTGGGATAGAGAAGAGAGGGGTGCAGAGCAGAATAATAATTAAAAGTAAAGCGAATTGGAGCAGCGCAACCGGGGGAGGGGAGAAGCAAGACAAAGGCCGAACAGCGATAGCAGCAGCAGCAGCAGCAACAGCAGCAGCAGAAAGCCAAAGAGGCCAGAATATCATAATCGAAGGGGGAAAAAAGCGCGGAAAAGTGCACTTTACACAAATCCCATACATATACACACATTTTTCACCCGAGTGAAAGTTAGGCGCACACCGGCCACGCCCCCCGCCCCGCCTGGAATGAACCGCTCCAACAGTTTTGTCAGCTCCCTGAAGTGGTGGCCCCTGCAGGGCCACAACAGCCAGGCAACACCAGCAGCTGCAGCAGCGCCACCCACCAGCAACGGTGGCTACTCACAGTCGGCGCCCAGCTCCCCGATCTCTAATTGGCCACCGGCCCTTCAGCAGCAGCCGAAAGCCGGTGGCGGCGTGGTGAGCGCCACCTTTGGCAGCAGCGTTGCCGTGCAAAAACTGCGCGAATCCAAGTGGTTCAAGCCCGAGGAGCAGCGCATCTTCTGCGCCGTCGTCGAGTGTGGCTTCATTGTGGAGGTGCGCAGCAGTGCGGCAGCAGAGGCAGCGGCTGCGGCAGCCGCCGCCGCAGCGGCCGCAGCTGCCAGCGATATCGATTCCCTGGACATGGACTGTCCCCCCATCGGTTTGGGCCTGGCTCCCGGCCTAATGATACCCCGCAACGGCAGCAGCAGCATCAGTTTCCTGGAGACCCAAGACGAGAACGAGACACCAGTGGCGTCCTGGTACGGCATTGTCCTATGCAAAGTGGCCAAAGGTAAGTCCCCAAGTCCCCAATACCCACCACCCAGTAGGGAACTTTTTGATAGCTCTGCAGACATCCAGGGCAATTACGCTAATCGCTGGGTTTTTAAGGCGAATTCGCGGGATTCTGCCATTCTAAAATGTCATTCAATAAACAAACAAACGCAGAAGCACACGCACACATGGAAAAGCACATATACAGGCATGGAATAGATTTCTATGCCTAGGTTTTTTTTATCTAATCGAAAATCCAGCAAGTGCGCTGTCGCAGAGCAGCAGCGTGCGACGTCACCTTTGCACGGACCATTCACAATAGTGCGCCGACGCCTGCCAGAAAATTCCAAAAATTTTCTGCGTGCGCATATGCACGCACACAAAAAAAACAAAAGCAAAGGCAAAGGCAAACACAAAAAAAAAAAAACAAAATCAAACAATGCGTGAGCTGGAGGCGGCTGACTTGTGTCTTTTCACAAACTCCACTCCCAAGCACGTCATGTGCTCCATGTTTGCTGTACCCATGGGGTAGAAAGAGGCGCGGGGGCACAGTAAAGACTTCGCTGGCGTCTTTAAATTTGGTTTAGCTCAGAAACAAAAACACATTGATTCGTCAGCCGGAGACTTTACTGTGCGCCCCGTCTGGGGTGCTGTGGATGTTGTGGTGAGCTTTTAAGCATTTCACCACGCGCCCACACAGCAGCAACGACAGCAGCAGGCGGTTTGTTGCATCTCGTGTGCGTGCGTGCCGGGCTGGGCTGGACCCCGGGCCAATAACCCAACCCACCACGTGCGGCAATTTACTGGGCAATGCTGTGTGCGTATGTATGTACACATGTGTGTGCGTAGGATTGATAAGGGGATTTTGACTTGCATTTCGTATACCCTGCAAACGCAGAACGGTAGGGTATACATATTTGTGTTGTACAATACTAGATTTTAGCTATATAAAAATGAATTTTATTGAGAATTTGAGAAGCCATATTGCCATCTTCCGTTTATGAATGACGGGGAAAAAAAAAACCGGATTTGGCGGTACATCACAGTTCTCAGTGGCCCCTAGCCAATCAATAAAACGTTGACGCTTATTTCTGTTTCTAATTGTTGTCCATTCCACCTGTTAGGACCACACTGATTATCCTGCCACTGCCGACCCCCGCCCCTCAAAAATTACTCATGCTCGGCGACAGATTACAAGCGGCGCGCCGTATGTATATTGTACACCCAGCAATGTCTGCCAGCAAAGAAATGCGCATGCGTGCTTATCAAATGATATTTACAATATATAGTCCCATGTAGTCACGTACATCAAACACTCCACCCTCTGGCCCTCTGGCCCTATCGCACCCTGTACCCCCCTGCCCCACTGCACGTCAATCGATGGGGACGGATTAAAGGCAAATACTTGAACATTCTTCAAGAATGAAATGCAATTGAACATTTCGTTGAGTATGTGGGCTGCTTTCTAGTAACAGGTGGGACATACATATTAGGTTTTAGGTTTTAGTTTTTTTTTTTATCATTTTCATAGCTAGATGAGCTCATTCACAAATGCAACACATTTTAATTGTAGCCTCCACTCCAGGACAGTCCCAATTACTGTCTGTGGCTAATGGAATGTACTCGCAAATTACTAGTGTGATTATATGGCTACATATTGTACGTACATATGTACATACAGATGGGGGGAAAAAAAATACCAAGTGCATTTCTCACTCAGCCACCCACCCACCGAGAAGCTATTAAAAAAAAAAACTTTTAAATGCCTGCAAATTGGTTGAACATGGCACAAAAAAAAAATTAAGAAAAAAATACTAGAGACTACAGACATAAATGTACCATTCGATGGGTAAAGATACACAAGGGGAAGGAAAAGGCAGCAGTTGGGGTGTAACATACTAAGCAGTGCTAATTATTTTATATAAAGTTAATTTGTGAGTGTTATAACAAAGTTACGCAACACTCGACACTCAACCACACAACAACCAATGATAAGAAAACAACAAAACACAACACATTACAAGCAGCAGCATCATGTGGTGTGACCATCCTGGTTGGATGTACATAATTACCGTTAAGACACAGCAAAGAAAGTACAGTAATTGTCATGACACAAAAATCCACTGAAAAAAGCAACAAAATAGCAACAATTAACAGCGAGACTCGAACAGCAATGTGCCCTAGTCATGCACACGACATATATTTTGTTTGACGCACTGCAAAGCCAGCGCCGAAGTTCCAGTTCCAAGTCGAATAGCAATCGTACGTGTCATGGACACGTCATGTATTTTGTTTTTGCGTTTTTGCAGGCATGAAGACCAAATCTCGTAGCAATGGCAGGCACTTGGGAGTAAGAATTAATGTTGTTGAACAGCAAAGCAGAACAGCTGTTAATTCTGATTTAATATGTGTCGGCTGATTTTTGATCCATAAAATTCACATTTTGTGTGCATTTTTCTCAAGTGTACAAATGCAAACAAGTGCATTTATCTGAGAACCAAGCAGCTGTAGAATTTCAAGTAAATCTTCTATGGGTATACATACATAGATGGGAACCCACAACGAATGCACTTTCTCGTTTTGGTTTGTTTTTCTTTTTTTGTACACATTCTTAATCAGCGCAAACGAATTTACTTAAATGTGAAATCAAAATCAATTGAAATAATAACTGAATTGCAGTTTGTTTCACAGTTTGGCGATCGGGTTGGGTCACCTTTTCCCTGGTTCTTTCAATTGATATTCATGAGATATATTAATGAGATAAAGCGAAACACACACACAAAACTAATTCATTTTATTTTTGTTATTTTATTACAGATAATAAGCCGAAGCCCGATTCCATTGAGATATTTTCTGTGAAAATACGTGAGAATGGCACCTACAAACTGATCAAAATGTCACTGGCCGACATCTGGAGCCATGGCTGGGAGTTGAGGATAAATAACTTTGCCGACAAGGAGAAGATGCCGCATATCGAGAAGGATATACGCAATCAGGTGAGCAGCACAGAAAAGAACCGACACACGTTTTATGCCTATAACCAACATACAGTTCCAAGTTTCACTTTCGCAATCGAATTGGGACTCCCCGAAGTATGCTACCAAAAAAAAGAGCTCGAGAGATTTCAGTGAGAAAGTCGAATTAGGAACTTCCGAAATAGTATTCCCATTGATAACTAATGCATTCCCCATTTACACCCGCCCCCACAACCGCACCGCCCCTGTTTAGGTATCGCTGGCACGCAAGGCCAAACAGAGTCTGTGGAACAACAACAAGCATTTTGTGTACTGGTGCCGGTATGGTAGCCGCCAGCAGGATGTGCGCAAGCGACAGGTAACGACGAGTGCTAATCACGTGCTGCTCCATCTGATTAACTGATAAGCGGAGCAGCCAGCGGAGCCATCTCAGACAGAGATAGAGAGAGAGAGAAGGAAAACACACACACACAAAAACACATACACACAAAACCACACGCAATATCAAAAGCTAAAGCAAAAAAAAAAAATACACAACATTTACCCAACCAAAAGTCCTGCCTACCAACATCCCCCACCCCACTCCCCACCCTCACATATGCATTGATTGTAGTTGCAACAGATTAAACACAACGACACACACACACACACACACACAGAAACAGGACTGACTAACGGCATGACAGAAATGAGAACCGATAAAAAGAATTCATACCTGCTAACTCATTTACGCTTTTGGAATCGGGGCCACAAATTTAACCAAAACCAAAAATATGTAAAATATATCTATCACAGTAGTAGAACCCCCTCGATCGCCCTATATATAACTCACACTCCACGCTCCACGCTACTCTACCCTCCCCTGCCCCACACCAATTCAAATTCCGTCCTTCATTTGGCAGTGCATTTTTTGTTGCCTGGCGCCTGATTTAAATATACATATATATATTTTTGTTGCTGTTTAATGTGGCAGGAATTCTTGTGTGTGCGTGTGCGCCTACCGCTCCACTAATAATACTCCACCACACCACCCACACACACACACACTCTCCCACCTTCTTGTGCTTCTGCCTTTGCTCTCTGTACCCGCTGTACGTGTTATATTCATTGAACACCCGTGAACAAAACCAAACAAAAAATCTATATGTATCTTGCAGATGTCGGAGTGCGTGAAATGGGGCAGCGTTGGCATGAATGCGGGCATGTTGCTGGTGCTAAATAATAGACAGAAATGCTATTCCCACTCAAAGTAACCGCTCGATTGCGCCCCTCTACTCCACTCATAATGAAAACAAAGAAAAAAAAAAAAAAACAGAAAAACCAGCCATAAGTATTCTCAAAAGTAAATTCCGATGATAAGAGACGCGGCCCCCAAAAAGCAGCAAACAAAAATTTGCAAATATGTGTAAAAAGATTTTGAAGTGCAATTCAGATCAGGGTAAGACACACACTGACACAGACGAAAGACCCCCTCACCCCCCCCAAGAGAGTGAAATAGAGAGTGCAGTATGTTCATTTGGCAGTATTAAAATACCATGAAAAATACCAGAGACACACAGAGACGTGACACAACTGTACCCCAAACACAAACACAGAACTCTCAAACTAAACTGTTGCAACTCCCATCGAGGAGCCACCAAAATCGTATAAAAAATTAAAAAAAAAAAAAAATAAATACTTATGTATATCGGACATACACACAACACACACATACACAGAAAGAGAGAGAGAGACACACACACACTGTGAAATTCGAAAAGACTTATTATATATTTGTTTTTTTTTTGTCATTATTTTTTTGTTTTCTTGTGATTATTATTATTATATTATATTATATACTATATTATATTTATATACTTCATTGTGAATGGCAAGCATATGTGTTTTCTTTGTTGTTTAAGCATATTAAAAATAAGTAAAAAAAAAAAAATAAAAAAAAGAGAAAATTTGATCTATATAGAAAGCATAGGATTAGAAGGATTAAGACATTCGAAATGTTTCTTTATGTATGTATTTAATTACGGGAACCCCCCACCCCCAGACGACTCGGAAATACGGAAACGGTAAACGAACAGGAGACAAAACTACGATAAAACTCTCAAAAAAGAAAACATAAAAAAAAATACGTAAATTAATGGAAAAATAAAAGTAAACAAAAGAAAAGTAGGGTTTAAGATATATATATATATATATATAAATATATAGTATATAGGGGTACCATACATTAATAATTATTAATTATTTCGTTTAAGTTGTGTCATTTTTAAGCAGTTTATAATATATATATATATTTATATACCATGTAGTAAGTAGTCTTGTATACATTTCGACAATGTGAAACAATTTAAGAATATGAAACGTTTGTAAAATGCTTTATATTGATATTACTATTAAATGTTTACCAACCAACCGATGCAACACACACAAAACAAAGCGAGCGAAAACATTGTGAGACGCGGAAAGGGCCGCAGCTCTACGTTTTATACCCGATACTCAATATCTACATATACTTTGTATATATTTTATGCGTATCTGGATTAGCACCAGTAACAACACTCACCTCACGCAGCAGCCCAAAGAGCACATCCGTGGAGAGGGATCTCTCGTGGGCCTCGTCCATAATGATGGCCGCATAGCTATCCAGATCCGGATCACGCAGACTCTCGCGCAACAATATGCCGTCCGTCATGTACTTGATGACTGTTCGCTCCGATGTGCAGTCCTCGAATCGTATGGCATAGCCCACATCCTCGCCTGCAATTGAATTTGAATTTGAATTTATAACAAAATCAGAGCCAAGGATAGGGGCTTGCTTACCCAACTGTGTGTCCATCTCGTCGGAGACACGCTTGGCCACCGACATGGCCGCCACACGACGCGGCTGTGTGCACCCAATCATGCCCAGCTGGCTGTAGCCATCCTCGTGTAGATACTGGGTGAGCTGTGTGGTCTTGCCGCTGCCCGTCTCGCCCACAATGATGATCACCGAGTTCTCTCGGATGACATTGAGCAGCTCCTGCCGGGAGGCAAACACTGGCAGAAAGCGGCGCTGCTCCGAAATGGTTTTCTTGCGGGAGAATTCACTTTTACCGCCGGAGTCCTGGTCCCGCATATGGTCGGCAAACTTCTGATCCTTGCGATAATCGGCCGTGTCGTTGTCCTTGTCGTAGCGTGAATCCTCATCGTCCTGGGGCCGCTGCACACCCATGATGTTGCCCAGCTTTGTGCCGCCCAGCTCCCAGTGTTTCTTCTGGGCCTTGCGGCGCTCCTTCTGCTCCCGATAGGTGCGCACCAGAGCGCTGCCTTTGCGCGCGAGCAGCGCCATGTCCGAGGTGGGATCCTTGACGGGCACCACCGGCTCCGGCTGCTTGGTGAACACAATACGGCCGTCGAGAAAGGGCGGAATTATGTGATGCACCAGCAGATGGACCCGCTCCAGGGCCTCCTCATCGAAATCATCGTTGACATGGATGCTGGTGACCACACCAGAGGTGAGCATCCGATTCCTCTCCCACAGCTCGTTGTCCCGATTGTTCTGCCGCTGCTGGGCGCTGAGGCGTTTCGTTCGCTTCTGTTCCAGCTGCTCCTCCCGCTTGCGGAAGTACTCGGAATTGGGACCCACGAAAGGGTTGTTCTCGTCGTCGTAGCCCTCGTCAATGTTGTACCACTCGCGGTCCAGGCGGCGCTGCTCCTCCTCCCAGAGGTCGCGCGACTCGGGATCATCGGACCAGGGAGTGGCACCGGTTCGCTTCCGGTCATTGGCCCACTGGTTGTAGCGATGCGCTGGTGTCGGCCGGGCCGAGTCATCCTGCCGATTGTTTCGGCGACTGCGATTGCTGCTGCCACTCCGCACTGACCAATCACCGCCGCCGCCGCCATGGCGACGTGGTGTTGGCATATCCCAATCGGAATTACGCTGCCCGCCGCCGCCCTCGCCGTCATCATCGTCCCAGGAGCTGTTGGATATACCACCGCCGCCTGGGGTGCCAGGCTCCCTGGGTGTGTGGACACTCCGCTCGGACATGGAGCGATCACGATCGCGACTGCGATGTCGATCTCTGTCTCGGTCGCGATCTCTGTCACGATGACGCCGTCGGTCGTGGTCACCTCGCTCTCTGTCGCGCTCTCTTCTCCTTTCTCCTCGACCCTCGGACGAGGATGAGGCCGTTGATGCATTGGGCGCTCTGCCCCTCGCCTTGTCGCGCTGAATGTGCTCCCGCAGCCGCTCGCGGGCCTTCTCCGACACACCGCCCGTGTGCGAGGGCGTGTCATCCTTATGCTCGCGCAGCTGGCGGCTCAACTTCTCGAAGCTCTTGGTGTCCGGCTTCTTGAAGGCAAACTCACTGATTCCGGGCGTGGAGCCAGTGGGCGTACTGGAGCCAGTGTCATCGTATTCGCTGTCCTTGAACGAGATCAGGCGATCGCCGCGCTCCTTTTCGGCGCGTCGCTTGGCGGCCAGCTTGTCCAGGCCCAGCAGCGAGCCTTGGGGCACTTTGAAGCTGCCTGTTGAGTCAGCGCCATCTCTGGACTTCTTTATTACCAGGCCGCCACGCCCCTCCTGACCAGCAGTTCCCTCCAGTCGATGCACGCCGGCATCATCGTCGTCGGACATGCCTAATTATATGTGCTTCCTGCGTTTTTTCGCCTCCTGGTTACCGCAAAACTATGGATTTGCGTTGGCGTTGTTCACTCACAGCTGATGACATGGTGCGTGCTGCCACTGTGTTAAAATTTTGTGTTACAAAGCTATCGATAGTAGTGAACAGCAATCTGAATTGCGTTAAAATATTAACAATTTACGAGAAGTAGCTTTTTTCACTGAGTCTAGATTATCTTAATTTAGCTTACTTTTGGCTTGTGAAGTACTTGTACTTAAGTAGGCTCAAATCAAACCGCATGCCATAGTAGGCTTAACATCGATAAGTCACTACATCGATAGCACATTTATCTAGCCGGTTTCACGTTGCCTGAAATTTAGCATTTATCTTTTTGAAACCTAAATTCCTCGCAGAAGAGATCATTAAGCAGAGAGTCAAGAGAGAAACATGACTGACAAGCTAAGCAAAATACAGCAGCAATTTTTGTGCTGTTATCCCATCAACAAAATTTCCTGGTCGGTATGTATTTAGCTGTCTGCACCAATGCCCACCACCACCTGTTGCATCTTTGACAACAAAATTGTATACACGCGCAGTCGGTGCAACTACCCATGGACTGGGATGAGCAAAAGGCACTAATTGCAGCCACCTGCGGCCATCCACTCAACAAGCGATATCCAGTGCGTGCCAGCTACCAGGAGGCATTCGTAAAGCGACTGATGCAGCTGCTTAAGGATCACGAGGAGCTGCACGACGACCTATTCAGCAGCCTCTGTTCGCAGAAAGGGGAACATCAATGCAAGGACTATGCCTACAAGCACTACCTACTACTGCAGCCAGATGCCCATATTACGCTGCGCGAGTCCATTAGCTTTGTGAACGAGGGCACCACCGGCCTCTGCACCTGGGAGGCTGCCCTGGCCCTGGCCGACTATCTCATGCAGCACAGCGATGTGGTGAAGGGCAAGAACATTGTGGAGCTGGGCGCTGGCACCGGTCTGATAGGAATACTGCTCAAACTGCCAGCCCTGGGCTTTGATGTTGGCCAAATCCTACTCACCGATGGCAGTGCCTCCTGTGTGCAGCTGATGCGCGAGAATGTGGCCTTGAATTTCCCAACAGCGCCCAAGGAAGCCATACCGCAGTGTGAACAGTTGCGCTGGGATGGGGTTAAAGACTTTCCCTGGCAGCAATATGCACAAACGGATCTCCTGCTCGCTGCGGATGTCATCTATGACGACTCGCAGTTCGATGCCCTTCTGGGTGCCCTCGATCATCTGTATGCGAGTCGTGGCAATTGCCTGGAAATGCTGTTGGCCAGCACAGTGCGCAATGTGGACACGCTGCACAAGTTCATGGAGCAGTTGGGTGAGTTTTTAAGCACCCTCTCTATCTATATGCACATTGTATATCCTATAGCTAATATGTAACATATCTTTTACAGCCATACACGAGTACAAGGTGACACCCTGTGCGAATGTCTCGGCCTGCGCGAGTCACTTTTGTCGCGATCACACCGCTGCCGTACAGATTATCTCCATTAAACGCTAGTTCTAGGTAGTAATAAAATATATAATATATAAACAACAGCACTTGGACACATAAAACAAATAGCAATTGTCTAAGAGCCTCTTCCCTCCCTCCGCTGAATTTGCCACAGCCTTGCTCTGTGGTTGCCTCAGAAAATATCTACGAAATTATGGGTTTGTTTTGTTTTGTTTTGTTTTGTCTTCGCATTGCATTACATTTAAATACTGAGTATAGAATGTGGAATAGAATAGAATGCTGATCGATCACACATCACTGACTGATTGTGGGTATGGTGCCGTCATTTAGCCATCGCACATTGAGCTGTTCGATTTGATGCTTCATGAAGATGATGCCATAGACCTCGTACTGGATGTCCAGCAGTTTGGTGCGATGTGTGCGTGGCACCTTCATGCCCACGACCAGGGCCAGCAGGGAGCTGATTATCATAAAAACGAATCCCTGGGCCATCAATGTGCTCTTGTCGGTGGCATAGAAATACGAATTCTTAGCATCGGCCACAAAATAATAGTACACAATGCTGGTGCAGATCAATTTGAGGACATACGACACGCAGATGACGCACTCTGTGAACCGCAGGTGGGTGACCTCCAGCAGGGCGATCTGCAGACTGGAATAGGACATGCCAAACAGGACGAGCAGTACCCAGAGGGACCATCTCGAATCGGTGACACTGCAGATGATCATGGCCAGGAGTGTGAAGAAAACCAGCGTCATCTGTGTGGCCACAAAGTTCACCTTCACCGAGATGAAGAACAGACAGATGAGCGTCAAGCAGCTGCCACCAAAAATCACCCAGAACATGGCATCGATGTCGGCCAGCTGGGTCAATCTGATGGATGGATTCAGGGCAAACCAGTAGATGAAATACACAAACAGCGCATACTGTACGGCCTCGGTGAAGAGGAGCAGCAGCATTACATTCCATTGCTGGTTTTTCGTCACATAGAAGAACTGCAGCCGCTTGATCACCTCCGAGCGCGGCTCAAAGATGCTGCCATTCCCGTTGGCGATCCTCAGATCGTTGTCCATGCTGTTCACCAGATCGACGGTGCCCACAAAGTGCAGCACCTTGATGCCCACCAGTATGGCCAGCGTGGCAGCGGCAATGCTCAGATAGGTGCCAGCAAAATTCACATAAATTCCATCGATCAGCTGCTCAGTGGTGGCCGTCTGTCCCGCAAATGCCTTTAGGTTTCGGCTGTAGGCGGATGCAATCAAGCTCACGGCCGTGGCAATGCCCAGCAGATAGCAGCTGCAGGAGGCGGACAACACGAGGGAACGGCTGCTCTTCGAGCTGATGGTATGCAGGAAGCTGTAGCCGGCAATGAAGGTCATACTGTGCGCCATGTACGAGATGTAGGCGCCCACATGGTCTGCAAGTTATTTATGGAGACAATTTTTGATAAGGATTTGCTCATGAGGATTTCCCCTTACCAAAGCCATCCGCAAAGTAAAAGCAACTGGCCACCAGATTGAAAACACCCGCGGCCAGCAGCAGCCACGCCTGCCAGTAGACAATGCACTTCTTCACGTACTTAATGGTCAGCATGGTGAGGGCCGTGACCAGGGCCCAGCACGCGCCCAAGATCAGGGGTCCATAGTTGATGAGGCCGGACTGCAGGTTGCGCTCGGCCACCAGCGAGCAGATCGTATAGCCAAAGATCAAGCCACACGGCAGGAAGCTCAAGCTAACTAAATGAAAATGTTTTATATAATCTTGGATGGCAGATCTAATTCCCTCTCACACTGGGGGCGATTCACACTCACCCACACAGCTGGGCGCGTATTTGAAGAACTTGAGCAGCAGTTTTCCCCAAAACTGCGTCATGTTTGACACGAACAATATCCAATCCAAAGTAGCCGGGCGATAGGCGAGAGAGGAGCTTAAAGCATTTTGGTCTGGACTGTAGAGATGACCACAATTATGGCCAAATAGACGCCGCCGCAAGTCCAAAGTGGCTATAAAGTGAACTGCGACGACGACGGCGACGACGATGGCAACGAGACAATGATAAGATAAGCCAATTGGCCGAGCGAGCAGCCGGTCTGATGGATGTACATATGTACGGTGGGGTGACTAATGCCGCATTGGAGTAGTAGAGTAGCCTTTTCGGCCATATAAACAGATAAGCCGCTTTGTAGCCACTAAATGGTCGATTCTCCATTCAGCTTGGCCTGCTATTTCCGGCCATGCATTTATATATACAGTGAACCCTGCATATGTTGCCCAGTTTATGGTCAAATTAGCATTGGCATTTAAATTAGCTTTTTGTCAATCAAATCAATAAAAATTGCCCGCAATTTCACAACATAACGGTGTCAAGTAGTGTCAATAAACGTGCGAAATTTTGATTCAAGGTGTATGAAGGTAGGGTAGGGTATCGTATCCTTTTCAGTAGGTTTTGCTGTAATCGGCTTTACGTATATATGGAAATGTAAATGTATATGGTATTCATTCACCTGATAGGTTTTAAAGCTAATCTGGCATACATAGCTAGTATTGATAATGAATTGCCTGCCGATAAAGCTTCGGAAAATTGATTATTTTCTATTGTAAGTATTGTATGTACCATATATGTATGTACATATGGTACATGGGAGAAGTTTGTTTACTTTAGAGTAGAGCGCGTGTCAGCGGGAGAGAGAGAGAGAGGGAGAGAGCGCTACGCTGCGGTCTTGAGAACAGGGTTAGATAACACTTGGAAGATTGCATTTGCATTCCCAAACATTTCTGTGCATCTATTTGCATATATGTATATATTGTGCTGCAATGTAAAAGCAAACTGAAGGAGTAATATGTATATAATCCTGGATATATGTACGATCATTCCGATCAATTGGGGGAATAAAAATACCAACAAGTACAGTACGGTCCAATTCTCCAGTAAGTCAGAGTATTGTAGCGATATTCAAACTCGGGCCCACTGCATGCAAATAATAATGGAAAATTTAAAAATGAAAAAAAACCAAGAGAACCCAAACCACTACCAAACATCGAAGAGGGACATGCGTATCTCTGCGTACACGCTATTGGCATACGCATTACCCAGACATATGATTCACAATGCAGAGATATCATCATGAAATATCTGAATACGTGTCAGAATGTCAGCTGCCAGGAGCAATATGCAATTCTTATTGGAATCATGAAAATGCACAATGAAAACCTTGGTTCGAGTATAATCGGGTATAACGTTAAGGACGTAATAGCCTACAACCGTGTACGTATGGTGTTAAAATCTTGAAATTTTCTTCTTCTTTACTCTCGTCCTATTGCAGAATGTGAGCAAGGCAGATTTAAAGGAACCTATACAGATTCCTTTCTGGGTCTTTCTGATCCTCTTCATTATAATGATCTTTATGTTTTATTGGTGTAAAATACTTCTTGGACTTATTCTCATTGCATTTGTCATCACCGTATATTGGCAGAATAAATAAATAAAAAAAATGCTTGCAAAGAACTGAAAGCATATCTCACCAAAAAAAAAAGAAAAAAAACCAGTGGCATGGGAAATTGGATCGCAACAAATTTTTACATCTACACGTAGGGTGTACACTCCACACAATTTTTCAGATTTTTGCGGTTTTAAGTAATATTTAAAGAAAAATATTTTTATCTGAAAGATTCATAAATTTTCTTTAATATTTCCTAAATTTTAAATATTTTTTAAAACTATTAAATGTCGAATATTTGGCAAAGAAAATGATTGCCAAAAGTATTCAACTCGTATTTGTGACGTCACAAGCTATGAAAGGAGAGCACGAAAAAAGCGCAATTGCAAGGACGAGCTCAAGAGAGAGAGTGACAGCTCTTTCTCCTCTCTCTCTCTCTCTCTCTCTCTCAGTGTCTGTGAGCATTTGTGTTTCTGCGCTTGTGCTCTGTGCCCGGGTACCGACCACCCCACCCACCTGCCCACACATTGCGGCTCGGCCGACGCTCCGATTATCCTTAAGGCTGGGGGGGTGGGCACCGCACCGCACCAATGTCTTGGCCCGGACTTATACCCGGCTTTCACTTCCGGAACTTTGCTGCCGACGACAACAACAAACCGACAGAGCGAGCGGCAGGCACACTGCACTTGCAATTGAGACGCTGAGAGAATCACAGCCACTGCCCCGCCACACGCCACACGCCACCCGCTGACACTGCAATTTGGGTTGGAGAGATGCTGTAGACATTGCGCTCCCCGCTCGGCTGGGCACCCGCTGGCCATGGTACGGTAGCTGCGCTGCGGACGAGAATCACTAGAGACGGGACGTGACGGGACGGCGGTGCCATGTTTGTGATGAGCATTTGGGGCACCAGCCTGAGCCTGAGTAGCCGCAGCCTGGCCATTGTCCTGGTGCTATGCTTGACGCTGTTGTACTTCTCCTACAGCTTCAATGCCTGCCTGCTGGCCAGCATCAGTCGCAGCCTTCAGCAGGTGAGAGTCCGTTCCCCTTCTTCCACGCTTCCTCTTCTTCGTCTGCTCACAACTCCTTCTCATCCATTGCCCGCCCACCCACAGAGCAACTTACGCAACCTGCTGTCACTGACGTCGACGCCCCGCAACGAAAGTAGCAGCCACAGCAGCAACGATTCCGCCACACCCGCTGCTGCTGCTGCTGCTCCATCGGCCAACAACACCAACACCAGCAGCAGCAGCAGCAGCAGCAGCAACATCAGCAATGTACCAGCCGCTGTGGGGATTGCCAGCAAGTATCAGTTGCTGCGGCAGCCAGGCCTGCGTCCGTCACGTCACCTGCCCGACACGCTCATCATTGGCGTGAAGAAGAGCGGAACGCGGGCACTGCTGGAGTTCATTCGCCTGCATCCGGATGTGCGGGCGGCCGGCTCCGAGGTGCACTTCTTCGATAGGCACTATCAGCGGGGCCTGCGCTGGTACCGCCACCACATGCCGTACACCATCGAGGGCCAGATCACCATGGAGAAGACGCCAAGCTATTTTGTGACCAAGGAGGTGCCCCAGCGGGTCTATCACATGAACACGGCTACCAAGTGAGTGGCCTTGGCCTTGGCCTTGGGCTTAGCCTCCTGCCGTATCTGTGGCGTTCGTTATCTAATCCTTCCTCTTCCCCTTCCCCACCCCTACCGATAGATTGCTGATTGTGGTGCGAGATCCGGTGACGCGTGCCATCTCCGACTACACGCAGGCGGCCAGCAAGAAGGCGGACATGAAGCGGTTCGAGCAGCTGGCCTTTGTCAATGGCAGCTACTCGGTGGTGGACACCAATTGGGGGCCCGTCAAGATTGGCGTGTACTCGCGATACCTGGAGCGTTGGCTCCTCTACTTTCCGCTCTCCCAGCTGCTCTTCATCAGCGGCGAGCGCCTGATCATGGATCCCGCCTACGAGATCGGACGCGTACAGGATTTTCTCGGCCTGAAGCGTGTGGTAACCGAGAAGCATTTTTACTTTAATGCCACCAAAGGCTTTCCGTGCCTGTTCAAGTCCGAGGCACGATCCACGCCCCACTGCCTGGGCAAGACGAAGGGCCGCAATCATCCGCATATCGATCCCAATGCCATCGATAGGCTGCGCGAATTCTACAGGCCATTTAACAATAAGTTTTATCAATTGACGGGCATTAATTTTGCCTGGGCATAGGAGGGGCTTCGGCTTCGACTTCGGGTTCCTGTTCCTATTCCACCCATCAAGGATCATTTGGATATAGTGGAGAGTAGAGGCAAAACTTGTTGTTGCCACATGTGTGGGGCAACGGACTGGACTGATATTGTTGATTGCATTTTTTGATACATATAAATTGTACTTATCTAGTATATACATATATATATACAAAAGCAACCACCATATACGGATATACATAGCTATTTAGATGATATATATATACACACACACACACACACACACACTCCAGACAGACAGACAGAAAGATCTCGCAGGAGCAGCGCAGAGATTATTGCTCAATTATTGGTAGCTTTATCAGGAGACGATTCAAATTCATCGATAAATGGTTCCTCTCTTCTAAAAAAAAACACAAACTCAAATCGCATTGAATCGGATATACCCATGCACACACTATATACTCGAACGTTCTATAGGTATACCCCTTAAAACATACTATATACTATATACATACATATACACATAGAGAAACGAATAGAGCTTACTATGAAATTCCTACAGAGTCTTCTCCACGCATACCCCAATGCCAGGACATGGTTCACACGAATATATATACCATATACCATATACCATAATATACAAATAGATTTTCAAGAGTTTCCTTCCATTGCATGCATGACTCCTCCTCCTCTTCACCTACAACAAATACCAAAAACAAAAAAAAAAACAAAAAAATTACCAAAAAGCTTAGCAAATTTCAATCAAAAGAAAAATCTACATTAAATAAATCAACATTCCAACAACTACTAGAAAAACTCAATTCAATTGAAAATCGAACAGGCCGCCGAGGCATAGCATATAGTTATTAAAACTATAGAGAAAGTCCAGCAATCTGCAAGCAAATCCATAATAAATTGGGTAATCTTCTCGGAGTTTTCAGATCTAAAATGTTGATTAACTTTCCTGCTTTTAAATCAAAATACAGTCTAACGAAGGACATGAGACAGTAAGCTGACGCCAGAGAGCTGTGGGCGAGAGTTGCAAAACCCGCCATAGCAAGCAATTATCTCCTTTGAGAGGCTTCATCTATGTCTGTATTATACTCTTTGATATTATCCAGATCAAACATCCCAATTTATTCTATTTATATGCGTTTGTAACTATAAAAATTCCACAATTCCCCTCTCTAAAGATGAAGTGCATATTTTCCCATTTCTGGATACGCCATCTAAATTCGAAGTGTTTTATATCGATCTATCTAAGCTCCTTTATCAATCGAAATCAGCGTGTGGCAGTATTTTTGAATTTGGGCGCAACGCAACAGCAAAAACAAAGCAGCCATGTTCCACGTCATGTCCACAATATGTCTGTGGTTTTTTTGGTTTTTTTTTTTTGTTTTTTTACCATTCTCAGAGATTCTCTTTCGAAGCCTTCGCTCTTGTGCAACTCGAGTTGCATGCACGAAAGTGCACACAGCTGATTAATGCACCGCTCCTTAGTGCATGAATCCAATATGTAAAAACCAATTGTCTTTTTTGTTGTTGTTGTATTTGTTTTTGTTTTAGAAATTTAATCATTTTTTAATTTGGTTTTAATTGTTTTGTGAACGTTTCACAATGTTTTGTATTTTGTTGTATGATAATTTCTTGGTTTGCATTTGGGTTCCTCCTCTCCGCTCCTCTCCTCTCCTCTCGTGCTGTGATGTGATTTTGGATCGAACGGAACGATCGATCCACATTCCTCTTGCTTCCTGCTCGCTCTTTACTTCTTCATCTATCTTTGTTGTTGCTTTTTAAGTACAATTGATTAATTAAATTGCGGTGGTTTGTGGTTGGTTTTTGTTTTGTTTTGTTTTGTTTTGCTTTAAGGTATTCATCGAGTTTTTGTTTGCATAATATTTGTGGTGTGTGTGTGTGTGTGTGTGTGTGTTCCTACATAATACATAATGTTTGAATTTGTTAGAAAATTATACGATATTTTTTGGGATTTTCTCCATGTGTGTGTGTGTGTGTTTGTGTGTGTGTAGTCTGTCTGTCGTGTCTACTTAAGGTCAAACAAGAATTTTAATAGAAATATTCATACCCTAGGATGCATTAATCGTAAATCGTAGATCGTAAATGACAGTAACTAAAACTAAAAGAAATTAACTTACGTTGCTACGTTAGGAGTGTTGGCCCTATGCTTTATGCTTATTGCCTATTTCCTAATTTCCTAATGCCTACAAGTTCCTCTTTGATTTGATATATTACAAACATCCGGATTTCGTCGTCTGGGATTGCCTTTTTGAGTCTCTTTTTTCTGGCTGCTGCTGCCTGCCTGCCTGACTGCCTCTCTCTAGGATGTGGCCCGCTTTGATGTCCATTTGACGCTGCCATTGCTGCCGCCTGCCGCCGCCGCCGCCGTTCCGGTTGCAGCTCCAGCTCCAACTCCAGTTCTGGCATCGCCGAGCACCGCCTCCGATTTGGAGGTCTGCAACCGCTTCTCGCAATACAGGCTGCCCACGGGCTTTGTCATGGATGCGGCCAGGCTCTTGGTCACCGTGGAGTAGTCCAGCGTGGCGGAGGAGGAGGAGCAGCCGGGTGCCACCAGCACGGGCGACACAACGCCAGCATCCGTATCCGCATCAGCATCAGCATCTACATCTGGCTCCGCATCGGCACTCATCTGACGCTTTAGCTGGGGCACTGGCGTCGGCGATGTCTTTGGTGGCGTTGTCCTGCTACGATCCTTGATGGGGAACTTGTTCTTGGTGCAGCTGAGGTCCAGCTCCAGCGTATAGAAGCGTCCGCGTGTATACTGGCGATTGTCGTTCCTTAGATTCGTTGCAGCCACACCGGCACTCCCTCCTCCAGGGGCTGTTCCGCACAGCTGGGGCGCCGGCTGCTGGCTGATCGTGCAGATGCTACTTCGATTGCTGTTCCCATGGCAGGGCAGGGCTGTGTGGGCGGTGGTCACGGAGCTGGCCTGGGTCCCAGCACCACTACCATCGCAGACATCCTCTCCAGGATCCTCTTCGTCTTTTTCTTTCCCGTCCTCATCTTCCTCCTCCTCCTCCTCCTCGTCGTCGTCTTCGCTGTCCCCCAGGGTGTCTTCGGTGTCGTCGTCGATGTGCAGCTGATTGTGTGCCATCATCTGGTGTTGGTCCGCCTGCTGGCCAGTGCCAGTGGCAGTGGCAGGTGACTTGGTGACCACCATACGCGGCGACTGATCCATCAGCAGATTCTCCCAGCTCGTCTCGTACACGCTGGCCAGCTGGGCCGCTGGCTTGGGCTTCATCTGGGTCTTGTGGGCCAGCAACATGGCCGATGGTGGCGTTGGCTCTGCCTTCTCCTCGGCGGGCAGTTTTCGGGTGCCAATTATCAGCTGCGGCTCCACATAGAACGCATCAAAGTTGAGGTCCAGGAAGAGCTCCTGCAGGAAACGGCGCGCACTCATCCGATAGCTGCTTCTGCCCAGCGTCTTGCACGACTCGGAATACAGGCAAATGTCCTGCAATAGAAAAAAAAGAGTTTTAGCCATACCCGAAGTTTGTTTTCTATGCGAAAATCCCACCTGAAAGGCATGCGGATGCTTCTGCTTGAGCTCCAGCAGGGCCATCTTCGATTGCTTGGCACTGACCGGATTGGCCAGACGCTGCACATTGTACAGTATGGAGGCCGTCAGCCTGTCCGGCAGGCTATCCTCGCTCAGCATGCTCTCCGGCGAATGGAAGCTAATGTCGGTGCCCAGCGGCAACCGGCCAGAGCCACCGCCACCGCCAACGCCAATGCTGCTGCTGCTCTTTTTGGCCAGCACTGGACCGGCCTGGATGCCAGCCGCCACCAGAGCCGCTGCTGCACTGCTATACAACTCACAGGGCGCCAAAGTCACACCACCACCACCTGCACCCGCACCCGCACCCGCACCGTTGCTCTGGCTACCAACGCTATCCTGACGCTGCTGTCGCGGCGATCGGGCACAATGGAGGCACTGGCTGCGCGCATGTTTGCCGCCCTGCTGCCACTGCCGTGGCTGGCGGCGACTCGCCGAGGAAACGTCCGAGAGCGATGATATAACCGAGGACTCGTCGCCGCCCTCGTTGTTCAGCGAATCGTTGAGGAACTGCAGCCGCTGCGTCAGCAACAGATTGATGCCCATGAGGTCCTGATCCTGGATGTCACGCGACACATACGTGCGACTGAGATTGCGCGTGGGGAACAGATCCAGCACATTCTTGGGCAGACAAATGCCCGCATAGCACGGCCCCTGCATATCGTTCTGCTGCAGAAATTTTGGGGCATTCAGCGTGGGCAGCAGCACGTTCAGCTCCCCCGTAGAGAGGCGTCGCCGCACCTTGCTCAGCCTGGGCTTTGGATAGCTCCAGTCCTGCTTGTGTATAAAGTCATGCAGCTCCGCCGCCGTCTCCAGCACGGGACGGCTGTGGGCGCGCAGCACCCTCAGCTGGGCATAGCCCTTCATGGCCATCGGACTGAGGGTGGTGTTAGCCGTCCCGCTCTGGCTGGTGGCCAGCGTATGGCGACGCATCAGCTCCTCGCTCTCCAGCAGATTGGACATACTGGGTATGGGACTCAGCGGGAATTGCTGCAATTCGCTCATATTGGCCGCCGCAGCGGCGGCAGCTGCGGCCGTTCGACCCGTTACCGATTCGCAGCTGCTCACGCCCGAGGTGTTTGAGTCCGTGCAGGAGTTGTACCGTATGCGGTGCTGGTGCTGCTGTTGCGTTTGGTAGGGCATGGGATACAGACCACCACCGCCAGTGACGCCTCCTACTCCTCCTCCTCCTCCTCCGCCGCCACCGCCACCGCCCAGCAGGCTAATCACATCTGTTGTCTTCGATTCGGAGAGCGATCGCTGGTGCTTGCCCTGACGCAGATTGCTGCCCTCCGGCAGGGTCTTTGACTTGGCCGCTGCTCCCACTCCCGCGCCCGCCCCCGCTCCGGGCAGCGTTCGATTCACATGCAACGCCAGGGCATGACCATCGTCCATGGTGGTTGTGGTGGCGGTTGAATTTGGATCTTGAATGTTGCCCCCGGCAGTGCCTGGCAGTGCCCCCGTGCCGATGCCTGCCATGGGCTCCGTCTGATCGATGAGCAGATTCCAGTAGTAGGAGCCTGTATAATAGGAGCCATCGATCTGATCCTCCAGCACTGTGAAGTTATAGGGCGGCGCATCCTCGTAGTAGTGCCGCACCGGCGTATACTGATTGGACATCCAATCCTCTGGCTGATGCACGGGCCACATGGTGTTCCTATCATGCCGCACACTCAACCAATCTGCATATAAGATACAATCAACGACCTGCACATCCATCACACATCTGCATCTGCAGCACAGCACTTACTCAGCTTAAAGAGTATATTGGCGCCCGCTTGGGTGCCCGCTATGAGGCCCAGGGCACTGAAACAGGTGGCCCTCACCGAATACACCTCGCATTTGGTCACCAAAACAATCAGCTTCTCATAGAGTCTGCAAAATGAACGAGAGAGTATCAATTAGCGTGAAGACAGTGAGAGTGAGAGACAGGGACAGGGACAGAGACAGGGACAGAGATTGAACCCTAACCTGGCATTTTGTTCCACAAAATATTCAATTCCATTCGCATGTGTTGAGGCATGGGAGAGTGCCCAGACGGCCGCTTTCAGTTCCAGACACTCGGCATCGTCCGTGCACTTGGCGCGTGTCAGTAGGTCGAGCAGCTGCGGCAGATCTCCGTATTTACTCAACGCCGTCATGCCCTGGCTGGTCTGCACCATTTGTCCATACAGATGGGGTGCAATGTTCGGCGGCACTGTCTGGGGCCGCTGGTTGCAGTTGCGTCGCGAATAGTAGCCATCCTCGTTGCGTATGTGCAGCGTGAGGCTGGAGTGGGTGTCCGCCTCGACCAGCAGCACATAACGCTTGTTGTAGCCATTGCGCCAGTATTTGATCTCATCCTCGATGCGGGCCAGACTGCTGTTGAGGCCGCGCGACAGCGAGTAGTAGCGTGACATTAGCAGGCGGCCGACGTCACCGCGCAGCGTTAGGTTCGGCCACAGGCTGACAATCTCCTCCAGATAGTACTTGTCATGGCAGGCCTCCTCCAGCACCTCCATGGCGGCCAGCACCACACTGCGATCGGCATCCTTCGTTTGGAGTATGATCAGTGGTATGCCCCACACCTCAAAGTGCGGCAGGCGGGCACGCAGCAGCACGGCCATAAACTGTGTGGCATACAGACGACCGCTGCGCGTCTTGGCCGAGGTCAGTGCCTTCTCCAGCACCTGCCGGGGCAGCTTCTCGAAGCTGTAATTGAGGCCGGAGACAATCAGCTTCACGTAGCACACATGATCCGTGACACGCACCAAAGTGATCAAGCTGCGGCGGGCAAAAGAGATACGTATACAGATAAGGGAATGAGTATTTGCCACTAAATAATTACTCACTACTCAAAGACAGTTGTATTCTTGAGCACTTCAATGCCTTTGCGTGTGCGGCACATGCGTCCAATGTATAGGAAATACTGCTGGCACATCGTATTGTTCATGTGCTGTGGACTGAACAGGCAATCGTGGGCACGATTCGATGTGGTGACAGCCAGCAAATGTTGGCTTATGTCCGAAAAGTAGTCCGTGATATAACGCATACATTCCAGCTGCAACAAAAAAGAGAACTTCAGCATGCTGAGCCCACAAATGGGTAGGGGTAGGGCTAGGGGTAGGGGGGTCTGGTCACCTGTCTGCTGCCCACAAGTACATCTATTAAATCGAGACCAGCACTCACAAACGCTGGCATGCTGTGGCCTGGCACCAGATCCTGATGCGAGAATCGATTATTGCTTGGCTTGTAAAAGTCCACCAAACGCTTGAGGAACTTGCCCAGCGTAAAGTCCAGCTTTCGAGTGCAATTTGACTGTGAAAATAAAGCAGAGAAAATATAACACAAATTTATGGTAAAAATTCAAAATTAATAAAAAATTAAAAAAAAAATATATATAAAAATGTGTATAAAAAAAAAAAAATTAATTGAATTTATTAATTTACTCTTAGGATTGTGGTGATGACATCCCAGTCCCAGAGATTCGCATCCGTTTGGGTTAGCACACGGGAGCCGGTGAGCAGGCGATTTAGGGCGCGAAAATTATCAAAAAGTGCCTGCGGCATGAATTTGCGTTTCAATCGAAAGCTGGAACGTAGGGAATTCGATGAGGATTGCGATTGCGACTCATCGCTGGAGGACACCGAATCGAGACGCTGACGATCGAGGGTGGCATGCAGCTGTCCCGATAGCGGCACTGAGGAGCCCGCTGCCGCAGCCGTATCCTGTAGCTGCAGGGCGGGGCCCTGCTGCTCCTGCACGTTGAGGTGTCGCCGAAATAGACGCGTCTGGATGAGGGCTCCGCCTTGGATAATACTGTCCAGAAATAGGCTGCACGATGCCGGCCTTTGGCGCAGCATTTTCTGATAGTTTTGCAGCGCCGCCACCGCCGCATTGGCCTGTTGATTGCCCTGCGTGGCATGACCAATGAGCGTGGGCAGGGCCGGACAGGTGCAGCAAATGTCCGGCGGCAGGTGTGTGTGCATCAGCTGTAGGATCTTGCCAATGAGGACGGTGGCGCGCACCGAAACGAACTGATCGCTGGCAACGGCCACCTCGACGAGCGCATTCAGCAGGCCCGTCTCCAGGAAGCAGTACAGCAGCAGGGCCAAATGCTGTTCGACGACATTCGGTGCCCGGGCAGCCAGACTGGGCAGTATCGAACGTCCCTCGGCGGAAACGAAGCCATTGCTGAGCAGCCACGAGTCCTGAAAGTCCGACGGATCCACTGCCTGCAGTGCCACCGCATAGTCATCCGTCCAGGCGGGTTGCGGCAGTGACAGCAGCTCGTACAGCAAATCCAATATTGCTTTCTAAACACATGGCCAGTGAGAGGAGAGAATTTCAATGTGAGAGAAGAACCAACAGGAGCAGCAGGAGGTGGGTGCACTCACTCTGACTTCAATCTGATTTAAATATAAAGCGTCGACTATTGCTTTTAGGCCTGAGGGTTTGCTTGGATCACAGAATTCGAGGGTGCCCGTCCAGCTGCGCAGCACGGAGAGCAATGCCAGCCGGCAGCTGGTGTAACGAAGTTCGCGTGCATCTCTGGAAAAAAAAAAGCACAAGGCAGCAATGAAGCTTGCACTTCGGTGAGATTCTTTCTCGCACTCACTTGTTCTTGTCCATGATGCCCAGTCTGTAGGTGAAGTCGCAGTAGGGCGCTGCTAGACAATCGAGGCGCACGCCGCACATGTTCCGCGTTTGCGGCCACTCGAGCAGGTAGAGCAGAACGCCGCAGAGGCTCTCTGCGATGCGGGGATTGTGGCACTCGAGTACATTGCGGGTTATGGAGGTGACGCCGCCGCATACGATGAGCAGGGCGGGATTGAGGACAGCAATTTCGGCCAGTGTGGCCAGACAGGCACGCAGCAGATTGTCGTTCTCCTCGATGCCACTGTCCGCCAGCGAGACGAGGCATCGCACCACCACCGGACTGATGTCCTCGGGGGCAATGGCCAGCATCTTGCGCACCAGCTTGAGCGCCTGCACCCGCTCATCGTCGTTCTTCAGCATCAGGTCAATGGAGCGACACAGCAAATGCTGCAGCTGGAGGGAGTTGAAGGCCTTTATGTCATTGGGCGTGCTCAAAGCATAGCGGATGGTGCGCAATGCCGCCGCCCTCACTTGGGTGAACGTGTGCACCAGCGATGCACTAAGGCTACAGGAAGAGAAGAGATCAGGATTCAGGATTAGATTGGAATATCCAATGGTTGGGATTCACTGTGTTACCAGTAGAGCAGCTCCTCCGTGCTAAAGCGCAGATTGCTGTGATGCGATCCCTTGCGGGCGGCCAGGCAGAGCGAGGCCAGGGCATTGAGCAGGAACAGGCGCTTAGTGTCACGGGTCTCCTCCCGGCAGAGCATCGAGTAGATGTCAAAGGCATTCTCCGCCGCCGATCGTGTGGGATCCAGACGATAGAAATCCTCCGGATCTTGTGAAACTGCAAAGGAAACAAATTATATATTGGAATTAAAGGGATATATATATATATATATTTTTGTTTTTAAATTAGTTTTAAGTTTAATTTGTGTTTCTATCTCTGTCTTTTCTTGCAGACACACAACACAACAAACGCACACGAAATGCATTGGAAAGCGAAGAAGATCGACGAGTGAAATTGATCCACGAGCGAAACTAATCAGCTCTGCTTTGGCGTCAACAGCGACGCTGGCTGCTGCGCCGCCGTGCACGTGAAATGACAGCCGAGACAGCGTCATAGCACAGTTACGCTGCTGGTGCTGCCTACTAGTAAATACCCTCCATTCAGAGAGTATGCCAGGCATACGTTTCAGGGAGAAAAGTAATTACCATCAAGCCATCAAGTATTTATGTTCCTGATCAGCAATACCGTTAGGTGTTTATTTCAATTATACTTGCAATGCAATTAAGAAAATATTACCCGTCATGGCATATTGATCTATCTGCTAGGGTATCAAAAGTTTCGGCACATCAGAAGCTCTAGCCGTCGTTGTCGTTACAGCTAACTGTACTTGTATGATGGATATGGTGAGAGAGAGAAAGAGAGACACGGCAAATAGAGTGGGGGGGACGGGGGACATAGTGCTGATGAATGGAAGAAACCGAGCATTTAATGCGTTCCGCTGCTGCTGCTGCTGGTGCTGCGTCATCGTTTGTATGGCTCTCTCTCTATGCTGCTGGCGACTGTCTCTATTAATAGACGGCCAACATGTAGCAAAAGAATTTGGTCAAATGGCAGCAACAACAACATTAACAATAACCAAAATAAAAATACATAAATATACTACTAGTATATGTGCAAGCGTGTATGTACCGTACCCCATACACAAAACGCAGGAAGGAGGTAACAACTTCTGGAAGAATGTGCAAGAGGCTTCGGCTTTGGCTGCTGCTGTGGCTGCTAATAAGAATGCTGTTCTTGTCAGTTCTGTTGAAATATGGTTACCGTTATGCGCAATTGACTTAACATTACCATTACCATGGGGGGCAACGGGGCTCTATGTTTGTGTGGGGGGGGATGGGATAGTAGGTGAGATTGTGCACCGACCACTGCATGTTATAGACAGAAGGTGGCCGACTTAACATCAATGCAAACAAATGTTAGAGGGGCTGGCATGCATCCACTATTTATTAAATAAGCACTAGGCCACAACCAAACCAACAACAAATCACCAAGGGAACAACAATATCAACAGCTGCTGCTGGTGCTTCTGCCTGCCTGGTTTGTTCAGTTCAGTTCAGATTTTACGCGCAGCAATCGCAAATTGATATCAAAATGTTATGGCATGCTACATACGTGCATTGGTCGTGCCTATGCTTGGGTTATGCTGAATGTTAAATGAACATTTTTGTTACATTACCTTTAATGCGTAATTGTAGTTTGCTTCTCTTGCCAAAACGCCAACTGGAATGTAGGGAGGCCATCGCAGGGCTCAGCGGATGGTGGGGCGGCAATGGCGGTATCGCCCGCTCACCGTATAGCACAGGTCCGGGGATAATAACAGGCACTAGTTTTTATATTGCTTTTTTAATTTCACTTGCTGTTTGGCTGCACAATTCACATTTTTTTTATTGGGCTGCTCGCCGCTTTTGCGGGAAGCCGAAGCGCTCCGGTGCTGGTTCCACGCGAACTCGGGGCGTAATTTCACTCGGCACAGTTTTTACACAAATGATTTAACTAAATAAAAAAAAAGCCTAGTTAAACTGGCATCTCAGCGCGAATCAGACCGTCCCGGATCCACCGTTCACCGCAGCTATATAATAAATAATATATTTTAATAAATTTATAAACTATTAGAGGTGTCAAACCATCGAGGGCACTATCGATAGTATCGATATTTTACTGCTAGTCTCTACTATCGACGGTTTTGCGACTATCATGATAGTATCGAGCTACAGTCGTTGCGCTTTTGATATGTTTGGATTGGCTGCTATAAAATACGAAGACAAATTTGTAAAAAAATTCGACAGGTGGCATCTAATTTTTACAATGGACAAGTTCCTAAAAGGTTTCAATGGTTTTTTAATAATTATTTCAGCCCGATACATTCACGATAGTATCGATTGTTTTTTCAAAACATTCGACGTTGATATTCTTCGATATTGATATTCCGTTTAATATTACCAGCTAGCTGGGATTTCTCAGCCCTAAACAAATAATTTTATCCGATAGATACATACATTTTTTAAGAGATTGGCAAGTTTTCAGAAGTCCTTTTTATTGGATTATGTACATATTAAGGTTCAAACAAAAACAACATAAAACGAATTTGTCGTCGTTTTGTGGCGTTGCCAGACTCGTGGCATTCATAGTTGCTGCGGGGTGCCACACCATGATATTTTGTGACCCGTTTCATTACCGGTTCGCTTTGAACTGATCTGGCAGCCCGAAAAACAAAAATCCGCAAAAAAGGAAGAAGAAGAATAAAAATGTTCCCAAAAAAGGAAGAAGAAGAAAAACCTCTGCGGAAAATTTTTCCGCAGTGTTTTTTGTGCGCTAAATACCCCCCTGGTCGACAATGGGTTACCGTTCTACTATATTGATTGAAATCGTATTCCATGATTTTGGTATTCAGTTCAATATTACCAGCTAGTTGGACCTCTCAGCCCCAAAAAAATAATTCTATCCGATAGATACAACAATCAGAATCAGAAATAAATGCAAGTTTTTAAATTTGATATGTTCTTATCGACGCATTTATCATATCGGATGTACAGTGCTGCCAGATCAATCAACCGATGCGCCTACAGCACTTTTTGCGATTAGCAGAGGCCTCAAAATGCGTTTAACAGTACCATGTTGATCGTACACAAACAAATTGGCCCCCATTCCTTGCAGCACCCCCCACACTCCTCCGGGCGTTTTTCCAGCGACAGTCAAAAGAGAAACACACACAAAAAATATAAAAAATTAACGCCAGCGCTCGAAAGAAAAGTGCAGTGAAAGAAAATCTGTGCCAGTCCATAGTGTACGCGTATCGTTGTTATCCGTCGTCTGTTCGTCGTTTTGTGTTTTTAATGTAGTTATGTGTGCAGCATCGGTCGCGCTGCATCTGTGTAATGTGTAATCTGTAATCTGTCCAGGAAAAACCACGGCCCACGGATACGGATGAGCCCAAATTATTTTTATTAACGCAACGAAATTTATGCGCGCGCCTGCCATTGCGACCCCCGCAATCAGGGCTCCCTCAGCAACAGAAGCAACAGCAACAACACACACACACACACACACACACGCAGAGACACATACGCCCAAGTCCGAGGTCAACTCCCACCCAATCTCCGCCTGCGTGCGCCCACAAAATCGGCCACCCCCAATATTGCAAATGGCCTCCAACAACAACAACAACATTAGCAGCAGCTTTGGCAACTCTCTGGGCGGCGGTATAGCCGCTGTCAATGCAGATCTGTGGCGCGAGTGCGTCGCCTGGCTGACGCGATGCAAAATCATACCGCCCGACCACAAGGCCGCTCTGCCCGACGCCGAGATTCGTATTCTGGCCATGACGCTGCGGGATGGCGTCCTCTTGTGCAATCTGGTCATCCATTTGGATCCGAGCAGCATGGATCCGCGCGAATTCAATCGCAAGCCACAAATGGCCCAGGTGGGACACCAAAATCCATAACAAGATCCTTCTACGCCTCCATCATCAATCATCATCATTATTATCGTGGTGTTACTTTTTTCTGTGTGTTCCAGTTTCTGTGCAGCAAGAACATCAAGCTCTTCCTGGATGTCTGTCACAATAATTTTGGTATACGCGATGCGGATCTGTTTGAGCCCACCATGCTCTACGATCTGACCAATTTCCATCGGGTGCTGATCACGCTCTCAAAGCTGTCGCAGTGTCGCAAGGTGCAGCAGCTCCATCCGGATCTAGTGTGAGTGTCGTTCGTGCCTGAAGAGTGCAGGTGTCAGCAGCAGCAGCACCACCAGAGATGGCATGGGGCGATAAGAGAATCAAAACTACTGCTTGCACTGCTTGATTTGATCTAATGCAAATGGATGCAGTGCAGTGCCCTCCATCCCTGGTTATGCTTGTATGGCATCCCAATTCGAGATTCTTCTGATCTGGATCTTCTTTTGCAGCGGCTTCAACCTTTTGCTGTCGCCCAGCGAACGCTCCCATTCGGATGAGGCCATCTACAAGGATCTACACTCCACGTAAGTTTTCTCTCTTGCTCTGTGAAACTGTGCACACATCCACACCCCCGTCTCTGCGCAGCATAGGCGGATATGCAATGTATTTTGCATTTCCGCTACCCCTTCCCCAGACAATCTCTCTACCCATTATGCGTCCACGTACAGAACGCCTAAGCCCTTGCGTCTGTCTCTGGCTGCTTATCAAAAACAACAACAACAAAAACGAAAGAAAAACTTGAATAAAATCCAAAACAATCCCATTGTCCCGTTGCTTTTATCTAACACGCATTCTCTCTCTCTCACTCTCCATCTCTGTCATTTCTGTAACTCTCTCACTCTCTCTTTCTCCCTCTAACACACTGCCTAACCTAACCAATCATTGATGCATGCGTGTAACCTGTTTGTGTGTGTGTGTGTGTGAGTTGCATTGCTTTTCCCAAAAACAAAAAAAAAAACAAAAATCTCTGCACTGCATTCCCGACGGCAGTGAAATGCGAAAAACCAACAGCATTGATGCGGCCGTTGTGCCAGCATCCGCGTCCGGCGCCGCCGCCGCCGCCAGGGAAGGATTCTACGAACGGTCTTTGAAGAGCGGCTCCGGGTCCGTTTCGGTGGAGGATGAGAACAGCGATATAACCATTGAGAATGGCATCGAGGATAACGACATCGATGACATGGACGACATCGGCGATGGGACCATGGACAATGACTCGGGCAGTGGCGGCAGTGGCAGTGGCAGCGGCAATGGCGGTGGCAATGGTTCCATGAAAACCCTCTCCTTTGATCTCTCGCTGGACGACACGGCCTCGCTGGAGGGCGTGCCGGTGGCCACAGTCGCCTCACCGCCGGAAACCCTTGCGCCCACACGCACCACCGCTGCCCTGCTGAGGGAGGCACCGAAGCCGAGCACCTCGGAGGCGGCTGCCGAGGCATTTGCATCGAATGCATCGTTCTGTGCATCGACACTGTCGCTATTGCATGCCTCCAACTCGTCGCTGTTCATCAACGAGAGCCAGTGGCTGCAGAAGGCCGCCGCCGCTGTCTACAATTATCGGTCATGCCCGTCGATTAGCTCCGAGGAGCATGAGTACTCGTACATCTATAGCGAGGACGATGAGAAGGTCTACGAGGATCTGTGCTATGTCACCTTCCAAACGAAGCCAAAACCAGAGGTGTGCCGTCTATCCATTACTAACTCTTTCACTGTAGTCCTCCATCCACCATTCCACATCCTTAACCCATTCCCCAGACCAACTGCTGTACCTCCCTTCCTCCTCCTCCCACCTCCTACCTGAAATCTTTTGAATATCTGTTTAATCTTAAGAGAACACTGCCACGAACACATCTCACACCCAACGACTATTATACCACCCACCCCACCCTTTGCACTTTATTTACTTTCTTTTGGCTTCTATTTATCTGTTTCTATATCCATTCCGTTACACCCCCACCTATGTATGTTCAGATATTTGACAACATTTGAAGGCCCCCATGCATCCAGCATATTGCTAAAATTTGTTTGGGTCCCTAGTCATCCGTCAAATGTGGATTTTTGATTGTGTATCGATCCGAAAGTACAGAGGGGAACCTACCCTGCCCGCCTGCCTGCCTGTTATTCCTTCTGCCGATAAGGCTTGTCCCACTATCTTTCATCTGCCTGATTGGTATTGGATTTTGCATTGGCTCCTGGCATTGTATTCCCCCCACACCCCCAATACAACAGATTATCGCCCTACAATATGTATAATTGATTGGAGGGAAATTGTTTACTCTTTTTTTTTCAAAAAGAAAATATATATATATATATATATAAATATCTATAAATAGATGCTTGAAATGTTCGTGGCCATATCAGACAGCCCCAACCATTATCCCCCAAAAACCATGTTGGGAGTGCAAATTTAGTGAACAGTTCTCTGTGGAAAGCGCCAACGATCATCCCTTAGCCAGTATTTATGTGCTTGCTCGACTCGAGACACACAAGCGAATTCCGCAAAAGAGAATGCCCGTGAATGGTACCAAAAGCGCTACACATTGATTGCAGCCCCTCAACCAGCCCATTGCTGCTTTAAATTGAAATGCCGTTTACGTTTTTGTTTTGACGCTTTTCATCTGCCGCAGTGTATTTTTGATTTGTTTAACAATTCGTTGCTATTTCCTACTTATGTTCGATGATGTTGTTTATTCAGCAGTCAGCGTTTGTATTTTCCTTTTCTTTCTTTTACTTTTGGGGTGGGAAGAAACTGAGACTTACTGTTTCTTCTTTTCCTATTAAATACTCTTAAATTTCGATAGTCTTTTACCTTTTTTTTTCATCTTTCTTTTACAAGTCTTTTGCACGCACTCCTATGCGAGGAGCTATTAGTTTGGTAGGAACTAACACAAACAAACAACAACAAAAAATGAAGTGAAGAAGGTATAACAAAAACGTGGACCCTGTTTTTTAGTGGTAGCTTCTTTGGCTCTGCCTTGGGCTCCTCTACTCTACTCTACTCTGCTTTCCATCCTTTCTTACTTATAGACTACCCGCCCTGTAACCTGCTGTTTTGATTTGAGTTCTAATCGGAGTCCTCGTCTGTGCTACTGCCACTGCTGCTCGATGGCTCCGAGTCAGGGTCAAATAATTTCCCCAGATCCGGCATCTCGCACTGAGCCTTTAAATTGCTGGCAAAGTGCTTCAAAATGACACTCACAGCCAGGCCCAAACCATTGAGACGCTTCTCCATGCGATGATCCAAGCGACGGCGATGTCTGTGTGGTCGGGCAGGGGGATACAAATTATTATTAATCAGTTGAGAGAGAAAGAGGCTGAGAGGCATACTCACTTGTAGTACTTATCCTTCTCGCTAAGTACCTTTCCAGACCCCCGACGCTTGCGAGATTTGCGAGCCTTCGGCTGAGCAGAGTTGTTGTCGTTTTCGTTTTGATTGTTCTCGGACGGGCCACTCTGCTCAGGCCAGACATATGGAGGATTCGGAATATCGTCCTCGTTTACTTCATCATTTTTCTCCGTCTTAATCTTATTTGGGCTTATGCAAACCTCCTTGACCCCGTCAACCTTCTCCTTGTCGTTCTGTTCCTTTGGGTGCATCTTTTTCGATGTCCGTGGATCGACTTCCAGCAGCTTTTTCGATGCATTAGTGGGATAAGCTTCAGGTGCTATGATCTCCAGGCCATCGTCGTCCGATGAATTTTCAGCATTATTCTCAGCTGTTGACTGGGCCTTTGCCACAACTTTGGCGGCGTCAGGACAACGCAATATCGGCGAATATGGGGGGCTAGTTGCAGTCACATGTGCCGCCCGCACATTCGGATTCGGTTCCTTTTGCGCATACGAATGATGGTCATTCTTCTTGATCATGAATCTGTGTATCTCGCCAAAGAATTCCCACTTCTCGTTGAGTGATTTGACCACCAGATCGTTGATGGGCGAAGTGATGCCCTCCTTCTCAGTGCGATAGTCAAAGACTAGGGCTTGCCATTGCTGTCGCAGGGCATGCTCGCTAAAATCACCAATCTGGGCCATTTCCTTAAACGTTCTGCAAAAAGGTAGAGTTATATTTGTCGTTAAGAGCTTATTTCGTACATCCCATGCACCCGTCTTCTATGTAGCTTTTTTCTGCCCCACCTGTCCACAGCTTATTTTGTACACTGCAAAAAGTACCCCCCACCCCCGCACTGGGCCACACAATATATGTAAATAGCCCAAAAGAAAACTTACTTCCATGGCCGATCGCCCCTTAGCGAGGGTTTATTGAACAAATAATCAGCATTAATGCGCTTCTTCACGAGGCTGCGCTTTTGCTCAATGGTCCCTACAAACGTGCCAGAGAATAAATAAAAGAATTTACTTGCATTAGAATCGCGTTGGTCGGGGGCGTGGAGGAACACGTATGTCTGTTTGCCCTTTGCAACTTACATATTTTCAAACCACTTTTGGCGTATGTATGATGCTCCATTTGCGTTTATTTTTATTACACAGAATCAAAAGAGATTTTGTGATTTTCTTAAACGCACACAGAGGTGTCAAACCATCGAGGGCACTATCGATAGTATCGATATTTTACTGCTAGCCTCTACTATCGACGGTTTTGCGACTATCATGATAGTATCGAGCTGCAGTCGTTGCGCTTTTGATATGTTTGGATTGGCTGCTATAAAATACGAAGACCCATTTGTAAACAAATCGACAGGTGGCATCTAATTTTTACAATGGACAAGTTCCTAAAAGGTTTCAATGGTTTTTTAATAATTATTTGAGCCCGATACTATCACGATAGTATCGATTGTTTTTTTTTTCAAAACATTCAAAACTATCGATGGCTCAACTTCCAATCGTTTGACAGCTCCACCAGCAAAAATTAACAAAAAAAATTCTATCACACAGATGTTCTAGTAGTGTGACCGCGCACATAAAATATACCGCTTGAACCTCGAAATATAGCTTGTCACTACAAAATATACCGTAAATATACTAACGGACACGACAAGATGCGTTAATATTGCTCGAATTTGATATTCGGTTGAATATTACTAGCTAGTTAGCCCTGTCAGCCCTAAGAAAATAATTTTGTCCAATTTTTAGAACTCCTTTTTATGGGATTGTTTACATAATAAGGTTCAAACAAGACTGGCGTCCAAAGCATCAAACAATAGTAACATATCGGATGTTGGCGGCTTGTTGCTGAGCCCTGGCGCTGTCAGGCGCTAGCGATTAACGGCGGGCCAAAATGATCGAATTCAAACGTTTCAATTCCCGATTATACTTTTTTTGTTTTTTGGTTAAAAATGTTGTCCTATGTTTTTGTTTTGATATGATATAATTTGGTATTATTTGAATTTTGTTTTTCGTATATTCATTTAGTACCACCGACAATATTGCATGCAATGGAACCGGTTACGATCACACCAACACAAAAGAGGAGGAGGTCTACCAAGACTTGTGCGCCCTGCACAGGACGAGTAGAAGCCAGGTAGAAACTGCTGCAGATGTTTCTATTGTGCATGAGACGCCGCTGTAAAAACATTCAGCTGATCAGCCAAAACTAATGTCTCTGCTTTTGTGCGTCCCCCTTTAGACAGCCTCATCGACGAGCTTCGAGCAGCGCGACTACGTGATACGGGAGCTAATCGACACAGAGTCCAACTATTTGGATGTTCTCAATGCCCTTAAGCTGAAGTTTATGGGTCCGCTGGAACGGCACCTCAACCAGGACGAGCTGCGGCTAATATTTCCACGAATCAGGGTGAGTGTATGCCACCGTCAGGATTCAGTTCTTTTCGTTTCTATAACTGAATGCCTTGTCCAGGAGCTGGCTGACATACACACGCGCTTCCTGCGGGAACTGCGGGAAGCCCTGTCGCCCACCACCAAGCTGAGAATGGCCCAGGTATTCATGGATTTTCGTGAGCCATTCCTCATCTATGGCGAGTACTGCAGCTGCCTGCTGGGCGCCATTGACTATCTGGCGGATGTGTGCAAGAAGAATCAGATCATCGATCAGCTGGTGCAGAAATGCGAACGCGAATACAATGTGGGAAAGCTGCAGTTGCGCGACATTTTGTCGGTGCCCATGCAGCGCATTCTCAAGTACCATCTGCTGCTGGACAAGCTCGTAAAGGAGACGGCACCGCAGCATGAGGATTACCGCTCGCTGGAGCGGGCCAAGGAGGCCATGATCGATGTGTCGCAGTATATCAATGAGGTGAAACGCGACTCGGACCATCTGGTCATCATACAGAAGGTGAAGGACAGCATATTCGATCTACATCTGCTGCAGAATGGCAATGATCTGCTGCAGTATGGCCGCCTCCTACTCGACGGGGAGCTGCACATCAAGGCGCACGAGGATCAGAAGACCAAGCTGCGGTATGCGTTTGTCTTTGACAAGATACTCATTATGGTGAAGTCGCTGCACATCAAGACGGGCGACATGCAGTACACATATCGCGACTCGCATAACCTGGCCGACTACCGTGTCGAGCAGAGCCACTCGCGACGCACTCTCGGCCGGGATACGCGCTTCAAGTATCAGCTACTGTTGGCCCGCAAATCGGGCAAGACGGCCTTCACGCTGTATCTCAAGTCGGAGCATGAGCGGGACAAGTGGCGCAAGGCACTCACCGAGGCAATGTGAGTGAGAATATGCACCCGCCACCACCACAGCCACCACCATATCACAATTGATATGTGCATAATTTTCTTTTAGGGAGAGCCTGGATCCGCCTGGCTGCCGCAATACGGATCACAAAATGGAAATCTTTACATTCGATACACCAACATCATGTCGGCACTGCTCCAAGTTTCTAAAGGGACGCATCCATCAGGGCTATCGCTGCAAGGTGTGCCTCATAGCCGTGCACAAGGGCTGCATCTCGTCGACGGGTCGCTGCAAGCAGAATCCCATTACCCAGCCGCCGCCCGTCTGCGATCGTCAGCTAACGGAGTTCAATTGGTTTGTGGGCAACATGGATCGCGAGACGGCGGCCAATCGTTTGGAGAATCGACGCATTGGCACATATTTGCTGCGCGTACGCCCGCAGGGACCATCGACGGCCCATGAGACGATGTATGCCCTGAGCTTAAAGTGAGTGTGGAATGTGGAATGGTAGATTGATTCGAATTGCATGTAAATATAATTAATAACGCTCCGCAGAACCGATGATCATGTGATTAAGCATATGAAAATCAATCAGGAAATTGGCACAGAGGGCATGCTCTATTGCCTGTCGGCACGCAGGCATTTCAAGACGATTGTCGAGCTGGTTTCCTACTACGAAAGGAACGATCTAGGCGAGAATTTTGCAGGGTAAGCAGCGAAGTCACCCATTCTGACTGTGGCTTATTTTGTGATCATTTTTGTTGTTGTTGCAGCTTAAATACATTGCTGCAGTGGCCATATCGTGAGGTAATAGCCACTGCCCTGTACGATTACGAACCGAAGCCGGGTAGCAATCAACTGCAGCTGCGCACCGATTGCCAGATATTGGTTATAGGCAAGGATGGCGACAGCAAGGGCTGGTGGCGTGGCAAGATTGGTGATACAGTGCGTGTCGATAAGCTATAATTGTCTTTTTCAACCTTACGATAAATATTTTAACTTGAATTGTTTTTGTTTTTTATTACAGGTTGGCTACTTTCCCAAGGAGTACGTGCAGGAGCATTCGCCCAATGACGAGCTTTGATATTATAATTCGCTTATCTATTTTGGTACACCCAAGGCCATGTCGCCCGTAGAGGCAGCCATTGATGTAGTCGCAATTGTAGCACCAGCGGTTGTTGTGCCAGCAGCCATACTCCTGGAGGGTATACCCTGCCTAGCCAGCCCCACGACCACCACAGCTGCTGCTGCTGCTGCTGCTGCAACCGCCGCCACCACAACCAGCAGCAGCAGTAGCAGCACCAGCAGCAGAAGCACCAGCAGCAGAAGCACCAGCAGCGTCAGTCGCAAGCAGTGCGCCAGATAGATACGGCAGCACACCCTCTCCCACGCACCACACTGCATCCTAGTTAAATATTAAATATATATTTTAATTATACAAATTGTTTTTATGTTTAAATGTTTAAAATTGTAATATTTTATTTTATTTAATTTTTGTTTGTTTTTTTCTCTCTGTTTAAGTGTACGAAACGAAACATTTGTGCCAAAACCAACAGAACAAATAACGAAACGAAACGAAACAAAAACAAAAACAAAAACAACACACACAAAAAAACAACAACAAAGTTTATTCGAAAATGTTCTTAAATGTGTGAAGTGTGTGCATGTTGCATATATATCTATAAATGTATGTGTGTATATCTTTTAAGCTTAAGAATAACAAATTAGTTGCCTAAGTTTTAAATTATGCACAATATACACAAAACGAAAACAAAAAGCTTTAAACAAAATATTGTCTGTATACAAAAAAAAAGTGCATCAGCCCATATAAAACATAATCCATCATATACTATATATGTTTAGTATAAATAATGAATGTAAACACACACACACACACACACAAAAAGTACGCCAAAAAAAGGGCTACAAAAAAACAAGAAAACAACAAAAACAACGAGAATGTTGAATGATGATGGAAGTAAAAGCTTTAGCCATAACAATATATGTATTTATGATCATGATTGATCCCCCGAAACACACACACACACATACAAAACACAACCAATTTTAGGCCAGCCAATTTATATAGATGTCTTATATACAATATATACATACATATATATATATATATATGTATATATATTACTCATTATGTACCTACTACACTTATATACACATACATATATTGAAATTAGCTACGGCTAAGCGGTCCACTCAACGAATTCAACGAAATTTTGTGAGCATTATAACGAACGAAACATTAGGCTATAAGGACACGGCATACCCTTTCTTTGGGTGGTGTCTCTTTACAAAACAAAAAACCCCATTCTGTTGTCTTTTGTCTTATGAATGCAGGATCGCAGAACCCTCCACATATACATATATACATATATATATTGTAATTGTCAAAACACACACGCAAGCAAAAGTTTTTTAAACGTTCAAAAAAAGGCACACAGCAAGCAGCACACAATAGAAATTAATAAACAAAACCAGCGTATAGTTTATAAGAAACTCTTAGCTATCTAACCATCTACATATATACATATATGTGTATGTGCATCTTTGTATCTTTGCATTGGATGCATTCAAGTCTTATGTTTATAATGTATTTCGTATGGTTTCATATACATACATAGACACATGCATGATGGCATGATGGCAAAGTGTTAACAATTCCATATAATGCATTTAATAATCGACTTGTGCGCACAACTTGTACTGTGCTGCTGCTTTACCTACGCTAGCACTTAACCTTAACCCCAGCCAGCAGCATCAGCAGCAGCAGCAACAGCAGCCTCTAGCTATCCCTTTCGCAACAATGGTAGCTCTTTCTCTCTATCTCTCTCTCTCTCTATCTGTATCTCTTTCTCTTTGGGCAGCTACAAAACTTAGAGTAAGATTAAATGTTGTTTGCAAAACGCAATTGCTTCCATATTCTCTCTACTTATGCCAATGTGTAAAACGTAACCAAATTCGTGTCTGTGCTTCTTTGTCTAAGAATTAAACTAAAAAAAAACCATAAACAGAGTTGGAATTTCCGATTCATATTATGTTCCCCAGAGACAAACACCTTGCTGGAGACACACCCCCCGCCCCCCCCTAATAAAGGAACTTTTTTGTGAATGTATTGTTGTTCAAATTGAAAATATATCAACTGTGTGTGTTTCATTGAGAGGGATTGGGAATACTTGCCAGCACTATCAACGCGTGCATCGATTAATGTGATAAGTAAAGATCTTCCGTGTGAGTTCCTAAGATTTATAAATAAATGAATAGAAATATCCATCAGGTTTTCCAAAGGAAGATCCGAAGAGCATATAATGGAATTAATTGAGTATCTGCAGATCTTCTGGTGAGAAATTTCGGAAGCTATCATATACATATGCTTCTTAAATTCATAAATTTATATACGGAGTCGTATGTTTTGCAGGTTAATCAGAGTCCTAGCCCATGGGACATCTTCATGGTAGCGTCCTAGGCAGTCTGAGTGCTAATAGATGATCAGAGTTCCCATTGCCATCGGAGACATAATCAACAGGTAAAATTATGAAAGTTTCCATCAAAAGGTTTTTTTTTTTATGAAAACTTTTATTGCAAACAAAAAAAAAATATTTGTAATATTATATCTTAGCTACTGGGAGAACTGGGGAGAGCGGGGCGGCTAAGGGAATGATATATGCAATCACGGAACGGGCCCCCGTCTTCGCAAGATCTTGACCAGGCGACGGCGACGATGCTGATTCGCTGGCAGTGCTGCTGCTGTAGTCGTAATCTCTGCCGGCGGCGGCGGCGGCTGCAGCTCCCCATCATTCGGATTGGAGCCCTGGGCATAGCTGTAGCTAATGGTGCGCTTGTAGATGCGTTGCTCCTGCTCCGATTGCTGCGACTGGCGGGCATGTGGCTTCCGTTTCGCGGAGGAGGAGAAGGAGGCGACCTTGGGCTTGCTCTTCGTGTTCGTTGCTGCGGCGGATGAGGAGGCCGCCGTTTTCTTTTTACGCTTTTCCAGCATATCATAGCAGCGCTCCAGTCGCTGGCCCTTGCTGTCCTTGCACTGATAGCAGACGCTTTTGCCCTGCAGCCGTCGCACACACAGACTGCTGGCGGCGGCGTCTGATTCCTCCTTGGCCTCCACGGCCACGGTTTCCTGCTCGCTGTCGTCATCGTCGTCGTCGTCTTTGTCCGCAGCATCATCGCGATAGAGCTTGTACTGGCTGCCACTGCCATAGACATACTTCTCCGGCTTATCGGAGTTCGAGTAGCTGCAGGTCTCCGAGACTTGATTGTTTTTGGCCTGGCGGCAAATCTCGCACAGCTGGCCCTGCCGACGCACGCGACGACAGCGCTGATCCTTGTGGTTGATGGCCTCTGCGTGGGTCTGCTCCATGCTGCTGCTGCCATCATTCGCATCCGCATCTGCATCCCCATCGTCCGAGGCGGCCCGATCGAAGTATTCCTTCACAAACTGTTCGTAGTTGCGCTCGTAATCCTCGCCAGAATGTGGCGCTTCATGGCTGGTCTCGGCACTCAGGCTGTCCACCTCATCGTCCGCCCCATCGACATCCTCATCCGCCTTGGGCTCCGTCTGTGCATTGGCCTGCGTTTCTGCCAGCACCTGAATCATTTCGGGCATTTTGCCCAGTTTGCTCTGGTCCACATCTGTCAGGGTGAGTGCATCCAAACGCTGCAGCAGCTTGCCCGGGGCAAATGCCTCCCAATAGTTGACACTCCGATCGTACGCGTCCGACATGGACATGGACATGGACACGGCCAGGCCAAGCACCAGCAGCAGCAACTCCGGCAACAGCATCGTATTGAAAGCATCATGCCGCAGCGGTGGTCGGCCCTTTTAAGGCCTTCTTCTAGCTGGTTTTGGCCAACGAAGCGTGTCCAGCGGCAAATTGGCAAAGCATTGACCGCAGAGCCATCAGGAAGTGGTGGTGACCCAACGATTGGGCCTGGACCGGTAGAGGGAAGTGCAAATGAGAGGCAAGATTTATTTTGTGTGCCCAATCAACTAAATCAACGCCACCGCCACTCTTGGTACCAGCAACAGCGGACGACAGGCCAGGGCCGGGGGAAATCGATAAAGAAATTGCCAATGTGGGAAAAATGGGGAATGGAATGGTGGTGAATGAAGTGTGGTGGCGGGGGAGGATAGCTGACAGCTACGCAACGCGATGAATGTCGCTCAGACGCTGTGCTCCAATGGTCGGCTGGATGGCTTTGGTCAATGGCTGACGCTGCTGGCGCGCCTCTCGCCGCTTCTCGCGTATGATTTGCTTGGTCCCTGATGTGTCCAACTCCTCCCAGCCGCCAGGATTGTCATCCACCCAGTCCTCGAGATCGGCCTGCAGGGGCGGGGGCAGTAAAACGTGGCAAAAGTTAGAACAAACAAAAAAAAACAAGCCATCGGGCAGTGGATAACTAAGATCTTACGGTATCGCTGATGGGTATCACATCCTGGGCCTGCAGTCTTGAAAAGTCAGTTGCCTGGCTGGACGCAGCCGCGGCCGTGGGATCGTCCAGAAAGTATTTCACCTGTGGCTTGATGGTGGGCGTCAGCTCCTGGAAACCGAGCACAATTAAACGTTGGATTAAACGTGACCAGTTACCGTCTGGGCCAAATACCAACACTCACACTAAAGAAATCCGGTTCGGGTTCTTCTTTCGGCGGCGTTGGGGGCTGGGCCATGCGCTGACGGTATTGCTCTATGTGCTCCTCCACGGTTCGGGGGCTGTCATCCCACGAGTTCCAGTCCCGCTCCCTGCCCGCTGACCGACTGCCAGCACCACCTGTCGCAAAGTCCCCCCGCTCCGCAATCACGTTGACGGCGAGAAGCTGGTCCCCGTTGGCTGTGATGCCACCGCCGCTGTGGCTCATCTTGCGGCGCCGCGAGAAGCAGCATAAGGCACGCCGGCAAAGCGTAACGATGCTGAGCAGCAGCATCTTAATTTGTTGCAACATAATTGCCTAAAAAGTGCTATTTCTATTGTTTGTTTCGTGGTTTTTTTATGTGCATGCAATCGATTTCAGCTGCGACATATCGATGGCAACTATCGTTTAGAACACTTATTATTATTAATTTGCTTGTACAAATGAGAAATAAAAGAATTTAGAGACTAAATGCAATTTTTTTAAAATACCTATATAGAAATAAATAATTTAGAATAAATGACAAAAAAAATGAATTTTTCAATGTATCGATAGTAGGCCTTTTCACAGATAACTATTGCATTTTAAATCTAATCTCAAAAATAATGTGCTTGGTAATGGCTCTATAATGGCTTTATAAACATATAATAAATCATTTGCAATACTGGGCTGGATTTTGTATGATAAACTCCAATTCTTGATAGTTCGATATAAGCTTCAATCGATTATTCCTACAAAAATGATCGGCTCAAAACAATTAGCTTAAAGCCTGCTGGCTTTTATTTAAAATTAAGATTTTATCGTATTTTCCAAATGGAAAAAATTGGCATTGATTTCAATTGATTGCCAATAGTACTATCGATCGATTTGCCACGTTAATATCGATACTTGCACTGTCGAGCTGCAGCCCTGCCTTTTCCGTTTCCCGCTATTAGTCAAAACGTTTAAATAGTTTACTCTCTTTTTATTTCAAGCAGTGAATACAAGTGAGTGTGAGTGGTACTCAGTGAACAATTGTAGTGCGGCCCGCGTCGGGAACATCCTCGTGATCGACATTATTGCGAGCGATTTTGTTGCGTCGCCGGAATTTAACAATAAGCACCTCGATGACCCAGGGGACAGCGCACAGAATCATGAACCCGTTCAATATATTAAAAACTAATAAATAATCTCGTGTCTTGTCGCGGATAATGCCGACGATCGGTCCAATGAGAAACATGGCGTTTCCCTGCGTAAACATGAACAATCCGTAGCCGGTGGCGAATCTGCATGGGCACAAGTGTTTTAATTAAAATATACGAATTTCAAGAGATCCCGAACCAACCTCTCCTTTGGCAAGTAGTCGGCAAAAACCAGAGGCAGCGGCACATGCAGCCACGTGCGCAAAAAGCCAATAACTCCCGTGATGCAGGCCATTCCAACGAACTCCGTGATGCCATTGAAAACTGGTGAGTGAACAGTTAAATAATGTGAGTGTTTCTCTTCAGTATCCTCAATGGAGGTTACTTACAGAATCTGGCAAAGACTGTGAGCACAGCTCCGGCCAAGTAAATATATCGGGAGGGCACCTGTATGCAAACAGCGGTAATGGCCAGAAAAATTCGCGAAGCCAAATCGGCGGCTGCTCCAATTGCTATAATAGTAGCAGTGTCCGGCTATAGGTAGGCAGAAAAGAAGCAACAAATTAAGGCATTACTAAATAAATCAGTTAAGGAATGTGTATACACATATGCATACATTTAGCATGTATGTATGTGTGTGTGTGCGTGTGTGTGCAGGCAGGTTCGAGCACAAACAAAATTAAATTGTCATAAATTCGTGTAGCCACAAAATACATATATAGTTTGCAAAAATATTTGTATTGTTTGGATTTGGATTTTAGAAGCCAATTAGCTAATGCGCAAGCGCTAAGGATTCAAATTTTAATTGAATTTACATACGGATGTACGAAAATATACTTTTACCCACTCTCCCTTTGCATTGCGTGTGCGTGTGTGTGTGTGTGTGTTTTGCATTTGCGCAGTTAGAGACAACAAAAAGTAACGTTCAGTTCGCGCTGAATCCGTTTTGGTTTCTTTTGTCCTCTGCTTTGTGGTTTCTGAACGCTGAGGCAGCGGCGTCTGCGTAGTAGCCGAAGTGCTCCAGCACGAGTCGAACGGACGGGTTCGGTTTAGTTCGGTTTGGTTCGCCGAAGGTTTAATGCGCATATTTCATAAAATGGTTGATCAAATGCTGTAAAATTCATGAGTGCTTTGTGTGTATGTGTAGCTGGGATAAAATGGCGACACCGTCGGTTTTGCTGGCTCGTTTTACCGAGTCTCTTTTGCTCTCGCTACTCCTCCGTCCTTTTGAGCTTGTGCGAGCGAGATAAGAGATCTTTTCGCCTGCTTCTGTCCTCACGAGTGTTTTTTTTTTTTGTAAACGCAGCAGCGCATATATAAAAAATTGTTGCCATGGCCGGAGTAAAAACGGCAGGAGCGGACTTAGTTCGCTTGTGCGAGCGAGAAAAAAGATCTGCAGAATTTTCTTAAGAGAATGTTCTTCTTCCAACGTCAAGAATTGCCAGAATCGAATTAGCAGCCGTAAGCGAAGGAAGTTTTAAATGTGTGTTTTAAAGGGTATGTGCAGCTGGGGCAAAATCAAAATGGCGACAGCTTCGGTTTCGCTGGCGTCTCTTTTGCTCTCGCTCTTCTAAGCTAGTGTGAGCGAGAAAAGAGAACAGATTCGCCTGAAACATTTCTATATAAGGCGGTGTTTGAATGTTGCCACTGCCAGAATCGAAATACCAGCCGCAAACGAAAGGAGTTATTTATGTGTGTGTCCGGTTAAATGTGAATTCAAGTGAAAAGTCCAATAAATAAATGGAAAAAATGTTTCGACAAAACGTTTTCAAGGTAAAGGCTTCGAAATAGTATTACAATTTATGATTTTCTTCGGAATGTTGAAGTTTTAAGGTGTTCTTTTGTGATATTGTGTAAAACTGTTTAATTTTCAAGGTAAATCTTTGTAATATCGATGTTATGTACCATTTATACAGGTTTTCTTCGGTTCGCAGAAGTTTCAATAGGAATATTTCATAAAATTTTTGATCGAATGTTGTAGAATTAATGCGTGGTTTGTGTGTGTGTGTGTGTGTATACTTGAAGCTGGGACAAAATCAAGATGGCGTCAGCGTCGGTTTTGCTGGCTCGTTTGCCGTTTTTTGACGAGTTTCTTTTGCTCTCGCTACTCCCTTCCTTTTGAGCTTGTGCGAGCGAGAAAAAAGATCTGCAGAATGTTCTTATGAGGCGGCGCTTGATGTTGGAAATGCCAGAATCGAAGTAGCAGCCGTAAACGAAAGATGTTTTAAATGTGTCCGATTAAATGTGAAATAAAGTGAAAAGTCCAATTAATAAATGAAAAAAATGTTTCGACAAAACGTTTTCAAGGTAAAGGCTTCGAAATAGTATTACAATTTATGATTTTCTTCGGAATGTTGAAGTTTTAAGGTGTTCTTTTGTGATATTGTGTAAAACTGTTTAATTTTCAAGGTAAATCTTTGTAATATCGATGTTATGTACCATTTATACAGGTTTTCTTCGGTTCGCAGAAGTTTCAATAGGAATATTTCATAAAATTTTTGATCGAATGTTGTAGAATTAATGCGTGGTTTTGTGTGTGTGTGTGTGTATACTTGAAGCTGGGACAAAATCAAGATGGCGTCAGCGTCGGTTTTTCTGGCTCGTTTGCCATTTTTTACCGAGTTTCTTTTGCTCTCGCTACTCCCTTCCTTTTGAGCTTGTGCGAGCGAGAAAAAAGATCTGCAGAATGTTCTTATGAGGCGGCGCTTGATGTTGGAAATGCCAGAATCGAAGTAGCAGCCGTAAACGAAAGATGTTTTAAATGTGTCCGATTAAATGTGAAATAAAGTGAAAAGTCCAATAAATAAATGGAAAAAATGTTTCGACAAAACGTTTTCAAGGTAAAGCCTTCGAAATATTTTTACATTTTAATAATTTTCTTCCAGTTGTCTAAGATTTAATGATTTTTTTGTGATGTTGTGCGAAACTATGTTTAATTTGCAAAGTAAAATCTTCGGAGCGCCGAAGTTGTATATCATTTTAAAGGTTTTGTTCGTTTCGCCGAAGTTTAAATGCGTATATTTCATACAATTTTGGATCGAATGTTGTAAAATTAATGCGTCGTTTTGTGTGTGTGTGTGTGTGCAGCTTGGGTAAAATCAAAATGGCGACAGCGTCGGTTTCTTGTTTGCCGATTCGTCTGCTCGTTGCTCTTTCTCTCGTTCATTTTTGCTCAACATTCCCGAACGCTTGAACATTTTTTTCTCTCTTTATTCTATTGAGCATTCCAAAACTTCTGCGAGCAGAAAAAAATATTGGGAAAATGCAGAGTATTTGGAAGTAAAATTGAGATAATTTCTAGTGTAATTTTTGCAAACCCTCTATAGAAATGCCTCTTTTTTGAAAAACTTTTAAATTGAGTAATACATTTCATTTAAATTGAAAATTTGGGTGTGCGTGTGTGCATGTGTGCGTGTATGTGTGCTATAAGCGGATAAATCAAAATGGCCGCAGCGTCGGTTCCTCTCGCTATTTTGCTTCGAACGTTCTCGAACATTTGCAGAAATTTTTAAAATGCAAAGAGAATTTGTTGGGCTATAAGTATTTAGTTTAACTGTTGCAAAGCCAATGAGTGAAATAAAAGGTTGTTTTTGTAAAGATAATTCCGATTGATTTTTAAGATATTCCAACGAAATTTTGTAAAACCTGAGGCGTGTTTGTGTGTGTGAAAAACAAGAGGGAAGAATCCTCTGCTTCATTTTTTTCGTATCTCGTTTGGTTTTTGCCACATTTTTCGAATTTCCAACTCAATTTAGAGTCAATAAATTAAATTCTAAACTCCGATGTGCCGATTTAAAATATTAATAATTTCAAAAGTAATTACTCACCTTGCTGTATCCCAATTCAAATAGATAGACCGGCTGCATGGTAAAGAACGTGATGTCCGAGTAGAGGGCAAAGGTGATGCCCAGCACAATGTTCACGTAGATGGGCTTCTTCAGCAGCGTCAGATCGAGAAAGTCCACAACAGAGCGGATGCATCCCTTTTTGGGCAGATCGGGAGCCGTGTTATTGGTCATCGATGGGCGCCTGGATGCCTGCAGGCTGTGGAGCATTTGGGGCGAGGCATCGCTGACGACGACAGGGCCGGACCAGTTGCCCAGGCTGGTGATGCTCGACGCTCGACTGGAGATGACCTTCAGCATGTGCTGCTCCTCGGCATGCGAGAGGCGCCGCAGAAACTTGGGCTCCTCTTCGGTGGCCTTGAGCGGAGTCTCTGGCTGGATGCGTACCACCACCACCCCTTTGGCGGTCTCCTGCAGCTGCAGTTCCTCCTCGCTGAGGGGCACACGACGCATATGCCACTCGACGGGATGCATTACGAGCATGCCCAGCACGGCATGGGCATTGAGGCCGGTAAGGATGAGCAGGCAGCCACGGAAGCCATACCACTGCATCAGTTTCTGCATCACAATCGGATAGAGCATCGATCCCAGGCCGATCAGCGTCTGGGCAAAGCTCATCCACATCACCCGATTCTTGACGAAGTAATGATTGAAGGTCGTGTAGCAGGTGGGCACCATCAGGCCAAAGGCCAGGCCCTGCACCAAGCTGAAGGCCAGCATCAGATGCATCGTTGTGGTGGCAAACAGCTGCATGCCCGTGCCCAGAAAATACAGGATGCCGCCCGTGACGCCCACCGCTCGCATGCCGAAGCGCTGGAACAGCGAGCCCGAAAATAAGCCAGCAAAACTCATGGCCGAAAAGAAGGCGCTGGTGATGATGGCCATGGCACTCGTCTCTGCGCCAATGCTCTTCAGGAAGTCGCCGAACACGAGACCAAACGATGGCAGAGCAGCCAAGGCGCTCGCCTGAAAGGGCGCAGCATAAATATCAGGAAATATCCTTTGGCGACTCTCAATTGTACTCACGAACGGCAGGGCCATGCCAATGCACACCAGGATGCCCCAACCACCATCGGGGGCCTCCAGTTTGTAGGATTTGGACTTCTTCATCGATGACGGTTTGACGGTGACGGCGACTGCTGCGCTCCTTAAGCGTTGAATGGTGAGTGATCTGATCTTTCAAGTGACTTTCCGAGTGGCACCTTGCGCGGTGGGTGCCGTGCCTCTGTCTGCTCTATGTTACACATAAATCAATTCTCCATCCATCATATAAGTCAAGTCAGTGGCTGGCTGGCGGCTTCCTCTTCCAGTAGCTGTTGCTGCTGCCTGCTGCCTTATCGCCTCTCTCGCGGTATATGGCCTTTATGGCCAAAGCTTAGGGGGGGGTTTTTTGTTTGTTAGCCCATCTCGGCACTCATAATGTAATTTGGCTTTTCCCTGCGCGATAAGATTAGAAGAGAGATGCCTCTGGCCAAATGATGCAATATTGACTTTCAAATGATATTTGCCAAGAGGAGGCCGCCGCCGCCGCCTCTGTCCTTTGGGCACCTTCTGTAACATTATATTAAAAATTGCGAATCATTTTTATGGTTAGATATTTATCTATCCAGCGCTCTTCATATCTAAAATAACAATTAAAATGCCTCCTCTCTCCCACTCACATGATAAGAGAGAGCGCGCGCAGAGCACTTAATGCCCGCAGAGAGATATATAGTGTGCACAATAGTCTGTCCTGTCGTGGCCTGAGTTGTTGTTGTTGCTCTTCTGAGATTTAATTCTCATGCATAATTTATACAAACTTAAATTTATTCTTCACGCATTACAGAACACGCATACGCATGCCTGTCTCTGCTCCTTATCCTATGTGTGCCTTTGGGGATGATAAAACACTATCATTTGCTGTTGATGATCGTGCTCAGAGTGGGTGGTGGGAGGTGGGAGGTGGCTGGTAATGGTAATGGTAATGGTAATGGCTCTTTTCACACTTCATAAAACCAGTAGGAGCGCGTTGGTATGTGGCAGGGGGCTAGGCATCTTCTTTGATTAGGAATTTGGGGCTAGCTACCTCTTTTACAGAATCCACCATCCATCCCCCCTAAACCATTATCTTGTCAAATTCCAACCGCAAATATTTGCTTCTCTGCCATTGAGAAACTCGACCCAAAGAATACACTTGTGTTTTGTTGTTGTTGTTGTTGTCACTTGTTCATCACTTTATTCTCAATTAAATATACATACATATATTTATCAATATAGTTCTTATCGTATATATATATATTATATTATATCGTTCAATATCTTGGGGACCATATCAATGCCAACAGTTTTCATCGTATCAAAATCTCCTGCTCTCTATCATCTTCACTCCTGTCCCAAAAACAAAAAACAAAAACAAAATTAAGTACACAAAATATGCTTAAAATACTATTTAATTTAAGTGGTGTATATCTGAATGTTGTTCTTTTTGTTTTTTGTTTTTATTGCTTATCGTTTTGTTGTAAATGTTTTCCAAAAATTCATACGCCAAGGTGGGCGGAACATTTATTTATTTATTACCATTTTCCTATTACCATTCGCGATGGTCTATAAAAAACTTGCGATGGAAACTGTTTAATTTAAACGCTCCACACACAAAAAAAAAAAACACTAAAACTGTTGACAGTTCAAAAACTGTCAGCCCTATTTGGAGCTTTGCAACATTTGAAAAGTTTCGCTGCACTTGGTCACACTAACGAATATTTTACATTCTACATGAAATGAATAGTTGACATACAGTTTTGCAACCTAGCCGCTAGGTGGCGCCAACAGTGCTGTTGTCGGCATAGTTGCCTGGGATTTGTGTAATGTCCAAAATTATTTGTTTTTTTTTTTTTTTGGAACAAATATTCACATCTGTACTATATATATTTCTATATGTTCTGGGCGAAATAAACTCCTTGATTGATTGATTGAAATTAATTTGCGGTACAAATTTCATATGAAAATTGTTAGAAATCGACTCGGAAAAAAAGTTAAGCTAAGCAAAAACAGTTTGGGGATTTTTTTGCCTAAGACTAACTTAGATCTAAATATGGGCATGCAAATACATACATGTATAATATAGGTTATTTGGGCACATTTATAAGGCTCTCGCGTCCGAAATATAATTGTGTGTGTGTGTGTGTGTGTTTTACTCATTGATCTTACAAGCACAAGGAACCATCGTTTTTTGTTGTTTTTTTCTTTTCTTTTATAGATATAGAATATAGAATATAGGGAGAGGGGGGTATACAATATTCTGGCATTTTGTTTGGCAACAGAATTTAAAGGATCTGTTGATCTGCTGATCTGTTTGCATATTTAATCACTATATATAGTGGGTATATATTTATATATCAAATTGGCGACACAAAAAAAAAACACTTACAATTGGTCCTTGTATATGTGGGTTTGTCTGTTTTCTTATTTTTTTGTATGGGTACACGATTGGGGTTCATTTCTTAAGGTACATTTTAAAGCCCATTAATTGTCTCTCGCTACTTCGATTCACATTTTCCTTTGCATCGGCTTATGCATGTTTGTTTGTTTGTTTGTGTATATATTATACGATATAATTAGTTGCAGGTTACTTTCTACTCTCGCATATACATATATATGTGTGTGTGTGTGTATTTATGGTGTATTTTTGTTGTTGTTGTTTATCAGCTAAATTAGAAACTATCTTTGAACTATCACATACAAGTTCACTAAATAAACGACAAAAAACGAGCAAACAGAAAGCAAAAAAAAAAAATACAAAAAATTACAAATCAATTTACGGGGTGGGGGTGAGGAAATACAGGAAATACAGAAAATAAATGTTACTTTCTTATGTACTAAATTATTTAGAAAACAAAAGAAACAAAAAAAAAATTAACTAAGTTTTTTTTTTTTTTTAATACATTTTGTGGGTACAGTGGTGAGGGGTGGGGTCTTGTGGTGGGGAGTGGGTGGTGTAGGTGTTATACAGGGTGCGGGGGACTCCATCCCCACTCTCTTAAGTGTACTCCTGCCTACAGCAAGCGAGCGAGCGAGCGAGCGAGCCTTGTCTTCTTCCTTATAAATATATAGTATAGCTCATATCTAATCCTTCATCGTGTTTTTTTTTCTTTTTGCATCTCTCTTCCCCCCCCCTTTTTACAATTTCACATCCTGCGTCGTCCGCGTGGGCGCTGCTGCGGCTGCCTCCTGCGTGGGCACCTGTGCAGCATCTGCAGTGCGACGGCGCGAGTTAAGGAACTCCACCAAATACTCAATGCCCCAAGCGAAGGCGCACAGCATAATGCAGAAGCTCTGGGTGTGTATGCAAATGGGATAGCTGTCGGTTACATCACGAATGAGTCCTGCAATTAAACAAAACAAAATTAGAAACGGACTTCAGTCAGTTGGCTGCCGCCGAAGTTTATAGAGCGAGGGAGTGGAGTGGAGTGGAGTGGAGTGGAGTAGAGTGGAGTGATCCTGCTTACCAATCAGTGGCCCAAATGTTATCACAAACAATGCCTTGCCCACCAAATGCCAGCCAAAGGCCGATGGCAGCTTCTCCAGCGAACAATACTCGGAGACGGTGAGCGTGAAATTGCTCAGTGCCGAGCCACGAAAGAATCCACAAATCGATAGCCAAATCATTAGCTGTGTCCAATCCGTTTGCTCGGCCATGACTGCAAGCAAGGAGAGGAGAGAGCAGAGAAGCAAAATGTGTTATAAAAAATGTAATTAAAGAAAGCCAAAGGGAAGCCGAAGCCCCCTTGGATCTCACTTACTTGAACGTGTTAGAGCCACAAATATAATGGAAACCAGAAAAATGGTACGCTTTCGGATGGTGGTCCTATCGAAGAGCGGCGGCAGCACAATACGTGCTGCAATATCCGTGATGGCTGTGATTGAGAGGCAGAAGGCCACATCCGCCTTCTGGTAGCCCAGATTGGCGAAAAAGAAGGGCGTCACCATCTTGAAGTTCATCTCGGCCACATAGAAGATGGACAGGCCGAACAGCAGATTGAGAAACATTTTGTCCTTGAGCATGTCAATGTCGAGCAGATCGGCAAATCGGCGCCAGAAGCCGGGCTTTTTTGGTTTCTTCTTTTTGGCCTCCTCATCGTCAGCGGCGGCGAGAGCCGCCTCCGTCTGCTTGTCCAGCTCCGTGGGCTTCATTTTGATGAAACTATCGCGATGGCCGCCAAGGACAATGCTGCCGGTGGCGGTGCCAACGCGTCGCAGCTCGCGATCATTCTGCTCGAACTCATCGTCGCCGGTATTGAGGTGCACTTGCAGTATGGAGCCGGTGAAGTCCATGTAGGAGAGGTTCGAGGTAACCGAGGCCTTGCGACAGCGCAGCTGCGTGGCATTGATCTCCGCCTGTGAGGTGTAGGCGCCATCGGCACCGGCACCGTGGGCCGCCGACTGTACACCCGCCAGGGACATGATGCGCGGAAAGGTGGGACGCTTGGGTATGCCCAGGCGGGCGCCATTCATTGTGTTCATGGCCATCTCAGAGTAGTTTTTGCGCATGGAGTGCTGATGGGCGTGATGCTTGTGGAACAGCAGGGTGTTCATCTCTGGCAGGGCATCCTCCTCGTTGCCATCCTCTTTGATCACCTTGAAGTCGGGCGGCGAGGCCGCCGACGCAGCTACCGCCGCGCCGCCGCCCCCTATTGTCAGCTGGGGCTGGGGTGTCGGCAATGCCGATATACACATCAGCTCCTCATCATCGAACTCCTCCTTCATGTGCCACTTCACCGGCTGCAGCAGCACCGAACCGACAGTGGCATTCAGAGCCACGCCCGCCAGCAGCAGGACGGCGCCCTGGAAGTCATACGCCTCCAGCAGTATCCTCACCAGCTGCGGCATGATCAACATGCCAATGGCTGTGCCAGCCATCGATAGGCCCACCGCCTGGCCGCGCTTGTGCTTGAAGTAATGATTCAATGCCACAAAGGCCGCCGATGTGGACAGGCCCACACCGATGCCATTGATCACCGAATAGGTGCTCAGAATGTGGGCCATGCTCGTCGCGGGCGATGTGAGGGCCAGCCCGAGGCCGCACAGCAGGGAGCCGGCAATGGCCACCTTGCGGTAGGAGAACTCCTTCAGCAGCGGACCGACAAACAGCCCCGAGAAATTCATGCAGACGTCCAGCGCACTGATGATCACCGCCGCCCCAGTGGTGCCCACATTGAGATCTTTGAGGGTGTCGCCAAAAAGCAGACCAAACGATGGCTCTATGGAGCGTGTGGCAAGCTGCAACGAAAAGAGGGAAAGAGGGGTGGTGGTGGTTGTGGCTATTATTATTGGGCATGTGTGTGGGTACTTGTGCAATTTGCTGCTCGCTCATTCCATCATAAATTATAGAAATTATAAACTTGGTTACTAATTTAATTATTTTATTTTCTTTTTGTATTTTTATGTAGGCCAATTTGTCGTTTTGAGGCTAATCTGCAAGCGGCGCGTGATTTATTTAGCCCATGGAGAGAAGAGGACGCTATCAGCAAACACCGAAAATACTTGAAAAGAGAGAGAAGGGAGGAGGAAAGCCAAGAGGAACAATCAACAGTCAACGTCATTGAATGGATAATCGCCAAAACCTTATCAATGGAACTCGAAGAGTAAGCAAGGAGGAGGCGGAGGAGGGCTGTGAGCCCTGCGGGTGAGCTACAGAGAAAGAGAGCAAGAGGGAGAGAGAGTGCCTGAAAGTGGCCTATCATGAATGCACTTCATGCCATTTACCCTCTTTATATGGAGGTACCCTTATCGATTGTGCAATGCGGCATTTGGCCATCAGCATTATCAGGGCATGGACACACACACAGCAGGGCTAGCTTGCTCCATTGATGGATCCAGAAATCAGTCAGTCAGGCAGCCAGCCAGCCAGCCAGCCAGCCAGCCAGCCAGCAAGCAGCTTGATTGATGGATCATTCCTTGGGCCACAGTCGCCGCCATATCAATGTCCGATTGTAATTGCCAAACATATTTTGTATTTGCCATAAAAACGATTATGGAATTGGCATACCATTCCCTTAGTGGGGGGTATTATAACCCTAGAATTTTTCTAGTCAAGAATTTATTTAAGTTTTGGCTTTGCACAATTTATTTATTTACATTTCCATGAGTTACTCATGATATTCCACGATAAGAAAATGAGTGCTTTAGTCACTTAATATGTGTACATATGTATGTATGTAAGTCTGTATGCTATGTACCATAAACATTTTAATGATTATAATCGTATGATTAATAGATTATTTGAGGGGATTCCAAGGGTAGCTGACAAGTGGATTACCATGATAGCTTCCCCTTTTTATTATGTAGGTTTTTGTCCTTTGAAAAGTATTTTGCAATATTTCTTTGTTTAATCTAACATTCTAAAAAAACTAATCTATCAATCATTATGTGAACTATACGTATATTATTTATTTGACATATTTATTATATTCATTTTATTTTATATATATTATTTATATTAATTACTTCCTATTATTCTAAGAATTTTCCCCTATTACTTCCTAGTTTTCTAAGCATTTTCCCCTGTCTCTTCCATTCAAGTAAAATATTTTCTTTTCCTCATGTGCTTTTGCCACAAGATTGCGCTTTAGCTTAAATTATTATAATGATGATTGGCTGCTAAGTAAATGGGGACGCGACTCATTTCTTAGAGTCGCTTTCGCTTCAATAATTTACATTTGTAATTTACTCATGTGGCCCCTCTCGTCTCCTTCACATTTGTTGTGCCATGAAGGGGCCGCCAGGTCATTCAATCCACCGATTCAATAGATTTGTTCCCTATGCTCTAGGATTTGTTGTGGGGGTGCTCTTGAGAGTGTTTTTTATTTGCTTTTGCGATTATTTGTGCTATTGATTGTGTGTGTGTTTGTTTTTTTGGTGTGTGTGTGTGTGTGTGTGTGTGCTCGTTCTGCTGAGGGTCCTCTACTTTTTATAGAGCGTATCCGGGGTTACCTCTACAATATATATACATATATATAATGTTTTTGTATGTGGAGCTCTGTCGTTTCATTCGGTAATTGCTTGATAATTGAGTTATCAGAAAACAACAGGCATGGCACCCAGCCGCAGCAGCAGCAGCAGCAGCAGCAGCACGCGCTCGACAAGTGCTTCAAATACCTTTCAATGTGCCCCAATCCCAATCCCCAATTGGTGTTTGTGTGTATCTGGGGGTCTAGGTTTTTTAATTGAGTTTATATGATTTTTATGATTTAGAGATCGTAAATTGGCTGTAGATTCAATGCTATATGCCATTTAGGGACACTTTTTGTGGCACAATTATATGGGGTTTACTTGGCAATCTTGGGGATCTTTAGACTTTGATTTTTGGCAGAACAAATTCATCAATAAAAGTTTTTGTTATTTCTCTTAATTTATTTTCTTGTATCTTTCGATTATAAATATAAATAAAATTATATTGAGTATTATGCTAATTTTTTATTAAATTGAAATTCCATTTAAATCCTTCAATTCATTTCACATTATCATCCATAACTTTTAATATTTAAAAATCATGAATCAATCAATATATAGAGGCACATGCCTATTATAATATAGTATTCTGTGTATATATTCGACAGGTAATTAGAAGTTATTAAGTTATTTTATCTTTTATCATTCATGTAATCCACAATTGAACCCTAAGGCACAGGCTATTTCTCTTTTAATGCTCTTTTGTGTGCATATTCTCTTGACGCAAATCAATCTTAATTTATGGTTTAATATTGCATTAATCACTGAAATATATTTCTGCCCCAAAATCTACCATTGAGGGGCACTTGCCTGAGGAATTTATTTACAACAAAGGAAATATCAATCTGCAGATTATATTTCCATTTAACTCAAACCATTTGCAAACAACAACAACAATCGTCTAAACCCACGTTTGTTTTTATTTTTAATTTCATTTGCAATTTGCCTGCCAGCAGCCAGCCAGCCAGCCAGCCTTTCTGTAATGTGTAAATAATATATATACATAAGTATGATATATACTCGTATATATTTTTGGTTTCTTATTGCCTTTTTGCTTTTGTTTATTAGCTTTTCAGTCACACAACCCAAACATACATACATACATACAGATGTACATACAAATATCTTGGAATATATAACCATATATAGTATACAAGTAAATTGTACTTGTATTTATTTGTCTTGACTTTTGTTGGGTTTTTAGCGAAAAACAGCAAAAGGCAAACACCTCAAAGAGCTCGACAGACAACTCGCGTTTTGGGAACACCTTTTTGGATCTACTGCTCTAAATCACCTTATTGATTTATATGTATATGCCGTATACTATATACATTAATTGTTATTTAGAGGTAGCTTGTGTGATAATATGATATTTGCACAATTAGATGCTAAATTATTTTTAAACATTTTTCGTGCAATATTTTTGAATCTAATTTACAAGTGGTTGTCGTTTGCTGCTGCTGCCTTTGCTGCTGACTGGCCGCCGCCTGCGTGAAATTAACGTGAAACTCGAGTGTACGTTCTCCGCCACGTTCTAGCCATAGATATACAGATACATGTGTACATATATAGGGGCTCTTGATTATGGCAAATATACCTATAGAAAATATTACTTAACAAGCGCACGTTGTCACCGTTTTAGCCTTGTTATATCGCTTGTCCCAAGTCTATTAATAGTCCAACAAATCGGTAGAAAGCGACACTCTCTTGGTGATGATTTATGGATATGGCAAGGGATAAAAGATTTGTAAGATCTGCTTATAGAATCATTTGAAAATCACGCCTGTATCACGGCTTGGATTTAAATTCCCCAAAAGGAGCGTATTAAGTATAATTTGGTACAAATCTTTATACATAAAATACAGATCTTTGCACACAGTTCTTTTCTTCAGCTAAAAATCGTTTCAGTGCTTTGTTGTGGCTGGAAAGTTTTTCGAATATCGAATCTTCCGCCAACTGAATTTCTTATTTAATTACAATTGTTCTCTCACAATAATTTTCCGCTATTGCATGTGTTGTATTCTTGGTCTGTAATTAAATATTTAATTGAAAAGTGGCAATTAGAAGCCCTACCTTGCCCTCTCCTCTTTCTCTTTTCTCTTATTATTCTGCGGAACCCTTGCACCTTGCTGACATTTCAATGAAAAATCTTGCACTCTATATTTATTAATAAACCCTTGCCAACCCGTGAAGTCGATGTCTTTGTTTGTTTGTGAATTGCAAAATGGTGTCAACAATTGCAGAATATCAATATGAAGCAATGCAATTTATAATAATTAGTGGGGTTCCCCCGATTCTGACACTCTTGAGAAGCCATGCAGCTGAAAAACCATGTCCAATGGTTTTCTTAGGTGTAGTTTCTAGAGCAGAGAGAGAGAGAGAGCGTGCGCCCACGTCCCAAATCAATCATTATTTATGGTCTAATATTACCCAAAAATTATCCATCAATCACTGCAGCATATGTATACTTTAAGCCAATATACTATTAGGGAATTTAGCTGGCAGTTGTATTTTCCACAAGCAAATTGTATTATTAAATTTTGAATTACTTCTTACTAATTTATTTACAATTTCTAGGCAATATTTTGTTTACCATTTTGCCATTTTTCCTCCTAATTCAGCATAGAACGGCGGAACATTTTCCCATTTAATCTGTTGTATATTTTATTTGATTCCTATATTTTGTTTTAAATTTAAATTCAAACATCCTACGCGTTATGCATTTTCCCCAAGCGGAGTTTTCTCCACTTTTCAAGGTGACTTTTTTACTGTTCAAAGGTTGCAGCTGCTCCTTTGAGACCTTGCACAAAAGTTTCCACTGCTCTGTATTTGTATCTGTATCTGTAGCTGCAGCTGCAGCGGCAGCTGTGTCTTTGAAGATATTTATATGTATGTATCTAAGCATTTCTATTTAAAACAGGAAGCCTGTTGATGTTTTCTTGAAATGTACTTTCGGCGTGCTATCAATTAACAGCTTTCAAAGCGCATGACGACGACAGCGTTATTGCCATGCCCCATTCTGTGCTGTGTGGCAAAGGCTTTGTGGCTTGTGGCAAAAAGGCGGTGAGAGTGGGTGGGTGGTTGGTCACTGGCACGCAGTGGGGGCGAAATTTATATGATGATGACTACTACTGCTGCTGACCATGGTGACGATGTCAATAGACGTCACTACTGGTCGTAGACCAACCTCCCGACACCCCCAACCTCCCCACATACATACCTACCCCTACCACCTACCCCTGGCTCTGACTTTTTCTCTGTCTCTGCCT